TTACCTTTACCTTGGGACAGATTACGTAGCCTCCTTTTGATCTTCATCTACCTCTACTGTGTTTGTTTGAGCATGTGTATTGTGCTCTGAGAAGACAGGAGTGCCTGGCGTGCTCTGGTCCATGGGGTCATGAAGAGTCGGACACGACTAAATGACTAAACAACAACAACAACAACAATCGTACTCTGAAGTATTGCAAAGTGTTTATCGTTCCATTGAAGTTTCTTAAAGAATGTAGCCTGCAATTTTATTTATTAAATGGACAAATCAGCAATGGTGGATGGCATTTATCAGAGATTTGTGTCAAAGCTTCCTTTGGAACAAAGAGGTTTTGTTGGAGCTCATTATCAAGCCTTGCGATAATTTTGAGGCATAACAAAAATAAGTTTGGAAAGGATTTGCATCTACAGTATAGTTCATGTTATTTTTTTCGACCAAAGCCTCAGCGATGGGCTTTAAATGAGTATGTACCACCTTGGCAAGTAGGAGGCTGAAGAGGAAATTAAGCCCTGACTTTAATAATGTTTCAAAATGTGCTGCTATTTAGAGGGGAAGGGTTATTGCATTGCGTTGCATTGTATTGTATTGTCTCAGTTTCATATGTAATTGTTATTTTGTAAACTGCTTAGAAACTGTATTAAATGGTATATAACTGTAGTAATAAGGACACAATCCTAGAACTGCCAGGATGAGTATAGTTATGATCCAGCAGATCTCTGACTGAGCCAGATTACATCCTGATCCTGAAATATATCAAGCCCAGCAGATCTGGCCCGACTGCACTGGCTGCCAATTAGTTTATGGCCCCAATTCAAAGTGCTGGTTTTGACCTATAAAGCCCTGAATGGCCCACAATGGTGATATCTAAAGGGTCGCTTCTCCCCATATGAACCAGCCCAGCCCCTGTGATCATCATCTAAGGCCCTTCTTTTTGTGCCTCCTCCATGAGAGGTTCAGAGGGTGGCAACACAATAACAGGCCTTTTCTGTGGTGGCTCCCTGTTTGTGGAATGCTCTCCCCAGGGAGGCTCACCTGACGCCCTTGTTACATATCTTTAGGTGCTCTGCAAAAACATTGTTCTTCACCCAGGCCTTTGGCTAATTGAATAATTTATGACCTTTGAAACTGGGCTGGGTGGGTGTTGTTATTTTGTTTGTTACTATGTTGTGTATTTTTGTGTTTTTATATTGTAAACCACCCTACAATCCTTGGATGAAGGCTATTATAGAAACTGAATGAATAAAAAAAATACATCTTGTATTGGCAAGTGCAAATTCCTGGAATATGTGGAAATGGCGCAATCGACCAACAGACTAAGAGGTAATACTAGGCAATCATTTATTAAAAAATGGGATATGTATAAGAGATATCTACAGAATAGTAACAGTGGTACAATATCTATGGCAGCGTTTGAATGATGCTTGTCTAAAACAAGCAAAAAGGTACGAATTGTTGTAAGAAAGTATTAGAAAATACAGAAAGCATAAGGTAATAATGATAAGTACATTCATCACCAGAAAGGTTACATGCATTGGGAAAGGATAGGAAGTTTATTCCATGTTAGCAAAAAGATAGGGAAAAAGAGATTGCATAAATTTAATTTAAATTCAATTTAAACGGGGGGGGGGGGGGAGAGAATTAAAAAAATACATCTTATTTATTTACTTTTTATGGTTAGTCTGAAAACCCCAGACTTGGTATCTGAAGTGGTCTGTTGATGGCTCAGTCTTCAGACTGACCTCTTCTAAGTTTTCCAGGTGGTGGAATGGTAGGAATTTTTAAGGTGCTAATAGAACTTCTCTGGTCATGACTCATACAATTGCCAGAATTAGCAACCCGATAATAGTGCCCTGTAAGTGCAGAATTATGGTAATGTCTTCAGGTGGGTGTAGATTAACATGCTTCAGTCTATGACTACTACATATTAATGTTTATTATAATTGGCAGCTAGCACCTGCTCAGCTATTTGAAACAGAAGCTGTTGTACATTTCCACTGCTACTGAATGTGAAAGTTTTTTAGGATAGGTTAGGTGCCAGGTGGAAGGACTGCTGAAAAGCTACAAACCAACAGAAATTCATATGATGGCAATTTTTACTCAGTTCTACTATAACAATGGTGATGACAACAACAGTGGTTAATGGCTGAAACGTAGCTGTTTCAGCTCTCCTGTAAGGCCCCTACCATGGACTGAATAGCTGTGATGTCATGGAATACTTAACACATGATGCATGTGTCATCTACAGAATGTTAGATTTGAAATAATGAAGATCCTGTGAACTACAAGAGATCAAAGGGAATAGGATAACAAGGACTAAGAAGCATGGAAGTAAATTTCAATATATTTTATTCCAGGATCAGACATCACAGAAACTGAAACATCAAACTATTAGAGCTCAGATTTGAATTTAGCATTGCCCCCCCACCCCAAGGCATCTTTTCCAAGTAAATGTGTGCATACTGTACTGTGGTTAAAGGGACTGCATAGCTGTACCTTTGGTTCTAAAATCTGTATTTTTATATTTGAAAATAAATAACAAGCACATAAAAAAGCAGGGGATGGAGGAACAAAGGAAAATGTTATTTTAGACTTCCGGGTTGGATTTGGAGAGATGGAGTTCTGTTTGGCTTGGAGATGGGGGGCTGGATGGACCCCCCTATGCAGGGATGTTTTGACCTTTCAAGTCTGGCTTTAGGCTGGGGGGAGCTCGGAGTTGTGGGGGCCCCTAACTTTGGAGGGACCTTGAAACATGCCTTTAAATACCACATGGATTTCAGTGTTGACTATGGAAAAGGGGCTGACTTGTCGAGAAGGGACAAAAATATTGTCAAGCTGGAGTCTCCCCGAGTGAAAGGAGCAGAAGACAAAGTAAAGTACAGGTATAAACATGAAGAAGACCTGCGGAAGGGACATGGAAAAGACTTAAGAGCCTCGGATATAAGGTCACCAGGTTGATGGACTAGATGGATGGGATAGAAAGGACTGACAAAACCCGAGACCAGGAAGAAGAGACGATGGATGAAGATTGGAAAAAAGTTTTAAAAATTTATTTAGAAAAGTATCGTAAAATTAATGAGTATTAGAAAAATGTTGGAATGAAAGTATTTGGCTTTAGCAGAAATGTTAAAAAGAATTATGTAAGAATATGTTATGGTTAAAAGAATTCGGTATAAATAAGATTTAAGTTTTAAGTTTTAGGGTTTTTTATGGTAAGATAAGGTTAAAATAGAATAAGGTAATTTAATGACAGAATATTGTGAAAGATGGAAAGGATTTGCTAAGATAATTAACAACTAGAATACAAAAAAGGGAGGTGTGAGGAGGTCGATGAAATAAGTTAATGAGAGTTAAGGATTTGGGAATATTGGATTTGTTTTTAATTTTTTTGTTTATTTTTGCTTTTTGATTGTGATGCATTGTGTGTTTTGTTTTTTCTTTTTGATTTTGGTTTTTATTGATTTGTATTGTTTAATTGTTACTTGTATCTATTTCTTTCTTTCTTTTTCTCTTTTTCTTGTTTTTTCCTTCTTTTTTCTTTGTAACTTTAAAATTCTCAATAAATATCATTTTTAAAAAAAGAAAAAAAAGAAAATGTTATTTTAAACAGTAGAACAGGTTTGTGCAGAGTGAGCAGTGGGAAACACTGAAATGGGGAGTGGCAGTTTAAAACAAGATTTGTGTACAGTAAGACGGGAGTTTGGAAAGGCTGTGTGATGTTAGCTTTTTGATGTTAGCTTCTGCACTGTATCCACCTCTGCTATTTCTCCCTGTTAAAACTGGTTTGTTTGTTTTTTAACAACAACAACAACAACAACAACAACTTGGTGTTCCTCCATCCCTGCTTTTTTCAAAGCTCTGTCATTTTTAAAAACCACAGTTTTCATTTCCGTGCTCCTCCATCCCTGCTTTACTCAAACTTCTGCTGTTATTTGATTACAACGAGAAAGGAGTGATACTGAAAGGAAACAATTGGCAGTTTTAAACTTCTGCCTCTCCCATTCCTCAATTGCCTCATGTGCGAGAGGTAAAACATGCCAAGACCCCAAATATTCTATAGTACCATCCCACAATCATGTATTTCACTCCTGGTACCATATGTTGTCTTCAACATGAAGGTCCAGACTCAGTGTAGTACTTCAGAAAATATACTTTAACAAGTGAACACTCAAGTACGTACAACATCCCTCAACTGAACTTAACATTCTCTAACTGAATAAGTTGACAGGCTTGCTCCTTAAGATTCTATTCAACTTTAAGATACAGTAGGATATATCAGCATGGTGTGTTTGTGCAGAGGGGGGCTGCAGAATAGGAGAGAGGTGGAATAAAATGGGGGGGTGGTCTGTGTGCAAGGAAAAGTTGAGAAAAATGAGGAGCGTGGAGGAAAAGGGGGCCCTACCATTTAGATCAAGTGAGTTTGCTGCCCCAGGCAGCAGATTCTGAGTGTTCTGAAAGGACAATGAATCATTATTTACTTTTCATTATTATAACAAATAGAAAATATATGAAAGAGGTGCCAAATGGAATGGAAAAGCAAACATAGCAGAGCTTTTTAAAGGATCTTCAAGAGCACTCTGATAACTGAACTTGGGATATCTAAGAAAGAGAAATATTTGCCTCAGAATGGAATGATGGTCAAGGGCCCATATGTCACTTAAACTGTAGCAAGCTCCATGACGTCGGTAAGACGTCCACAGCGAGAATAAGGACTAAGCATTAAATATAAAGACTTAATTATTCACAACTAGGACAAAGGAGAGCATCAGAATAACTTGCATTAATCATCACATGAGTAGTGCATCATCTGCTCAGAGAATGTGGTGTAGCCAGCTGACAAATTTTAGCAAAGGGATGTGGTATGTTAAACTGCACAGGATCTCATTGAGTTTCTCTGCTTTCCAGCACCCAGAACTTCCTTCTCACTCCCTGGCCCCTGTGAGACCCAACTCCCTGGATATTTATTTGCATCTTCATTTCACCAAAGCACAAAAAAGTGTGTGTTTGTGTGCGTGTGTCTGTGTGTCTGTGTGTCTGTGTGTGCGTGCGCGCGCGCACACACACACACACACACACACACACACACACAGCTCTCATTCATTGATCACCCCTACCTAACCAAATATCCTCATGTTGCCTACACAGATACATTATTGCAACCAAGGCAAATTTAATTCGAGCCAGACCTTGCCACAGTTTAGCCCTGGATACAGGGTAAGGGTGAAGGATATGTAAATTCAAATTCTTTCAGGGTTGTTGTTTTTCCCCCCAATCTTAAATCCAGTTCTTCACATTTCTGAAGTTTCTGCATTTTTTTTAAAAAAACCCTCATGAAAATTCATCATAATTTTAGTGTGAAATTATCCTAATAAATAGATTTTTATATGCAGTTTTGACATCATGTGTGCAGGTTGGTAAGCAATTTCCCCTAGCATAATGCATTCTTGCAAGCAATGTTCGTGATAAAATTATTTTTTATGCAAACTCTCATAATATATGCATTTTTGTAAATTCAGATAAAGTTAAATTTCGAAAGGTGCCTGTGTTTCAGTTCCTATACTATTTTGAATTTGATAGATTTGACTTTAAATGCAATCTGAGCTGAATTTCTCCCCTATCCTTACTGAGGGGGCAGAGATTCTTCCATTATCAAGGGGGCCGTGTCTGGAATTCCAGCTGTCAAACAAGAATACAAATGCTCTAAATCTCCTCCACTTAGGAGCAGCTACATCTATTTTGTCCCTCCCCCCATTTTTTGCCTCCAAATATTTTGATGCCAGCCTGGGCACCAGAAACAGGTTTCAATGCTGGTCTAGTATCTTGTGAAGAAACGAGGAAAAGAGCATATTTCTTTTCCCACTGACAGTGCCTCCAGTCTGTCACCATTCTGTGGGGTGGATTCAAGTGCAGAGTGCACATTTAGGTTTCTGCAATTAAGCAGTATGGCTGGGGGGGCACACTGGGCGCCACTCACCCGGGGGGGGGGAGGCATTTACCGCAGGGCCTGAAGCGCACCTAAGCCATGCGTCTCTCCTGGGAGTGACACAGTGGTTCGGGCGCCTGCAGCCACCGCACTGCCTTTTCAGGCAGTGTGGGGTTCATGTCAGCCCACTGCCTCCTTCTCAGCTGGAGGGTGGCTGAGAGGGGGAGGCGGTGGGCGGACTCCATGCAGGCTCTGCCCAGAGTGCCCTGCCCAGCTCTCCCCGCCCCCATGGACAGCTTGCCCCACCCCTAGGTGCCTGAGCAGCTAGCTACGCCACTGGTGCAATAGAAGTGAATTAAAACACTATTTCACCTTAGCACAGCAAATCTTCTTTTCTGGGGGGAAAGGAAGACTTTTTGCAGTTGGGGTGAAAAATATGGGGTGAATGAATGAATAGTGGGAAGATATATCAAGCAAACAAAATAAAAATAGAAGAAGAAGAAGAAGAAGAAGAAGAAGAAGAAGAAGAGTAGTAGTAGTAGTAGTAGTAGTAGTAGTAGTAGTTTGGATTTGATATCCTGCTTTATCACTACCCTAAGGAGTCTCAAAGTAGCTAACATTCTCCTTTACCTTCCTCCCCCACAATAAAAACTCTGTGAGGTGAGTGGGGCTGAGAGACTTCAGAGAAGAGTGACTGGCCCAAGGTCACCCAGCAGCTGCATGTGGAGGAGTGGAGATGCGAACTCGGTTCACCAGATTACGAGTCTACCGCTCTTAAACACTACACCATACTGCTTAAGCAAATAAGGATGAATTCAGAATGAATGTTCATTGTCATATTATCTCCCCATAAAGAAATCAAAACAAAAGCTCAATGAAGACGGGACATAGCCTAACCATAAGCTTTGTGACACAAAATCAGGAGGAATGCTGAATAAACCGATGGCCCTTAGTTGGAGTGTCTGATTTTGACAGAAAAAAACACCCTTTAGGGAAAGGGAAGTGCCTCTTCCCACATGCAAGCTCTCACAGATGTCAGTTTCTTCCCACACTGCACTGGATTCCAAAAGCGGGGGGAGCAAGAACAAAGATTGATGCCAATGAGTTTCACATACAGCAGGCGTCACCCACCTCAAACCAGAGAAAATGTCATGGGCATCCCCACACCAGATGTTTCCTCCCAACCTGAAATTGCTCCTGTGCCACAATTAGGCTTGAGATATATATATATATATATATATATATATATATATATATATATATATATTCCTTTGGCCACAGGAGGGTTTATCCAAGCCTAATTTCAGCCAAAAGATTGTCCCTGTGGGTTTCAGGGAAGGCATCTGTGGGCACGTGCACCCACACTGGCCACCTATGATGTAACAGGGTGCAAAACAAGAATAATAATGGCCTTGTTGTTGTGAGGTTGGAAGCGATAAGAGTCAGAAAACACTCTGAACAATTCAAAGCTGGCCAATGATTAATGGATTAATGATTTTAATCCATGGGTAGAGGCTAAACCCAAGTTTATGCTAAGCCAAACACCAGTAGCTTCTTTCTCTCAGGTGACTTAGCTTTCTCAGGTTATGTGCTGAGTCATGCTCGATAGCATCTATATGGTGATGGTCATGAACAATCCTTTAAGAGATGCTGTGTGGGGCCATTGGCTCTCACCATGGCCTCAGCAATTACCTAAACCAAAATTGGGGTGAGACCTCATGAGTCAGCTGCTGCTCCTTTTTTTAATATAGGTATGTATATCTTAAATGTTTTAGACCACACCTTTATCCACACATGGATTTCATGGTAGCATCCACAAAAATAGCCACACAATATTAAAACAAAGAATCAAAACCAAAGCAACACAGTAAAAGCAAAAGTAATATAGCAGAAGCTAAAACAACACAGCACATTTATCTAGTTGCTCTAACTAAGGGTAGTATATAGATCCTTCCCACCCATCCAAAAAGAGGTGTTACACAAGTCATCTCTAAAATTATCAATGCTGTGGTATTCATAGAAAAAGAAACTTGTCACTCATTTGTACATGTTAACAGTAGGGAAATGCTTGAATTTTCCACAACTGGGGTTTCCACTGAAGTCTAGACAGATTTGCAAATGTCTGTAACAATTTCCGAGCCCATTCTGTGCCCCATGTGCTTTTAAAAATATATCTGCAGAATGTATGCCTGCCACTGTTACAGAAAATAGTTGTTCTGCGTTTCAGCCATCTTGTTGGCATCCATCTGTTTTGAGAGACAATGAAGTGCGCCTCCTGGGGTTAAGTCAAACCACTGTGTTAGCAGCACCTGCATTTTTAAGCAATATATGACAAAAGCCCAGTGCTTTTTTAAAAAAGGGGGTACTCAAGGGTACGCAGTACTGGCACCTTTTGTTGTTAAAAAGTGTGGCACTTACTGTAACAACTTCATGGTGAGTGGCACCTATTTTTCTAGAAAAAAAGCACTACAAAAGTCAAAACTAATACTAGATATGAAGTGACAGCTACTATTAGTGTCACAGTAAATTACTATTATTATTATTATTATTATTATTATTATTATTATTATTTTAACCAAGTCACCTCCCTGTTCAGTGCTGCCTTCACATGTAAACTCCCATAGTCTATAATTGCAACCCCACTTTTGTTTACAGCTTTGTTTTCAGACATACGTAGAAGCATTCTTTTTATACAATGGTACATCGGGTTAAGAACTTAATTCATTCTGGAGGTCCGTTCTTCTGAAACTGTTCTTAACCTGAGGTACCACTTTAGCTAATGGGGCCTCCCGCTGCTGCTGCGCCGCTGCTCCACGATTTCTGTTCTCATCCTGAGGTAAATTTCTTAACTTGAGGTACTATTTCTGGGTTAGCGGAGTCTGTAACCTGAAGCGTCTGTAACCCGAGGTACCACTGTACTTCGAAATCCTTTACCTGCTTTACCACATAGATGTTCACCCCACCCCCCACAAACCCCCCTACATAAATGAGGATCGATGTATGAGGTATGAAGACAAGTCAAACAGACAAAAAAGCAGGGGAACTATCATGGTTGCTTTACACTATCAAAAGACTACAAGAAGGAATGGTTCTTTCAAGCTCAGTGAGCCAATCCATTTTTCATGCAGGAGAAAGCAAATTGCAGGAAGGTGTGCTTTTGAGGGAATTGTCGGGTGATGAAAAAGCTTTGCTGGGCAAAGAACAAAGACTGCGCAAGACCCTGGGGGCACAAATGAACTCAAGGAGATTGAGAGATGGCAGCCAGTTATTAACATTAGTAGACCTGAAGTTGCAACAAGGAGTTGCAAAAGTTGGAACAGAAAAGAGATAATTGAAACAACTTGCATCGGGTTGCAGAACACAATGCCAACTTAAAAGACATTTTGTAAACCGAGTTGCTTTATGAGCAGATTTTGTGCAAGGTAATTCTGAAAACAAATGAATGCAGAAATTACTGTGAGTTCAGTCCCTAGTTAACAGATATGCTTTATGGTATGGACTGATATCTAGAAAATAACGTCAATTGTCCATCCGATATATTTGATTGACTTGCATGGTGTTTACAAGTCTTTCTCTTAATCATTTCTTTATCTCATGTTTCCCTGTCAATTACCTAACTGCAAAAGGCCATGGGCTCCTTTGGGAGGAAGGGTGGGATATTAATTAATTAATTAATAAAATAATAAAATAAAATAAAATAAAATTATATATATATATATATATATATATATATATATATATATATATGGGGGATTTGTTGTGTTAGGGTCACAGAGCCCTTTATTCCACTTTAGAGATCCTTACTATTGCATGTCATAATTATTCCCAGGGCTGGAACTCACTGGAACTCAGGTCTGCCACCCATCAGGTGGGTGCCATTGCCATTCTAAGAGAACATGGGAGGTGTTCATGGTGAGTTCCAGCACCTCTTTTTCTGGAAAAATAGCACTGATTATTCCATTTTCAGTAACTGTTTGCAGCTGCAAAGGTTTGGGTTTAGCAACTCTGCTTTATCTTCAGTAGTGCATAAACTGAAATCCCGTAACTTTTTATACCACAAATGTTCTGACTTATTACTGTCCTGTTTTTGTTGCGCTATATCCTGTCCAGATGGCAATAATGTGTTAGCATTGGGGAAGCATCGTAAAACAACAGCTCAAGTGGAATAAATCCAGCACTAATGCATTAATATTTTGTCGAGAACATGTTTCAGAATACACCTGCTTTAAACTCCAATTAGGAGGCCCTGCTTTTAAAGTCTTGCCTTCGAATGAGTCATGCAAAATACTGGCAGTCTTGAAGTGACCATCAAGGCTTAGCACCTCATGTTTGCATGAAATGTGTAGTCAGTCCAGAGACCTGAAGGGGCAAATGTATGGAGCAGACCCTGTTATTACCTCAGTGCAAAAATGTACCATGGATAGCATGAGGTGGACTTCCTTGAAGGGGTGTGACTAGGGACAGGATGTTTATGCATCTATATTTATATCCCTTTACTCATCATGCATACATGATTTGTGGCATTTCCTCATTGAGCTTCAGAACTCCTGAGTTACAAAAATTACATAACCTTTCTTTAGTGGCAGTGGTACAGTAGAAATTTTCTCTACAGAAAACCGCTGTAAAAAAAGAATGATAATTTTATTATTTATACCCCACCCATCTGGCTCGGTTCTCCCAGCCACTCTGTGTGGCTTCCAACATAATAAAAACACAGCAAACTTCAAACATTTAATACTTCCTGATACAGGTGTTCAGGTGTTTTCAGAAAGTTGTTGAGTTGTTTATCTGTTTGACATCTGATGGGAGGGCATTCCACAGGGTGAGCACCACTACTGAGAAGGCTGCAAAGGGCCTAAACCATAAAGTTTGTGAACAAATAAAATGTATTACGTGCTGCAGAAAAAGTAAGAGGTTCATGGTGAAATTCTCCCCAATGCCCCAATACTCTGAGCAGCTATTATTATTGCTCCTGAAATCAGCATGAGAACAGCACACTTGGCCAGCCCAGTTTTACATGCTACATAGTTCTGTTCAGTTCTTAAGTTTATTGTTCTAGCCAAGCCCACGATAAGCTTGTAGCAATAATATTAATAAAATACAGAACATCCACCCATAATAAAAGCCAGCCTCCATGATGTAAGAGAGAGAAAAGATACCATCGCCAGGCCAAGATCAGCCCATCCCTATAGAAGGAAGAAGCTGCCACCAAAGAAGACAAAGAAGATTGGCAAGAATTAATTAATGAACTATGCAGAAAAGTCTGACCAAACTGCGGGAGGCAGTGGAAGACAGGAGTGCCTGGCGTGCTCTGGTCCATGGGGTCACGAAGAGTTGGACATGACTAAACGACTAAACAACAACATGCAGGAAATATTAGATAATTTGAAACCCAAGAAAGAAAGAGGATATTGTTTGGTTTTTTTAAAAGAGAATTGTTTAATGCATACTTTTCAAGGGTTGTGTACAGATTTTTGCATTAGTAGAACTTTAATAAGTCACTTGTATTAAGATAAATAAGGTTTGAAAATTGGATTGCTAAGAGTATAAGGCTTTATGGATGTGCATGAATAAGTCAATACAATGGAGCCAAGAGGGGGAGTGGAGGGAAGTCAATTGAGTTAAGATTTACAAATTGAATTTTTATATTTGCTTTGTTATTGTATTATTATTGTTTTGATTATTGGTTTTTTTGTCATTTTTGGAAAATTAATAAATCATTATCAAAGAGACAGAGAGAGAGAGAGAGAGAGAGAGAGAGAGAGAAGATACCAGAGACACCAACAAGCTATCTTAATTTCAAATTAAACCTCCGAATCTCCCAGCCTTAGAGCTCTTGATGCTACCCAGTTATTGCTCTTTTGTAAAACTGTAATTGACTTCCCACTGGGTCACATTATTTCTCAATGCACATCCTGCTATATTTCATTCACACCTTTCGGCTCCTCCAAAATGCATACCAGTATTTATTCAGCATTCATCCTGATTTGCTTATAGAAAGACTACTCAGAGGTTACACAATTGCAGTGGATGGGGAGGTCTTGCACAGCAAACTCACTTTCCCATAATACTGAACTTTTATTTGTGATAAGGACAGGAAAATGCACTGGAATGTATGGGATAATGCTTGTTTTTGATGCAACATCATCTGATGCAACATCATCTAACCTTCCTATAAACAAATCATTAAATAGCCGACATAATCTAATTACCCTGCCATCAATCAAGGATGAATGCTCAGTAAGCAGGTGGTCTGGAAATGACCATGGTAAGAGAAACACAAGAGAGACCTGTAAGTTGCTTGCATTCTTTAATAGCTGCTCTACGATGGAGAGGAGAGTCAATACTGTGTACAGTTTGCAAAGCCCATTTTTGCTATGGTGTCCTGAATTTTCCAAGCCCAGTGTTGAGGTGTGCACCTGTGGGTACACGGATAAACAACAGGCAGCACGGCAGGGGCCATATTCAATGCTGTATCCTGCCCTGGAACCTTCTAGTGAAGGTTAAGCTGAGAGCAACAGATCAAGCTGCTTGCCACTCAGTGTTTATTGGATGCAAAGTTTAAATTGTATATTAATTTTTATAGGGCGATTGGGCGATTGCTTTATTTCTTGTCTGCTTGTGAATTTTTATTGAACATTGTGAAGGCTTATTGTTTACAGTAATAAAATACTAACTGAGGCCAATTACTTTAAGATGCTTTGAGCTGCTGTGAAAAAAACTGGGAAATAATCTCTAAAACAGATTGATAAAATGCAGTGCACATCTTTTCCCCATTGCCTGTAGTAAAAAGCAAATGTGCTTGGAGGAAATGTACATGTGTACTTCATGAACTATAATTAAACCCACTTCATTAACTATAATTTGAACCTTGTCTTTCAAGCTTGTTTAATCAACAATAACCCACTAGGGCTACAAAAGCAGCTTTTAATGTCTTTATTTCTGCCAGTACTGCAGGACATCATAAATCATTCAAGGCACTGAATACATACCCTGCTGTTATAGAAAAACTATGAGTGCAGCGGTTTTCAGCCTTTTCAGGTCTGGGAACCATTTTCAACCCAAACATGTCTTTCTTTCTTTCTTTCTTTCTTTCTTTCTTTCTTTCTTTCTTTCTTTACCATATGCTGTTATACTGGTAGTGCTGCTGTTGTGACCCACTGTAGATCAGGCATTGACCCAGTAGTGTGTTCTGACCCACCTAAAAAAGACCACTTTTATTTAAACAATAGTCAATTGAATCTAGGGACCTCTTACACAGAAAGCAATAAGCTAGTCTGAGTCAGTGTTTTGAGATTTGAAAGCATTTGCTCCCTGATAAGCATGTACAGGCTGCTTAGTTGGCTAAGGATCCTTTTGCAATGGTTGCTCAGAGCCAGTCAAACTGCAACTTGTTGCTTACAAACAGCATTCAGGCAGCAACAATTTGTCAGATCCGTATTTGCCCCAGTGAAATACAAAATGTGTCAAATCTGTGTCATCAGAAGTCAGACCAACTATCTCTGTATCATCCCTCTGATGTAGGCTCCTTATAAAATCATGCAGCAGTACCCTATATAGAGTGCATCTCAAACATTACGTTGTCCATACTTATTCCATATTGCTGTTTACACTGGGCAACATATTTAGACATTTGTTTCTAACATACTTGTTTTGAAAGTTGCAAGGAGGAAGGGGAAAAAAAGACTGAACATATGCAATTTTGGGCTTGCCACACCTGAGTTTATTGTGTGTTTGCAGTGTTCCCATTCAGGTTGTGTAATCCACACAATGATGCCCTCAAACAGGATTATTTGGAAGGAAAATGTGTTTTAAATGTGCTGTACATGTATGGTGCGTCTGCAACATGTGTGAAGTGCCACCTGTAATATGCACACATGTATTGGTGTGTAGGAAAAACATTGTATAAGATACTGCTGCTTAATCTTATAATAAGTTTTATTGGGGAGGAAGATGAATTGGGGCTGTCCTAAAATGAATGAAAAGAACAGCCACGGAAATACATTGATTCCTTACAACCTGGCCACAGGAATACACTGTTCAGAGGTGAATTCCGATTATCTGGAAAGTGTGACCCTGCTATTTCCAGGCATTCCAGAACTGAGACGCCATACCCATCATGTGCTATCCAAGGGCCACATATACCGGAATGAGCCATGATAAGATTCTTGTGGTTTCTAAGTACACAGCAAATGTGTCAAAGGTTTTCCAGCCCTCCCTGTTGCCTCCAGCGCAGGATGCTCATTAAGAGTCCTCTTCAAGCGGATTAAGACCAAAACTCTCTCATTATGTGCTGAAATATGACACCATCTAGCAAACAAATTATTTTCAGGTGTGCAAAGAGCAGGCAGGGCTCCTGTGCAATGTGTAGGATTATGACAATTCGGATCGCGGTGTTTCAAGGACACATCTCATTCGAGTATGCCTCAAAATAACAATGAATGATGACAGCGATGATAATCCAAGAATCTCTGCTTGCCAGTAGGGGAGTATGTTCCAGAATGCATCTCAAGGAAATGTGTGTGTGTGTGTAAAAGAAAGTATGGTAACTTCCAGGCCAGAGGTCCACAAAAGGGGTACCACTATTACCTGGGCAACAATGAGAAATGGGCAAAGAAAATTACGTTCCAAATTTGCTTTATGCGTGGGGAGAAGAAGAGACATGTCCTTCTCTTACATTTAGGTCACCTTCTTCAGGATTGTCCTGCAAAGGAAACAATCGTTTCTGAGGGGAAGGGGGCTCTTTCTTACACTTAAGGTCCTATTGCCTTCACGTGAGTTCTCCTGCCTTCTAGGTTGTGCCCATGCAGTTCCATAAGGCCAGCACTGCCTCCACGTGCCCTTTTATGGGTTATCCCCACCCTTCCAGTCATATCCTTTGCACGGCTTAATCTTGTGGTTTGGGCAGAGGCCCCGCCCCAATCTCCTTCAGCCCCAATCAGCTGCTAAGTGGATTGGCCAGCACCCAATCACCTCCCCTAGAGATGAAGGGCAGGAAAAACAAAGAAGCAAAAATGCGCTGAGTCAAAGATAGTTCCCAGAGAAACAAATAAGGTGCTGAGGCTTCCTCTCATCAGTAGCACCCAGGGCCAGCCAGACATAAAGCAGCAGGAAGACAGGCTGAGGATTGCAGCAACAACAGCAGCAGCAGCAGCAATGGAAAGAGGTACTACTATGAATGTTGGTTGGATGAGATCTAGATTTGTCCCTCCAGGGGGTGCTAGTTCCATCTCATATTCAAGGAATTGGATAGCTGAGAGGACAAGGATAACAGCATGTTCTGCTTGCATGTTCAGATCTGCACATCCCTAGTGTTGTCAGTGGCTGATGGCATGTTGTATACGGAAATGAGTTAGTGAAAACTACAGATAGAATATTGGTGCTCTTGCATCGGATCTGAGAAATGCAGGATGCAGTCCTGGTTCTAGACACTGCAAGGCCCCGAATGTTGCTATATCTCAGCTTCTGGTTTCCATCTGTAAAATGGGAATAAGAAGCTTCCTTCATAGGATCATTGTGAAAAGAAGGTTCGCAAGGAAATGTTGGTGTGTGGCCTGAGCCTTTGGCTGGACTGTATAGCTAAGGAAGCCTTGAGGATGTTTGGCCAGCAGGACATTTGACAACGACAGCTATTTTAGCAACAGTTTTTACAAAGCCATATAGGGAGTCTGAAGGGCCTTTTCGGTGGTGGCTCCCAGCTTGTAGAATGCGCTCTCCAGGGATCTGACACCATCTTTATCCAGCTTTAGGCACCAAGCAAAGCCTTTTCTCTATTCCTGGCCTTTTGGTCCTTAATTTGAAGAATAGCACTGTGGTGTCTTTTAGTGGGGCAGGGCCCGTAGTCCTGCCTTTTTGTTTTGCTGTGTTTTTAGGCTTTTTTATATGAATTGCTTGAATTTTTATTGTTGCTTTGAATTGGTTTTAATGTCAGTCCCCTTAAATTACTTTGCAAGAAGATAAACTGGCAAATATTAACATTAAAAATAATAAAGTGTCTGGCCTGTATTAGGATCGAGGCAAGTGGCAACCTACTCTATCAGAGGTCATGGTAGTTCACAGCATTGAGTGCACTCGTCAAACCCTCTGGTTATGCAGGGGCTTTTGAGCAACCTATCACTAATAATGTCTTTTGTTCTTATGCTATGGAAGTTACTTGAACAAAGGAAAATTCAGAAATCTACTGAGCAACAGCGACTTTGAGTCACATGATGTTATTTGCTGCTGTGATGTCCCTCAGAAGACATCACTGGGACTCCTTTATCCAAGACACTGAGGAGAACTTTGTCTGTGAAACAATTGGGGCTCCTGGGATGAATCCTGCCTGAGCCCCAAGAGGGATGAATGCTGTTACTGTATTCTCTGTCTAGGCAGAAAAAAGACAAATCTAGAACCAGACCAAAAGTCCACTGTTAGCAACATCCAGGAAAGCTTCCATTGTGAGCAAGAACAGCAATTTCTGGGGTAAGGGAACTAGTAATTATCTGTCTCCTGCTCCCCGTATTTACCAGGGAAATGGTATAATCAAAATTATAGGCAAGATTCGATGAAACAGTTGCGCTAGCGAGAACTAACACAACAAGCGCCACTAGTACAGTGGGATTTTCTCCCCTCTCCTTCCTCACACCAGATCTGGGGGGTCAGGATAATAGTGTGAAAGGGGAGGAGTGGGGAGATTCCTCCATCAGGGAAGCAGAGATGCTTGCAGTGACTGAGCAATTTCCTGTTGTTTTGATTCCACCCAATAGTATTTCCCTGCAAAGGATATTACAGCGGTACCTCAGGTTACATACACTTCAGGTTACATACGCTTCAGGTTAGAGACTCTGCTAACCCAGAAATAGTGCTTCAGGTTAAGAACTTTGCTTCAGGATGAGAACAGAAATTGTGCTCCAGCGGAGCAGCAGCAGCAGGAGGCCCCATTAGCTAAAGTGGTGCTTCAAGTTAAGAACAGTTTCAGGTCAAGTACGGACCTCCGGAACGAATTAAGTACTTAGCCCGAGGTACCACTGTACAGTTTTATAAAAGTTTTTCAGAATTTGATCTACTTACTAAAAACAGAGAGAGCATGAAAGCATACAGCAAAGGCAGAGAACTTGTTGCCGTCCAGGTGTTGCTGGACTCCAACTCCCATTAACCCCAGTGAGCACTGCCAATGGTGAAGGATGATGGGCACTGTAGTTCAACAACATGTTGGAGGGGGCATAAGTCTCTCCTTCCTGCTGTAATAGGTTCAATGGAATCTGTATACTAGGGAGGACACCTGGAGTCCCATTGGCCAAATCTGGCCTCCTGGGTGGTGTTATGTGGCCTCTTTCCCCAGAGGGAAAGAGGGGTGTGAAGGAACATTGTGTGTGGCAAGGGAATGTGGCAATCTGCCACATTTAGGAGGGGAGGCTGGGCTTTGGCCTTCCCCTCTCTTTCCTGAAGTGGTCTTAAATTGACAAAAAATGTTGCTGACTAGCTCACTGTTTACATGAGAACAGGATTATTGCATTGCAGGTGGTTGGACTAGATGACCCTCAGGGTCCCTTCCAACTATTCAGTTCTACGGTTCTGTAAGTTAAATGGATGCCCAGACAGCTCCCTGTTTCTGAAACAGTCTGGTTTGACAGCAATAGAAAAACATACAATCAGAATAAAATACAATTATATTATCTGTTTTATTAATCTCTATAACTAAAATGTAGTTATAGTTACATTTAAACAGATAACCAAATGGTAGCAACAGAGTTCAACAAGTCCAATGAACCACATAAAGTATTTTCATCAAAGGCAAAGATGGAAGGCAGCTAATTTGAGCTAATTCACGGGCGATTTGAGACCTGATGTAAATAGTAAAGACACTGAAGGCTATCATGTGACATTTTGCCCTTGCCATGCTTCCCCAACTACAAAGCAGATGTGTATCTGACATTTTCTTTCAGAGATGTTGAATTTCTGGGAGGAATTCAATATCACATTTTCCCAGTTGTTCTGTCAGCTTGCCAGGTGGAAGAATCTCCCATCTTCTTCACCATGTGCTGCTTTAGGGGTTCCCTTGACCCCCAAGCCAAATTTGTGGGGAGCACATGAGGGGAGACAGTGGGGAAGCCCCATTGTACTAGTGGAAGCTCTTGTAGTCCTCTGTTTCCTTTTAAAATACTTTTAAAATGGACTGAGTCTGGGCTTGCATGTATTTTAAAAAGGATGATGGCAATGGTAACAGTTTCCATACATGCCTATATTACATTTGTTGTGATAAGAACACATTTGTGTACTTACGTATGGTATTGGCAATACTGAGGTAACCTTGAAACAATTTCAGACCCAGTGACTCCAAAGAAATGTTTAGATTCTCTATTCCTAGCTTCCAGGTAAGCAGCTGGGTTGTTTTTTTTTACCAACTTGGTCAACAACATATGTCAGTAAACTCTTAGGTCATATTATATAACAGGTCAATTTTATATTGGCGTAAGACTAAGCTTTAAAAAAGGTTTCTGAAACTGACCATTACAAAAAATACTGCATTGCCCAGGAAATTTAATTTGATTGGGGTTTGTTTTTGTTTATAGTAAAATAGCAATACGTAACCCTTCTCCCCAATTTAAATAAATGTTTATATAGATAGCCAGATGTGAAGTGCTCAGTAGCCATACAGTTTCATTTCTACTAGTTTATTTTTTAAAAACACACACCTTGCGTTTAACGTATGAATTTATTGTTTTATACAATCACAATTTGAAGACATAACTAGAACAGTACTAAAAATGTGACATAGGAACTGATATGAACAGAATTAAAACAGAAAGTATGAATGCCTTAAATTGGGGTGTCAGTTTTTACCAGAGGGGCAAGAACTGCTCAGGTAAATACAATGCCAGCTTTGGGGATCACACTGCTCTATGAACCAAGGTACAAGCTTTATTTGCCAGGGCCCCACAGAGGCTGCAGACAACACCCACAAGATTATTAGGCAGCTTAGTGTGAAAAAAAGAATACTATTTTATCTCCTAAATGGAACAAACCAGCACAGTAATCTAGCATTGTACAGGGGAAAACCTGTTGAGTCACTTCTGACAAGGCATAAGGAGGTAATCTGAGTAAAGACGTTTACAGAAGGAAAGGTATGGTGATGCTTCCGAAAAATGACATTTCGGTTCTGCACCACTATGCATGCTATTTATTCTACTTTGCAGTGGGTTTGTATGGCTAGGCTGTTTTGACATATAGGCTGTATAAACCAGAATGTCCTTGATTTTCAGAGGAAACTTCACTTGTTGTCATTTTATTTACCGTACTTAAGTTTTTCCAAACCATCTTTCGTGCTGAACCTTCCTTGCATAAACAAAAACTACCAAAATTGATTGGCATACATGAAGAAAAGAAAACACACACGCTCCTAACATTTAATAGGGCTGAGCCAAAACAAGTTGTAATTAATCATAAATGCTATGAGCCGGAGGAAATTTGGAGCACGGTAAATTATGCCCGCCCTTTGATAGCCTATATTATTCGCACCTAGAAAATCAGATAACATGCAAACCGGCAATCTTGATAGATTATCAGACATGCATCAGCACAAACTCACCCACATCCGGGCTTTTAAAAAAAATAGACAACCAGACCCACTTCTAGGGAAAAAGTGGGCAGTCTGAAAACTCAAGCCATGCAAAAGATATGTTAGATGATGTAAAAAGTGACAGATAACAACATGAAAAGGGGTTTCATCCAGTACTAGTTATATTCAGAGGAGACCCATTGAAGTTAATTCAGATGTCTTAGGTTCATTCATGTCCATCTGCCCTGAGCAGAATTTAGTTGGAAAGAACTCAAATAAATTAAGTAGATTAGGCTCCCCTATAATTCCAGACTCTGATCAAGCAGACCCATTTCTTCCTCTGCCACTCCCCACTACTCTGCACAGAGTATTCATCAATGTTTCTGAAAGGAAGGAATAATTCTAAAACACGAAGACCCTATTCCTGACAAGTCATATGAAGTTATCAGTGATTCCATAAATATCCCTGACGACATTCTTAGCAGGGAACTGATTGGAGCAGTTGCATGAAACATTTGTGCCTGAAGGTATCATCACAGCACAAAATCATTGAATTTTAGCTTCAAAAACAGATAAATCCTCTATCTAGGTTACAGATAGATGATCTGTTAATTTGAGTTTTCTGAGTTTCTCATCTTAAATTCAGTTCTCCATATTTCTGCGGCAATTTGTCATTTTAAAATGTCATGAAAATTTGTCAGCGTTTTAGTATCAGTTTCTTTTCTTTACACATTAATTAATTAAATTTATTTTTATTATTACTTAATAATTAAATTTATTAGTCACTTGTTTTGCCACAGCAACTCCAAGTGACTTACAATATTATAAGCAAAAAAACACATACTGTACATTGAAACCAGCATCAAAAAACTGTAAGCAGTTTTAAATAATATACACATTTTTGCAAGCAATTTCCCAATATATAATGCAATTTTGTTTGTTCTTTTCATTAATATATTCATTTTTATTTTGGTTAGAAAATTGTACCACCAAGTTCAGATAACAGCGAATTCCAAAGGATACCTGGTGCTGCGGTTTGCACATTTTTTCAGAAAGTACAAATTTGGTTAGTTCACCTTTAAATGTGGACTGAATCAGATTTCTTCTCCATGCCGCATCTAGATGTAGGACTGCACTGAGAGTCAGACACATACAAACCTCAAAGAGCTACTTGGGAAGAATGCTTAACCCAGGGGTAGGCAACCTATGGCTCAGGGGCCTGATGTGGCCCAATTACCTTCTTAATCTGGCGTGCAGATGGTCTGGGAATCAGCGTGTTTTTACATGAGTAGAATGTCTCCTTTTATTTTAAATGAATCTCCGGGTTATTTGTGGGGCCTGCCTGGTGTTTTTACATGAGTAGAACGTGCGATTTTATTTAAAATGCATCTCTGGGTTATTTGTGGGGCATAGGAATTCGTTCATATTCCCCCCCCCAAAAAAAATATAGTCCGGCCCACCACATGGTCTGAGGGATGGTGGACTGGCCCACGGCTGAAAAAGGTTGCTGACCCCTGGCTTAGCCAAAAGCCACCTGTTTCTAAGAACCACCCTCCCCTAAAGCGGTTTCTCTTTAAAAACAAACAACTTTACAATCTAAATCCATTTTACCTTTACAAACCAACCATCCATTCAACAAAAACTCAGTGGTGAAGAACCACTGCCAGTCAGTACAGACAGTGCTGAGCAAATGGACCACTGGTCCGACTCAGTACAAGACAGCTTCCTATATGTCCCTAGTGTTTGACTGAATAGATGTCTCTGGTAGGAGAAAAAGAAGAAAGGCAGTTTTTGTCTATCTCCCCCCCCCTTTATATAGTCCCCAGTGCCCTCTGAAAATTGGTCTCAGAGGGTTGGGTGACCTTCCAGAATACGGTGGAAGGTGGCATTGGGCCTCAAGGGGGAAGAACAAATCATCATCATCAACAACAAAAATGTTCCCCTTTTTCATTAGCAGACGAATCTGCCAGATCAAAAGTCCATTTGTGAGCACAAGCTCACTGGATTCCAACAAACAGCAGCAACTGGATTCCACTCATAGGGAACAGCATGCCAGGACAGTATGAGGAGGACACTCAGGGGCTAGCAGCAGATGACATGAGAGGAAGCAATGACTATGCTGAAAGGAAGGCTAGGGGATAGCATTAATTCCAGGCATATTCATTGCCTGCTGACTTGCTTTGCTGGATCAGATTAAGGTCAACCTACTCCAGTACTCTGCTTCCAATAGCAGCTAACCAAACACCTATGGAAGCTCACACAGAAGAAGCATGAAGCTGATGTCATTGTCTGTTTAGAACCAGGTTGTCTCCAGCCACTGGTACAGAGCAGAAGCTACACCATCTTTGAACATGAAGGCTCCATTTAGTGAACATAACTATCAACCATTGACAGGACTTGACCTCCATGAATTTGTTTTGTCCTGAAGTTGCTTTTTGAAGCCATTCAAGCTAAGGGCCAACATGATGTTTTGTGGCAACGAATTATGCAAGTTAATTATGCTTCATACCATCTGTTTTGTAGCACTTCCTTGTGTTTTAAACACCAGGTGATTACTTGCTTCCATGTGTGAATCAGCCACCCTGAAATTTCAGTGAAGACAGATCATGCAGTGGAAGACAGGAGTGCCTGGCGTGCTCTGGTCCATGGGGTCACGAAGAGTCGGACACGACTAAACGACTAAACAACAACAACAACAAAAATTGATTGAACATACATATTGGAGCCTTATATTTCTTTCTCTTTGTATGTCTGCAGATGAAGGTGCAACCAAGAGGCATTTTTACTGAAGTAAATAATGATAAATATATGAATCAGTTCAAAGAAAACTTCAAAAGGAAAGAGGGTAGGTTAGATGCGAAACCTGTTAAGGAGAAAGGTTTAATGCAGAGATGGGGAACCTGTGGCCCTCCAGATGTTGTTGAATTCCTGTTTCCATTAGATCCAGACAGCACCATCAGTGGTCAAGGATGCTGGGCGCTGTGGTTCAACATCTGAAGGACCACAGGCTCCCTGTCCCTGATTTAAGAAGAGAATTGACAGGGTCATAACATTTGAAGGAAAACATGGTTTTAGCCAATGCATTTACAAGCGACTAGAGGAAGATACAGGAGGAAGAAGGCCCACAGCACTGTATCGTGTTTCAGGTTATCAGAAGCAGTGTTTAAAAACAATGAAAAACATTGGTCTAGGGGAGAGACTACCAGAAGGATGTGCAGTCTTTAGCAGGAGATTCAGAAAGGAAAGAGTAGATCTTGAAAAGGAAGACATGATGTGATTGTTGTGACTGCACGTGAGAGATATGCAAATGGAAGAAAGGAGTCAAGAGTTGACCTCAGGCTTGTGATGCTATTGCATGAGAAAAAATTATTTCCCTCCACTACTTTAATGCAGAATGATGAGGCCAATTACACCAATTTGTGGATCATAGAAGTCTCAGATTCTAGGAAGGGACCTAGTCTCTCCTAGTTAGACACTTCCTTCATACTCATGCTTTGTTTCCTCAAGACAAGTTTAGCTAGTTCTGGGGCAGTTCTAGCCAGAAAATCTGAGTCAGCTATTATCCACGTGACACATTATGCGGACAGTGATCTTGTTTTAAACACAGAGTTAGGACACTCATTGCTCACTGCAAGCCCAATAAACAAGCAGATTCCCAAGGGGTCATTAAGGCCCCACCCTTAATAACCCCACCATTCTCTTCTGGAAGGATGTTATCTTCTGGTTTTCAATAAGCATCCTTCACATATTACTGTTTTTATGTGTAGAAGTAACAAAAACAATCTGTTTCAAAGACAAGGGTCTCTGAATTCAGAGCTCAAACCCCCACTAAGGGCTCATGGAGTCAGGATCCAAGTCCCAAATCTCCATGCTCCAACTGCAAGCGAGTGGAGGAGATTAACGAATTGCGAGCCAGCTCTAATTAAACCAGGAATTAATTCCAGAATGCGCTGATTAACCTAGGATACTGACTCATACAAGGGACTTCATTCTAGGCTGCACACGTTGCATGAACTTCCTCCAGGTGACCATTCTGTGTGTTTCCTATGTTCACTAGCAACCAGTAAACATAACAGGCACATTTATTTCTTGCAGAAATGAACTGCAAGGCAGGAATTCAGAGTCAGACTGGGAATGCCAAATCGTAAAATTGAAACATAGCTCAAAGAGGGCCTGAGTCAACGGCGCAAGGGTGGGCGGGGAAAGAAAGAGAAATTGGCTAATTTTATGTATCCTTTGCTTTTTGAGCTGCTATGGGAGTACCAGACTTTTGTGTGAAGGAAATTCGTCCTCTGATTTTTAGAAGACACTTGAAGGGGCAAACATGCTCTGCAGAATGGACTGAGACACTTTGCGCTGCAGAGTGGCTGCCATATATAAAAGTCCCTGCAAATCTGTGCACATAAAGAAAGAAATGTAGTAGCCTTTGCCTGCTGTGCTAGTTTTTGACCTACAGGGAGGAATGTGAGGGAGCATTTATATAAACCTGCTAATAGTGGAGGCTGGCTTATGGGGCACGGCCACACTAACCACAGTCTGCCCCCAGCCAGCGCCCCCATGCCTGCCTTACTACTTACAACCAGCCCAGGGAGTGGCACTGCCGGTCAGTTCCTTTGTCTCAGTGTGGTCCCTTGTAGGATTCAGCAGCAGGGAGGATGAGGACAAACCTAGAATGAGTTGGCCCTTTCTGTAATTGGCTCTTGCTCCACCTACAGCTGATCCCCATCTTACACCCTACCAGTCCCTAGGGGCAGTAGCCGTCACTGCACTGCAATGCCAGGGTGAGACTGACTACCACCTGGGTGTGTGTGGCAAATCCAGAATGTGCTCGGTCGCAAAAGGGAAAGGTGCTGAGGTGCAGAAAAGTACAACGCAGGGCATTCCAACAAGCAAGGCTGTTTGCCAGCACAGCAATGCCAGGGTCCACTTGGCAGCCCTGCTCCTTTGTCACCCTAACATATACAGTGGGCTTTGGGTGTAATGATGGGGAGAAGTTCCCTCCATTTGTGAAATTCCCTTTCTTCTCCCTAGAGAGGCTCAAGCAGTGTCCACATTAATAGCTGTCCAGTGCCAGGCGAAGTCCTTTCTTTTCTTCTAGGGATTGTAAAGTTGTTATAGTATCATTTCCACACCTTGTATTGATATCCATTATGTGAGTCTCGGCTGTTACCCTGATTAATTTATTTTGCCCTGTGCAGTGTGTTAACCCTCTGTCATTTTGATTAGTTCACCTCCATCATTTTAGTGTTGTGCTATGATTTTTAGGTTTGATTAAGTCAGTGGTTCTCAAAGGATGTGGTGCGCCACACTGGTGTGGCAGGAGAGGATGGCAAGTGTCGTAGGAAGATTCAAGGGCAATCAAAGAAACATTTACACATTTCAGTGAAGTATAGTACTGAATCAAAATAATATTTTTTTATTTGCTGAATATGGATAAATATCTTCTCAAAATGGGAGCAAGTGATATTGATGATAATCCTAGTTGTGTTTCCCACTGTATTTCTTTCTTTTTTATTATATATATATTTTATTGATTTTAAAGATTTTATCACAATACAAAAAAACCCACCACCCATCGGTTAGCAAAAATATATTATGTAGAAATAAATTTTTTTTACAAAAATAAATAAATATTGCATACAAATAAAATACAGTTCTTCCATACTTTCAGACTTCCGTCTCTCTCAGCATGGGTCCTTCATTTCCTCATTAACTGCATTATATTATAACAATTAATATAGATTGTCTATATTCTTTATAACATATTATATTGCAGAATGTATATTGTCCCAATGTATTTCTTATCAGTAAAAAAACTGATGTGGCGCAAAGTAAATTTTTATTCTGAAAGTATGGCCCAGATAAAAAAGTTTGAGAACTTCTGGATTAAGTTTGTTTTAAAACAATAAATGCTGTTATTTAAATAAAGTGCACCACCCAGAGAACTCTGGTTATGGGGTGACTCAGAAGCACCGCAAATAAATAAATTGAGGCACTGAACAAGACAAGCTGCAAATGTCCCCTGAGAATTTAGAATTATTTTGAGTCCATAGACATAACACCAATGCAAGCTAAGAACCACCTAAGTCAGCTCTGTTTAAGAATAGAACACTTTCCACCTTTCCCTGGGAAGGTGCAATCGTACCCAAAGCCAATAGGAATTTCTGCCAGTCAGAGAGCACCCCACTTGACTTACTCTATTTTCTTCTCTCTTTCCAGCTGGAGAAATAGTGCAAAGTGTATTCTCAGGACAGTGGGACATAAGACAACAGCGCAAAGTTCCAGAAATCCCCAAACAAATGAAAGATATGCAGAGCACAGAAGGTGCAGGGGCACAACCACAACAACACAAATTCCAAGAAATTCCTCTCCAAAGTGATGCAGGACAAGCAGGGAGCTCTGGATCTTCAGGACAACAAGGGTCTTCAGGGCAAGCAGGGAGCTCTGGTTCTTCAGGACAACAACGAGGCTTTTCCGGACAAGCAGGGAGCTCTGGTTCTTCAGGACAACAACGAGGCTTTTCCGGACAAGCAGGGAGCTCTGGCTCTTCAGGACAACAATGGGGCTTTCCAGGACAATCAAAGAGCTCTGGTTCTTCAGGTCAACCAGGGAGCTCTGGCTCTTCAGGACAACAACGAGGCTCTTTGGGGCAAGCAGGGAGCTCTGGCTATTCAGGGCAAGCAGGGAGCTCTGGCTCTTCAGGACAACAACGAGGCTCTTTGGGGCAAGCAGGGAGCTCTGGCTCTTCAGGGCAAGCAGGGAGCTCTGGCTCTTCAGGACAACAACGAGGCTCTTTGGGGCAAACAGGGAGCTCTGGCTCTTCAGGGCAAGCAGGGAGCTCTGGCTCTTCAGGACAAGCAGGGAGCTCTGGCTCTTCAGGACGAGGCTCTTCAGGACAAGCAGGGAGCTCTGGCTCTTCAGGACGAGGCTCTTCAGGACAAGCAGGGAGCTCTTCAGGACAACAACAAAAAATCCAGGACCTTCCTAGTCCAAGCCAAGACAACAAGGGCGGTGAATTATCTAGGTAAGGAATGGGCACTGAGAGGACAAGTTAGAAAGGATCTCTTGTGTTTACTGGACCCTATTTTCTGTACAGTTCAGGTATGTGTACAGTACATAGTCACAAATTCAGAGTCTGAAGAGGATACACAAATAAGTCACACTGCACCTGGATTCTGTGCATATTTACCTTACGTACCCCAAAATTGCTTTTTTTAGGAAAACCCAAAAGTTGGAAGATCCGGATGTATAGCAGCCCTACCTTACAGTCAGATGATTCAGTGGGGCTCCAGGAAAAGGTGCTTAGCATTGCATCCCACAAGGGGGTTGGAAAGAGGGAGAGAGAGCCAAGTATGGATTGGGACTCAGTTAATATAACCACTTCTCCCAAAAGAGACTCTGTACCTTTAACTGTGATAAAAGAGGCATCATTATCATCACCAACGAAAGCAACTTCCTCCTTTTACTGCTACAGTTAGGCACTCACTAGAATAGTCCTGTTAGCATCACTTTCTCACACCCTTATTTTCCCATCTGTAAAAATTAGAACAATAACAACTAAGTTCATAGTTCAGTTGTGAGGATAAGCAGGATAACAATTGTAGAAGAACTTTGCATTTTAAAGTTGTCATTGTTCGTGTGAACTTGTCCCACTCAACTCAGTGGAAAACTGCTTTAAAATATATATTTTACAGCACCTAAATGCATGCTAAGTAATTATGCATAAAACAGCGTTATATGCAGAGCTACTCATAGGGAACCATACCATGAAATACACAATCTAGACTAGACCCTAAAATAGAACTTGCCTCCCTGGAAATCTCAACATTTCTTAAGGTAGGTTTTTGATCCTTGCAGCTTGGGAAAACATTTGAAAATTGGTGATTAATGCCCATGAAAGATTCAGACTGCATATGTACATTTGAAATACATGGCCCATGAAAAAAAATAATCCTGGGAACTGAAGTTTAAGCTTCACAGAGCTACAATTCCCTGCTTCCTTCACAAACTACAGTTCCTAAGATTATTGGGGTGAGTGTGTGCCTCATAGTTCATTTAAAAAAGAAAACAAAAAGGTGGACTTTGAGAACTACATTCCCTATGCCTTGCTGAGTTCCCTTCTCTCCATCTTTCTCACCGGCTGCCCTAGCCAACATTTTCCTTCTTTTTGTGTCCTGCACCATCTAAATCTATGCCAAAATATTTCTAATGGATTTGTGTGTTTGATACTATGGAATACTACTGTAAGGGTACAGAATGCAAGCTTACCCATTCATTTTCACAAAAAAACATTGAGTTTTTGGTGACGTCTACATGCTGAGTTTTGCATTTTATTCACGTGCTTTGAGAAATGGGGTTGCATCCAACTGCATTTTGCTCAGAATAGGCCCATTGAAATTAATGGACCTAAGTTAGTCATGGTTATTAATTTCAATGGGTCACACAACCCATGATTGCTCCACCACAATACAGGTCATTTGGGCATGTATATAACTTGTTTGCAACGTATGCAATTTTTACATAGTTGCCTGTCATTTTCTATCCATGCCCAGTGCTCCAATTCTATACAAGAAGCATAATAGGTTGCTGCCTTCCTATTATAAGTGAACCAACAACAGGACTGTAGGAGTCACTACAAAGGTTGGCATAGCAAAGAAGCCATACTGTTTATCTACCCAGGCCCATTTTCTAGTTGTTTCAGTCAGTTTCCACAACCACCCCGTTGTTGTTGCTGTTGTTGTTGTTGTTGTTGTTAACTGAATTTCTATACCACCCTTCATCTGAGGATCACAGGGCAGTTTACAATATAAAAACACAAAAATACATAATGTAATATTGGGTTGCCATGGCATGGGTGTTTTGTTGAGACTTCTTCCAATGCAATTTGTTCTTCTCCACAACCATCATGAAAAACCTATTCAGATGAATTGATTCAGAGTGGACTCATTGAAATGAATGAACATAACTCTTAGGTCCCTTCATTTCTACTCTATGTAAAACTCAGCTGAATACCACGTGAAAGGTTTATGCAATCAAAGGTTTGCAATGGGGGCATGTCCTGCAGTTTGCTCAATAATTGCACTGCATTTGCCTTACCTGGGTCAGCTAGTTCCTCTATGTGTCAGTCAGCTGATCTGCTGAGAAACACACAATTTGTGTCAACCAGGGCATGATTTCCTTTGAGCATGGACACAGCCCTGGAATACACGCAATCATGATAAAACTCGTGAGCACCTGCAGCTGGAAACAGGTACAAAGGTTTTTTTTAACCCTCTGTACTGAGTATCAGGGAAGGGTTTCCAAGGGAGACAGTGTGATCTCAAGCCTTGTTTAAATTTGAAACAAAAGCTGCTTCAGTCCACAGAGAGATTATAGTGTGTGTTTGGTCAAAGGACTTAAAAGAAAGAAAGAACAGGCAGATCAAGACTGCTAGCTCAGCTGCCCATGCCTGGAAGCGTGAAGCCAGCTGCAAATCAGGCACAATGTAAGCGGACTGGCAAAACTGGTTTATGGATAAGCACTAAGAAAGTCACCACGCGGGTGGCGCGGTGGGTTAAACCACAGAGCCTAGGACTTGCCGATCAGAAGGTCGGCGGTTCAAATCCCCGCGACGGGGTGAGCTCCCGTTGCTCAGTCCCTGCTCCTGCCAACCTAGCAGTTCGAAAGCACGTTAAAAGTAGTTTGATTACAATGATGAACCTGAGCCAGGAATCTAAAGCAAGTATTGTTCTCGAACCACAACAACTCGTCCTGCTCTCCAGTGTTTAAGGAATTAAAGTTCAATGAGATTCCTACACCAAAAAAATCCCAAGAATCCCCAGTAATCCTACCTCCTCATTTCCTGCCTTGCACAACTGCCCTGAAAAAAATTTCTAGGGTAATCAGAGGGGAAAGCTTGGGTGGAGGTTTCCCTCATTCCTCTTTCACTTCTCCACCAACCTTTTTTGGGTTCAAACTGGCAGTCTTCCTGTCAGCAAAAGCTGTCCAATCAGCTGCTGGGAAGCTGAGACAAGGGCAATGCTACTCACCATGACAGGACCGCATCCATGCAACCTGTACGCAGCAGCAAGGTTGTTGCAGCAGCAAGTGCCAGGCCAGGTCTCAGGGTGGAGCCTATTCAATGGGAAAAGTTGGAGATGGAAATAGCTCAGGAAACAGGATTAGGTTTTTGGAGGTTTGGGTTAGGTTTTTGGAGGTTGGTCAACATCTGTTATTCACAGGTTATGATACTCCTCTCCAGAAGTAAGACCGATCCTGGATCACAGGGTGCTAAATTTTTTGCTTTGCTTTATCCTGCAGAAAGCTACAGTTCACAGCACCCTTAACAAACTAGGATTCATGGGATGTGTATGTGCTTTAAATGTATGGGGCGTGCCTTCTCATGCCTGCTTCTTCTCTAGTCTTCTGTTCTCCCTTCTAGTCCTTCCACACCGTCTTGTGGCACCTACATCTCCTTTCTTACAGAATCATAAAATCACAGAATTGTAGAGTTGGGAGGCTTCCTGAGGGTTATCTAGTGCAACCCACTGCAATGCAGGCATCTCTCCCCCGCCCCAATTTTTTTTTATTGGTTTTCTCTTATAACACACATTACACTTAAGGAAAACATTACACTTAACACAACATAAAAACTTAACAGCAACAAAAACACAAAAAATAAAAGAAGAATTTTTTCTTATTGTTCCCAGGTATATTTACATTGCTAATAGACTTTCTCGAAACCCTCCAATCTGAATTTAATCACATCTCATATTTAGCAGTTCCCAAATTCATATTTATAACATCAATATCTTCTTTCATTACAAACTCTTATCCTTACTTCCAATTATAATCCATAATAGTCATCATTATTAATCTTTTTCTATCCCTTAGCCTAATCTGTTACTTCTAGGAATTTCTTAATTATCTTATATTGCAATATCTCGCTAAATATTATTTAAATTTCTTCCAATCTTCTTGTGTTTCCTCCTCTTTCTGGTTGCGAATTCTTCCAGTCAGGTCAGCCAGCTTCGAGCAGTGCAGGCATCTCAGCACACGGTCTCCCATCCAGTTTGAAACCATACTGTACCCTGCTTAGCTTTGCAAATGTGCTAGCATTTTTATTACTGAGCCACTACAGTTGGAATTTGTCTAATCAGACAAGAAGGGAGTGGGTGCAGGCAGTGAAGGTGGACCATTTGATGAACAAATCCAGCATGGAAAATTCAGCTCAACCGATGGGCATCATGGTGTGCCTGTTGCGGTATTGTAGTGGATGTGGGCACCCCATCGATGACCCTCCACAGTAGTTGAGGACATGCTGTAGACAGATTCCTTTACTTCTTGTTGCAGTGGGTGGCATTCAATGCTAGTCCTACACAGAGTAGACCCACTGAAGTGAACAAACATTCATTCATTTCAGTGGCTCTGCTCTGGACTTAGCCCAATACAATCCAGTGCAGCCCAAAGTTATTTTGACTTTGAACAGATGAGGCAAGTATTGCTAATGTGCAGTCTGTCCAGTGAGCAGCCAGTTCTTAGTGGGGCTCCGTTGATTCTCTGAATGTCACCGTTATCAGCTGAGTTTGTGAGGTAAATGTGGTGGTAGCTCCTAAATACCAGACCCTATTGTGTGTGTGGAATATGCATACCAGCCCCAACGTGACCCACACCCCACTCCAGAGCATGAAGGAGAAACATTTCATTGACCCTTTCCTGAAGCACAATAGGGTTTCGTGCATCTACATTAATAGAATGAGAAGCTGTTAAGCAGGAGATGATTCTCCCCAGGTAGGCACACAATAATAAACAAGGAAAGCAGACACCCATCAAGGATGATACAATTCTGGGGCATCCTGATTTAGGTGATGGTGTTTTCATAAATGATCCATGACATGGGGGTCTTGCAGCCGCTCTTCAATCGGCTTTGGGTCCATACAATGAAAAGTGATATACACAAGCCTCAAATAAGTAAAATAAATAAATGAGAGCACCTGCTTTCTCTCCAGAATGAACCCCTATGCTGGCCTTGTGGACTGCCTGCGTGCCACCTGGCTGACGGGAAAGACACGTCCCATGGAGTATCGGCAAGGGCAGCTGGAGGCCCTGAATCGCTTCCTGGAGGAGAGGAGGTCAGATCTCCTGCATGCTCTGAATCAAGACATGCGAAGGGTGAGTGTGGTCATCCAGATCAGAGGAACCACAAGGGTTACGGCATGGTGTGGCTCTTCAGCCCAGAATGGACTCTGCTAATGTATTTTCTTTCTTGCGTCCTCTGTACAGCCCCATTTCGAAGGGGAGGTCGCTGAGGTTGCCTTCACAAGGAGTGAGGTGAACAATGCCCTTAACAACCTGAGCTGCTGGATGAAGGATGAGAACGTGAGCAAGAACTTGGTAAGGAGGCTGAGTTGAGAAAAGAGGAAAGATGACCTTGTGTGTTAAATGGGGAGAAAAGTCTAGGAGCTGTGCTCATTAAACTGGGGGTGGATCTTGTATCTGTGCAGTGCCCTTTCAAAACTGTTATATGGATGTTCTGTTCGAAGGAGTCATTTAACTCATTCACTGTTATTACTGTACTGTATCTATCTATCTATTTGTATGTAAGGTCTCAAACTGGGGCCTCCAGCAGCTAGTCTCCTAGTGCTTTAGTTCCTGTGCCAGCAGCACTCAAATTCCCACGGGTTTAGTAAGATCACATAAGTGCCCCATTTTAGCTATGTTGACTGAATGCATTTTCGCACTAAAGATCAGCAATGGTTGAAATGCACATTCAGGCTTTCATTTCTACAACTTGCTTCACTCTTCTTCACTCTGCTCCACTTGCTTCATGGATTTTTGTGTGTGCCTTCACTTCCCTATAGGCCACCAAGCTTGACTGTGCCTTCATCCGCAAGGACCCATACGGCGTAGTCGTCATCATTGCACCCTATAACTACCCCATCCATCTTCTCTTGGTGCCTCTTGTGGGAGCCATCGCAGCTGGTGAGTGAAAAACCATCAGAGGTCCTCCATCTAGTGCTTCACAACATCTCCCTTCTTTCACTGGTCTCTTTACAGCAGCAGCGACTGCTGCTCCTTGTTTCCAGGCATGCTGTAGTCTTTCTGTCTCCTGTCGTTATGGTAATGTGTCCCTTCTCTCCCACCAGGGAACTGCGTGATTGTCAAACCCGCAGAGCTAGCCCGCCACACTGAAAGGCTTCTTGCCGAAGCGCTGCCTTGTTATCTTGACCCGGTGAGTTCCTTGGTTCTTTCTTGTTTTCTCAGAGCACAACTGATGCCAACTTACTGGACGCGCCTTCTTCCTGCTCCTGAGCATTACAGTTGTCTTCCTTCCCCGGTGTGATGGGTATTGTCAAGTGGTGGCGCAGGGGCCACCACTGAACTATCTCTCAGGAGGGTGGTGGTGGTAGTGGTTAACTGAATTGCATAAGAGGAGCTGTGCTGGATCTAGTCCACAGTAGCCAACCTGATCGCTATGGGAGGTCTGCCAGGGAGGAATGAGCACACCATCACTTTCCTGCCGTTGTTCTGCAGCAACTGGTATTCAGAGGCTCACTATCACTGATCTTGGGGAGCTGCACTCTTCATAACAATAGCCACTGGTAGCCTTATCCTGCATGAATTTCACTAATGTGAACCTTCTCTTATTTTACAGGAAACCTTTGCTGTAGTGACAGGTGGCTCTGAAGAGGTAACCAAACTCCTGGAGAACCAGTTTGATTACATCTTTTTCACAGGTGATCTCTCTTTTTTTATTTAAAAAAACCACCTCCATTTTTATTACCATCACCCTTTATATAGTGCTTATAAAATTAAAGCATCCTCATAAGCCACATCCCAACAGAATGTCAGATTTCCACTTTTTTAAAAAAGCAAACCTTGATCTTGGAACGGCAGTAAATTATGAAAAATTAAACATGGGCTATGTTATTTCCAGAATTCATTTTTACACAGATTCTTTCTTTAAGCACATGATTTGGGGTTATCTTGGTGCAGAATGTGAGGTGGGAGTTTGCGGAGTAGTGTATCTCTCTCGTGACTCCACTAAATCTTGCCATCCCTCTGCAGGGAGTCCCCGCGTGGGAAAGATTATCATGACTGCAGCAGCCAAACACCTGACCCCATTGACTCTGGAGCTGGGGGGCAAAAACCCCTGCTACGTGGATAAATGCTGCAATTTCCAGAACGCGGCCAACCGAATTGTCTGGGGGAAGTTCTTCAACGCTGGCCAGACTTGCATTGCACCAGACTATGTGATCTGCACCATTGAAACGCAGGAGAGGCTGATGCCTTGCCTGCGCCAAGCTATCCGTGAATTCTACGGTGAATGCCCCCAGGATTCGCCTGACTTTGGCCGTCTGATCGACGATAAGCACTTCCGGCGCCTTCGAGCATTCCTGGAATGTGGCCGAGTGGCCATTGGTGGAGAGTCTGATGAGTGTGACCGTTACATTGGTGAGCAAGTGACCTGCTGACAGGGAGCCTGGGGTGGGGAAAAGACCGGAAGACCCTCTTTGATACCCCCCCCTTTTTATTTTTGACATTTATATCCTGCCCTTTCTCCCTAAGGAGCCCTTGGCAGTAAACAATGTAACAAAACAGAATTAAAATATATTAAAAACATTTAACAACACAAGAGGAGCCCTGGTGGATCAGGCCAAAGGCCCATCTAGTCCAGCATCTTGTTCTCACAGTAGCCAATCAGATGCCTAGGGGAAGCCCACAAGCAGGTCCTGAGCACAAGAGCACTCGACCCACTTGCGCTCCCTAGTAACTGGCATTCAGAGGCATATTGTGGGCTTGTGCACTGGGAAGTGCAGCCTTGGGTGAAACGAAGGCCATGGCTGAATTGGAAGGCATGGGAGCAATCTGAGAATATAATGTGTCTTGATGCAATCTTCTGCCTGCAGCCCCCACTGTACTGGCTGATGTGAAGGAGTGGGAGCCGATCATGCAAGAAGAGGTCTTTGGGCCCATCCTGCCCATTTTCACTGTGGGAGACTTGGACGAGGCCATCCACTACATCAATAGAAAGCAACGCCCACTGGTTGCCTATGCCTTCTCCTGCGACTGCAAGGTATGCTTTAGGGGTAAAGGTAAAGGTAAAGGGACCCCTGACCATTAGGTCCAGTCGTGGCCGACTCTGGGGTGGCGGCGCTCATCTCGCTTTATTGGCCGGGTCATGTGGCCAGCATGCCTAAGCTGCTTCTGGCGAACCAGAGCAACGCACGGAAATGCTGTTTACCTTCCCGCCGGAGCAGGACCTATTTATCTATTTGCACTTTGACGTGCTTTCGAACTGCTAGGTTGGCAGGAGCAGGGACCGAGCAACGGGAGCTCACCCTGTCGCGGGGATTCAAACCACTGACCTTCTGATCAGCTTTAGGGTTAGAGCTCTCCTAATCCAGGAAGTTGGGGATGGTTACAGGAACGTGACCAACAGCCAGAGAAGTGTGGTGCTGCTTTCAAAATGTGCTTATGCTTGGCTGTATCAACATTGGTATAATGTCCACGGAGCAGCTCCCAGCAGCATATCTTTGCATGCTCACAGTGTTTAAACATTGCACCGGTGGCAAGGAGGCATGTTGGACCTCCAGATTCTTTGTAACATACAACAAATGTTTGTGTATATGGTAAATGCACAGCCCGATGCTTGTTTCTTAAGAAGTGAATTCCATGGAGGTAAAGAAGACTTAGCTACAGCATTATTAAGAAACATGTAGGGGCTTACTTCCATAGAGGGTTGCAGCCTTGTTTCCCAAGTAAGTATGCATAGGATTGTAGCCTGAGCAAGAAAGAACAATCTATATTTGTCCCGTGAAAATCTGTGACCACAGTGAATTCTGACAGCAGTGAATTTGCTCTGACCTACAGACATAGAACCTGAGGTTGTTTGTGGTTGTGATGGACAAGGATACAAACACATGCCCACTAAGCCTTTTTAAAAAATAAAATAAAAAATGTACTGAAGTATCTAGCTATACACAGAACAAGGACCATAAAGTGGTGCTACAAGTAATCTAGTGTGCAGCTGTTTGAAAAATAGTTTGCAGAGCAGTAGTTCAGAATTTGGTCTATGGCCAACTCTCTTCCTATTTATTCCCCAGTCCCTTAGCTTAACATTAAAAGGTGATCACCAAGTGACAGAAAGTAGAGCTGAGGATTTAGGGTTTTAAAAAACCAGCAAGTGTGCCATATCATTTCAGTTTTGTCCCTTCAGCAGTGAATAGTAATTTTGGAGCAAGAGGTTCATTTGCCAGACTGGCAGCCCAACTACCTTTGCAGTGAGTGAGGGAGTGTGGCTGAGACAAGCTAGAATGCCTTGCTGGTGTACTTGAAGTTATTAACATCTTTAATAGCTGTGGTGGCGGAGACTTTAATCATCAGGCTTCAAAGCAGCCCGTAAATACACCAGTTATTATATGTATCAGTGGCATAAATCACACACAGAGGCTTTTGGCTTCTGGACAAAAGACAGTGTGTTCTGTAAAACCGCCTTTCAAGATAAATCCTTCTTCCTAGCCAGAGTTGCTGGTAAACAGCAATTCCTGCACTCAAGTAGCATGAATATTGGGAGAGCTTTGGATGTGGGGAAGGTGACAGTGTTAGTGTCCGTGTACTTCCTTGGATAGTGGCTCAGACATTGCAGTATAGTTCCATTCCCCCACCTACTTGCGAGATTTTGAGCCCACTATTTCTTTTTTAAAGAGGAGGGAGTACCCAATGCTTTGTATATTTTAGTTTTAAAAGATCTCTGAAGGGTGTGCACCCTTTTGTCTGATGGTAGTGCAAGCTCTCTTTCTCTCTCTCTCTCACACTCACACACACACATACATACATACACACACTCTTTCAGAATGCAATGTCTTGTGCTAGCCAGTGAGAAGGTGAGTGGAAAGGTCCTAGACTGCATGAAAATTCTAGAAGCTAACTTTTGTGCAGCATGAATGAATAAAGAACAATAGCTCAATTTCAAAAATTTCATATGTCACATGAACAGTGGCAAAATGGCCATTCCAACACAATTCTACACATGCTCATGTGAAAGTTAGTTCCACTGAATTAAGTGGAGGCTTACTGTGCAATTCAAAGTGGGGAAATCTGCAAGGGGTCAGACACGCTCGTGATTTACCCCATGCAACGTCCACAACATCCAAACCCCTCCTAGCCAGCAGACCTAGTGGTCTGGATTGCTCTTTGCTGCTCAGGAAAATCTGTATAGCATTTCAGCTTGAATTTAATGTGCCACAAGACTCTTTGTTGTTTTTGTTCAAAATTTCAGTTCACATTTAAAATAAACCACCTTATTTAAGGGGGGGAAAACCCTTGAAATGTGATATATTGTATAAGTGAATTAAGATCCCTATACAGCGCATGGGAACAATCCATTGGGAGAAGTTCTTATACAAATGCCATTGAAATGAATGGAAACTGTGCCACAGTCCTAAGTGTCAATTCATGCCCCAGATGTGTATGTTTTTCATAGGCGCATATGAAGCTGCCTTAAACAGTCAGGTCACTGGCCCATCCAGCTCAGCATTGTCTCTACCTAGAGATGCCATCAAACCCACTGAGACTTTCTATATACAAATCAGCTCTGCCGCTGAGTTGAACCTCACCCTCCCAGCCCCAGTAAAGGGGCAGCGCTGCATTGGGGCAACACCATGTTTGTCAACAAGGATTTGCTGGGCAGTGAGCTGCGGCCGATCCCAGATCCCTTGTGACTTGGCTTGTATTAGACTCACAAAACCTCGTTTGCTGAATTCAGTTGGATGATGTATCTTCAAAATGTAACATGCGCTACTGTTTTCCTGTTTGGGGTGACTGGGCTGCCTCTGAAACGTAAGCTCCGGCCGAAACTGCTGCAAATGGCCAGCAGATGGTGCTAGTGCAGCAGACACCTATTACTTCATTTTGACATGTATTTGCACGCACGTTTTAGTTCTTCTGTAAACTTTCCCACTCATTGCCTCTGAGTTGTATGTAATTTTATTTTTAAGAATCCAGACTCTGAATGCAAGGGGTCCGTTTATTAACAGAGGACTGCAACTCCTGCAGTGCATCAGCTATGCGCACATGTCTTGCAGTTCCTTTAGATCAGGTGTCAGCAACCTTTTTCAGCCGTAGGCCGGTCCACTGTCCCTCAGACCATGTGGTGGGTGGGACTATATTTTGAAAAAAATAAATGAACGAATTCCTATGCCCCACAAATAACCCAGAGATGCATTTTAAATAAAAGCACACATTCTACTCATGTAAAAACACCAGGCAGGCCCCACAAATAACCCAGAGATGCATTTTAAATAAAAGGAAACATTCTACTCATGTAAAAACATGCTGATTCCCGGATCGTCCGCAGGCCGGATTGAGAAGGCAATTGGGCCGGATCCGGACCCCAGGTCTTAGGTTGCCTACCCCTGCTTTAGATTTAGCAAACTTCTAGGCAGTAGCCCCACAGCATTTGATATTGCATCCTTTAAAAGTCAGAGCACCTGCTATGATTGTCATAGAGACACTACTGAACACGATCTCCCCTGGATAGCTCAGTTGGTTAGAGTGTGGTGTTAATAATACCAAGGTTGCAGGTTTGAGCCCCATATGGGACATTTGCATATGCCTGCATTGCAGTTCACAGATGATTTGCTAGACACTGCCATCAGTACAGAAACTTTTAGAAAGGACTAAGAGAACATGAATGGAAAAACCCTATTAAATGTATCGACTCACAAAAACAGACAGTACTCAGTGAGCACTACCTCATAGGGTAAGGGACTTTCCATTTGGGTTTTGAGATGCAAAATGTCAATAAACATCTATTATTGGAGCAAGTTTGATGATGCAGCTCTGAAGAAAATAAATGGTTGGAAGTGTCTCTAATTACAAAAGCTAATACCTATCAAACCCCAAACTTGAGGCTACCAGGGACAAGGCCCTTGATATTCTTCTGCTCTTTTTCTCCATAGGTTGTGAACCACGTATTGAATTGTACAAGCAGTGGCAACTTCTGTGGCAATGATACCATTATATACTCAACATTGGTCTCCTTACCATTTGGTGGCATAGGTATGAATAAGGCCTTTCTCCCCCATGTTGTCTCTTTTCCCTACCTCTGCACGTGCTTCTTCCCAATTTGATACTCCTTCCTTTCCCATGGGTGAAGGCCAAAGGCCTTGAAGGTTTCCATACTGCTCTTGGTGCATTTGTTGATTACACACACAAAATGCAAAATAGAAAAGGGAATTAGCTGCAAACATGCATCCCAGCGTGCCATTTAGAAGCTGTAGTCTGGGGATCTGCTGGCAGGAAGGGCTCTAGGCTTTGAACCCATCCTTTACCAAATTATAGCAATCCTTCTGGGTTAACTTTGTTGTTGTGGGGCTGGAAGAATCACTGTTCAATTCAGGCCAGGTCCCAGTACCTCTAGTTCCAGAAGTAGTAGTTGCTTCATATTCATAGGTACTATTTGTATACATACACATTACACTTTTGCAGCATATACACCAAGATAACCTGTGTCTCCACAGGAATACGGCAGCTAATTTTTGTATTCAGATCTGCCAGAATGCAGCATCTCCTTCCCCTCCAGTATTCATATGGCAGGCTTAATCAAAGGAATGTGTTTCACATGTCCAGCACAATCCTGTGCATGTTTACTCATACATTAGCTCCATTGTGCTGAAGTCTTGCTCCCAGGCAAGAGTGCAGAGGCCTGCAGCTGAATTTCTTTACATTTTTTAAAAGCTGGTTATTATTTTTTATGTGCCACACCATGAATCATTTTCACTAGTGATAGTAAAGTGGGAAGTCTTGACGAACATCAGAACACAGTATCCAAGTATATACTGTTTGCAGGTAGAAACAGGTAATAAGAAACTAGATTATCTTTAGTCAATGATTTTAGGTTGTGATGCATTGCCAAGTGGGTTCAAAACCCTGAAAATGGCTTGAAGATAAACATCAAGGGCTGTGATAAGGGAACTGTTTCTGAGCACACCTGCTGCAATCTGCCTTGGAGAAATTGATGATAATAATAATAATAATAATAATAATAATAATAATAATAATTTTATTATTTATATCCCACCCATCTGGCTGGGCCATGCCCAGGCTGTTGGGCAAACACCAAGCTTTTGCCAGGGAGCAGGATCTGAACCGTATGCTTTCTTCTTCTGTTGCAGGATACAGTGGCTTAGGCAAGTACCATGGCAAGTTCAGCTTCGACACATTCACTCATCAACGTGGTACACTCTTGCGCTGCATGGGATTGGAGGCAATCAACACCGTTCGCTACCCTCCCTATACCGAAGGCAAATTACAATTGTTGCTCTCCCTTGTTGACATCAAGCGTAAAGGCATGTGCACCTTGCTGTGAACTCCATGAATCACATATGCCTTCTGGCCCCAGGAGCTGCTGGAAGAATTTAGCTGCTGGAGACAGAGAAGATTGTTTTATCCTCACCTCCCAATAAGGCACTTGCCTAAACTCTTACCTCCTGGAAAAGCCTTGCCCCATTATCCTGATTACTTGCTACATGCCCTCCCACCCCTCCCCTTTTTCTGCTCCCCAGTTTTGGTGGGTCCAATGCCTAGCTGGTGGTTATATTTTGATGTCATACAATGTATAGGACCACCTACTTCAGTTAACTAAGTACTTGCAAGGTTTTTGCAGTAGGTAAAATCAGAGTTTGATTTCCCTTTTAACAGAGTTTTATGAAGCTAATTACTGATTTAATGTCCATGATCACCAATTCCTTTGTAAAGACTGGTGAACACTGTACACTGGAATAGCTATCCTCACAAATATATCTGTATCTGTATGATTTCTTAAGGAGTGATATTTTCATGGGTGAAAGTAGAGGCCAATTAAACCAATTTAATTCCAAGAAGATCCAAAGTTAAATCCATGCAACTTCTTGTACAGCCAAATCTTCTTTTAGTTCTATACCCTCAATGCAGTCATGCACTATCCCTCAGATGCACCCCTTATAGTAACCACAATTCTTCTGATATCCGTTTCTGTACATTAGCCACATCCTTAACTCAGATTCCTCATCCCATCAATAACTTCTGCACTAAGCAATCCTAAGCATCTGTACTCAAAAGTTAATTCCTACCAAGTTCAATGGGGCTTGCTCGCTAGTAATTATGCTTATGAATGCAGCCTTATTAACACTGCTTGCATAACTGAACATTTTACAAGTAAATGTTTTATTTCTGTAATAAAGATCTTGCATCAAATCTAACCAGTTGTTCACTTGTATTATTCAAATGGTGCCATCAGTATACTTAGCATAGTAATTTCCTGCCCCAAGGAACAGAAAGGGACCAGTAGCAGTACTGAGTGAAGAAATCATAAATGGTTCCTAACAAGGAAATTTCCATCCAGAATGTCTGCTTATCCATGTTATCAGGTTTCTTCATCAATCATAATGAATTTTTTTAATGAATGTCATTCTCTGCATGTTCTCAGATTCCAAGTTTTCTCCACCTTTTCTCCACTCCACATTGTAAATTGTAATCAACTGTTATGAGGGCAGGTTGTATTTCCATGCAGCTTTTGAAACCCTTCCTCTTCACTCAGTTGGCTGAAAGACTGAGCCCTCAAAGTGGGTTGCACAGGAGGAAGCTGCCTATCACTCACTTGTAGTTATGATCACAGCTACACATATGTATATGTGTATTCATTCCTATTTGCAGTACATACAACTGGAAATCAGATATGTGCCTATTTTGTAATTAAATCTTTTTTTTAAAAAAAAGCTGCAATTATATATTATTATTATATCCCACCTTTTTCCCTGACAGGGACTCAGTGTGGCTTACAGCTAAAATAGGTGGGCATATAGCTGTTTTTTATGTGGTAATAAGGCCCACAGTACCTATTTATATCAAAACAAAAGTTATTGGTATACTCTTGACACAGCTATCTCGCTAACTGGTTTGTATGGATATTTTGAAGAGGAGAAATGATCATACCAATATGAAATCATTCAACTTACCAAGGTACTCTGCAATTGACTTCAAGGCAATCTTATTGACAGAGAGGAACTTCAAAAGAGAATACGTTAAACCACTGAATTACGAGTAATCAGGAGGGACTGTGTTATTGTGGATAGGACTGGACAATGGATTTTTTATCATAGATGTTAACTAGCTTACCGACGTCAAGATGTTTTTCGTGAACATTCACTCGCAATAACATAATAGCCCCATACCTTCTACATCTCCTTTCGTTCTGACCTCACTTTACAATACCCCCAAGGATTCATGCACATGCTGCAACTCAGGATAGCATTTCAGGCATCCAATGGAGCAAACTAGTCCACTAAAGCTTATGCAATTTGTTAGTTTTCAAGGTGCCTCTGAGGATAACACGGAGGTGGCGGGGAAGAACTCGGAATGCTGCGCTGAGCTGGTTGGAGGGCGGGGGGTGGAGAAGAAATACAGTAATTAATGTAGCAAATAAATAGATAAGATTTTTAAATGTACGCTTCGATCCACTTCGCTTGCTAGTAAGTGTCTACGCTGCAGGGAGACCCGCAGCGGCACCACGCGAAGACGGAATTCCACGAACCTTCACCAAACCATCTCTGCCAATCCCTGCGGACTTTTAAAAAGCTCGCAGCCAATTACGTACTGTTATTGTCCGCGTCATCAACCCACCCTTTCCCCTCAAAACATTCCGCCCCTTCCTACCCTTCCTTCCAACCAACCAGCGAAGAGATCCCGCCTCTTCTCGGGGAGCTCCTAGCCAATGAACGTTCAGAAAAGCGGCGATTGGTCCCAGTTCTTACTCCCGCAAGCCACCGGCTTGGAGCGGAGCTGCGGTCTCTGTCGCGGGTGAGTTCCTTGGCGTCCTTCTTGACGCTCCGTGACGCCGGGCCGAACGCGCGCTTTCCCCCCTCCAGGCTCCTGGAAATTCTATCCGCGCGAAAGGAGGAAAGAGAGGGGCGGAGGGAGGGAACGGAGGCCGTAGCGGCGCCTGTCCGCCGGGGACCTTCACGGGGGCGCCAAAGGACATGGAGCTGCGCATGCGTGAGGCCGGCTGAGGTTGTGACGACGCATGCGCCTGGTGGGCCTTGAAGGAGCAGGCAGGGGGATGTGCGCATGCGGATTTATTCTGCTCCTATGGCTGAGGGGGAAGGCCGAATTGGCACCGCCCAGGAGGCGGGAGAACAGGAACCAAGGCCCCGCCCCCTGAGTTCCACATCGACCCCTGCGCCCCACGTTGCGCTTTCGGTAGCCTGAGTAAGTGTCAGCAGCGCCCTCCCCAGGGCTCATCGTCGTCTACGGCGGGAGGGCCGTGCTAGGCCCCGGGTGGGCAGGGGATTCCCTCCCGCTAAGGAGCAGGGGGCGCCTCGCAGGTGCGGCGCCCCTGGCTCTGGGATGCCTCTGCCCGGTCCTGTGTGGGCTGCTGACCGGGATTATTTTAACATTTAACTATAGCAGCCTGTGCACTCTGATAACTTCCCCACTGGGTTGCTGCAGTGTGTGCTTGGTGGGGCTTCCCTTGGAAGCTGTCCTGGTGACACAGTGTCACTGCAGCGAGCGGGGACCGTGTCACACCCATTCTGAAAGTGCTGGACTTGCTGCTGGTGAGCTATGGGACTCAGTTTGAGGTGTTGGTACAAGTGTACAAAGCTCTGAGTGCTTTAAGACTCATGGGTATGGCTCCCCCCCCCGCACCTGCCAACTGGGTTTTTGCAGTCTGCAGGGAGGCCAGACTTGTGGTGTCCTTGGGGAATATTGAGGCACCAATATTTTGCATTGCAGTTCTAATTTTGTTTTTAATGTTGCATTCTTATTAGCTGCACTGGGCTCTCATGAGAGAAATGGTGGGGTGTAGATAATAAAATAATATCTGAATGACTGCTGTCCTTTGTATTTTCAAAGGGAGAATAGTCATTGTTTTCCTGGCCAATAAGCCTTCAGTGCAACCTGAAATTTTCTTTGTACTTTTCCACAGTCTAACCCAGTCAACAGTTCAATCGTATGTGTGCGTACTCAGAAGTCTCACTGTGTTTGTAGGGATTATTTGCTAGTAAGTGAACATTGGCTTGTATAATAATCCTACATATTATGCTTAGAAGTAACAGCTGGTTTGTTCAATAGGGTTTACTTCCAAATAAGTATGTATAGAATTGTATGTCTGCATAATGCCACCGTCACTCCATATTAAGATTATGACAAATTGCATATGGGGACTTCTTCAACATGTCCAGAAATATATTTTTTATTGCCCTCCTTTAAAAAAACTTTTAACATCTGGTTTTTTGAGTCCTGGTGAACTTGGATCACTTGCAATTTTCCTGTGGAATATTTTAATTCATCATATGAAACACAACTGTTGACTGCTGGATTAACAAGATTAGGTAACGGATTTAACTGGATTTAACCAACTTGATTACTGCTACCTTTTTTTTTTACAAAAATGTTTTTGTTTTCCTTCCTTGTTCCCTTTGCAGAGGAGTCCTAGACTCAGGTTGAACATGCCTGTGTTGTGGATAATGCGCCAAGCTTCCCGAATAGGTAGGCTGCAACAAAAAAGTCATTCGAGTTCAAAGTTGGCATTTGATCAGAATCCAAGAAGGAATATTTGTTTATGTAGACCGTAAATCCATAGAAATAAAGTTGCAATGACTGATGCTGTCTAATATCCTTGAAGAAAAAACAAAGGGAAGTCTACCACGGGTGATGAAAGTAGACATCTTGTTGGATTTTGAACAACTTCTCTGACACCTCTTATGATAGTATATTTAACTGTTTTGAAGAAGTATTTTAGGAAAGTCCTCCAGTGTTCTCGCTGTCTCCTAGTTGGATTCTACAGTTGAAGAACCTGAAGGGAACAATACAAATTCTGTGCACACATTGTGGATGCCATTGTTCTTGTGCAAATCTTGAAGACTGTGTGGTTGGAACTTAATTGTTTGTAATACTTTCCTAACACGACCTTTATGGTCTACATAAACCCCAAGTGCTTGAGCCAATTTTGTAGCATTGGCCTGCTTAAAGGCACAACATAGGTTTTGAAGTGCTTCTGGTAGAATTCTCTGGAAAGGTAATTGCATAGTTTCATTGCAAAGTGTACATATAAATCGCAAGATTATGGACCTACACTGTAATAAAAGTGGCATATGAATCTGACTAAATAATGGTGCTGCGGTTCTTTGCTCTTTTGGGACTATGGGTCTAGTGTTTCTACTCTTATTTAGCATGTTGCCCAACTTTTCTGTTCTCTAGGGACTCCAGTATGCTTAAGTCTTACCCGACATCTCAGCAGCACAACCCCAAGAGCTTCCTACAGTAAGTACATAATGGTGTTCTCTCTGTCTGAACTACTTGAAAGGATCATTTGTCTCTAGAGGTTGGTCCTAGAGGCTCTTCTTGGGCGCATAGATATGAATTTTGATAATATCTGCATGTCCCCAAAAGTGACACCACACATGAACATTTGGGCATGAATGTTTCTCTTTGAAATCTTTGTTTTAATGAATATTAACATGGGAAATTCTTCGTAGGAATATATTACAATTAAATCTTCGGTGTTTTTGGATAGCAACAGCTTACACTTTTCTGTTTTGGCTGCAGAATATGTAAATCTAAGAGAGGAGCCGACAGACATGAAATCCATTACTGACAAGGCTGCACAGACCGTCCTGTGGACAGAACTTATCCGAGGTAAGAACCAGAATGATGGTTGGAATGGCTGAGCTGATAAAGAAGAGAAAATAGTTTTGTAACTTCGAGCAGTTTGTCCAAGTGGGCATGAAGGGGAAGACTCTAATATGCAGTCCTAGAATGGATTATCCAGAGAGCTGGCAACCTCCTCATATCCATGGTCTCCACAGCAGTTTTGTCCTGAACCATGACGAGGTATTATCATCTCATGCTGACCGTAACTACAGGCAACTCTCAATTTACACACATTCAGTTGGCGTGCTGTGTCTTTCCCCTAGGTTTTCCCAACATTATAGCTATATGGAAAAGTGGAAATAGTGCCCTACCAGGGCATTATTTGCCATTGAGCTAGGTAAAGGTAAAGGGACCCCTGACTGTTAGGTCCAGTCACGAACGACTCTGGGGTTGCAGCACTCATCTCACTTTACTGGCCAAGGGAGCCAGCGTACAGCTTCCGGGTCATGTGGCCGGCATGACTAAGCCGCTTCTGGTGAACCAGAGCAGCACACGGAAACAACATTTACCTTCCTGCCGGAACGGTACAGTGGTGCCCCGCAAGACAAATGCCTCGCAAGACGAAAAACTCGCTAGACGAAAGAGTTTTCCGTTTGTTGAGTCGTTCCGCAAGACGAATTTCCCTATGGGCTTGCTTTGCAAGACGAAACGTCTTGCGAGTTCTTGCGAGTTTGTTTCCTTTTTCTTAAAGCCACTAAGCCGTTAATAGCCGCTAAGCCGCTAATAGCCGTGCTTCGCAAGATGAAAAAACCGCAAGACGAAGAGACTCGCGGAACGGATTAATTTCGTCTTGCGAGGCACCACTGTACCTATTTATCTACTTGCACTTTGTACCTGGTGGTAATTGTGACTTGTTCTAGGTAAGCAGGCAAGCTGTAGCACTGCAACAATTGGAATATTAAATCTAGTTTAGTTCTAGGTAATTTATTTAGCAGTTAAATAACTGTCTTAAAATTTGTTTGAGCTCTGTTGTTGACATGCTCCCAAGTTTGAGGGTGAACTGTGTATTTAAATAAAACATCTGCTTTGTCCTTTCCCTCAGGCTTGGCTATGACCATGAGCTACCTCTTTAGGGAACCTGCCACCATCAACTATCCCTTTGAGAAGGGTCCCCTGAGTCCCCGCTTCCGTGGGGAGCATGCTTTACGCAGATATCCATCTGGAGAGGAGAGGTGCATTGCCTGTAAGCTTTGTGAGGCTGTTTGCCCTGCTCAGGTAAGGCCCTTGTTATCCGCTTTGCTTCCTTTCTGATGTGGCAGGTGACATTTGTAAGCCTATGGAAAGCTGCAAGCCATCTGGGAGATAAACTCTCACACAACCTGTATGGATTGGGTAATAGGGCCTATATATAGTCCTGTTCAGATTCTATTTGTGAGTAAATTCCATATCCGTGGGACCTACTTTCTTTATCTGAACTACGTGAATGTCCATTCTCTTCCATTTGCATGCAGCTGGTAGCAAGAAGTGAAATAGTTTGTCTACTTGGTGCTACAATGCTGGGATAAAAATGACAATGTATAGTAGATCACTTGCTTCTGCTACACATCCATGCGTGCACATACCCTTGCTGAGCTAGTGCTTGAAATAGGGTTTCCTTTTTGAGCAGGATGGTAGGCTCTTGTTGAACTACTGTGTTGACTGTGACATCCCTCTAAGCTTGGGTCCCTTCTCTTCCATGGCATCTTTGCAGTTCTGTTGAATCCCTGAGCCTGTTGATTGCAAATGAGGTTGCCTTCATTCCAGCAGGGATAAACTTGCTGTTGCTCCTCCTCTAGTTCAGCATGGGTTTTCAAGGCTTCTATAACTGGGGCTTGGGGAATGCCACATGCTAGTGAGTTACGTCTCTTTCTCCCTCACAGGCAATCACCATTGAGGCAGAGCCCCGTGCTGATGGCAGCCGCAGGACCACTCGCTATGACATTGACATGACCAAGTGCATCTACTGCGGATTCTGCCAAGAAGCTTGTCCAGTTGACGCCATTGTGGAGGTGAATGGGCTGGGTGTTTTCAGGCTAATGAAGAGGTGCTATTACATTTGCCCACTTTCAATTTGTGTCTAGAAGATGGAGCTACTCGGAGAGAGAGTATGCAGTATGGACATGTCTGTGTATACATGTAATTTTTATTTGACTTCATCCTCCATTCTGTGTTATGCAGGGGCCCAACTTTGAGTTCTCCACAGAAACACATGAAGAGCTTCTGTACAACAAGGAGAAGCTGCTCAACAATGGTGACAAGTGGGAAGCTGAGATTGCTGCTAACATACAAGCTGACTACTTGTACCGGTGATGGAGCACTTACTACAACCCTCACACATCCTCACCAGCCGAAGCCAAGTCTGCAATAAAGGGCATGCACTCATTGTTTGTCTCCCTGTGTCTTGAGAATGAGGAAGACATTGTTGGCAAACTTTTTGAAGATAATGTAGAATGCAGAGTTCTACTTGGAGAGGAAAGGATGAGGGGGCACACGATCCATCTTTTCTTTTAATGTAGGAGTTTTTATTGCTCTAAGGGGGGAAATTTGAGGCAGTGTAAGGGTGTTGGTCTGGGAACAGTTGATGGATAAGGTGAGAGAAAGGAGAACCCAGATTTGTTTCGTAGACCTTTTCTGTTGGAAAGATTATTTACTCATATTTCAGGTAGTGGTCTCAAACTTTTTGGACAGGTGTGTATATTTGGAATTTTGGGGGGGTGTCATGTGTGGAATCACAAAATGGCTTTTATGCAGGACATGGCTCCCATTTCTGGTAGGGTAGGGGCCCCAAACACACACTCCTCAGACTCTGAACATGCATGCGCACAAACCACACATAGTTCCCATCTGCACAGATTCCTGTCCTTTCTCTCCACCTTCCTGCCACCAGTTGGCTTACCTGAGCTTCTTCATTTCTCAACTCTCACCAGCTTACCACACAGCAGCAGTGACGGGGCTCCTTTTTTTTTTTACAAAGCAAACAAGAGTGTGCTGCAAAGCACTGGCCTCCAGCTTGCACTTATCTTCATTTTGTGGGAATGCACTTGGGCCCATGTGGGGCACTGAGGCAGTGTGGGAAGATGGCAGCAGCTAGAGGCCAGCGCTTCACTTTACAGTAAGCCCTGGGAACCACTGCATTCAGAACATTGTGGAATCAATTCAGATATTCTGGAAAACTTGTTAAGGGTTCCATCAAGGTTAGAAACATGATGCAGGCAGAAAGCTACCTTTCTCCAATGTGGGCTAAGCAAGAACCTTCCCCACTGACAGAATACCTTTCCTCATAAAGTATTTTTTCTCACATGAGAGAGAATTTTAAAGAGGTAAATTAGCTCCCTCCACCTAGGTGCATTCAGTTTGGTGCAGTTGTGGGAATCCTATACTGCATGCTTTTTTTCAGAATATTTGAATTGGTTCTGAATAGAGTTGAAAAAGCTGTTTTTGTACTAAGATAGCTACTGCTCAAAGCATTCTTATCTCTCTATTCTGCAGTGAAAGCTTTGTCAGTACTTGCTTGTTTAAGATATGCCTGAGTGGATAAAGGAGGAACATGCACTCAACTCATAAAAGTCTTGCTTTGAGAAGCGGGCACAACCTTCAGCTGTTTAGCTGCTTATTGTCCATAAGAGGGAGAATTCTTATCTGCCTCTTGCATTTTGTTCAGTCCTAGAAACCCTGTTCTCCATGCAGAAAGAATAGTTTTCTTTTGTTCACATGGTGTGCACCACTACTGGTCTATACCATACTTATGGGAGTTCCAGCAGGCCTCTCAGGACTTGGGTTGCATTATCTCTGAACTCTGATAATTTAAGCAGCCTTGAAAAACAAAAATATTCTTTCTCTCCCACCCCCATCCTCTCTTAAGGATGGAGCCAATTTCTGCTGCTGTTGGAACATGATCTGAGTTGTGTTGCACATTTTTGAATTCCTGTTCTGATGCAGTGTTGTCACATATCTTTTATTTCTGTTGTGACAGAGCACCGACCCTAAATTCTGGAAGCTCACGGTTGTGTTAGGATTCACTGGCCCTGTGGAACAGTAGCCTATATACCGTATTTTTCCGTGTTTAAGACTAGGTTTCCCCCCCTAAAAAATAATGTCAAAAATTAGGGGGCATCTTATACTCTGGGCCATCTCCCCCCATTTTGTAATTTTCTTCTACCAACAGCATCTTTAAAGCTATCAGCACTTAGAAAACAAAGATATTACTTATGAGTAGGAATGGGGAAGGTTGGAATAAAGCAGTACTGGTGCAAAGAGAAAAAAATCCCTACTTACAAATATTGTAAGCGTATTGATAACAATTTACTATTGATAAGCATTTCATCTCAAAAGTACACTGGGTTCTGCATACAATTGTTTATCACAGTGCTGGCTCCTCCTGATGCACTGATTATCACCAGGAGGAACAATAGCCTCCTATCTGCATACTACTGTTTCAATCAGTTCTATCCAATAAGGTCTGCATGACCTGCTAGTTCAGTCTATAGTAACCTGCTTATCTTAAGATTCTTCCTAAATGCTTTCTCTTCTCATTAATATACACACCATCTCCTGTACAGGACAGAAAGCTTGAAACACTGGACAGTTGAAGGGTGTCACTATGAGGCTGGGGGAGGGAGGAGACTGAATGCTGGGAGTGGGAAGTTAGTTCCCACCACATTCCAGGCAGGAAAAGGTAGATAGCAGTGTATAAAATTGTGGTTGTGCACCTCCAATAAGCATGAGAAGCTATCTGCTTAGTGGCAAACATTTCCTATACTGTATTTCCACTGATACATTTTTAGTGAGGATGAATCAGTATGTATAACCAAACCTGAAATAGTATTTGAGACATGTCATGGGAGAAAAGGAACTAAGAGGGAGTCAAATGCTTTTCCATTGGAAAAAATGAAACTTGTAAACCGGGCAGCTGGTGATGAGTAAGTCCTCAAGCAAGCTGGCATTTCCACATGTGTAGCTTTTCAAATCAAAATGACCATATAATCTCTTAACATAGCATGAATTGTATTTAGAGCAAAGTTCAGTTGAATACCTTGGTTTGAACATGTATATGTCATTGTATAAAGGAGGATAAAGGATTGTCATGATGGAAGTGGACAGTAGTGTGTTGCTTATTTATAATAAGGTGGAGGGGGCTAGTTGTCACAAAAGCTGCTGATGAATAGCTTGGGGCTACAGTAGCACAACCCTAGTTCAGTGGAGCATTTGTTAAGTTGTGCACACATCTTAACAGGTACCTGAGGCATCTGATTGTTGTAAAACAAATTACGGTGCAGAACAGCATCTGTATATAATTGCTCCACACAGAGTCAACATTTTTATTTGAGTATGGCTCCAATAGCTCTCTTATCTTAGGTTATTGCCAGCTCAGCCCTCATCAGTGTATATGTGAAGCTGTTTAGCACCAGTGTGCACTGCTTTACACTTACATTTAGCTGCATTTGCCATGTTATTGTCTATCCACTTTAGACAGATCCTTTGGAGCTTTCATTCATTTTATAGTCCCTCATTCTGAATAATGTGATGTTGTCAGCAAACTTGGCCACCTTGCTGCTCACCCCCAACTCCAGATAATTTATGTACGGTATGTTGAATTACCGATACTGGTTCTTGGAGAGATCTATTTCTTATATTCATGTGCTGTGGTTCTGTTTGACCAATTACCAGTCCATAGAAGGATCTGTCCTTTATTTTTTAGCATGCCAGAGGTTCCTTCTTGCTGTATGGTATTCAAAGAGCTTCACCTACGTTATATCATAAACAGAATAGTCCTGCAACACGTGTTAGTATTCTGCCCCCCCCCCCCCGTGCTGCTAATAATTGCAATATAAACTAGGACTAGCTGGGAATCTCCAGCCTACAGGCCAGTCTTGGCCCAGTAGAATTTGCCATTTGGCCAGTGAGGTTGTTTTCCCCTGAAACCATGTAATAATCAGGTATAGCACTGGTAAAAATGCAGAATTAATACCCTCCCCTCTCATTGTGCATCAGCTGATTCATTAGGTTATGAATAAAAGCTACTAATAAATGATTGTAGCCCACTCCAGCGTGGCATAAGATCCCAGGCTAAACAGCATCTTTATCTGAGCTATTCAAAATACCAGACCACAAAGAGAAATAAAGACTTGAAATAAAAAGGCGTATTTTAATGGGGTTGGAAAACTTCCTGACACCATCTCTCTGGACAGGGAACACCCCTTGTGCACAGCAAGTCACTAGTTCAACGTCTGCCACTTTGTGAAAAGCTGCTTGAGGGATTTTTCATATTGTTTGGCTGCCTTTTTTGTATTATTTTTATGTTTATACCTCATCTTTCCTTCAAGGACAGTGTATATCGTCCCCATTTTATTCCTGCAACAACCCTGAGAGTGAATGGCTGGCCCAAGGTCACCCAGTGTGGGGTTTTGAACCCTGGTCTCTTAGGTCCCACACCAGCTGTCAAATATCTCTCTTGACAGTGCTATTTTTCTAGAAAAAGAGGAGCCGGAACTCACCATGAACGCTTCTCTTGTTCTCAATGGCGCCCACCTGAGAGGTGCTAGAACTGAGTTCCGGCTGGGGAAAAAAGCCCCGTCTTTTAATATTGTATCTGTGGTGTGATGCTAGCCGCTTTGGACTTCCTTTTTAAAGGAAAAGGGGGTTACAAATGCACAATTAAATTCAATAAATAAATAGCTGGCCCTCCAGCGTGCTCTGCATTACACATGCTGCTTCCACTGGTTTGTTGATTTGCTTCTACATAGTTGAATTGAGTGTTGCAGGCAGGCAAGAGATTCCTGCGGTTTTTGCCATTGCTGGTTCTGGTGCGCCACAGGCTGTCAAGCACATAACCAAACCCTTGCATGTCAAGGAGGTGGTGGGCACCCGAGGTGGGTGCCCTTGTCTGGGTGGTGCACTATCACGTCCTTTGGGGCATCGCTTTGTCTAGCCACGGAAAGCCCCCCCGGACATTTTCCTGGGAGTAAGCCCCGCTGAATAAAAGGTGCAGAATCGGGGCAGCACGTGGGATTTACTCCAAGGAGGGGAACAGATCAGCCTCCATTCTGTTGGAGGGGAGGAAAGTGCCTTTCCCTCATCTGCTGGGGAGGCGAAAGGCAACCAGGCCACCGACCTCCTCCATCTCCTCTCTCCCCCCCACCCCCATCCCCGGCCTCGCTGGAGCAGCAGGAAGTTCCTCGGAACCGCGTGCGGGGAATCCTCTTGGGGCGGGACAGATCTCGGTCCTTCCTGGAAGGACAAGCGCCTGATCCGCACTCTCAGGGCCGCGCTCCAAGGCGCCCGCTTGCTTCTTCCGCCGCATCGCGAGGTTGGTACGGCGCCTTGCCGGCCGGCCGGCCCCACCCGTGCCCTACTTCCTCCGAGCGGCCTCCGCCCGCCCTCCTCCATGCCGGGCTGCTCTTCCTTCTCGCTGCATCCGCTGCCTCGGAACCGGCCTCAGGTCTCCCCAGGAAAGCAGCTTTCCTCCGTTGCGCCTCCTTTCGCCCCGCCGGGTCTGGTCCCCCACCCCGCTGCTCTTTGTTCCTGGGAGGGACGGAAGGAGGCGGCGCTCGGTTTAGGGGGCTTCCCGCAGTGGATCAGCCGCAGATCCGGAGGCAGCGGCGCAGTGCGCGCAACCAGTTGTGGCTGCCGGTGGGGGAGAGTAGGTAATGGTTAGGGGCGAGAGCGTGGATTGGTTGGTGATCTTATGGGGTGGGAGTTGTGGGGTTGCTCGAGAAGGAGGTTGGCGGGTGGTTCGCGGAGGGGACTTCTTGGCCTCCCTCCATTTGCGTTTACTTGAGCCGGGGTCGGGGAGCACATCTAGCCGGGCCCCTGTTTTCCTTCCTGGGGTGCGATAGTGCTGGGTTTCCTCATCCACCCACGTGCCTGAGCAAGTCGGGGGAAAAAGGTGGTTTCCTTCCGGAAATGCCGTCCTGCCTTCACAATGGCCGCGCTCGTGTGCGGCTGTTCTTTGAGGGTGGCGGTGAGGATGAAAAGAGCAGCCAAGCTCTGCTTTTTGGTGGGCTCCCAAACGCAGTTCTATAGCCGGATTGAGAATCGAGAGGAATCTACAGTGATCTGGTTCTAGATCCTCTGGGTGGGGGTAGTCAACTTCATATACACCATCCCCCACAAAAAAAAGAATCGTGGGAAGTGTAGTTTGTGTAGTTCAGTGTGCTGTATAGGGGTATGTGCTTTAAATTCCGTATACATATCCCAAACTTTTTCAAACACAGTTTATGGCTACTGAATTCCCCTCACCCCCACCTCCAAATCCTAGAGATAACAAGTAGGTGAAGTTGTATCTTTTTGTTAGGGTATGTTCTTCTGATGCTAAGGGTCCTCTGAGGAAGTGATGGTGACCTCACAGAACCTCCCTTGTTTTTTTACAACTTCCTCACTCAGAATAAAAAATATTAAAAGTAGTGCTTTTTTTCAACCATGAAGTTATTATAGTAAGTGCCACACTTTTAAAGAACCAAAAAAGGGGAGGAGGTGCCAGTACTTCGTACCCTTGAGTACCCCCTGAGGAAAAAAACTGATTAGAGGCATGACCCCTGGAAAAAAAGGTTGCAGCACTTGTTTTTCACTTTTCCATGCCCTCTTCTTTTTATTTTTATATGATTCTATGGTTCCCAGAATTGGCACAGAAGAGGGGTTGATTGTTGATACTCTGAATTGTAGCTCTGTGAGGAAAACAGAAGCACCTAACAATTCACAGCACCCTCAACAAATTACAGTTCCCAGGATTGTTTGGGGCTGGCCATGACTGTTTAGAATGGTACTTCTTTAAAGTATCTGTGCTGTGGGCTGTACAATTTGAAGGGGGCACACCTGTACACTTCCATGTTCATCAAATAAAAAACACCATTTTGCTTATATCTTTTGTTCTCTGGGACTAACACAGCACAAAGATGGGGAAAATAATGCATTAATTTGTACTTGCAATCCATAATCAGAAATAAAATGTTCAGGTAGTGGCATAGTCGTCTGGCACTCATGAACCAGCGTTCCTTCATTTTAAGTCTTGTTATGTTGCACAGTGTTTTTTCTGTGTAGTGTGGGAACACAAAGTTCTGAGAGAGAGACAGACAGAGGGAGAGAAATGTGCTTCTTAGACACCTCTGGAGACTCTACACAGGACCTCACAAGGCCTAATACGCAGCAGGGAGTGCCTAGGTCTTCTGCCAGTAAATTAATAGATCCCCTCTGGGACAGGATTCCTTCCTTTTGGGAGCTCTGAAGAAAGGCAGTGTTCACTGTGTGCACATATTCTCTCTTGCCACTGCAGAATTGTAACGGAATAAATTTGCACCTCTGGCACTTCTTGACCAGACCCTTAAAGGAATAGAAGACTTGTTCTTAACTAAATATGTCAAGTGCTGATACAGGGATGGGGAACCTGCGCCCGCTAGATATTGTTGAGGCTCCAACTCCCATCGGCCGCAGCCAGCATGGTCAGTGCTCAGGGATGATGGGAGTTGTTGTTCATAAATATCAGGAGAGCCATAAGTTTTCCATGCCTGTCCTCATATAAGGTGCATCCCCCTTCAGTAACATCCAAACAGTAATCAGCCTGGAGTCAAGGGGATCTTCAAAGTAGCAGATAGGTGCTTGGGGTGAAACTAGGCCTACATGTCTTGGAGGTGATGCTTTGAGGGGATTGCAGGGTAGATAGATAGATAATTTATTACGGTCGGAGACCAGCTTATGGATTGCAAGGTACATGGGTGGGAGCGAGACACTGAAAGTGGTGAGCCGGCAAGTTTCTCAGGGAAAAAATGGGAAGAATAGTGGCTGCACATTTTACCTCATAACTTGGGTTCCATAAATGCTAGCAATTTATTCTTATGAAAAGAGGGAGGGGGAGAGAACTAGGAATCTGGGGATTGTGGTTCATGGGGACAGGAGTCCAGAGGACACCCATCCCCCTGGACACCCATGGCAGGGTGCCCTGCTATGAATATGTAGCTTCAGTAGCAAGAAATGGCCTTATGCAGTTTGCTGACCTGGAATACTAGATATTCTGTTTAACCGTAGCCTTGCAGTGGTGTCTGTGGTCTAGACATGTATCTCTGTATGTACTGTATTTTGACGGTTGGTAAGTCTTCACAGTTTCTCCAGACAAGCAGAGAGTTGTGGGAGGTGCCGCTCTTCAGTTATTGCTATTGCTATTGCCGTCTCTTTGCAGGGGAGATTCGCTTTCTCTCAGCACAAGTGATCCACCACTGAGGTTACTTCTCAGGCACTTCTAACAATATGGAGAAGAGAAATTGAGAATGAAGATTTGAGGGGGAAATGCGATTTTTTGACTGACCACCAGATCTTGCCTATTGCTTCTGCTTCTCAGGCCCGGCTCATGACTGCAAGGATCTCTCCCCTGTTTTGTCCAACCTGAGTACCGCTGTGCTCTGCCACCTCGGGACATTTTGACCTCTCAGTGAGCAACTTGGGAGTTCTGAGTCAGGCGCCCATTGTGAAACGGGAGGCCAGGTCTTGCCCTGGAAATTGTGTCGCAATCCCAGAGCTCAGAAAATCCCATGTGAGTCAGCAGAGTCTGGGCGCCAGCTGCAAGCAGTAGTCCCTCGGAGCTGCAAAAGACACAACTGGAAAGTTGCTGCCTGCGGAGCTCCTGCGGGATTGGCCCCATCTTCCTGCCGTCTTTCCACTTCGTGAAATACCTAGAGGTAAGGGAGAACCCTTTTTGCCAAGTAGACTTAGGGGGCTTTCGCTGCTACTGCACCTGAGCTTCATGTAGACTTTCCCTAAATTCTTAGTGATGACCTTCTGCAGGTTGTCTGTACCCTCCTTCCTGAGCCTCTTTTTGCTGGTCTGTTATTTTCCCTCCAATGGGCAACCTGTCCCCTTCACTGTCCCTGAAGGCATCTTCTTTCCTCTGCACAATCATGTTCCTATTCCCAGTCATCGATTCATTGTAGTAGGACACTTGTTGATAAGGGGAGGACATCCCAAATCCCTCTCTGCCTTCCTGGTCCCAGTACAAATGAACGTTAGCTTGTCAAGGTGATGTGCATGTTAGTTCCCTTTGGGTCTCATCAACTCTGTTCTCCTCTCCCTTTTAGGACTCACCTATGCAGCTGCAAATAAAACCCTTTAAATTGTTGTAAAGTGCAATATACAAATGTGACACTAGATGGCAAAAGTGAGCTATGCCAAATTCAATGTATTTTTCAAAACTTTTTTTTTTTTTTAAAGCATTTTCACAGCGTTTTAAATATGTGTGTAGATTCCAGATTCCACCTTGGTCTCCTCCAGCAAACATGGGCTCCATGTTCCGCAGCGAAGAGATTTGCCTGGCCCAGCTCTTCTTGCAATCGGCTTCGGCATATAGTTGTGTCAGTGAATTAGGCGAGCAAGGACTTGTGGAATTCCGTGATGTACGTGCAAGAGCGTTTGGGGAACCTTTTTTGGGGGGTGGGGACACCAAACAAGCATGTTGTAGCCGTTTTCATAGACTAAGGGATTCAAGATTTCCTTGACTTTTACTGCTTATTTATTTAAATGATTTATATACTTCTTAAGGTGTTTTTTTGTTTTTTGTTTTGTTTTGTTTTGTAGGGGGGAATCCCTAAGCAGTTTACAGAAATTATAAAATGAGTAAATAAAATACAAATTTTCTTACAAAAAGTACATTTAAAATCCATCCTAAATTCCAATTCCAGTGCCCTTGGTCATTGTGATGATTTTATAGATTGGTATTGTTTTTCCACCATCTAAGTCTCAAAAAGTCTTACGACAGTAAAAAGACATTGTATACAAAATTTTAAAAACAAGTTGAACATCAGAAATTTAAGACAGAAATGTAATGACAGGTCTTTGCTTTTAAGCCTCCTGTCTGAGTGCTTTTTCTTTTCTCCATCACTTTTTCCATTAAAAAACCCTGCTTTTCACTGCTGAACCAGAACAAATGGCAAATCTGTTGAAAATCCAAATTGCCGTTCATTCCAATTCAGTATTAAAGAGCGATGTTTTCTTGGGGCAAAGGGGGTGGGGAGGGCTCACACACGGACCAGGAATGCCTAGAAAGTGCAGGGCAAAAGGTGAGTGTGGATGAGCCCTAATAAAATGGTCAGGGAAACCTGGAGAAGATGGTAGAATTGGGGTGAGATAGAGACATGGATGTTTTATACCTGAGGAAAGGGTCTTGATGCCATGCAAGCCTTAAGAATGGGTCAGCAAGCAATGGAAAATTGGGCTGCCTGGTTTCCAGTGCTATTTGTGCAATCTTTGGCGGGCTCTTCACTAGTAATGTGCTTTTTTTCTTTCCAGCTGAACCCCCATGTCAGCGCCTTCCAGCGACGTTTTGTGGGGGAGATCCGGCGGTGTGAAGATATGGAGAAATCCTTCAGTGAGTGGCACTCCTGTAGTGGGAGGGGGAGGGCTGTCCTCTGCTGGGTGGCTTGGATGATGACCTTGCTATCAGGTCGGTGACAAAAATCTTCTGAAGACGCGCCCAGGCCAGACATGTTGCCACAAAACTGACTTGCACACTGCCAAGAGCAGTCAGAAGACGGGGCCAAGTTTCTGGACGTTGAAATTGCATTAGGAAATCATGAGACTTTTGCAAACAATGCAACATTTTAGATATAATTTCTGGTTTCTGGCTGAGGATAGTTGCACTTCCCCTCTCGGCCTGTTTTTACTGTCCTTGTTGAAACTGAAGCATCTGTAAAAATGGAGAAGGGGTTAGTCAGTTGGTGCATTAGCCATCTGTGATAGCTGGCTGCTATAATTTGCACTTCCTGCCCTCCACCTGCCTGTTGTGACTTCCTGTTTCTTCTTCCTCTATCATCAGTCTGTAGCATTTGAGGGTGGTTTGCATATTCCATATTTTTCTTTTCTAATGTCCTCCGCTGATTAAGATCTCATTTAACGTGTTTGACCTTTTTTGGCACTCAGAACGTTTTGGGAAAGCACTAAGAGCATTTTGAAAAGCACATCATGTTACTATTACATGAAACAAACGTATCTCAAAAAGTTTTTCCAGCAGTCAAAAGTCGTTAATGTGAAATATTTGATTCGGGGGAAATCCAGTAAAGCACATTTGCTTCGACTACTAATATTAAGCATGTGTATGGTGCTTTCAGAGGGACGCGGGTGGCGCTGTGGGTTAAACCACAGAGCCTAGGATTTGCTGATCAGAAGGTTGGCGGTTCGAATCCCCGCGACGGGGTGAGCTCCCATTGCTCGGTCCCTGCTCCTGCCAACCTAGCAGTTCGAAAGCACGTCAAAGTGCAAGTAGATAAATAGGTACCGCTCTGGCGGGAAGGTAAACGGCGTTTCCGTGCGTTGCTCTGGTTCGCCAGAAGCGGCTTAGTTGTGCTGGCCACATGACCCGGAAGCTGTACACCGGCTCCCTCAGCCAATACAGCAAGATGAGCGCCGCAGCCCCAGAGTCGGTCATGACTGGACCTTATGGTCAGGGGTCCCTTTACCTTTACCTTATGGTGCTTTCAAGAGTTTAAAAGTCCTCATGTGTATTGTTTGGTTCAGGGCTGGGTTACCTTCCCATGTCAGCCATATTTCCTGGGAGATAATGGGGGCTGCATCTCTCTCTCTCTCTCTCTCTCTCTCTCTCTCTCTCTCTCTCATACACACACACACACACACACACACACACACAATTGCTGGGGGGGTGGGCTTGTTTTTACCAAAGGGTAAAATTTCCCCAGTGCAAATGGGAGCCACTTGGGCCCAATCCACATTGGAAGTCTGGCACTGGGGGGGGGGGGGGCTTTAATCCTTTGCTGCCCACTGTAGTCTCAATCCAGATTGGGGGCTGCACAAGTGCAGTCTGCATTGCCAAAAAAGGATCAATTTGTCTGAACGGCTCTTTTTTGGTGATGCAAATTGCCAGTGTGCCCCTCTCCATTTTGGTTCAGCGCTGAAGCAAGGGGTAAAGAATTAAAGCCTCCTTGTTCCCATACAGCAGCATCCTGTTTCTTATTGGGCTGTACTGACTGGGGAAGAAGAGTAGCTAGCACAGACGTTGAGGAAGGGGCAGGGTGGGGACTAATAGTAAAGGCCCCCTGGGCTTGGATGATGGTGATGAATGATTAAATTTCTATCCTGCCCTTCTTCCCAGCAGAGTTCTGAGCAGCAAACATCAAAATGTTTAAACAATGCAATTTATACAAACAATACAATGTTTGTAATTTTAGGAAGCAATCCACTTTTGTAAAATAAGCCTTTTCCCCAGTAGAACAAAGCAGAGGAAACCTTTTTTTCTTACTTTAGGGAAAATATGTCTGCTTACATCTGTGGCTACAGTGTACTCTGCAAATTCACAGTGCTGTTTATGATTTAGATGCTCTGGTCACCACCTACTGTGCCTCCTGGATTCAGTTGCAGCAAACGAAAATTATAGTGGTTATTTCTGACATCCTGTGCTCAGCTTAGAAGAGCCAAAGGCCCACTTCTTTTTTCTAAATGGAAGCTCTCGCAATTTCATAACAATGTAATTCTCGTAATTGCAGAAGCTAGCGTATTTAGGAAGTTCCTGACTTTCACAAGCCTGTCTAAAGCCTGAGAATTACTTAAGTATTTGGCTGAATCAAGCCAAAGGCCCATCTACTCCAGCATCTTGCTCTCACAGGGGCCAATGAGATGTAAATGGGAAGCACACAAGCAGGAGGACATAAGCGAAACAGCACTCTCCTCGCTTGTGCTCCCTGGCAAATGCTGTTCAGAGCATTGTGCCTCTGGCACTGAACAGAGCCGTCGTGACTAGTAGACATTCTTGAACCCACAATCCTGAGATTAAGAGTCTCATGCTTTACCAGCGGAGCTATCTCGCTATCCTCCGAAAAATCTTTCAAAGCTATCTTTTAGAGCTATCCAAGTTGGTGGCCGTTGCTACACCTTGGGAGTAGCAAATTCCAAAGTTTAAATATATGCTTTGTGTCTTCGTGTGATGCATCTTTGGCAGGCTGGTACAATGTCCAGCCAAATTCGGCTATACCAGGGTCGGCAACCTTTTGGGGCCAGTGGGCCCATTTTGAGAAAGTGCCGCGATCCCCCATCCCAAAATGGGTGCCGTAAGGACACGGCGTAACACAAAATGGCTGCTGCATCTGAAAGAGCAGGAAAAGGCGACAGCATCACAGAATGGTGTCAGTGTGCTGCTTCTCATCAGCCCCCCATCAATGGAGGGAAGGCACCTGCACCAGCCCCTTTCAGTCGCAGAGAAACAGTCCTTGCACTTCTCCTGTGTTCGGAACAGATGGGAGGGTGAGTGTCCAATCCTGGCATCTAATAAAATTTGGGAGAGGTTGAGTATGGGTAGAACCAACTGTGTCCCATGTTCTGGATCTTTTTATTTATTTTTAAATCTTTTTTGTTGAGTTTTACATTACAAATTTAAATTCAGACATTAAACATCACCATCATTTAGGATTCCCTGAATCCTTTGACTCCCCTCCACCCTTCCATGGTTACCATTTTCAATCTTTTCCACTGCTTCACATATTTTCTCTATTTTTCTAAAATAGTACAGTTTTACCTTAGCTTTTCATACATTACAAGCGTTACTTGGATCCTGCCAAAGTTTTTTGTTGTTTGCAGTGTTCTCTTAGGTATATTGTAAATTTTCCCCATTCCTTCTTAAAGTTCCTCTCTTCCTGGTTTCTGATTTTCGTGGTCAATTTCGCCATTTTGGCGTAGTCCACCATCTTCATCAGCCATTTGTCTCTGGTCGGGACTTTATCTTCTTCTCATCTCCCATGTTCTGGATCCTTGAGGGAGTATTTACTCATTGCAAACTCTTGCAGCTGAATGTTTTCTGGACCTTGGGAGCAGAGGACAGTCCCAGGTTCTGCTCTTCCTCCTCATCTCTCTAATCTCCCTCTCCAGCTTTCTTAGCACAGCAAGTGTGGAAGGCAGGCCTGACACTGACACCCCCTGAGGAGAACCTGCCGGCTCCTCTGGCTCGGGATGCCCTGCAGATCCAGGAGCAGTCTGAGCGGCTGGCGCAGGAGCTGAGGGAGGTGAGCCACAACCGCGAGAAGCTGGTTGGTCGGCTGCAGGAGCTGCGGGAGCACATTCAGGTGCTGCAGGAGGGACAGCGTTTCACTGGCCAACTGGTAAGTGAGTTCCGCCCCTTCCGCTTCCTGCTCCATCAAGACTCTTTGCTGCGCTTGGAGGAGAAAGGGATGCAACTGCAGTCGATTGGCTGAAAGTTAGATTAGGCTTGCTGAAATTGTACATTGCTTCCCATAGTGGGGGGAAAAACTTAAAGCAATTTGCAGCAAGAATGAAATGCAATAACGGGAAAGAGATCCTTGAGGCAATATGGAATAAAAATATGCTAAAAAGAAAATAATTCGTTTCCCCCCCAGAAAGGGTGTCATGTTTCACAGTGACAGCTACTACTACTACTAATAATAATAATAGGCATAGAGTCTCAAGCCTGCTGGTGGTTTTCTTCTTTGCTGTTCTCCTAATGCTTTAAAACTATTTGAATATTATTTGACAATATCTGAGTGGCCTGTTGCTCAAAAAAACACAAACTGACCTGGCAGTGCCTGGCACTCTCTACTCCCTCCCTCCCTGGGCTCTGTCACTTGAGGCAGTTTCTGGTAGAGCAAATGAGCTTGACTGAAGAGAAAAACTACTTTACATGATGGAGCACAGCCCGGTTAGGAGGGGAGAGCCTCACCTTGCCTGCATGTTTTAATTTTTTTGTTAAAAAATCACCTTGACTCCTCCACCTGTGCTTTTTTTTTTTTTTACTTGAATGAGCAAATACATGAAGAACAACTCTGGCTGTCCCTGTTGCATTTAACTTGACCCTGGATTTTATTACTGCAGCCTATCAAATTTAAGAATATTACGATGTTGAACACTGAAGGTGGTCCTGGGACATCTGAGAGGGAGCTCACGAGTCCTGGGATGGTAGCAGGCCCTTCTCTCACAGGCTGTTTTCCCATCAGCAGGTGCCGTTAGCATCACCAGCTCGCCCACGAACCTTCTCTGACAGAGAACCTCTGCTTGACCCATCCATGGCACAGCGGCTTGACCTCAAAGTAAAGTGAGTTGTGAGGGGGCGGACAGGTCATTCAGGTTGACAGGGTAACCCTTCTGTATGAGAGATGAAGCTGGCCAAGTAAACCAAAGCCATTGTTCCTGAAGTGAGAGCTGATGTAGCCTAATGGTTAAGAACATGAAGCAGGACATCCTCAGTTCAATTTAAAAAAAATTAAAATGTCAGCGTCACAAACTGTATGTGGCCTTGCATAAGCCACTATTTAACTACTAATAATGACCCCAATATTATTAATAATTGAATAATGTTCAGTAATAACCACAGTATTATAATTGTGTAATAGTCAATAATGATAATCACAGTGGGCAGTTCTGCTAGGGAAAGCTCTTCAGGAATTTCCCATACCTGTCCTCTCCCTCAGTGCCCCCTAAAGCTGCTCCTGAAGGTTGAGGGGAAACCCCACAACAGCTTTAAGAGGCACACAGGGCATGTGCAAGGAGAGGAGAAGGGGGAGGTGTTCCATTGCACAGTCTAAAGTGCCTTGCGCTAGCAAAACTGTTCAGTTGGACCATCCAGTATTAAAAGTAACCAAAATCCAGAATGAAATTTTTGTCAGCAGGGAGTAAAACAGCATGGAAAGTATGACAAGACTTTCAGGAGGGCATTCTGTAACTGGAGTGCCACCACTGAGAAGGCCCTTTCCTCAGGTGATGGGGGCATCTGAAGAAGGTCATCTGAAATTGACCTTGGTTACCTAAGGTGAATGCTCATCTAGCTTCTAGGGTTGTTACAGGGATTACTATGATAATGTTTATGAGGCACTTGGTAGACTACAAATGCAGTATCTAGATGCTAAGGGCTTGTTATGTTGCCGCAGGGCACTGTGTGCTCAGCCTCGTGTGCAGTTTCAGTGTGCATTTTGTATGCTCTCCCCTTTGCTCTCAAGCTTTATCGCAGGCGTGATCCACCCATGGCGGGTGAATGTGTTTGAACGGCTGCTGTGGCGCGCATGCCGTGGCTACCTTGTGGCCAACTTCACTGAGATGCCGGAGCCCATGGAAAACCCAGCCACGGTGAGACGAAATGAAGAAAACGGGTGGGTGGGGTGTAAGATGGCTGCCTGTGAGGGGTGGCAGGCAATGTAGAGGGGGGGTGAGATTCAAGGCCTGAGTTTGGGTGGAGCAGGGGGTGGCACAGCTTGGGAGGCTGCAAGTACACTCTGTCATGTGGCTTAGGCCGAAGGCCCAAATGGTCCTTCTCCTGCTCCTCTCAAGTCCAGAGGTTTCTGAGCAACCTGTCCCTTCGTGTGTAGGGTGAGAGCGTCACCTGGGTCATCTTTCTCATCTCCTTCTGGGGGGAACAGATCGGGCAGAAAATCCGCAAGATTGCTGACTGGTGAGTGCTGTGGGTGGTGCGTGTTCCCTCTGATGTCTATTGATGCTGAATAACACCCCTCATCCGCCTGCCTTGGTCTCCTTCTGCTCGCTGTTTATAATTTTCCTGCCCTGGTGCCATAACATCCCAAAGGTCCAGCAAATCACAGGCCCTGCAATGTTTCACCCTGTTTGACACATGACATGCCTTTTTACCTCCTCAAGAGGCCTGCACCCACCCACCCTCCAAATCAATTCCTGTGATATGTGCCTTGCATTTAAATTTATTTATTTGGTTTTTCAGATTGAGATTTTACAGTCACATATCTAACATACAACATAAGAACAAGATTCCAATGAATCTCTTGGACTTCCCTCCTCCCCTTTGTGGGTTCTATTTTTAATCATTTCCTCCTGCATCTTTTATCCAAATCTTTTATCTCTCCATTGTGTCCAAAATTCACCATTAAACTACAAGTTATATTCCAATCCTACTAACAATATTAACTGTTTACAATGGTCTTTAAGATAAGTTATAAATTTTCCCCTGTGCCTTGTTCCAGTGGTGTCTGACAGACCATGAGGCTGAGGAAAAAGTCAGACACCAACTATATTCCTTATTCCCTAAGACAGCTCTGCCTATCTTCACACACTGGCCAAGCTACCCACCATCTTATCTTATCTTATCTTACCTTACCTTACCTTACATTATCTTATCATCTTTTCTTTTCTTTTCTTTTGAAACCATTTTTATTTGATTTTACAATGCAAAATTATAAAAAAGAAATTCAAATCTATATCCATATGCCCACCATCTTTCAACAAATTGCTCCCTCTGCTCCTCTGTGTTGCCTCCCGCCACCTCCACCCACCAGTATGTGTGCATGTGCCTGTGTGTATTCACTCTGTGTTGTGTCCCTCCAAAGCTTTCACTGCCACCTGTATCCTTACGCTGACAAGGAGGCGGAGCGCTTGGAGACACTGTATAAACTGCGCACTCAGATTGAAGATCTGACCACGGTAAGGTGATAAGGGCTGCTTAGGGTAGTACACAGGGCGGGCTTGAAATCTGGGAAATACTGTCAGAGAGCTTTGGAGAGGATCCATGGTTTCTAGTTCTGGGGTAGGAAAGGAAATTGCATGGGTGCAGTGGCGAGAGTATACCACTGCAGATGATTAATTTCTTTTCCAGATTTTAAATAGGGGAGGGGGGTGGTTGATGTTTGTTAATTGGTTTGCAACCTTTGTTGTCATTGTATTTGCTAGATTCTTTATACAAAAAGAAGTGTTTCACTGTGACTTAGCAGCAAAATACAAAGAGGTGAAATGATTAAAAAAACCCAGAATGGCATACAATTAAAAATCCTTAAAATGCTCATCCAGCCATGCAATAAATAAGGACAAGTCCTACCCCAAACCACTAAAAGATGAGCATCACAGGGTTTAATTAAGGCCTCGTCATTTAAAACAGGATCACACCACTTTGAACAGACATGGCTTCCCCTAAAGAATATTGGGAACCGGAGGTTAAGGGCACTTAAACCGTTCAGGGTTGTAATTCTATGAGTTTAACAGTCAAGCCCTCTTCCCAGGGAATTCTGGGAACGGCCGCTCTGTGAGGGGAGTAGGGTTCTCCTAACAGCTCTAAGCACCCTAAACAAACTACAGTTCCCAGGATTCTTTGGCAGAAGCCATGACTGTTTAAATTTGTATGGCATTGTTGTAAATGTATAGTGCAGATGGGGCCTTGAACGTACTTTCCTCCTACCCCAGATCCTAATTTCTCTGGGCGGGAAAGGCCAGTATATTGGTGCAAGTGCTCCTCCCCACAATGGTTTTCTCCACTGCATTCATGCAGAGTGTCACATTTCAAAGCTGCAACCACACTCTGTACTTCCTGTGGCCCCGTGTGCAGCCACATTTCCAGACTAGCAGCTCTAAGCAGCACATTCCATTGCTCAACTGATTCCTTAAAAAATGAAGTACTTTCCCTCCTAAATTCCCCCTTTTGCTCCAAGTCTTCCACCGTCTCCCTCAGTTCTGCTTCACACTCCTTATGAGAAAACAGGTCTTGGGCCAGACGGAGCAATACCTGGACCAGCTGCTGCAGAAGGTGCTCTTGGAACTGCCGGCTTGGCAAGTGCGGATACAGAAGATGAAGGCCATCTACTTCATCCTCAACCAGTGCAGCTTCAACATCACCGACAAGTGCCTCATTGGGGAAGTCTGGTGCCCCGTCCGCGACCTTCCTGCTGTGCAGCAGGCTCTGCGTGAGGGATCGGTATGTGCTGCAGAATATCGGCTCCCTTCTGCTTCTCCTTCGGTGTACCTTCCATTTCATGTCCCCCTCCCCCTTCTTTTTGTACACCTACCTGTTTACACAAGTAAAGAGCAAAATATTTTGAGTCAGGGGTTGATACATGTGCTTTGTCCTCCCCACTCCCCGTGGGTTGAGCCAAAGGAAGGTAAATAGGGCTCCCAGCAGGGCAAGGGCCAAGAGATTTTGCTGCCTGATGCAAAGGACAAGATGGTACTCTCTCCCCATTCCATACACAAAAGTCCACCTTGCTGGCAGGTTGACTCGTCCTTCAACACTGGTTATAGGACAGTATCCTCCACTGTGCCTGAAGGCAGCAGGGTAGCTTAGGGAGTACAGGACCAGAGTAGCTTCTGGGGCTCTGTGGGAACAGTAGGGTGGAGCTGCCATTGCTCTCTTGCTCCCTAGGATTTTTTCCCTGAGGCTGCTACCTTGGCTCGCCTAGTGGTAGGGCCAGCTCTGGGCAATAAAGTTGTACCTTGGAAGCCGAACGCCTTGGCACTCGTACGTTTTGGCTCCCGAACGCCGCAAACCCGGAAGTGAATGTTCCGGTTTGCAAATGTTCTTTGGAACCCGAACATCTGGCGCGGCTTCCGATTGGCTGCAGGAGCTTCCTGCAGCCAATCGGAAGCCACATCTTGGTTTCCGAACGTTTTGGAAGTCAAAAGGACTTCCAGAACGGATTCAGTTCTACTTCCGAGGTACAACTGTACATTGGTAATATATTGAGACAAATTTAGGATATGGCAATGTTCTTCTCCCTCCCTCCCTCTCTATCTCCCTTTCCCCACCCCCCACTAGCTAGGACCACACCCAGCTGTATGAATGCCTCTCTCCTCTTTCAGAGTTCCTGGGCAAACCAATGTACTTGATGCTCCTGAACTGCCCAGTTTGACCCTCTCTTCCCCTTACAGCACCGCAGCGGTTCTGGGGTGGAGTGCTTTGTTCATCAGATTCCTTCCACTGAGAGCCCCCCGACCCTCATTCGCACCAACAAGTTCACTGCCGGCTTCCAGAGCATTGTTGACGCCTACGGGGTATCCAGCTATCAGGAGGTGAACCCAGGTGAGCAGATTTGCCACATCCTGCTCTTGACCTTGCAAGGGGCATGCACAGTTGCTCAGTGGAACATCCTCTTTTCGGTGAAAGAGGGAGGGCACCAGGGCATTGCGCACTGACCTTTGAGAGATTGCTCCCAATAAAGGAAGGCTGTGTGTTTTCTGGGCTTTCTGGCTATGGGACAGAGAGAAGAAGGAGGAAAACTAGAATGGGTCTTGTGGGTGGAATTGTCTTCACACTTGGCCAGGAGTGGAGAGTTTGTCTCTCCCACCCCCCCGATGCCACTGAACTACAGTTCCTATCAACCCTGACCAGTGGCCATGCTGGCTGGCACTGATGGGAGTTGGAGTCCAATGTCTTGAGTTGCACAGGTTCCTCGCCCTTGCTGTAAGTCAAGCAGAGCAGGGCGAGAGTGGATTATATATTTTTTATATCCTACTTGATTAGTATCATTAGATTAGATGCTATGCAGTTCAAAGAAAGGAGAGGTTTTTGATTTGGGGCCAGGTTCGGTGAAATGGCAGTTGACTCCGTGGTTTTCTTGTGGGGGTTGCAAAGGGGGGTGTTTGCCTGGACTTCCTATCTGACGCTAGACCTGCTTTGCAGCTCCCTATACCATCATCACCTTCCCTTTCCTGTTCGCTGTCATGTTTGGGGATGTTGGCCATGGGCTGCTGATGTTCCTCTTTGCCCTTTGGATGGTGCTGGCTGAGAACCGCCCCAGCATGAAGAAGGTGCAGAATGAGGTGAGCCCCAGATTGCGGAAGAGGCAGCGGGTGGGAGGGGATATGCTTTGGGTGGATGGAAAAGGATCATATGCTTTCCGCAATACACCTCGGGATATGTTTTTATTTTATTTAGTACCTTTATCTCCCACTTCTTCTCCAAGGAGCTGAGAGCAGCATGTATGGTTCTCCCCAGTCCTGTTTCTCTAGAAAAAGAGGTGCCAGAACTCACCATGAACACCTCCCTTGTTCTCTTATAGTGGCAATGGCGCCTACCTGAGAGGTGCTGGAACTGAGTTCTGGCTGAGAAAAAAGCCCTGGTTCTCCTTCGCCCCATTTTACCCTTGCAAGCAACCCTGTGAGGTAGGCTTAGAGATAGCGACAGGCCCAAGGTCACGCAATGAGATTCATGACCAGGTGGGGATTTGAACCTGGGTCTAATCCAGGTTCTGATCAGTCACACTAACCACACCAGAGATTTACCATCTCACCAAACATACCCTTGTCTTCCTGTCCCCAGATCTGGCAGATGTTCTTTGAGGGCCGCTACCTCATCCTCCTGATGGGCGCCTTCTCTATCTACACTGGCTTCATCTACAACGAGTGCTTCAGCAAGGCCACCAACATCTTCCCCTCTGCCTGGAGCATCGCTACCATGGCCAACCAATCGAATTGGAGGTACTGACTAGCCCATGACCCAAAGCAATGCTGGCGGCCTCTTCTTTCATGACGGCTGCATCATTCTCATGTGCTGAAGCAATTCCTTCTCCTTACAGCGAGGACTTTTTAGCTGGAAACCCTGTTCTTGCTCTGAACCCCAATGTCACGGGAGTTTTCAAAGGTCCCTACCCTTTTGGGATAGATCCGGTAAGTATTGCAAGAGCACACCGGTGCTAAGCTGTTTCTCAGCTTTACCCAGGCTGGTGCCCTTCATGATTTGCAGTGCCCATGAGGGCACCAGATTATGTGGGGCTGCTTTAACTGATTTAGCAGTGCGGGACCCCTGGTAATTGCTGTTTGATGTGTGAAGGTCAGATAAGGGTTTCTGTGGGGTGTTAGGGGAGGGGCAGTGTCATCAAGTAGTTCATCCACCATTGGTCCCCACCCTGCACTCAGCTCTCACCTGTGGCTCCTAGAAGCTGTTGACATGTGACAGTGGCCACACCCCGGGTAACGGCTGAACCACATGAGGGTAGCCAGTGAGTCTCAAACCCTCAGTGGGCTGGGGACTTGTTTGTCCCCTGCATGCGAATCCAGAAAATTGAGCAGATGAGACCAATAGCATAAGGAAGACTGTTTCTGCACGTGCTGTAGAGGGTAATGGGGGCAGATCGGGCTTATCAACCTGGGAAGGTAGCCCATCTAGGAGAAGGAAAGCTGATCCTTAACCACCATTGCCTTGGGATATCTTCAGGAGAAGAAAAGGCTAAGGAGCAAACCCTACACAAATCCAAAATGGAGTCTCGAAGGCGGTAGGATGGTGTCTTGTACGTCTCCTTGTGGCAACTCCTGCAGCCAACTGGTGCCAAACATATCACTCTGCTTTTCTTCAGAGCACATCAGTGAGACTGAGAGGGGGTCTTGTTGTCTGGGCAACAACATGGGAGGCAGCAGTTACGAGGAGGTGTTCTCTCCTCATCCCCTCTTCTAAAAGAGGTTCACACTGTGTACTGAGTGCAGCCTTCTGCAACCTGGTGTAGTTTTGGACTACAATTCCCATCTGCCCTTAGTCAGCATGTCCGGTGGTCAGGGCTGATGGGACTTGTAGTCCAAAATATCTGGCGGGTACCAGGTTGGGGGAGGCTGGCTTATCATGTATGCGTGTTCTTGATTCTTCCCTTCCATGCCTGTGACTCAGATCTGGAGCCTGGCCATCAACCATCTCACCTTCTTGAACTCCTTCAAGATGAAGATGTCTGTGATCCTGGGCATTGTGCACATGAGCTTTGGGGTCTGCCTTGGCATCTTCAACTACATGTAAGTACTGGGCTGGTCCTCCACCTGCAGCTGCTCCTGCGAGGGATGCGAAGGACCACTCTGGCGCCATTTTACCCAAAGGAATCCTGTCTTGCTTTCAGCCAACAGCTAGGAATTCAAAAAGGAGATTAGACAAATTCATGGAAAATAAAACTACCAGTGGCTACTAGCCATGATGACTGTATGCTACGTCCATTGTTGGAGGTGGGAAGCCTCTGTAAATTTAGTTCCTTGAGTGTCCCTAAGTGTGCAAAGGGCTGTTGCACTTGGCTCCTGCGTGTGGTCTTCCCATAGGCATCTGGATAGTAACTCTGCAAGCAGGATGATGCACTGCATGGACCTCTGGCCTGGCCCAGCAGGGATCTTCTTATGATCCTGACACATTTATTCTCACGCTCCCTCTGTTGTTTGCTCATTTCCTTTTTACAGCCACTTCAAGAACTACTACAAGATTCTCCTGGTTTTCGTTCCGGAGATCATCTTCCTACTGGGGCTCTTCGGCTACCTTGTAATCCTGATCTTTTACAAATGGCTGGCGTATGACGTCTCTGATTCCCAGTCTGCGCCCAGCATCCTCATCCACTTCATTAACATGTTCATGTTCTCAAACGATGCCGATAACGTTCCACTCTTTAACCACCAGGTAACATCTTGTGGCGCTGTGCTTTATCTGTTGGGTGTCTGACGGGTGTTGACGTCCAGCTCCTCGAGTGTTGCTTCCCCTGCTCCTCTCCCAATCCTGCTTTGGGGAGGGAAATGTTCAGGACTTGTAAGGTTGGCTGAGATGGAGCAGATCCAGTAATCAAGGGGCGGGGAATCTTTTGCAGGCTGGGAGACACATCTCCTTCTGGACATGCCAGTGGTGGGAGGGGTTAGAGGAAAATTGGGCTCAGTAGCCTCCCATTTGATGAAATGCTGCTGAATCTGAGAACTGTCTTAGTTGAAATACACTGTGCTCTAATGTGAAGGTTTCATTGACGTGGGGGGCTTGATCTCTGATGGGTGCTTCACAAGGGCAAGTCATCACTTGATGTAGCCACTGAGTGATGAACATGCATGTGTGAATCAGCCCTCTGCAAGGAGGCACAGACCCACAAGGTCACCAGCCAGTTGGGCCTGGGGGTTATTCCTTTCTGGCCTTGAACACAGTGATCAGTTGCAAACCTGAACACAAAAACAAAACCCAACTGCTGAGGGTTCCCTGAAAATGTCATTTACCTGTCTCCTGAGAATTTCCTCTGTGTTCAAAATCCCAAGTCCATTTTATGTCTGAAGGCTTTCTGTGGTATTTTTTTATTGCATTTGCTGTACTTTGATGTTGTTGTTTGCCTACACAAGCAATTTAAAGTTGCATGGAGTAGTCCAAATATTACAAGGGACTGCATTCTTGAGCTTTACTGAGCAGTGCCTCATTGAAATACATAGTGCTAGTCACATCATCTTGGGTGGGTGGGGAGTTGGGCACCTTGGGACAAATTAGCAGGTTTGTTTCCTTTGTTTCCAGCTGACAAGGCACTTAGGTGTCACGTTTTGGTTTGCTCAGTTGTAATTTTATTGGCAAGACTGCATCATAGCGGGGCTGAAGACTGATTGGGAAGCAGGAAGGATCCTCACCAACCAAAGCCCTATAGGATGGGAGCTGAGGCAGAACAGGGAGAGGAGATGGTGGGAGAAATGGACACCATAGGCACATCCCTTTTCCGAGTGGCCCAAGTCCCAGTTTTTAAGACTGGGCTTGCAATCAGTGTTTCCTTTCTGCCCAGTGAGATCAGGCGTGGTCTGTGGCTTTGTACTGTGGCTGATTATGATGATGTTTCTGTGTGGTTATTTAATGATTTGTTGCAATTGACTGGGGTACTTTCTTGCTGATGTCTTGATATTATCTCATAATACTACATCCAAAATGGATTCCTGAATTTTGCTGGGTTTTTGTTTCTGTTCTATTTTGAACTGTCCAATGTTTTGAAGTGTTCAAGGTGACAGTGTGGTTTCGGTGTGATTTCCCACCCCCACCCCATTTCTGTGGGTTGCAAACTACCTTAAATGCACTAATATAGAAAAGTGTCATATCAGTTTAGAAAACTAAATAAAAATGTATTTGGCTCGCTCCCAGCTTGCCTTTCTTCTGGCTGTTCCGACTTGCAAGATCTTTCTCTTTCACTCCAGGGCCTGGTGCAGACAGTGTTGGTGGTGGTAGCCCTGGCCTGCGTGCCTGTCCTGCTGCTGGGGACCCCCTTGTACCTCTGGAGCCAGCACCGACAGAAGGCCTCTTTGTCCAGGGTAAGACCCCTCTATATGACTGGGCCTGGGGCTGCTGTCCACACCTGCCTTTCTATATCCCAGCCCCCTTGTTGGGTCAGGGTCTGTGCAGATATGCATTGAGGTCCTGGTACCATCAGGAGCGGGGCGCTAAAGCTCGAGGACTGAGTCTGAGGATGATCTCGGATGGCTACCTAGATGCCACAAGTGAAGCTGTGTGTCATGGGAAGGATTCTGTGGAGGAACAGTGTCACTTTTAACCTTGTGGGTTCCGGATTGTGGTGCTTTAAGCCCTTCTGTGTGCAAGGCTGTCCAATCCCCCCCCCCCACTGACCAGTGTGTTTCTGGGATGCTTGCAGCACAATCCCTCCAGCGCAGAAGAGTGCCAGCCTCTGCTAAACTCTCAGGAGCCGAGCAGATCCGTGAATGTTGCTGAGGACGATGTGGATTGTGCCAAATCCAAACAGGAGTTGGAGGTAACTTTCTGTCCAGCAGGTCAGGATTCTGGGACATGACTCCCATTTTCACCAAGGAAATGCAGAAGTTGCTGCTGAATGCGAGTGGGGTTTTTTTTTGTTTCTGTGTAAATTTAGAATCATTTTGTAAAAAAAAAGGTATGGGGATAAAAGGAAAGTTTGAAATGTGTGGAGTAAGGGAGGCAATAAGCACAGAAGATTGGGGGCTGGCGCTGTTTCAGTTGCTAAAAAAGGAGAGGTACATGGGCCTGGAAGCTACACCTTCTGACTTGAAAGGTTGGAGTTAGTGGTGAAGCAAATACACTCTTCATATGCTCAAGAGCCCCATCCCCATTTCTCATTCATTCACACCTTCAAAGACTGAACCTAAAAGAAAAAAGATCCCAAGGAATGAACAATAAATCCAGCTGGGGGGCAAATGGAAGGAGTTAGAAAAGGCCACGTTCAGAAGCAGTTAGGCTTGTTCTTCCTAAGAACAAGAGCTTGAAGTCCTCAAATAATGTGCCTTTGCAGGGACTTTTCATGATAGCACCTTCTTAAGACCTCTGTTGTTGAGAGAGGCTACACAGGTGAATTATTGGAGCTTGTCTGGATGAGGTTAGAGGGGATGACCTCTAAGAGACTCCTGCATGGACTCTGCTCAGAACTGCAGGCCCTTTCTTTGCTGCTGTTCTGGGTATTTAAAACAACTAAACTTGGCTGAAAACCTCCAACTTGTCGTGGCATCTCAGATTGCCATCATATGGAAATAATGTTGAGCCAAGCAGCGCTTCACTGGCATAAAGGGCTAGGATCTCCCATGACACTTTTTGCAGATTCTTTGAGTGTACAGAAAAGGCACTGGTTGCTGTTTTTAAAAACAAAAACAAGTTACCAAGAAAAATGCTCAGAATCCGGCTTGGGAGTCTGGTTTTCCTTAGGAACATGTTTAAGGTGAAAAGTTCTTCCCATTTGCAGAAAGTTCTTAAATAGAGTCTACATATGCTCTCCACCAAGTCCTTAGCCTTAGACCAGGGCTGAAGAACCTGTTGTCCTCCAGATGCTGCTGAACTACAGTTCCCATCATCCTTTGGGAACTATTGGCTGTGCTGCCTGAGGGCTGATGGGAGCTGGAGGGCCACAGGGTTTCCCAACCCCCTGCCTTACACTCTGGAAGCAGCTCATGGAGGAGTGGGCTTTCATTTGAGTCCCTATGCTGGTTTAGAGTATTAGACTAATCCATGGGTAGGCAAACTAAGGCTGGATCCGGCCCAATCGCCTTCTAAATCTGGCTTGCGGACATTCTGGGAATCAGCGTGTTTTTACATGAGTAGAATGTGTGCTTTTATTTAAAATGCATCTCTGGGTTATTTGTGGGGCATAGAAATTCGTTCATCCCCCCCCCTCCAAAAAAAATATAGTCCAGCCCCCTACAAGGTCTGAGGAACAGTGGACCATCCCCCTGCTGAAAAAGTTTGCTGACCCCTGGACTAATCCTTGCCACCCCACTGATTCTTGCCTTTCCCCCCTTCAGTTTGACTTCTCCGATGTGTTCATGCATCAGGCAATCCACACCATCGAGTACTGCCTGGGCTGCATCTCAAACACAGCCTCCTACCTCCGGCTCTGGGCTCTCAGCTTGGCCCACGCACGTGAGTTTCAGGGGCTGGGAGAGGAACGAGCAGAAAACAGGAAGCACAGCAAGCGATTTGGCCACACAGACTGGGGGAGGCCAGTGGGCAAGATGTTTTTTGGAGACCTCACCACATGATACAGGCATCAGGCCCCATTCCTGCACTGTTGGAGGCTACTTTGCAGCCACTTCTAAAAGCTTTTGAGGGACTCTCTCTGCCCCAGCATGTTTGTGATGTGGTTTAGATTTTTTTATGGCAATATCTTAGTCTTCAGACTGGAGCTAGCAATGTGTATTGGGATTGTGGGGTGCTTGCATTTGTTAGCTGCCTTGAGTGTCTTTTGAACATTAGGTGGGATATGTGTTTTTAAAATAAAGAAAGGCATTTTTGACTGGTGGATGTATTCAAGGCCTATAGGGAACAGGAAGAGAGTGTGTGTGTGTGTGTGTGTGTGTGTGTGTGTGTGTTAGCGGTTGGGGCTTTACAACAGTACTAAGGGTGGAATTCAGTGATTGTTCTGTCAGCGCAAGCATTTCTGCTTGTCAGATGGAACAATCTTCTTTTTCCAAGCCCCCCCAGCTGCTTTTGGGGCTGGGGGAAACCCCATAGCACTAGCAGGACTCATTGTACTGGTTCCCATTAGTGCAGCTCCTCAGTTGGATCCCACCTTGGGTGGTTTGTAAGGGAGGGGAAAGGCTGTTTGGCTGCTCTAGTGCTCCCTGACAAGTCCTGCACCCATCCTTCTCCACAGAGCTCTCAGAGGTCCTGTGGACCATGGTGATGAGGAACGGCCTCCATTTTACGGGCTACAAAGGTGGGGTCCTCCTCGTCCCGGTTTTTGCCTTCTTTGCGGTACTGACTGTGGCAATCCTGCTGGTGATGGAGGGGCTGTCGGCTTTCCTGCATGCCCTGCGTCTGCACTGGTGAGAGACACACATGTATATACCCTCTTTCTGTCAGTGAATCCTGTTTGAGAGCCGCTCTCTCACTTGGCTTGCTGCCGTGGGCTCTTTGGGGCGGGAATGCGGGAGATAAATCCAGTCAATCAATAAGACTGCCAGGTGCTTCCACTCTGAGCACTGAGACCAAGGTGGGGTTAGGGGTGTGGGTGATAGAGGCCTCTCCTCCTCACGAGGTCAGGAAAATTGTTCTGTGTGAGAGGGAGGGACCTGGAGCGACAGAGTTTATTTCTCCTTCCCCCACCCAACTTTGAATCAGGCCAGGACCTGCCTGTTTCAGGGATTGTGTTACTACTGGGATTAGTGCTGCAAGCTGAGAACAGTGCTTCCGGATCTCGACTTGGCCACTCTTGTGTTGTTGTTTTTCAGGGTGGAATTCCAGAACAAATTCTACACAGGCTCTGGGTACCGGTTCACCCCGTTCACCTTCACTACAGATATCTGGGACTGAGAGAGAAAGGGCTTCTATCTTCCCAGAGAGCAGATATACTGTGTGCCCTCATGAGCCAATTGGCTTATGCTGTGTTTTTTTTTTTACATGAGCGACTGTCTCTTGCTTTCTTCTTTCTACCACTTGTGCCTTGTGTCTGACTGGAAGGTGTGGCAGAACTTCTTTAACTCCCCTGACACGCACCTTTCTTGGGGAAGGAACTACCTGCTCTGTCCCCGTCTGCTACAATTAAAGTGAGGTCCTTCGCTGCCTCACTGCCGGGATATCAGTATTTAGGATGGAGTTCTGGAATTCAGGGTTTATCAAGCCACGTTCCTTCCAGTTCTCGATCCTTATGACTTGCAGCTGAATCAGCCTGCCTTGTGCATATCTCTATAGCCGTTAAGAGTTGCTTCTGGGAAAGAATGGGAAGCGGCCTTAAGGAACATCAGAATATGGATACCACTCACTATATGGGTGTTTTTACAGGGCTGCTAGGTGGCACTCTCTCTCTTCTTGCTTCATCCCTGTTTGCTGGGGTGCAGCCTTTCTGATGCACATCCGAGGACAAGAGGCCCGGCCCCAGGCACTTGGGCCTTCTGCTTTTTCTAAATTTACATTCAATTGCAGTTGGTGTTGTCATCCAGGTCTGAGACTCTCTTGTTTCCCTGATGGAGAGCCTGGAGTTGACATTGCATCAGCCAATGCATGATGTGGGGCTGCACATTAGAGCCAAGCCCTCGGTGCATGCGTGTTTTTGAAAGGACTGTCTACCTGTGCTAGCAAGCTAGCTGATATGCTGGGAGCTGATGTGGCTTGCAATGCCTGTCTTTTCCTCATTCATGCTCTGTTTTACCAACTGCTAGCAAAATCCACCAACAGTTGGGGACAACAGCTCTGTACAGGTGGAAAACGGAGACTTAAGTTGCCAAGGGCAAGAGAGGGGCTCCTGCCCTGGATTCAGGGGCGCCTACTATAGGGGGCTCTGAGTCTCTGAGCACCCACAACAAATTTTTTGTTGGGATTCACACTGCAGGGGCCCCCCACGCAACTTCTGAGGTCTCACGAGGAGGTCTCACGAGGCCCTGGAACCTGACTTCCAGTGCCACCGGAAGTCACTTTCTGAGGCCAGGGGGAGCGTGTGACGTCATGATGTCACGAGCACTGGGCACCCATAATCTGGGGCCCAAGTTGGCTCCCCTGCCTGGATTGCAGAACAAACTTCCTTCATACTGAAGGCACAGCATGTCATGGGCAGGACTCAAGACTCACGCTGCCATTTAAGAGAAAGACAATGCTTGTGAGCAGGCTGCTGAGAACTCTGTGCTTTAAAAGCCCTCATAAACTCTTTGTCGCTGTAGCTACCAAATCCCACAATAAAGGCAAGATTCTTAACCTTCCCTGCATTTTGATACTTTCCTCTGAGTTTATTTTTGATGCAAAGCTGGTTTAGGATTTCTGATTTGTAGAATTGGGTTTTCAGCCATTTTTTCAGTGCTGAGGGGTTTTGGAATTGGGGGACGAATTGCTTTACAATGAGCTGAGGAGCAGAAGCAGTTAGGAGATGACCAGTATCTCAGCCAAGTATGTTTCTTACACCTCCCTAAGCTTCAGCTTGGACTCTGCACCCCTCTCAAAGGAGACGGATACTGTACCCAGAGTCTGTTAACTGTTTAATTGTCCATATACTAGGGGACAATAAGTTAGAAATTACGTTTGCCTCGGGTGGGGAAGAGGGAAGGGTACCAGGGCTTGAAGGTACCATCCACAAAGTGCCCTGGAAGGTAAACAGAGGAATGGACTAGACCTCCTCAGCAGGCCGTGCAGCGATGGTTGCTGCATGAGGAGAAGGTGGACCGGAGGCGAGTCCCTGGAAGATAGGTTCAGGCTTGGGGTAGGTGTGGGGGGAGAGAGGAGGGAACTGCCTGATCTGTCCACCGGATCTCTCTTCCTTCACTGTTCATAGTCCCCGGCAGTGTAGATGTTGAGAGCATGGAAGCTGGTGGCCCGGCTGCTGGGGAGGGCGTAGGGCGTTGCCCGGGAGCGGGCTCCCACGTAGATGCTGTGATAGGAGAGGTGCTTGTAGGGCAGGGCCCCTGATGCTTCACTCAAGGGTCGTCGAGCAAGGCACATATCTGGGAGGGTGGCGGGTGTGACCAGGGGTGGGTGCTGCAGCTGGGAGGCTTCTCTGAAGAGGGAAGGAGGGAGGTGATGATTGCTGGCAAACCCTAGAAAAAGAGAAGGAGTTTAGAGCTGAATGACTTCCCTGGCCAACCAAAGTCAGTCCCTACACAGCATGACTCAGTCCTGGAAATAATTAAGTCTGCCACTTCTTTTTCTGATCCTGCCAACTCAATCCATTCTGTTAATCAGAATGGAGAAGGCTAAGCCACGAGTGACTGAGAAATTTGCTCCAAACTTCCACCCCTGCGGTTTACCTCCATTCAATCTCACTAAGAGCCCAGGATCTCTGCAGACTATGCCATGGCTTATACTATAGCACGGTGGCGGCTGAAGAGCTTCTCTCAGGTGGTTGTGGCTCCATATTTGTAGCAATATCGTACGCATACACTAACTGCATGGTTTGGCTAGGTCATGTGGTTGGTTTCTATACCTGTGGTTCTCTCAGTGCAGATGTGGCACTTGTTTAGAAGGTGACCATGCCACCTTGCTGAACAATGTAATTGCTACTCTCATGCTCTACTGAGATCTCACAGAGAACTGCATGAATATGACTATACTGCAGTTAGGAAAACCAAAAAACTAAACTGCATATGAAGAAAGGCATAGTGAGCAAAATATCCAGAAGATCATAGGGTGAGCAAGGGAGATATTATTTATTTGTTAATGGCATTTTTATACCACCTAATATTTCAGACATCTCCAAGATGTTATACTACGTATTTTTGTGTTTCTGTATTGTAAACCACCCTGTTATCCTCGGATAAAAGGTGGTATAGAAATAAAAATAAATAGAATTTAAATAAAATAAAAATAAAAGAGATGTCAAAGGATACAAAGAGTACTGAGAAGCTGCTCCCTAGTCACTGGAAGCCCTTACTTTGCAGCATTCCCTCTCATTAGAAATTATTGCATGTATGTTTCTTAGCTAATTTTTGCACACATAAGCACCGGAAACTCGAGGGACAGGAGAAAGTTGAGATTATTAGCATCAAACATTTAAGTTTGTGCCTGAGAAAAATCTGGACCAAAGTCAAGAAGGAGACCCTGCCATCTCTCCATAGCCCCACCATGCCCTGTACCTTCCCATGGAGTTCTCTACATGCAAGGCTTACTTACCATTTGCTTTTTTCACCTTACCCTTTTCTGTGGTTTCTTGAAGCTGGGCTAAGGGAGCCGCACCCCCATTCCGAGATAAGCAGCCTAATAGTTGTCCTGGTGAGCTGGGCCTAGGCAGAAAAACAAGACGTGCACTTCATTGGTGATGGACTTTGTGGAAATAAAACTCAAACAGGACAGGCAGAGCTATAGAAGGTGTTATTGGGAACAGTCCCAGACTTGGCTGCTTCTGTTCTCACTGCCATTATCCCTCCCATCTCTTTTTGCTCCACTCGGTAGAGTAGCTGGATGCAAAAGAAGACAGGCCTCCTGAACCTTTGTTTAATAGCTGTGCAGAAGAAGGCATTTCAGCCTGTGTAGGTTGCTACACATACCAGAATTCCCTCTTCTATGCACACATTAAGGGGCCACAAGCCTTGTTTTCCCTGGCTTGTGGCCACCCTAGCTATTCAGGTGGCACACAGATTGTCAACACATACCGGCCGAGAATTTCCAACCCAGCGTTTGTTTCTAAAATGCATCTTATGCCTGTCTTCCCCACTCAGAGTAATACTTCTCTAAAGGTACAATTTTATATAAACTTACCTGGTAGTAAGCACCATTGTATTCAGTGGTGCTTGCTTTTGAGTAGCCAGGCATAGCAGTTGTGTATAGCTTGCCATAAGTGACCAGCAATGTCATATAAGTGAGTGGGTGGGTGGGCTGGTGGAGGGATGGACCTCTCACTTCCATTGCTAGTCTGCTTGGTTTCCATGCTTCCTGTGGAGGAAGGGAAATCTATCTCCAAGTTCTATTAGCCTGTTTGGTAGAAGACAACTTTGATTTTACAAGCCTGCTTAAAAGGCTTTGGAGGAGCTGGTCTTAGCCATCTAGAGGCTAGTAACTTGTGGGCTTATTTACAAGGCTGATGGGTATAGCATTGCAGCCTGAGAATGGAATTTGCTCTGTTTGCAGCTACATCGCATAAGAGGCTTATCCCTCCACCTGTATTTGAGAAGGTTGCGCCATGTGCGGAGACTTACCAGTCATCTGGCTCACACTCCCGGAACCCTTTTGCGAAGGGGTTGCTAGCAATTTTCAGCTGTGTGATCTGCTGAGAGAATGAATGAGTTTTCAAGTACACACATTTTCCCTGCCGCTCCCTCTCTTTCTATAGTGGAGCTGTTGCTCTAGCTACTGCCTGAGAAAGCAACACCAGCCATGATGTTACTACTGTGGTGCATCCCGATCTATGTCACGACCCTATGAACTTAAGCACACTGCTGGGGGCTCTTTGAAAGAAGAGCAGGATACACGTAGTTAGCATTCAATCCCAGGACATAGCGTTGAAGCTAAGCAGGTCTGGGTGTGATTAGTACCTGGATGGGAGATGACCTGGGCACTACAAGCATGCCACTTTGGATTCTATGAGGGATATAGGTGGGATGAAAAAAAGCGAAATGGATATTTGTACATTGATTTGTCCGTGTATGTTTGCTTTTTATCCTTGCAACAATCCTGTGATATAGGTTATGTTGGTGACTTAAGGCTACCCAATGAACGCCATCTCAGCTATCTCTATAAACATTACAGAACATTAAACAATTAAAGGCAAACATTGTAGTAATTACGGCACCGTGAAAAATGCATTGGGAATGCTGCACAGCTTGGATTGCACAGCAAAAGGTGTCAGTGTATGCATAGATCCATTTGCCTGTCTCCACCAGCCACACTTAGTCCTGTCCCAATCCTGACTCTCTCCAATAGGCCAGCTCTCCCATGTGATACTGATTAGTGTCACCAGAGGGCTGTGCATGCGTGTTCTCTCACCCGGTGGTTCTGATAGGCTGTCACTGCCATGAACTGAGTCTCCGTGAAGATGAAGGACTTGAAATTCTCCTGGGCGTAGCGCTCGCTATCTGGCCGTGGATCTACCACCACCACATGGAAGCGTGGCTGGTACCTGTGCATGGAGTTCAGGATGATCTGTTTGATCAAGACAAAGTGACATTTCAGATGGCTGTTCAATACATGGGCTCTCATTTAACAACTCTCGTTTACACACCCAGGAATGTCAAACGACTCCCACACCTCATGCAAATGTATCCCCTGGTGGGGATTAACAAATCTTGAGTGGTGCACAGTGTAAGTGGGAAGTCCCATAAATACACTCAGACTCTTGCAAGTTCTTTTCATTTTAAGTAGTAGGAACATAGGAAGCTGCCTTAAAAGGGAGTCTCTCCAAGCCCAGCTGGAGATGCCAGGGACTGAACTTATAAATATCACCAGGTTACATTTATTATGTCACATACGATGCATATTTTTATGCTCGCTCCCATTTTTCTGAGATAGGAAAACTTGCAGGGAAGCAGTGTTAACCTTGATTTGGTTTCCCTCCCTTCAGGTACAACTAAATACAGTGCCACCAGGTGACTAAACTGTATAATGACACTATCTGCAAAGACACTGCACAATTAACTTACATGGCCATTGTCATCCATCAAGTTGTTGGTGAGCTTGAGCTTGTCAAAGGAGACAATCTGCCTCATCCACTGGCCTCCCTTGGCAGGGGAGTCAGGGTGGAAGTGAACCCGGCCAGGTGTAGCAGGATCTGCCTTGCCAGCTACCAGCCAAGCGGAGCTGTGGAATGCGTATCTGCAGGGGAAAGGCATTATGTTGAAGAAGAAGAAGAGTTTGGATTTGATATCCCGCCTTTCACTCCCCTTAAGGAATCTCAAAGCGGCTAACATTCTCCTTTCCCTTCCTCCCCCACAACAAACACTCTGTGAGGTGAGTGGGGCTGAGAGACTTCAGAGAAGTGTGACTGGCCCAAGGTCACCCAGCAGCTGCATGTGGAAGAGCGGAGACGCGGACCCAGTTCCCCAGATTACGAGACTACCGCTCTTAACCACTACACCACACTGGCTCTGTTTGAGGCAGGCCGCTTCCTTTCCTACCTGATTGAGGACCTGCAAGAGTTTGGAGGGTGGGTGGGTCTACTACGCTTGCCTTGGTGTGCAGCTATATATAATTCCAAACTACAGTTAAGGGGGGCGGAATTCCAGTTTGTTTTGTTGTGTATATAGAATTCAAGCATATTTTTATGGGGCATTCTACAGCAAGGTAAAACAAGAGGCAGGATTCATGTATAGCAAACATTCAGATTGAGAGGCTTAACATCCATGAAAATTTCTGAGCAAGCATTTTCAGTGCAGAAGCTGCAAGGTCAGAATAGCGAAAAAGGAAAATAAATGGAGGGAAATTGGAATCTTCACATGCAGTACTGCATATAACATACTGCATTTTATCCTTCATGTGCATCATATGTTCAGAGACCATCTCGGCCACCATTCACTAATTCCAGCCCAATTCCCTGTATGTACTTGGTGGGCAACTAATACTGGCAAGACGTCACATTGACAAACCGTACTTCCCTCACCCAAAGGGGCCTGATGCCAAGTGCCTCTGGGATTGGCAACAGAGAGCCAAACCTGGCCAGAGTGTTAATGCAAGAATGCATGCTGTTTTCCTGCAGAAACTTTCCACGTGCAAATCCCTGCTACATATTACGTGGTGCAGAAAACCGCTGGGCTGTTTTGTGTGTTGTTAATGGTTTATCAGGGTTTTCTTCTGACTTGAAACCCTTCTGCATTCCTTCTGTAGTTTCCTCTCCCCTCCAATCTCACACATCCTCATTCACCAACCCTTAAACTCACTACACACTTTCAAACTCCAAACAATACGAGAAAGAGAAATAAAATAAATAAATAAATCAACCATGGCACTATTAAAAATAGTAAAATTAATTTTAAACCTCCCTCAATTAAGTTGCTTTAACTGTTGCAACCCACCCTGGGACCTTACGGTGAAGGATGGGGAAGAAATCTCTCTCTCTCTCTCTCTCTCTCTCTCCCCCTGTGTGTGTGTGTGTGTGTGTGTGTGTGTGTGTGTGATGTCTACTCCAAATCTATATATCTTTTTGTGTTCTACCAAACAGATGAGTCCTGGCTCAGTGCAAGGGTGGAGTTGACTGTATTCCATTATTAGGCTGCTCTCCACCCCTTCTAAAGGGTCTAAATAGCACTTACTTCCCATTAGGGATAGTGGTTAATTTGTACAATTAAATCCCACCTGGAAGCTACTTCTCATAACTCTGATGGGGTCAAGGGGTTACTGTGGGGTAACTTAGTGATGAGGGAAGTAGTGCCTTTTAATTTTGATATTTCCTTTATTACTACATTCCAGGGCAAGATTTGAAACTTGATTCTGGAACAGAATTTCAGCTCAATTTAAGGCTTGATTCAATTAGCACAAAGGGCACAGATTTTTTTATATTATTCCATTCATTTGATCAACGTAGGAACCTGTACATATCTGGAATACAACAAAACAGCAACAAGCAGATCCATGTAATAAATCAACACATCTCCTGCAGGTTTAAAACATCAGGGTGCCTCAGTTCAGAACTCCCTGCTCCTACCACTGAATTTATAGAAATCCTTCCATTAACACTTATCAGGCCTAGCCACACGCCATGCCTTTTGAGTCTCCCTGGGGCCTAGCCTGCTCTCGCTGGCTGGCTAACTAGCAGAAATGGCTCCAAACTCATTATCCCAGAGCCAGGCCCAGGCCATACCGATATCTCTTGTCGTCCAAAGGCACAAAGTCCATGAGCAGCACATAATCAGCCAAGGGATCCATGCCGGATATCTTCACCTGGAAGGTGGGGAACATCCTCCTGCCACAGGGAGAAAGGAGTTTGCCGGGTGATTCTGCTTTCCCACTGCCCACTAACCTCCATCTTACCCAGGGTAGGGCAAGGGTAGCCAACTGTGTGTCTTCTAGATGCTGTTGGACTCTCCTCAGCCCCAGCCAGAATAGCCAGCGGTCAGTGATGTTGGAGACTGGCAACATCTGGAGAACATCACATTGGCTACTGCTGAGGGAGATGCCCAGGGCCTTTTGCAACAGGCTACAATAGCTTGAGGCAGGGTAGGGAGGGGCTGCAGTCCTTAGAGCAATGGTTCGTGGTTTCTTGCCCATTGTGGTGGGAAGCCCACCTCAGGCTTTGTTGTAGGGGTGCACAATAAACACCCTTGGATCACACTTTCCCTGATGGTACACAGAGAGTTGTGGTACAGTTTGTAACCATAGGAGTTTGCTCCATTTAAATAGCAGACCTGCACATTGTTTTGGGCTGTGGTCCTGGGAGTTGTCTGAAAGATAATCTCCTTCCCTACAAACACTCCTGGACATTAAGAACAGCAGAGGGGGCTCTACTGGCTGTTCTGCTGCCCTCAGAAACTCAGGGTGGAGATGGTCCAGGAGAGGGCATTCTCTGCAGCAGCCCCTAGGTTGTGTAGCTACCTCCTCATATAGGTGCGCCTGGCAGTTCGGCTATACAATTTTCAGCAAATGCTGAAGAGGCACCTCTTTACCCTGACCTTTGACACTTGAAATATATAGTTTAAACATCTGATTTTGGTGTGTTACCTTAAGGTGAAGGGCAGGTAAATAAAAACAATGCCAAATGCCTGAATAAATGGGTATTCCATTATATAGGGCACATTATTAAGGTCATTGTAATTTCGTGTTACTCCTTAATGTTAGACTAGTAAAAGCTAATAAGGATTACTGTGGTTCCTGTTTAGTCGCTTTATAGATCAAAGCTGTGTTTTTAATCCTTAATCCTTGGACCAAAGAACATTATACCTACCGCCCTGCCTTGGTGACAATCATCTCAGTGCCAAGGCTATTGAACTCCTCCCAGAGACTCCTCATCTCCAGTTGCACAGTGACGCCAGAGACACACTGGTTTTTCCTGGCCAACTGGGAGCTGACCCCTTGCTTTGCTGCTCCCTCCACTTCATACTGCTCAAACTCTGGTGTTGTCGCCAGCAGGCACGGTGCTCCCACAGGGCTTGGTGAGAAGGGGCAGCCATCGGACGTCAGCACACTCAGGCTTGCGGCGATGAATGCTGGGGATGGAGAGAAGGACAACTGGCATAATGACTATATTATGACTATGTATGAACACAGGAGGCTGCCTTACAATAAGTCAGACCTTTGCTCCATGTTGTCAGCACAGACTGAAAGCAGCTTTATTAGATTTCAGACAAGGGGACATTCTTAGCCCCACCTGGAAACGCCGGGGATTGTTCCTGTGAGCCGTTGGCATGCAAAACAGATGCTCTACCACAGAGTTATGCCCCTTCAGCTCTGACATGAATGGCTGTAGCTCAGGAACCGTCTGCCAAAGGAGGATGCTGACTCTGAGGCTACTCCTTCCCTGCAGTTGCTTCAGGCAGAGCCATAGCTATGGCGGGGAGCACTAGCTAGGTTCTTTGCCCTGGGTGAAGCATCCAGAGGGGTGCCATTGAGGCTCCCAGCCTGTGTGTGTATGCAAATGTGCATGTGTTTGGGGGGGTGCCAAACTGGGATGAAATAAAGTTTAGTTTCACCCCTGGCTTCAGGGAAACAATGAGGGCTCAGCCCCCCAAAATGACTATTGGGGGAGAGAACTGGGCTCAGAGATATCACACCAGAAGGTCCACATGTGTGGACTGTCTTTGAGCCCAACTCTTTCCTTCTTCCCAGTCTGCAAGAGGGGTGGCAATAAATGGCTGACCGGTCTCCCTAGAGTAAGGGCTCATCAATGCTTTCCTTTGCTCCGTACTTTCTAGGCACTTGTCTGGGCTTGCCAAGTCGATCTCCGAGCAGCTGGGTTTTCTTGTCCTGGCCCTTTCCCCGGGAAAACCTGTGCTTTGCCACTGAATTGGAGCAAACAGAAAGCCACAGAAAACCCAGTTACCGTTTGCTCCAATTCATTGGTAAAACACCAGGACAAAAAGCAAAGCAAAACAAAACAAAACTGTGCTCGGACAAAGACCTGGAAAACTCAGACCTGTGCCTAGAAATGTGACACAAAAGGGAATGTGGATGAACCTTAATTCTGCCTGGCTTAGAAGCTCCCATGCACCCATCCCGTGTCTCCTCAGACCCATGGCTAGTACCTGCTTTCCAGTGGCACGAGAGAAGAGTATGGCTGTCCTGCATGCTCTAGGCAGTTTAGAGAGTCCAGTAATCCAATGCTCCACCCCACTGACACCCCACCTGACATCTAGTTTGGTCCTGTAACTCACTGCCAAGGCCAGCCCTCACATATAACAGGGACTGGTGTTGGTGGGGCTCTACTTCAGGCAGCAAAATGTCTTGGGTCTGCACTTAATAATATTGCTACAGGACTGCTGTCTGCGGCAATCAGTGTAATGGGGCTATGCCACTCACTTAACCGCTCTGGCTGGGTCAACAGAATAACAGCGCAAACGTGCCAGTGGAGCCCATCTGGCACTCCTGCCAAAGCATCTATACCACCCGGGCATTGTCTCTGCCCCTCACCATCTTGGTATGCTGCAGCAGCTTAGCCAGAGGGAGATCAGGCGAGTGGTGCAGCCTCACTACCCTGTCCACTGCTGCCGGCTGCAGTGCTTACCTGGGTGGGCATGAGGTCCACAGGAGGCTTATGGCAATTTGTGGAGACCCATAGCTTGGCACTCTAGTGGGCAACCAAAGTCCACTGCCCTCCCAGTGGACTAGCCTGCACACTAAGATGCTCCACAGCTAAACCTCAGTTCTCTGTCTTCAGGTTGCTTTGAAAACTCCAAATTATATGCTGTCCTTTCCGCACAGGCTCCTTTGCTGAACGGGGGCTGGGAGGAGGGAGAGAATACTTCCTCATGTAGTTTCTTAGCCATGCTTAAGATCAGAGCCAGCAGCCCAGTCCTTATAACCTGGCTAAATTTATCCAACTGAGTGCAACCCTTCTTTTGCAATTACAGAATCACACAGTTGGAAGGGACCTTGAGGGGTCATTTGGCCCAATCACCAAACCCAATAATAATATGGAAATAGCTGAGCTGGATCTGATCCGTAGTCCATCCATAGTTACAGCCATGTCATTAGAGGAAATCCCTATGACGTTCTAAAAGTCCCACTTGAACTTCTGGAGTTTCTCAATAATTCCCAACCATTAGACCCATTCTCTCCCTTAAATCTGGTAGTATTGTTGCAGGTCTAGATAAGAGGCAAAGAGACATTCCTCCTGGGAACTACGGGGTGGGTGGGAGATTTCAACCCACAAGTCACACACATCCTAAGCACCGCAGCATCCACCTTGCTTCCCACCCAGGGTACCAAAGAACCATCAGCTTCATGATCCAAGTACTTAGCTAGAGAGCAGCTCATGGAAAATTTACCAGAGAAGATGCAGCTCTTCAGCTATGTTGAATGGCAAGGCAAAAGAGCCATGAATGCAAAGCTCCTAACCCACTTTAAGGAATCAAGAGGTCTCTACAGATGTCATGAAATGCCCAAAGAGAAAAGTAACAGGGTCCAGAGCACCGATGGGTGCATGCCTGGCTCCTGCAGTGCCAAGCAGGCTTTACCTGACATTGCCCGCGATGCTGGGATGACTTCGGGTTGTTTAGTTTGGCTCCTCTCTCTCCGTCTCGCCACGTCCCCCTTTGCAATGTTCTGAATTGAATCTCTGGGATGGTGCAAGCGATTTTATTTTCCTTCATAACAGTGTTGGGGGGCAGGAGGTGGACCCACGTCAGCCAAGACTCCCACTCCCTCCAATGGGAAGCAAGATGGGGAAATGGGTGGATGGGGGAGAGGCTTCGCTGGGTGACATGGCAAGACCAACAGCGCACGCTGGAGGCATGAGTAGCTACACGTACATGCAGCAAATAAAATGCACAGCGATTAATGAGTAGGATGAGCAGGTGGCTGGGAGCAGCAACCCTGGGACCACATTCTGGGCCGAGACAATATTGCTGAAGCCGGAGGGTTAAAAAGGATAGTGGGTGCAACAGCTTTAATTTGTTGTTAGTGTTCCTCAGTGATCCTCATAAAAACCAAGGTGGAGGTCTTGAGTGACAGAAGGGTCAAAGTCTGTAGCATATAGACAAGAGGGGACAGGGCTACGGGTCAAGTTGTATAGAGGAGGGTTGTGGTTTTTTGGCAGTGCAGCTTTTCTTACTGCTGGAGTTTTAATGACGTGATGAGATGCCCCTGCTAAATCCCTCTTCTGTGTAACTGTTTAGGGCACAGGAACTCCCATCTTCAGGAGCACAGGATGAACTGTTTGATGGAGGCAGCTTGTCAAACCACTGTGGAAAATGGTCTCTGAGATGCCTCCCCCTCCTTTAAAAGGGCTGTTTAGTGAGATGGGAGGGGAAGCATGTTAGGGGGTGGGGAAGCCGTGAGGAGTGGGGCTGGGATCAAGCTGTGAGGTGTAAAGCGAGGAAGAGTTGGCCAGGTGTGGGGGAAGAGAGGTTGGCAGCAGGGTTGGCAGGTGGAGCAAAGCAGGGGTAACAGCTTGCAAAAAATAAGAAGAACAGTATCTGTACATTTTGTCTCATATATCAGACTCTGCCAGTGCTACAGAATAAACATCCACAAATGTATTAATTGAACATTTGATAGATAAGGTAAAGATATGTACAATTTTATAACATGCAGAGAACAATATGTGCAAAGAAATCAGAGAGGGGAGCTGAGGGAAGTCCTTGGTGTGGGGAGTGGGAGGGATGGGGGGGAAGGGGGGAAATAATGTAATTGATTATTTGGACTGATAATTTGTTATGTTGAAATTGTTTAATAATTATTTTTTTTTTTTAAAGACTCTGCCAATGCTACAAACGTACTTTTTTAATGAAAACTGGGAATCTGGAGATTATGTTTCCTCCAGGAGGTGCAACTGTCCCCTGTTGCCCCCCCCCCATGGATGCCCACTACTAACACACAAAGCTCCCCACCTGTCCTCTTCCTCATGCCCTCTCCAAGCATGCAAATAAGGATGCAAGAGCAGCAGCTGCCTCCATTTCCCTTGCCCTCTCCTGCTGGGCCCAGAGGGAAAGTGGTTGGGCAGTGGCAGGAGTGGCAAAGAGGTGGGCTTGCTCAGGGGGCAGACAGTGAGTGAACCCACATGTGCATGCAACATCAAGGGGCGGCTTGCATTCTTCAAGTAGCCATCCCAGATCAAGCATGGCATGAAGACTTACACAAGAGGCTCAGTAGGCTAGTGAGGGAGCCATCTTCGCTTCCTCTCCTCCTCTCCATGCTCAGCCCTCAGGCACAGGGCCATGGTCTTCCCCTCCATCCATCTTCCTCCTGCCAAGCTGGCGACAGCTGCTCCTTGTGCCTTCTCACACCTCCTCATCTTGCCGCTCAATACCTGCCGGGGAGTTATTAGAGCTGCCACTGCTGGTGACAGAAGGAGATAAATGGGCAATAGCTGAGAAGGGTGCCCCCTCGGCAATGAGACTGTGAGGGAGGCCAGATCTGGGGTGGGTGTGATGGTACTCTTAGCATGAGGGAGGAAAGGATGGCGCCCAGAGAGCAGCAGGCATGAGAAGTCCTTACTGAGGTATTTTGCAAGGAAAGAAAATAACATGAAGGATGGAATGGATTCTATTCATTACAGGCCCAAAAGAGTCAATGGTTTCTCCAGGAGTCCTATGCTGCAGAAGAATAGGGCGCAAGTGTCAATTCTACCTATTTATATCGCTATAAATTTGAGCTGGTTTATGGCTTTTGAATCTTGCCTGTCACCTCTGGTCAGTTTAAGCTGCAACCCTATGCACACTTACCTAGAGAGGGTCAGCCCTACCACTAGGTGGAGTGAGGCAGCTGCCTCAGACAGCAAATGCTAGAGGCACAGGGACTGGAGGCGAGGCATTAGAAGACATAGTTGTGTTTGTTTGCCACATAGTTTGCCCTACACCCCAGCTGTGGAGGACGCTGTCCCATTGCCAGTGTTGAAGTAAAATTAAACTGGTTAGCTTCTGTATGTGAAATGAGGGAAGGCACTATCTTGTCCTTTGTTTCAAGAAGCAAAATGTCTTGGACCAGTCCTGTAGCTGGTAAGAACACAGACTCTTTCCTACATGACACTGTTACCCTACATGGAGATCTTCCATATGGCATTGTTTTGTGTTTCCCAACCAAATGGTAGAAAATTCCACTAATGACTGGAATCTGTGGCTAGAAGACAATTCTTTTGCTAGGAGTGATAGTAGCTAAGGGCACAATGATGTTTCTCAATGGGAGCTCATGGTTGGTAGCTACCTAGAAATCTTGTTCATTCATTTGAAGGAGGTGGGAATCAGAACTGGAAGCAGGAGACCCAAAGCTAGTGGAGGGGATATTGTAAAGTGGGTGCATTTGTGTGTGAGGGAGAAGAAAAAGGCATTTGTGGAGTCTGGAGTGAGACAAAAAGAGAGCTATGCTCGCTGAATGTACTTTGGGGTGCAAGGCATCTTTCTCGGGCAGTGTTACCCATGCAACTTCTCATTGCTCAAGGAAGTGAGGGAGCATGCAAGAGTGTTTAGAAATATCTGTTCATTAGTAAGAAGGCAGAGCAGTTGTAAACAGTGTGAGCCCCAAAGCTGCATCCAGTTTTGGAACATCATCATCAGTCCTTTTTTCTGGGGGGGGGGGGGACGCAGGCGTATGCATACCCCTAAACATTTTGTGAATCTTTGTACTTTTGTCCATTTACTGTATTTATTTTCCTCGATTTGATCTATAAAATGGTGGTTTTCTTGAGTCAAAATGAGAGTACCCCAAACATTTTTTAAGAAAAAAAGCACTGATCATCATTATCCATGGACCTCAAACTGTTGACTAGACAGTATTATGTCTTATCCTTTGTCTAGGACTAGATTCTAGGGGGCTGGAGGGCACAACTCAGGGTGCCCCCAGGCAACATGGTTACTGAGCATTCATCCTGATTTGTTTACAGGGTGGATAGGCAATGTCAGCTAGTTAATGTGTGGGCTTCTCGTGCAAGACCTCCCAATCAACTGGCATTGTGCAGCCTGAATTTGCCAATACGTGATTGAATCCCACCTGAAAATAGCAATAGTCTGCAAATGTCCTGCAAGTGTGAACCCAACCACTCAGGCTGGGGTGATTTCATACTTAATCCCTAGCAATTATTCTCAATTTCTTGCCCAGTTTGGGTTCTTTGACTCAGAACTTAAGACAGGGCAACATTTTGGTGCAGATGCAGTGTGGTCCATAGGTCACTGGCAATTGCAACAAGAAAATAATTCACCAGGCTCCAAACAGCTAGAGCTAAAGGTTAAATGTTCGCTTTCCAGCCTCACTGTGACTCTAACAGCTCAAGTGCACTGAGGTGGCAGGAGCCGTCCTGAGCTAAGAACCCATATTAATTTAAGTCCTCTGACTGGTAAGTGTTCCCAACTTCTGTTATTTTCCCACTGAACGTCATGAAGGCCAAGAGCTTACTCTGGATAGCAGGACTGTGTTCATTTACATTTTTCCATATACCGTACTTTGGTAAACTAAATCATCTTATGGGGCATGAATGTTTCCTATTCTTCTCATAATATCTTCCTCCGGATATCTTCGGATTTCCTCAGAGTTGTCCTTCCACCATCTGCAGTTCTGCAAAGTCTTCACAAGATACTTGCAAGTTTGTGGACTCTCCAGCTGCAGGTATGTGGATTTGTAGAGATTAGGAACTGGCAGCCGAATAATGAGCTGCTTAATTCAAATTAACATGGGACATTTAGTACTATGGCCCTTCTCACCTGCTTAGGGTTGTTTGGTCACAATGCTGAAGTGACGGTGGAAACCACAACTGGAAGAGTTGCCCTCCAATGTCATTCATAAATGGTAGCATAAATGCTGTCTGGTCTAGACTCCAGTCTACAAACTGTGCTCTTTTGCCAGCTTCCTCCTTGCCCACAGTGTACATCTTCTCCTATCTGTATGTCTTACATATAACTTTGCTCAGTCCTACGTGGCTCTTTCTTTCTCCAGCTGCACCCACCCATTGTTTTCTCAGCTTTCTGCTTTTCAGGTCACTTCCTACTTCAAGAATGGGGAAAGTGTGGCCCTGCAGATGCTTTTGGAGCTCCTTTCAGGCCCAGCCAGCGTGGCTAATGATTGGGGTGATGGGAGTTGAAATCCAATTATAGAGCCATAAAAGATGGGCAAAAGCAGTGCTTTTTTCTAAAATAAAAATGTTTAGGGGTACTCTCATTTTCCTACTCATATTGAAATACTGCCCCTCAATGTGGCCAAACTTAGATGTTTAGGGGGGTGCGTACCTCTGCGCGCCCCCCACCGAAAAAAGCACTGGATGAAACACAGTACGCTGCGCTGATGTAGGTCATGGTTGCTGCTTGCTGCTTTCCCTCCCCTTCGCCGTGACCCTTGTTGCCGACACCATCTTTCCCCTTCTCCTCTTGCTGCCTTCCACTAATTTTCTGCTGCTCCTCCTCTTCCCTCTGCCACTGCCTCCAGTGCAAGGACATCCTTGCAGCATCTTTGCAGCTCAGTATCACACTGCAAGGAAGAGGCCTTTCCTCAAAGCAAGGTATGGCAGTTATGGTAGTCACAGAGAGGGTGGTCACCACTGCCATTTTGCTACCACCGTGGCAAACATTGTTGAAAGTTTGCCTCTGCTAAACTTTAAAGTTCAACAGAGGGCCAAGTGTCAGTGGTGCCTCAGTCACAATGCCTTGCGCTCTTTCTCTCTGCAGATCAGCTGTTCCTACCATCAAAGCATTATTTGCATTCAGCTTGGCCCTTTTGAGCATTGTAGCTGTTTTTCTACATTGACCCCTCTCAAGAGATTTAGTTGTATCTCATGGGTGGTATTCAACTAACTCCTCACCCTAAGCTGTTTTCTCCCAGTGGCTCCACTTTTCCTTATTGTGATCCCCTGAAGGTAGCCATTTCTGGATTTCTTCTTCTGCTGTTCCTAGAAAGAATCGTGGCTGCCACTTGCACCGTCTGCTCCCTCTGTTTGCACCCTGTTATGTACTGAGTTGAATAGGATCCAAACTCCAGCAGTCTGATTGGTCCTAGAACAATAGGATTCAGAATGCAGCAGTCTGATTGGTCCTAGAACAATGCAGCAGTATGATTGGTTGGCAGGAACCACCCAATCATGCTCCAGATAGAAGTGAATCCACAACCTGATTGGCTTACTGTAGAATTCCGGAATTAGCCAATCATGTGCAGCCCATTGTATAAATAATGTATATAAGGCAGATACTTTGAGGGGACATTCATTCATTCCTCCTCACCACTATGAGCTGAATAAAGAGCATGAAATCACTTTGCGACTCTGAGTATGTTTCACACCCCCTTGGAGGTTTCTAGCTGCAGATCAGCTAACAGCCCTCCCACTTCTGGCAGGATGGATGCAGAGTAAAAATTGCCAGCCAACTTGAAGATGAAATCCCCAACATTACTGCAATCCTAGCTTTATGCAGTTTCTCCATTATAGGTTGAAGCTCTGCCACTGTCCCAGGGTTTCAAAAATAGATCTTAACACGCTGAACTTTCACTTCCTCATGTTTCAGCACGTGGAAATTGTGCAACGTCTTAAGCACAGCTTCTTTAATTGTAAACCTCTTAAATCTTATCACTAGATCTCTCACTTCACCGCTGTTTGGCTCCCTTGGACTGGGGGCCCCATAAGCTTGTTCAGTGTCCTGCCAGGTCACTTCTACTGGCAATTTCAAGTCCTGGAACCAGTGCAATATAAACCACGCGGGGCCCTCCCATTCCTCTCTCCAGAAGGCCCAGATCTGAACATAAGATTTTACCTTGCATGTTCTCCTGCTTCTCCAGGCATAATTGTAAGACTCTAGCTGCCATTTTCAATTTCAGCAGCCAGCTCTTTTCAGAGCATTTTAAGGTAAGCTAGAATTTCCCCTTTGCTGGACTTGGCCCCATCATGCACCATGTCAGCATCTTGGTGGCACTGACAGGGCCCATTTTTCCTGTTGTTTTAGTTGGGAAAACTGAGGATTTGAAGCTTTCTACTGGAAATATATAAAAAAGAGAAGGGTCAAAGATGCTGAAGAGTGCTGTTATTGTTGTTGTTGTTGTTGTTGTTGTTAAAATGCCCCATGGGTTCAGCCCCAAAAGGCCTTCTTCAGGGGCTTTCCTGCAAAACAATAGGTCCACACATGAATTAACCATAGTTACATTTTGTGTTATACATGTTTTATTAATTGTGTGGTCCTATCTTTCTGTAAAAGAAAAAAAGATGTTATAGATATTGTTTGTAAACTTGCATCCATATCAATTAGCATATGCAAATAAGTGTCTTTTTAAAAAAAAACCTTTTTGCTGGTGTTGCATGTCCTCATTTTAGTGGTGTGCTGAGTGGCCACTCTAACTGAAACTTATCTCTGCTCTTTCACTGTTTAACCTGGCAGGCAGAAGGAGCAAGGGGTCTACATTGCAGCTTCCATTCACCTGTCCACCTCTGTGCAGTCCTATAGAAGAGTCACAGTCTTCATAGAATTGTGGAGTTGGAAGGGACCATGAGGGTCATCTAGTCCAACCCCCTGCAGTGCAGGACTCTTTTGCCCGACGTGAGTCTTGAACCCACAACCCTGAGATTAAAAGACTTCTGCTCTACCAACTGAGCTGCCCAGCAGCTAGGATTCAGGAAGCGCACACATCAGCTGTCTAGCTCCCTCCCATGAAGTCTGTCTTCATGGTTAGAATCAGGCAGGTGCACTGGCAGACGGAAAGGCGTATTGCAAAACAAAAACAAAAAATCCCAACAACGCACATGCTGCAGAGGCAACAACCTATGGCATTTTGGTGCCTGAGGCAGAAAATCCATAGTGTGCACAGCAATGATCACAAGCAACCGTGCCATGTTTGAAAGGGAAGGGGATGGCAAAGGTTTCCCCCCCAGAGGTGGTGGTAACTGGAAGGGATAGCCTCTGTAGCAGACAGCAAATTTAACTGGGCATCAGATTCCAAGGAGAACCCCTGCACCCCATGGTACTCCACAACCAGCCAACTCATAGCTCCATATGCTGCGTCCAAATGTCTCCTGGTCATTTTGTCTACTTCTTTTAATTTTTACAATTTATTTTTAATTTCAAGCAACGAAACATATCCATACAAGGATTACAGAGCTTAGTAGCTGTACAGAAAAGAAAGCAAAATAGCGGCTGATGGTTGTAGTTTTAGACGTTCCAAGAAAGGCAACCAAATGAAAGTGTCTCTCCATAAGGTTCAAGGAGTTGATGGAGGGTGAAAACTATGTCCGATTGTCTTAACAAAGTCTCTCTCTGATCCTTTCCTAATTGAAAGCTGGTGACAAACTGCTTCTTTGCCCCTCAGCTTAGATATGAGGAATGTTGTGTTCCCAAATGCTCCTGGGGGTTGCATTCTAAAGGCTGCCAGGTTCCCAACTATCAGAAAAACATATTAAGTTATTAATGGCTACAGCAGTTCTTTTGTTAACGTCCCTGGCAGCTCATCAGCTGGGCGTTCCCCACTATCAAGATGGCCAAATTCATGACATTATGAAAGATGAAACTTGAGAACATGAGTGTTTCTCCCTCCTCCCTCTTTTTTATTATTTAAATCTCATAATAATTAAAGTCATGTGGGTGGGTGTGCACATATTTTTTAAGCAGGAGATTTGTGGCTTTTTGCATATGCATACCAATAACATGCAAACCATTTAAATGTTTGAGATAATAGTCACTTTAGATGCAAACTCCCTCTGCTGGTCTCTCCAAATAGCACCTATGCTTTCAAGTCATGCCAGAGTGAAGGGAGGTTGCCAAGGCCTGATGAGGTGGAGAAATGGAAGCAGCAGAAAGTTAACTATTTGAAGACACTGTAGGATGTGTGAGGCTTTGAAAGTCCTGGACCGGCTTCAGAAAATGGGAATTGGGAGCACGGTATTACAGTGGTCCCAATCCTGCCTTCAGAACCAAGTCCAGAGAGTAGCATTGGGAGAGTGCCCCCTGGTGGCTCTTATGGGGTGCTGCAGGGGACTGTCTTATCTCCACTGCTGTTTAATATCATTATGCATGAAGTCGCTGGGAGTGGTCATTAGGAGTTTGGGGGCAAGGTGCTAATGGTTATTTCTCCTTAATCGTTGAATCAAAAGAGGCTGCTGCGCAGTTCCGGGGCCATTGCCTGGATGCAGCTGTGAAATGGATGAGCTAAAACAAGCTGAGCTTGTATTCTGGCAAGACAGAGGCACTGGGGATGAGTAGCTCCCGTGTCTGAGAAAATGGTCAGTTGCCTACCCTGGATGGGGCTGCACTCCCTCTGAAGGAGCAGGTTCACAATTTGGGGGTGCATCTGGTCAGCTTGGTCACAGGAGGCTCTGTGGCTAGAGGTTCCTTTGACCAGCTGCAACTGATTCAACAGCAACAGTCATTCCTGGACTGGGAAAGCCTTGCCACAGTAGTTCGTGAATTTCCAATGCTGTGGATTTACTGCAATGTACTCTATGTGGGGTTTCCCTCTTGCTTGATCCGGAAACTGCAGTTAGTACAAAATGCTGCCGCATGATTGCTGGTAGGAGTGAGGCCTTGTCAGCATATAACACCTGTGCTCAGAGATCTGCACCGGTTGCCGATTTGCTGCCGAGCCAAGTTTAAGGTTTATGTCACTGTTAGGATATAAAGCCCTTAAGAACTGGGGACCGGTTTATGTATGAGATCACCTTACCCTCCATGTGCCCCCTCGGTCATTTCGATGGGCGAAATTGGCACTACATAATAGGTGCCACATAATACCTGTTCTGTCTTTGTAAGAACTCAGTCATTTAGTGGGGCAGCTCCTACACTTTGGAACTCCCTGCCTCTTGAGATCAAGAGGTATCTTCATTGCCTGCCAGAAACATTCTTGTTTAGGCAAGCCCACCCTGATGCTTAGGAAGTAATCTTAATCTGTTTTAGTATTTAAACGTCTGTATGTTTTAAAATAGGGTTGAAATTTTACTGTTTTATCTTTTGTAAACTGCTTTGAATGTTTTTTTTACAGTCAAGCAGCATATAAATGTTATGAAATAAACAAACAAAGGCTTTGCAGAAGTGGCTATTAAGGAGGCCTTTGGGGGACAGAAATGGTTTGGCTAGGTGCAAATGGGGGGAATTCTTTTCTCTGGTGTTTCCAAAAGGGCAACAGTCATTTCTTGGCTTTCTTTCTCCCTACAGGAGCCAAAACTACCGCAGTCATGGCGGAACTTCAACGTCTTCCCTCCTTGAAACGAGTGGCCGTTTCTGGGGGCACTCATGGGAATGAGATGTCGGGAGTTTACCTGGCCAAGCACTGGCTCAGGGACCCCTCTGAGTTGCAACGCGGCACCTTCCAAGCTACGCCCTTCCTGGGCAACCCACGGGCAGTTGAGCAATGTGTGCGCTACATTGGGAGGGATCTTAATCGGGCTTTCCTCAATGAATTTCTCACGTGAGTCTATGACCCTGTGTGTTGCTCTGCAGAGCTTCCCTAGGAAAGGCAAGAGTTATGCCACTCCTGCTACTGGGGAAGGGAAACTGCTTTGGCTTGCATTCCTCTCAGCTAGATCTGAGGATGTGTTGGAGTGCTAAATCATCACTCAAGGCTGGATTTTGCTGCATAAGGCTGGGGTGGAGAACTTTTGGCTCTCTAGATGTTTCTGAACTACAACTCCTCTCATCCCAGACCATTGGCCAGGCTTGCTAGGGCTGATGGGAGTTGTAGTTCAAAAACATCTGGAAGACCTCCATGGGAAAATGTCATCTCACCTTCAGTCCTGGTTGAAATCCCTCTTTTGGCCCAGGAATCTGCCCATTTGCCATCACCTTTGTTTTGCTCATCTGTTTCTTAGCTCCAAGGACTCTGACATAGACCACTATGAAGTTCAACGTGCTCAGGAGATCAACCAGAGTTTTGGGCCCAGGGATTCATCTCAGGCCTATGACTTTATGTTTGACCTACATAACACCACAGCCAACATGGGCGCCTGCCTTTTTGTGGCCACTGAGCACTGCCTGTTGCCCATGCACATGTGTCACTACATTCAGGTAAGCCCATGATCCTGGGATCTCCTGAAAATCTCATTTCTCCAGCTTTTTCAGGGAAGTAAAGCTTCCCCTTAAAAGCTACTTCTGTTCTTTTCTCCACAGAAGCATTACTCAATGGGGCCCTGCACCATCTTCCTTTATCAGCAGCCTGGAGAGGAGACTCTTTACCTCACTTCAGTGGCCAAAGCTGGAATAGGTAGGGAGTGATAATCAGCCTGGGCATTCCTGATGGCAGAGAACTATCCGTTCTAGGTTAACTTTGACAGGAGGGGCAGGGCCACTCACCTGTCAGTCATCACGTCCTGATGCAGGGAGGGGGTCTGCTTTGCCAGTGCATTCAGCAACCAGCAGGACTGAACTCTCTGCTCTTCAGCTGTCCAGCAGAGGGTCATTAGCTGGTGAGCAAGGGTTAAATCCTGCTGCTTTGGATGCATGCGCCCTTTCTCAGCAGGGGACTGAAGTGAGCTGATTGGCAGATGGATGTGGTTTGGGGAAAATTGCTTCCTTTTTTCCTCTAAATGCCAGTTTTTCTCACCTAGTTGTCTGGTTGTCATGGCCTTCAAGGGCCACTAAATGTTTTTGGTTCTTGGCATGGCACAGTGGGCCGTATTGAGATACCTATTTACCTATTCACTCATGAGGTGGTTTTTTTTTAAAATGAATGAATGAATGAATGAATGAATGAATGTGTATCATGCTCCCCAGAGGAGCTCAGGGTAGGAGACATGTTTTCCCTGCCCTTTACACTCACAATAACCCTGGGAGGAAGAATAAACTAAGAGGCAGTGAGTGGTCCAAGACCACCCAATACGTTTTGCGGGTGAGGGGGGGATTTAAACCCAGGCCCCCATCCTCCAAATCCAACACTCTCAACAACGATGCTATACCACACTGGTTCTGATACTGAGCAGGGCTAGGGTGGAAATGTGTTTCATATAGGTGTACTAACAGCAGGTGTTTGACCCAAAGGTAATGGCATGCTGTGCTTAAAAATTACCAAAGCAAGGGAGTGAAATGCACAGGATCAGACCACCGCTGTGCCAGTTATGCAAAAGGCTTTCGGGAAGCTCATGCTTTACGTAAGATAGGCAGAGGGACTCTGCTGGGATAATTCCATAATCACTTCTCTGTTATTCCCCTGCAGCGTTAGAGCTGGGTCCTCAGCCCCAAGGAGTGGCGCGAGCAGACTGCCTTGCTCAGATGAGATCCATCATGGCCTGTGCTCTGGACTTCATTGAGCTTTTTAACAAAGGTGACCTATCCCATCATTCCTCGTTCTGTTCTGATTCTTGGGATTTGGAGCTGGGCAAAATCAGAGGTGGGAACTCTTTTCACCCTCAGGGACTGCATTCCCTCACGAGGAGCCTCCTCCTGGGAGGCCTTGTGACAGTGGTGCCCAGGCCTAGAGACAAAAGTGGGTGGGGCAGAGCCAGTGGCAAAATGGGCGGAGCCATGGGTGAGAGACTTCCCTTTGCACAGTAGGTGCCATTCCAGCCATGCAAAGGTCAGAGGTTTTGACAAACACACTCCTCTTCATCTTCCATCCGGCTAAGTGAGAGGCATTGTTGCTGCTGAAGGGCAAATTCCAGCCAGGCAAAAGCACCTGATGAAATCTCAGAGCAGGGCCTGTGTGGTCTAGGGAAGGGGTGTGGTCTGGGGAGAGGCATGAGGGCCTGATAAAGAGCCCCTAGGAAGCCACATTTGGCCTCCACCCTTGAGCTAAATGGATGTGACTGGCATGGGTCCAAGAGCTTTTCTTTTGCCTTGCTGTTTTCCCTGGGAAACCTTCTGTTTATTGCTGAATCAGAACAAATGTCAATAGGGTTTTCTGCAAATTGACGCTTGTTCTGATTCAGCAGTAAACAGCGAGTTTTCCCAGAGAAAGTGACAGGACCAAAAAACCCACAAAACCCTCTCAGAGAAATCACAGGAAAAACAGAAGAAATTGAAGGACAAAGGAAAGTGTGAGTGAGCCATTAGATAGTTGGCGTTGCCTTTTTAGTTTTAGTGGTGAATGTTGACAGTTTTTCCCCTCCTACGCACACATTTTTCTCTTGTGAGTATATAGACAGAAGTAGATAGTGTGTGTCTGGCCTACCAAACAGCCATCATACATTACTCAGAAATCATTCTGATGATATAATTCATGTTTTATGATATATACTTCCACTGTGTGATTTATGATATTCCATCTATTAAAAAGCTCTGTTGTTGTTTTTAAATGACTTTTGGCATGAAGCCTTGACCAACACTCAGGTGCCACTTGCTGATGTACAGCCCCATAGTGATTGTGGATCAGGAGTGGGGTGGGGACCCCACATTTTCTTCTGCTCTAATGGACCATTAGGGATGCGGGTGGTGGCGCTGTGGGTTAAACCACAGAGCCTAGGACTTGCTGATCAGAAGGTCGGCAGTTCGAATCCCCGTGACGGGGTGAGCACCCGTTGCTCGGTCCCTGCTCCTGCCAACCTAGCAGTTCGAAAGTACCTCAAAGTGCAAGTAGATAAATAGGCACCACTCTGGCGGGAAGGTAAACGGCATTTTTGTTTGCTGCTCTGGTTCGCCAGAAGCAGCTTAGTTATGCTGGCCACATGACCCGGAAGCTGTACGCCGCCTCCCTCGGCCAATAAAGCGAGATGAGCGCCGCAACCCCACAGTCGGTCACGACTAGACCTAATGGTCAGGGGTCCCTCTACCTTTACTTTAATGGACCATTGGCCATTAAGTGAGGCACTCTCCCTTTCTATGGTCTGGTTGTCTTTCCATCTCCTCTTGTCAGGCACATTGTTCCCAGCCTTTGAGACTGAAGCATACAAGGTGGTTGAACGTGTGGATTTCCCCCGCTATCCTGATGGTGAGATCTCTGCTGTGATACATCCCAATCTGCAGGTGAGTATGGAGGGAAAAGGAAAGAAGGAGGAGCAGACTCCTCTCCCCCCCCTTTCTGTGTGTGTAAAAAATGTAATCTGTATGCATCTTTGTAGCAGCTGCTGCTTCTCTTACACCAAACTTGGCACTCCAGATCTTGTTGGCCTACAACTCCCATCATCCCTAGCTAACAGGACCAGTGGTCAGGGATGATGGGAATTGTAGTCCCAAAACATCTGGAGGGCTGAGTTTGGCCATGCCTGTCCTACACAATGTGTTAAAGGACTAGGCTCCTACACCTTTAAAAAGTGTGTAGAAATGAGAATGTTGGTAGGTGTTACAAAAGAGAGGAACCTGCCAAACTTGCAACTGCCAAAATTCTTTCCCATGCACAATTGTTGTAAGTGTCTTAGCTGTCACTTTCTACTACATCTTATCACCCATCATCCTGCAGGCAGCAGTGTGGAAAAATCCTTGCTGCATCTGTTCCAGCTTCTGTGAGAGTTGCTCTTGCCACTCCCGTGCAGAGAAGATGTAGGAATGCTTGCTCCAGGTGATTCTTCTGACTGTTCTGCCTTTAGCTTATAATCAAATCCTCTCTCTTTAGGATAAAGATTTCCAGCCCCTGAAGCCCGGGGACCCCATTTTCCAGACGCTCAGTGGAGATGTGATTCTGTATGAGGGTGACAACATCACCTACCCAGCCTTCATCAATGAGGCAGCCTACTATGAGAAGAAAGTGGCCTTCGTCAAGATGGAGAAACGCACATTCGCCCAACCTGCACTGCAGAAGGAGCTTTAAATAAGTTATGTTTAATCCCGGGAACAAACCAGACATCACCAGAAGCCAGTTCAAATGAATACATTTTATATCGTCTAAGAAGCCTCTGTAGTATCCCTCCCCTAGGCACCGTATATTTCCACAAAAAATAAAGAGTCCTTGTATAATTTCATAGTTTATTACTGGAGACAGCTCTATCTCGTGCTTATAGGATACGATAACATCATTCTCTAAAACAGTAGTTCATTGCCTTTTCATCCAAAGAATTTGCACTGGGCTGGTCCCCCTGCAAGTTTTCTAGATTGCCTTTTATTATCTGTGGGATGGAACTGTTCTGGTGGAGTGGATCACGGTGTTCTAATACGGTTAGAGTTAGCATGAATACGAGGTGTAAGTCTAGATTCAAATCCTGTGATCTAGTCAGAACTGCCTGAGCATTTTAGCTCAGGCTCAGCTGCCCTACCCCCCAAATGTTCTTCTTCATGAGGGTGGCGACAAAAATAAAAGGATGCTTATTTGCATAATCCAATTTTATGTGTATCATTGCAAATTTTGAAAATGTTTATAATTTAAATGAAAGTGCAATGCATCTGACTGTACATACTGGGAAAGACTGTGCCCAGGTGACTTGTGTGCCAGCTCAGTCTCCTGCCCCGTGCTGTGAATGGGAAACTTCAAGGATCCAGCTCTCTCATATACAAGGCCCCTGCCCTTCCTTCTTATGGTTCTTTATCTTTAAAATGGACTTGGACTGGATTGCCCTTCAGTTAGAGATGACCTTCCAATTAGAGGACTGTCCCCTGTAAGGTAAAGCAGGTGGCCACCCTTTCCCTCTCAGTGGTGACACTGTTGGGTATGACAAATGAGATAATGGCAGTGTTATCCGATGGGTGTGTGGGAGGAGGGAAGAAGGATTCTCTCTCACTTCTAAAATAGATACATAATCTTATGAATGAAAGGTTCCCCAGAGCTCACAGTCTTACGATTCTGGGTGCCTAATTGTTAACGGTATTGGATCTGCCCCACTGCTTGTTGCATACAATGCTGCTTTTCCATCTTTTCCCCAATATGCTACCTATGAGGTTATCCCATACTCAGTTGGGCCATCTAGTCAAGACCCAGCACTGTCTTCTCTGCCTGGTGGTAACTCTCTGGGGTTTCATTCAGTAGGGCTTTCCTAACCTTCCTGCAGCTACCCTACCTCTTGGCTCAAAGCGCTGGTGATGCAGCCTGGGAACTTTAGAACGTGGGATGTTTGCTCCAACACTGAGCTATGCTCTACAAACCCTTTTGTTTTGCAGTACCGGCTCCTGCCAGCTCTTGGCATAGGAGAGAGAAAGGACTTGAACTGTGGCTTAAACTGTTGCACTACAAAAAATACAAAGTTGAGGCTTCAACAAGGTAGTCCTTGGGGAGCACTTCACATTTTGTGGAAATACATAGCAATGGGCTGGTTCTTCCAGTTTGCTACTGGCCTGAGTTTTGTTGTATTGATTTAACAAGACAGTGCACACGCACCCCCAGTAATGTAGCCTAGTGGCGACGGACAGAAGCACACTAAGGTTCATTTCTTCCCTTTCCATCTTAAGGCCTCTGCAAACAGGCCTTTCATTCATGTCTTTGTTTTGCCCTGGAGATATATGGATACCACCATTCAAGTTCAGGAGAATACTGACATCCCAAGGGGGAGTGAAATATGAAATTTTGTTCTGAACGACTCCCTGATTTTAGTGGGATTCTCCAGGAATTCTGGGCTCATGGATGAAGCCCCAAACTGAATGTATTTTGCTTTGATATTATCTGTTATAGTGTTTTGCTTTTAACTGAGATTTTGTATACCAGACAGACAGACAGACAAATATTAGATTGGTTTGTGATATAGAAATGAAATAATAAAATAGAAAACTACTGTGCAGAAAGCTTGGATACAGGAAGATCACCCAAAGCTTCAGATGTGATCCGTAGTGAGGAACGATCTTCCATATCCAGAGGAGAGAGGAGGCCTCTTCATGAGCCCAGCTGCAGGATAGCTTTCTGGGTCAGAGTTTTCCCCCTGAGATATCTTGCACCATGTGAAGGTGGAGTCAGCTGGTAGTTGGGTGTGCATGGGTTTTCACTGAAGGACCCAGAATTGGAGGAGATACTGCAGCCTTCTGTGGGTGTTGCCCCACTATCTCCAGGAGGTGAAGAGACATCAAAGGGCAGCCAGCTCCCTCTGGCTATCAGGGGGAAAGGGCAGTAATTCTGGAAGTAAGAAAACACTCACTTCCCCTTTGGATCTTGTTACCTGCTTGACAGCATCATCACAAACTCTGAAACAGGTGGGAAGAGGAGAATCAGTTCCCGAGATAGCCACTGCGTGCACCCTCTGCATCCCCCATGTCATACACATGATGTTAGCCACAATTCACATTTATTCTGTATCTATCCCCCCTAACCCCTGTTGCATTTAGAGAAGACGGTTAATAGGGAAGGTGCTCCGTTCTCTCACCATCAAAGTCCACTCTTCCATCCCCATTGAGGTCCATGTCCTGCAGGATCTCATCCACTTCCTGGCCATTGAGTTGCTCCCCCAGGAGTACAGTCACGGCCTGGCGCAGCTCTGCCCCACTGATCGCTCCATCCCCATCTGTGTCAAACTTCAGAAAGAAGGGCACATGCACAATGTTACCTCCAGCTCAGACACTTCGGTTTCCTTTACCCTCAAATCCCCCAAGATCCTCCTCTTTTCATGCTTACCCCCATGATCCCCAATCCTGGCCACCCCACTCCACTTCGGCTCCTTTATCCTAAGCTGGAAAGCATTTACTAGTAGCTTTGGTCCCCTTCACACAACCACCTGCAGCAGCAAAGGAGTTGTTTCCCTGTGATATCATGCCCTTCAGGAGTGTGTGGGGTGTTGTGTAAATGAATGAATGAATGAATGAACAAATGAAGTATCCATCTAGTGAGAGACAGTTGCAGGTGTCTTTCTCATTCATCTAGTATTTTACCTCCTCATGTAGTGCCAAAGGCCATTGGCTCCACTCCTTCATACATACATAGTGTGCAATTGCCCCAGAGAGAAGCAGCTGTCTCTCATCACTGTGGGTATGTGGGTGTGAGAAGCAAGCTCATATATCATTTACATTTGTCGGGTAACATGGCTGTTTGCAGCTGTACCAGGGTAAGGTTGTTTTGGCTTTTTTTAGAAGCCGCTTCTTGTTCCATAGCATCAAGAGAAACCTATCAGGCACCTCTTGTTTCGGTTCATCTTATGTGCACATAGCAGCTCAAAGAAGAGACATCACAGACACCAGCACTAAGACAGGAGATATGCTTTTGAACACATGTTAGCCATATCTAAGGCGTACTACTTGCCCCCTAGGAGCTTGCACAACACAGAAACACGTTCTCCTGCATAGGCTGAAATGTTCCACCTGCCAAGAAATGTTGTTATTCACACAGACAGCCACCAGAGGGCAATGTATTAATACTTCATCTAATTAATTCCCTTTATTTGGCTATAGTAAGATCCATCATGGGCAGCCAACTGTTCTTCCAACTGTCATCTCTAATTCTGTGGAGCCAGTAGGACTACCAAGCACCGCAACCAAAATAAGCCAAGATTATGGTTGATACGTTTTACAAACTAATGTGGCAAACACAGAGCTATTCTGCGCACACAGAGCACTATCCAAGACCCTGAAAAGGCTGGAAGAACTTTCATATTTATTTCTGAAATGTATATGCCATATTGCTAGCCCTGCGGGGTCTTCAAAAAGCTTGCAGTTTAAAAACAACAATGAAAAATATATTATGTTTTTGGCCTACAGCTTCCATGATCCCTAGTTAGCAGGACCATTGGTCAGGGATGATGGGAATTGTAGTCTCAAAACATCTGGAGAGCCGAGGGTGAGGAAGCCTTATCTAGTGCTAGTAAGTTACCTTGTTTTGTGGATTGCTGAGAATCAGTTACTTTTTTGACCCATAATAATTGATAAACAATATAACTTGATTCCAGTAGTGAAAGGACAGGGTAGCTATGAATGTCTTATACCAGATGTGAGGAGCCTTTGGCCCTCCAGGTGCTGCTGAACTACAACTCTCATCAGCCACAGAAAGCACAGCCAATGGCCAAGGATATTGGGAAATGTAGTTCTACAACATCTGGAGGGCCAAGATGATTCCCTGGCTAGTTGCCACCCACATTTCTAGCCTGAACCTACATACTTCTGTGTGTCTTACAATTCATCAGGGATGAATCCCTTACAATGTCAGGGCTTATGGAAATATAATGTGCAGTTGTATCTAAAGCATTACATGGAATATGGTTTGAGGAATATCACAATTCCCTGCTTCCCTCCCGCTGATTGGCTTCCCATCATACCTCACGGAAGGCAATTTTCAGCTCCCTCACGCCCACCATGTGAGCAGTCTCCTCACGCAACTTTGGGCCCATCATCTCTACGAAGTCCTCAAAGTCTACACGACCTCCCACTATGAGGAAAGAGAAGGAGAGTAAAAGTCAGCTTCCCAAGGACTGGGCAGAGAAGCTAGCGGCACTTTTTACGGAATGACTGCAGCACACTCAGTAACACAAATGGAACCTGCAGCATAATGTTGCAGCATGGAGAGTTCCTGTTCATTGTTCTAGTCTGTCTGCCATGCCTTTCTTTTGCATAATTCTCTATCCCAGGGCTGTCCAACACGTGGCCTGAGGCATCAAGCTCCTTTTTGGTGGCCCTCAGCATCATTTGACAACACACACCCAGCCCCACCACAGCCCTCTGTGCTACCTTCCCAAAGCCAGGCAAGATTGGTGCTGGGCTTTGGAAAAGAGGTGTGAGAGTTCTGACAAGGTCCTAACATCATCCTACCTCCTTCCCAAGGCCAAGTTAGCCCTTTCCCAGCTTTGGGAAGGAGGTGGGAGGACTCTAGTACTCTGCCAGAGCCTCATTTAATTTATCAGCTTTGGGAAGGGAGCATGAGGGCTGGGAAGGGGCATCAAATTTTGGCCTTGCTCCCCTCTCCTGCATGACAAGGCAGTGAATGGCCTGCAGGTTCCATGTGGAAGTACTCTTGCTACCCAATTGGTATGAAAAGTTGGACCTCCCTGCTCTATCCCATTCCCAGCTGATTTACTGCTCCCCCCTCACCCAACAGTCATACTTCATTATGTGGCTACTGAGCATGTTCAGTCCTCATTGGTATTCCCTCGCCGCCACCCCACATTTTTTGTACTTCCACAAGCCTTGAGGTTCTACCAGATCTGCTGATACCACCTCCCTTTTGTACACGGACAGTTCTGTTTTGGGTACGTAAGCAGCAGCACTCACAGCTGAACGCTGGAAATAGAGAGAATGAGTTACTTTCTCAGGAGTAAAATGTTATAGTGGTGAGGAAAGGGGAGCAGAGCACTGGTGTTTTGCATTTAACGCAAGCAACAATGAACCAACTTATCTACAGCCTGAGTCTGATCATATTGTTCAAAAGCAAGGAGGCTGCTTGTTTATTTAGTTATGGTAAATATATATTGCAGAACATTCGTTAGAATTTTAGCTGCTGGTACACTGCCTGTCAGCTTTGTGTACCATTTGACATATCACAGACTGCAGCTGGTAAGATTCATTTTGAACAGCTAAATATGCTAATATTTTATAAGGCAAGTATGGGTCCACAATATATGTTCACTAGGGATGGAGAGAATTCAGTTATCTTCATTTCTCATTTTTCCATTCTTAAATTCTGTTTCCACATTTTTGCAGCACACACACACACACACATATATATATATGAATGAACGTCTCTTAAGAAACACATTTCTGCATGCAATTTTGACTGACGTACACATTTTTTGGAAGCAATTTCCCCTGCTATAATAAATTTGGCATGCTATTTTCCCAAATACATTCATTTTTATGAACGCTTTCCCATAGTATGTGCATTTTTGTAAACATTATTTGGCTGGAAAACTGCAGTGCGAGTTCCAAAGAGCAGCTGCGTTTTGGTTTCGGTCAGTGCAAATGTGGTAGATTCGCCTTTAAATGAAAACTGAATGAAAATTCTCCTGCATCCTTGGTGCTCACCTATGCACCTTTATATCATGTGTAATGGAGAAGATGTATCCATTCTCCATTGGCCAGTCAGAACTTCTAGAGACTCTGGGGGAGGAGCTGAAGCCTGTAAAATGTCTGCTGCTGCTTCTTTTATTTTAATTGTCCCTAAAGACAATTCTGAATATCAGAAAGTGTACCCCTGGTAATAGGAACCACTGAAACTGCAATTCTGGGGTGAGGGCATTCAGCCAGAAACCTTCGGGCTGTAAGGAACAAGGCAGCACTTCCTGAAGCAGATTTTGGGTACATATCCCCACCTGCACCCTGCAACTCACTGCGCATTTTGATGTGTTGGGAGATCTCAATCAGCTCCATCTCAGTGGGCATGTAGCCCATAGTTCGCATGCACTCTCCCAGGTCCTTGTAACTGATGTAGCCGTCCTGATCAGTGTCAAACTCCTTGAAGGCATCTAGCAGTTCTGCAAGGAAAAGTCCCAAAGACATTTCATAGAAGTGAGACAATGATACCTGCCTTGACCTCCTTTCTCCTCACCTTGGGGACACAGGAAGACCCTGCAGTCATGGAGGAGACAAGAGGACAACAGAAAGAACAAACTTGCCCTCAGGGGTTGCTCTAGTTATGAAACTTCAAAGGGTTGCTGGATGTCTCTCACACTAATAAAGGCAAGTTGCTTTTGAAGAAATTTAATGCACAGCTTTTGTGTTTGTGATAAACACTGCAAAAAATGAAATTGCTGTGTGGGACTATAATGGCCATTTAGGCACCGGTGTCCTGTTTTCCAACTCTTGATGTTTTTAATTATGAAATGTAACGATGTGACCAGACAACAGTGATTATGCCATGGTTCTAGTAAGTCCCTTGTTGACATAACTTATTTTGCCTATCTAATGGATAGTTCGTAATTAGTGGCAACTCTAAATTAAATTGCCAAGTGGGAGTGTCCCACATCTTTTTGTGCCAATCCAAAACTGCTATCTCATGCACTGACCCCAGAATCACAAGAGCTAGGAAAAGGATGCTAGCAGCCATGCATGGTAGTGGAAAAAACTATTACATGTGTAATGGTGATGGAAAAGATTGGGGAACAGTCAGATCCTTGGCAGGTGGAATAAAGAGGATCAAGGAATCTGGTTGAGGGATGCCTGCTGAGGAGCAGAGTGTCCTATTGGCTCATCTCATCTACTGAGAATCCTTTGCTACACAATTTATTTACTTCATAAGATTTATATTTTGCTTGATTGTAACAACAAACAAACCTCAAAGCAGTGTGATGAGCAGAGGTTGTTCCCAAGGAGAATTACAACACCTAGTTTGGGGGCAGCAAAAATGTGGTACCAACAGTCATTTAATAATAATAATAATAAATTTTATTTATATCCCGCCCTCCCCAGCTGAAGCCGGGCTCAGGGCGGCTAACAACAATAAAACAGTACAACAGTACAACACAACACAACACTCTAAAATCATTCATTATAAAATTAATTCAAATCCAACCAATGGCAATCATTGGGCCAGAGCTCCGCGAAGATTGCCGAAGGAGGGAGTCAGGCTGTGCCCTGGCCAAAGGTCTGGTGGAACAACTCTGTCTTACAGGCCCTGCGGAAAGATGTCAAGTCCCGCAGGGCCCTAGTCTCTTGTGACAGAGTGTTCCACCAGATTTAGTGAGCAAACATTTTGCTGCATTTGCTTTGTAGAATTGAGATAGCAAATGGGTGATGGAGTGAAGGTAAAAATGACTGTTTTATTGACCTTCTTAATTTGAAAGGCCTTTGTGCAGCATAGGGCCAGTTTGCATATAATGCTATAATCCTTGGCTTGTCTGATCATTCAAACACTGCCCAGTGGCTTAACTGTGGTTTGTTCACTCCCAACAAAGCACAATATGAAGCCATGGTTTGTTGTTGGCTTATGATTCTTGGTTTGTGTTTTAACAATGGCTTGATGTTACGTGCTAACCCAACACCCTTCCTTAGCCACGATTCCCCACCCCAGAGATGTTCATTAAGTTACAAAGTCATGAGGCAAGAGCAGCTAGAAACCAAAGCAAACTTTGGAGAAACAAGTTGCGGTTTCTTTAATCGTTTGTAGGACAATTTGGGTTAGCTCATGGTTTGTAGTGTTGGTGTGCCAAATAATTCATAGCAATTTTATTTTCATATGTTCATGTTGTACATGTGATTTTTCCTCCCCAGCATTTTGAATGAAATGTGGGAAATTTCTCTCTCTTTTGCTCTGATTAAAAATATGCATTTGGCATCACTTCCAAACTAGGATGCTGAAGAACTATCCCAGGGATATTTGGGTAAAGTGATGGGATCTGTGCACTGCCCTTTTATTGTGTCTGCTGTAGTGAAAAACAGCATACTGCATTTCCCCTCTCCTGTGCCCCATGAAGTTTGGACTCCAATTCCCCAGCACCTTCTCTCAACAATGCCAACTCACCATCCAGCTCCACTGGTGACAGCTCCCTCTCCTGGCAAAAAGGGAGACAAAAAACAAGGAGAGTAGAGAGTTAGAGCCCAAGTCTCTTGCAAACTCTGTCTAGAAGTGAATCATCATGAGCAGAGTTAAGCGGGTGGATGAAATATCAGAACGGGGAACTCCTACAAGACATTTGTCTCTTTCCTTTTTTTCTAAATTACCTTATCTTCATAGCAACGGAGCTGCATTAGGAGAATGTACCTCTTAGCGGAAAATATTTATTTTAGGGTTGTCATGTCTGGAATTTTCCAGACATACTGGGTATTCAGCCCTCTTAAACAGCATCCAGGTGCAAATCACTGAAATGTCCAGGGAAAAATATGGCAGACGTATGGCAGCCCATGTCGGTAGCGATGATTTTGGTGATTTCCATCAAAAAATAGCTCAAAAACTCATTTTTTGGTGTTCAGTTTCTGCAATAAAAGCTCAACAACTTTGATGAAAAAAGAAAAGCTAAACAACTCTGCCAACAACTTTTGTGTCCAGATTTTCACTTTTTTTTCAAATATGGCAACCCTATACTTGGATAGGCTGCCGAGACTCAAAGACTAGTATCAGCAATTTGCAGGGCAATCCTTTCCATGTCCCCTCATGCATAAGCCCTACTGAATTCATTAGGGTTTACTCATATGTAGGGTTAGGATTGCAATCTAACTTCTGGGTTGTATGTCTCCAGCTGTGTTCCCCCTTTTCCTTACTGGACCATCAATGGCAGGATCCTGACCAGGTTGTCAGCTGTCTTTTTTAAAAAAAGGACTTTTCATATATTCTCCAATGTTTTGATTTATGTAAGTAAAAGCTGCCTGGTCTTGCACTATGCAGTTCCCCTTTCAAGCAGTTCAGGAAATACCCATCTATTTCCAACCACGCTCAAAATATACTTGCATGACTTAACCATACTTTATGTAATACATCTGATTATTAATATGTGCAGTGCAGCATTTTTCCCCATGACCTAATGTATTTGTCCTGGAATCTGTTTGCTTTTTGTATTCCAGTTATTAAATTCCAGATTGGATCTGTGCAGCCCAGTCTTACATGTGTTTACCCAGAAGTAAGATTTAATTAAGTTCAGTTGGTCTTGCTGCTAAGTTAGGGCACATAATAGGTAAAGGTAAAGGCACCCCTGACCATTAGGTCCAGTCGTGACCGACTCTGGGGTTGCGGCGCTCATCTCGCTTTATTGGCCGAGGGAGCCGGCGTACAGCTTCTGGGTCATGTGACCAGAATGACTAAGCCGCTTCTGGCGAACCAGAGTAGCACATGGAAACGCCATTTACCTTCCCACTGAAACAGTACCTATTTATCTACTTGCACTTTGACGTGCTTTTGAACTGCTAGGTTGGCAGGAGATGGGACCGAGGAACGGGAGCTCACCCCATCGCAGGGATTCGAACCGCCGACCTTCTGATCAGCAAGTCCTAGGCTCTGTGGTTTAACCCACAGCGCCACCCGCGTCCCCTAATATGTCCCACATGATATGTCCCAGTAAATATCACCTCTTCCTCAAAAACAATCCTTCATGTGATTACAGTTCTGTCAGGTATGTCCTCCTAGTGGTGCAGCAATAAAATTGCCAGCACATTTGCAAAGCTCCAGTCCTGTTGCAAAGGTAAGCAACTGCGTGTTGAGATTCCTGCAGTGGGTTTGGACTAAATGACTCTCAGGATCCCTCACAACTCTACAATTCTATTATTCTATGCAGGAAATAGTTGTAATTCACAGTGCAGCAGCAACATGTATTCAGTCAAATGTACATTTTATGTAGTCAAACAAAGGTTTAAAAAAGTTTCCAAATAACAAAAACAAAAGCGTTTTACAGTGGTACCTCGGGTTACATATGCTTCAGGTTACATACGCTTCAGGTTACAGACTCCGCTAACCCAGAAATAGTGCTTCAGGTTAAGAACTTAGCTTCAGGTTGAGAACAGAAATTGTGCTCCAGCGGCGTGGCAGCAGCGGGAGGCCCCATTAGCTAAAGTGGTGCTTCAGGTTAAGAACAGTTTCAGGTTAAGTACAGACCTCCAGAACGAATTAAGTACTTAACCCGAGGTACTACTGTACTCAGCTTTACACGTACTGTATACAGCAATCTTCTTCAGTAAGTTTATTATTGAACTACCCTCCAAATTGTTCCATTTTCACTTTCTCCCATACTGTATCAAGATTTATATCTTACTGACTGAATGATGTTTGTATATAATTTGGTTCTCAAAGCTCACCATTAATACCCAGAGTTTTTTTTGGGGGGGGGAATATCCGTAGCAACTGAAATGTAGACCTCCTTGTCTTTTCAACAATTTGTCAGAAAAAAAATCATACAGTAGGAAATTAAGGCTGCCACCCTAGTATACATGATTACCTGGACATTACAAAGTGAACAATTTTGTCCAAAATAAACAGATTCTCTGTATCTGGTGCTTTTTTCTAAAAAATAAAATAAAAAAATATTTAGGGGTACTCTCATTTTCCTACTCATGTTGAAATACTGCCCCTCAATGAGGCCAAACTTAGATTCACAAAATGTTTAGGCGTATGCATACCCCCCAGAAACAAAGCACTGGCTGTATCTAAATATGATGGGTCCCTATTGTATCAGCAGGGTTGCTGATAGCTCTCACTGAGCCAACCAGCCTACGTCAGTCAATATATATTCAGTCTATGTCAGTCAATATATATTCTTAGCATATTTATTCCTCAAATAATAAACTCCGATGGTGAGCGCCAACAGGAATGAAGCCAAAACATAGCGACTGAAAGAACAAGAGGGAGGTAGCAGCATGTTTGGTTGGGGGAAACTCCAACGCATACAGGAGTATGGGGGGAGCCTTAAAGGGCAAGGAACCCCCAAAACAGTCCAGTGAGAACTGATTATGCTCAGTGCAGAATTCTGAATGTCAGCTTGGGAAGGAAAACTAGAAAAATGGGGAAATGCAATATGAGTATTCTGCACGACTGACTGGCTGGAACCTTGAACAGGAACATACGCTTTAGGACCCCTCTATAATTGTTGATATCACAAATGTTCTGGTTTATTTTTGTCCTGCTTTTATCGTGCTATAGCCCCTCTAGATGACCACAACGTGGTAGCACTGGGAAAGCATCAAGGAGCAACTATAAGCAGAATAAACCCACCTCTGATGCATTATCACTGTGTCAAGAACTTTATGCAGAAATGCATTTGCTGTGAAACGCCCAGTGTACACTGCAGCATTTTGTTACAGGACCTGCTTATCTTTACTGCTAAGCAAATATTTCCCTGTCAGTGTCCTCTGAGAAGTCCCCACCTCCACCCCGTCCTTTGTAAGGCAGCTCATTAGCACGGAGGGAAGATTGCATAATAAACTGAGGCTCAGAACAACCCTCCCCACCTCCACCCCACTGAGAAATCGCTTCCCAAATTAACCTGCTGAAGGTTGGATTAAATGGATTGGAGGTCAAGAGCAGATCACTGACTCACCAGATCCTTTCTCTGCCATCCCTGTGTGAATAGAAGAAGGCTGCTAGCACAGGGAGGTTGACTAAAAGCTGTTGCTGGTGCTGCTGCTGCTGCTCTTAGGGAGCTGACTGCCTGTGTCCCCATGGGACCCCTCAACCCACTCCCAACCAGAAGAGAGCCTTGGGAAACCCCCAAGGGCTAGGCTACAGTTCCTTCAGCCCTTCTCCCCACCTATCTCTAGGGCTAATGGGATTTCCTGCCCTCCCAGCAGGGCATCCTCAGTCTCCAGCTATTTATATGAACTAATCAAGTTGGGGTCAGGATGTTGCAGAGGGCTAGTTATAATCTTCACGGGCCTTCCACCACCCCTCTTGCTTGCTGTGTCCAAGTGGATCTGCTCTGTTCTGGTTCCTGAAGCCCACTCAGCCTCTGCGCTAAAGACTAGCTTTTGCATCTGCAAGGAAACCTTTGTCAGGAAATAAGCACCACGGAGCTATCCAAAGCTGTACAAATCAATGACCCCTACATCAGGGCAAGGTAATGGGAGAGAATAAGGCTGGTGCCACCCAGATGTTTTGGGCAGTTAGCCCCAGCCAGCACAGCTGTGCTCCAATCAGCCCCAGCATCATACAACCTTGCAGGCTAGGGCTGATGATAGTTGCTGTTGTTGTTGTTAAACAAATGTATAGATCACTTGTATAGATGGCATATAGCTATCTAAGCAGTAAAACCGGAATAGAACACAGGAACACAAACTCTAAGAACAATAAAATAAATTCAGCAAACTCTAAAACAATAACACCATCCATACAAACTGTAAAAACAGTGAAAACATTTCATCTAATATAAATTACTGGGTTACACCTCTGGGAAAGGTAAACAGAAATATCTTCAGTAGGTGCCTTAACCTTCATAATGCCAGGTGCTTGTCTGATTTCAGCTGGTAATTAATTCCCAAGAGCTGGAGCTGCAGCACTCAAAACCCAGTTTCTAGCATGGACTAAGCACATCTCTGGAGCACACAATCCTCTCAGCAGTGTCCTGTCTGAGCAGCTCAGTCGCCAGGCAGGAATATAGTGGGCAAGGTAGTCCCTTAGATATCCTGATCCCAAGTTGTTTAGGGCTTTTAATGCTGGAAGTGAAACATCTGGAGGGCGCCAGCTTGGAAAAGGCTGGAATAGGGCATACAGATGCAGCAGTATTACAGAGTTGTACTGCTGGCAGATTAGGCTACATTTGCCCATCTACCCCAGTATTGTCCACGTTGACTGGCAGCATCTCAGGCTTTCCCATCCCACAATCTTTTTAACTAGATATTCTGAGCTTGGCACCTTCTGTAGGCAAAGCAGGAGTTCTGCCAGTAGCTCAAAATATCTATATAATGTGTACAGAAAAAGCACATCTCAGTTTCCCAGTAGGAATATACTGCTTTGGAAAATTCAGCATGCAAGCTGCCATCCTAATAAATTGCCATCCCTGCTCTCCAGGCATTCCATCCATGCCTTACTGCCAGTAATATACCCTCTTCTTCAGTGAAGATATCACACTTAAACACTCTGATGAACAACTAACTTCCATTAATGCGATGCTAGGCTGTGGAGAAAAGTCATGTAACTTGGGTAGCAGCAGGGCTGGATTTAGGTTTAGCTACTGAAGGTAATGGGGCCCTTTATATAGCAGGCGGGGCCCATTACTTACATCATAGGAGCCTACACAACACAAACCACTGTTGCTGTATGTAGGTTTTATTTTATTTGTTTTTTATTTTATATTTTGGAAATGTACATCCAGTTGTTTCTTTCCTTTAATTTTTTTGGGGCCCCCAAGAAAGTGGGTCCTAAGCTATAGCTTGTTTAGCTTATACGTTAATCCGGCACTGGGTAGCAGGGCTGCTCACAAAGTGCACTCCCCATGATGCTCTGCTCAAGCAAACCATTGTCTTTCCAGGGTCAAAATCTGAGGGGGAACCTGGCTCTGCAAGTTTGCAGTGGAAAGCCAGCAGCGCACAGCAAAGATTGGCTAGTGCTTGCGAGGTCACAAAACCAGCCTGCCCACTTTCCCTGCATCAGTTTTGTAATTCTTTTCAAAACTTTTCTCAACAGGTAAACAAGATGGCAAACAGTTCAACGGCTGAATACATGACATCCTAAAGAAACACAATTAACAATGGGACAACACAGTGGAAGCGTAATGGGAGAGGTGGCAAAGGTAACTATTGTGCCAGTATAAGTAGCTGGCCACTGTGCCCATCACTGACACTACAAAGGTGGGAGGAAGCCCCATTCATTTCACTCCCACCCCAGGAGATCATTCTGTTGCCACTCCTGTGTTCATGTTACATGTTGACACCACCTCAGCTTTGAGCCAACACTGAATGGGCCACCTGCCCCCACCCAGCAACTCTGCACAATACGCTGCTTGTACTTCGTTGCCATTTTTCCTAGACCACTTTCCGCATTGTCCTTCCTGAGCCCACTCAGCCCTTACTGCTCCGCTTTCCTAGTTCCCTTTTCTGCATTCCCCATGTGGGACCAGCAACGAAATGCAGGGGTCACACTTCCAGGCACGTTCGTGCCCACCTCCCTATTTGATTTCACGCCCTCTCAACCATTAGCCAGCATCCCATGCCTACTGAATCTGCTCAGTCCTCATTTGACTGTTATAGGGGTGTCCCCTTAATATTATTTAATTTCCCCCCTACTTCTGCAAACCCTGGGTTTCTCCCAAGCCTGCCGATACCACCTTCATGTGTGTGGATGGCTCCATTTTGGCTACACAAAGATCTCCTTGGAGCATGAGTTTGCCACTGATGTCCAGGACGCATCGCCTCTCAGCCCCGCTTCTCCCTTCTGCAACCCCTCCTGCTACAGACAGCAACTCACCTTGCCAAAGACAGTGTTGAGAAAAGGGGAGTAGGTCTTAATGGCAGCTGCATGGGGGTCGGCCTGATGCTTTTTGCTGTGTTTGCGCCCGTGGCCGGAGTTGGATCTTTGCCTGGATTCAGAGCCAGGGCTTCTGCTGCCCTTGGGCTCGCTTTCTTCCTTGGGGGGCTGCTCGCCTTCCTGCGCTTTGCCCTTGGCCGGGCCCTCTGCCTCTCCGGACTGCTTGCGTTGCATGGGACAGGTGTCTCTCTCGGAGATAGGCACCCTGTGAAGACTGAGAATGGGGGGGGGGGGCTTAAGAAGAAGCCAAGAAATCCTCTTATACTCCACCTCCAGGGAGGAGCAGGGTGGGGTGGGGAAGCCAATTAGTGAGGATTATTGTAGAGATGGCAGGGCTGGCTTCCAACCCCTTTGTCCCATGGACAAAGCCATCTCCAAGCTCTCCCATCTATAGCTGCCAAGTGGCAGAGCATGTGTTGATGTTTTTCCAGGCACATTGCCTTGAGCATGAGCTAGCCGTCTCCAGTTAAGCTCTCCCAAGCAGCTGAAATGAGGACATCAGTGGCCAAAAGGAGACAAGGAATTAGGTCCCAGAGGTGCTGCCTTTCCAGGGTTGCAACAGTGGTATAAAATCACCACGAGACAGTGGTTGTAATGTACCGTACCTGCTCATCACGCCCATAGCACTTGCAGTCCTTCCCTACTTTTCTGTACTTTAGCTCCACATAGTGGCTGATTTTCCAACTCTGGACACAAGACACCACACCATAGGATGTTATGCATGATTATTCACAAGTCAGTATAACTCACGCCCTAGTCTGCAGAAATGCAGCCAAGGTCTTCCTGGAAACAACACTCACTTTGGGGGGATGGAAGCCAGGATAGTCTCATTAGCCTCAGGAAAAGAAGAATATAATATATGCAAAAGGTGATGCCTCCCAGCACTGAACTGAAATTACTGACAACTCTTGGTGATTGAGGAGGCAGCACACACCCTTTAGAACAGGGGTGTCCAACAGGTCGATCGCAATCTACCGGTCGATCGGGGCGTGTCCCTGGTCGATCATGGTTGATCGCAGGGCCCTGACCCCCCCCCCCCAAAGCTCAACAACTCTAGTTAATCCAATGGGTAGATCATTGTCAGCTTTTTTTATAGTGGGAGTAGATTGCAGTCTCTTGGAAGTTGGATGTGCCTGCTTTAGAACAAACTGGATTTAACAAGTGGCTCAGGGTATATGAAAACAAAGCAGGGAATACGTTCTATGTAGTTGGATTGCATTATATGTGTGGTGTAATAACACGCCAGCTTTCAATTTACACACAACTCGATCTCAATTATGTTTATTGCTTTATTGTTAAATGAACAAGGTCATTTCAAAGATCATAAACAACAGAAGATAAAAAAGGTAAAATCAAAAGAAGTGAAACCACTTTCAGCAGAGGGAAGATAATGAAAGATAGTAAATACAAATGCCTTTCAACAAAGCAAATCTCCTACATTTCTGAGCCGTCGAAAAATTTGCAACTTTCAGTGTAACCTTTTCCCTCCTTGTCAGATAGGTGACGGATTCTTTTAAATAGGCCATTCCTGTTTTGCATCATTTTCTCATCAAATTTCCTTTTAGGCAGAACATGGTATAAAATATGGCAACATATGGTTAACTGAGCTCCACAAATACACATTAGCTAATCTGCTGCAATTTTATGGTAATAGCCCTAGCGATAATGGGGAAGCTTCCTGTTTCTGGGAAGGCCTTATGTAAAAAAGTGAAATGTTTGATTAAATAACTAAATATGGAGTAAGTCCAATTGAACACAGGGGGGCTTACTTCTGAGATGTTTGCAATGCATCTCTCTTGCATGTGTTACTTTAATAAGTTGAATGTAACAAAAATATAGAGGATTTAGCAAAGTCCTTATCAGCCATATAAGCTTCCTCAATTGGTTTAGTTCTTTTTTTGCAACAGTTTTTCATGCATTTGAGCTTCAAACCGGAGCATCCAGTTGCAGACATTTTTGGAAGTCTTTTGGAAATAATACAGATTGTCATATCACTACATAAGCTTAATATGCATAAATTGTTTGTGCTCTAATTCATGCAACAGAGATCCCAGTCATAAACTTAAAATTGTTTTGTGGTATTTACAATTGACCCACCTCTGATAACATACAGATTCACAGAGGATGAAGTTTCCTAAGCACACATCCCGAGCCCCGGGGAGATCAAGAGTGGTAGTCAACTAACTTTTTTATGCAAATTAGACCCGTTGAACATTAATTCCAATGCATCTACTCTGAGCAAAACTTAGTTGAATCCCAATCAATGTCTTCCGTTCCTGCAAAGGTCAGAATTATTTGCAAAGACCTGGTGCCTATTGGGACTGATGAGGCAGAAGGCTGGAAGCCAGGGTCAAGGACAAGCTGAGTCAACTAATTCCAGCTTTGTCCCCATCCTGCTGAGTTCTACAAAAGGCAACACGGAGACCAAAGAGGAGGAGGAAGAGGAGGAGGTTGATAGGCTGTGCCACTCCCTGAAAGGCTGTAAGGAGGATGACAGACAGGCAGGTGGGAGCTGGCTAAGAGCAGTCTGAGGTTGGTGGAGCCACGCCCCTCTTACCTAATGGCCAGCCTCTACTGGGATGGGGTCCAAAATCCATCCCTTCTTCCCATTTGCTCCCTAGTTGACCCATTTCATTTGTCAGGGCAATCCTATGTGTCTACTCAGAAGCAAGCCCGACTGAGTTCAATGAGACTTATTCCCAAGCCCACAACCACTGGCTTCACATTCAAATTCTAATGTAAGCTCTTTGGGGCAGGGAACTTTTTCTGCTGTTTTCTTTCTTAATGCCTAATGTACACTGAAGGGGTTAAGAACTGCAATAAATTCTGAACAAGCCCATCCTGCCTTGAAGCAGTTGCGTGTCTCCTTCCAAGTATAGTTCAGGACAGTCCACACCAGCGGGCTCAGGCACCTTCCACGCACCGGCCGACACGGAACTGGCAGGCTTAAAAGTCTGCGCCCTGCGAGTCAAAGGAAATTGTGTGTATGCGATGTCAGAATCACTTATATTATATTATGCGCAGAATGAGAGGGTGGCTCCGTCCCTGCCCTGAGAAGCTTTATAGCCTCCCACCACCCTAAGGTAACTTTCACATCACTAGGAGCAAGTTTCTCATCAAGAACAGCGGTTCCGACGCCCACAATTCCGCCAAAGGAGACCTCCTGAAAAATCCCCGCCTTCCCTTCACAGTTTGGTTACTCTCATTAGTTCCCAGCAGAGAAAGCAGGAATGCACTCGGCGCATGCTCAGAGGCACTTTCTCCTCGACTTTCTCCAGGCTGGCGGAGTTCTGCGCACAGTCTCTTGCGCCACCCTCGCAGCCTGGAAATTGCGCGCCAAGACAAGCGGCGGAGACGGCAGTTCCTGGGCCCGGCCCGGCCCATCTCCCCCGTCCCGTCGCGGCGGGTGTTGCCCGGGCAGGCAGCCCTTGGCGCGCGCCGGGGTGCGTGGCCGGCCGCTGACCCCAGAGGCAGCCCTTCCCCTCGCCTCGCCTCTCCCAGCCCCGGAGGCAGGTGAACTGGGCGCGGGGAAGGAAGCTTCCTCGGCCTGCCCTCGCCGCTGCTGCTGTCACTTCCTGTAGCCGCCGAGAGCCCAGCCCAGCCCGGGTCCTCCTCCTCCTCCTGCTTCTGCTGCTCCCTCCCTCCCCGCAGCCGCCTGCACCGCCCTGGGCAGCGCGCAAGGGAGAGGCTGCTGCGGTCGCCCCCGTCCTCCCCAGCCGGTGAGTGGCGGTGGGCGGGTGAAGCTCGGCGGGGATTGCGGGTGGGGAGAGGGGAGGCGGAGAGAGCCGGGCCCGGAGGCGCTTCCCGGGCGGGAAGAGCGGGGAATCAGGCAGGCTCAAGAGGGGAGGAAGAGGCGGAGGCGTCGGTTTCGCCAGACCCAGCTCGGTCGCTGTTCCTCTGCGCCCCCGCCTCCCCAGAGTCCCGCCCTGCTGCTGTGCCTTTGCCTCTCCGGTGCCGGGAACGGGAAGGGAGCGGCAATTTCCCCACCTCGCCTCCCCAGCTTCCCTTTCGGTACTTTCTAGATCGAGAGCTTGCTGCTTGTATGCAAACCAAAATGCATGTATAAGGGAGCGGTTCCTCGGTGCCAGGGGGAGGGAAAGCACTCTGTAGGTGCTCAGAGACTCCCTTTGGCTGTGTCTGTGTCATCGGGCTCGACCGCTAGCATTCAATAGTTTCTGGGGCTAAACCCCAGCATAGTTGCTCTTCCCTATTGAAAAAGTACCCGGTCAGGTCACTCCCCTCGCCCCGGCAAGGCTTGTATAATGCCTTGGCCCCTTAAAAGGGTATGTTGTAGTTTGGAGGAAGGTAGGGTATGCGCCAGGTAAGCGCTGGTGGGGCCACACCTTCCTTGCGCCAGATTCTTCTGGTCCCTTTTCGTCCAATAGTAACAGCTGCGCTTTTGGTTGCAAAATGTTCGGCTGCACATCCGGCTGCGGCTTCAGTGGACCAACTGTGCTGTGATTTAACCATTTCCCTGTGGGGTTGTTTCTTGCAGGAAAGGAGTTTTCGGGAAACACTTCCTTTCCCGAGGAAAGGAGAGTGTGTGTGTGTGTATATATACAACAACCCTGAACCCGTTGCTTTTCTCAAGTTCTTGCTTTGTGTTGTTTTCTCCCTCCGCCTCCTTTTGGTCCCCAAACTCCAATACAGGAAGACTACTGGGTTCGAAGTTCTGGTTCGCTGGTGTTAGGTAGCATCTGGCCAATTCTTCTGCACCTTCCTGTCTTCCTCCAAAGTTTTCCTGGCTGCGCAGAAGAATAAACAAGGCTTGCCCATTCTTGAGTCCTTCTCTGTCATCGGCCATTCTCACAGGAACCACCCAAGGGATCTTTCTCCTGTGGCTTTGAGTCACACCTGGTTAAAGTTCGGAGTAGTGGGTGGGGCTGCCACTGAAACCTGAAGACGGAAGTTCCTACCCCATCTCCCCAAAAGTCTTACGACTGTGTGCTTGAAACAGAACTTGTGCTTAAATGGATTGATTCCCTTTACTGTAAGGGTTGTATGCTGTGGTTGCAGAGCTTTTAAATGCTTGCTTCTAGCCTTAAAGGTTTTTGTTTGGTCTCACTCTGATCAGGTGTTGAAGCAGCAGGCTGAATTTTGCTTTTGGTGGGCACTGCTTCCATGAAAAACACGTCTATATAAGGCTACAGGAAGTTCAGTGTGTTTTCCTTCTCTTGCGACTGACGGCTGAAGGTCCGCTGTCAGTCATCCATAGATAGGCCTTGATGGGGCCTTTTGATTAATTACACTAAGGGGTTTTAACTTCAGTGATTTTGGCCTGCCACTTTTCTGGGGTGGCATTGGGGTGGGTATGTACTCTGGTCTTGTAAGCGTATTTTCATTTCTGGCATTTCACATGTAAACCAAAGAAACGGGATAGCAGAGCCTGTGTACCAGATTGTGTAGAGCACTGTATCTTTTGATTTACGGTGTGCACGCATCTATTGAAAGGGCAAGTGTTTGGAATGAAGCTGGGATTCTACTGCAGGATTCATAAAGGAGAAAGCTGCTAATTCCCTCTTCCGCTGTGTTTCCCTCCCACCCACATAGAGCCGAATCGAGGTAGAAGCCCACCCTCCCATAATAAAGGAGGTTGGATATTAGACGATAGACTGGCAGCGATTGAAACAGAAACAGGACAACAAGTGGCAAATAATCCAGCCAGAGGCTAGTCATCAGTGAGCCTCTGCACGTGACTATTGCCTATACACAGAAGCAAAGCACAGAGAAAATGCGAGTTGTCAATTATAAAATGAGCTGGAGTGCAAAAATTTGTATGGAGGCCAAAAATGTAGAGCTGCCGAGAACCTGAGTGCACAGAGGTATTTATGTATATAGGGGGAAATATGAATGTTGGGGGGGGTCCAAGTTTGATCAAGAGCACCCGAGGCTTCCTGCTCATTGTCGAAAGAGGTCGGACTTGCAACATCTTCAGCAAGTGAAGTGATTGCAATCTGTGCGGCAGCTCTGCCGAATTCCTTTGATTCCTGCTCCACATTTCTGAACAACCTTATTACAATCTTATTAGAAATCATATTGCAGCATCGCCCTTGGAGAGCGTTGTGCATGAGCCAGCCTGCGAGATTATAAAGGTGTGTCGCTTTTCTTCTCTTCCGCCTCTGCAGCCATGTCCTTCCGAAAGGTTGTGCGCCAGAGCAAATTCCGCCACGTCTTTGGGCAGCCCGTCAAGAATGACCAGTGCTACGATGACATCCGGGTGTCACGAGTCACTTGGGACAGCACTTTCTGCGCTGTCAACCCCAAGTTTGTGGCTGTGATTATAGAGGCCAGTGGAGGAGGGGCCTTCATGGTGCTCCCGCTACAGAAGGTGAGGGAACAGTCTGACTTGGGAAACACTGGGCTCGCTTTCATTAGAGGTTCTTAAGCAGAAGCCAGTGACCATTGGGGGCTGTACGTCAGCAGAAGGTTAGACTAGATGACACTTTGAAGTCCCTCCCATCCCTAACACTCTTAAGTACAGTGGTACCTCGAGTTACAAACGCCTGAGGTTACAAATTCTTCAGGTTACAAACTCTTCTAACCTGGAAGAGTTACCTCGAGGTGAGAACTTTGCCCCAGGATGAGAACGGAAGTCGTGTGCCAGCGGCAGCAAGAGGCCCCATTAGCGAAAGCACAGTTTCAGGTTAAGAACAGCTTCAGGTTAAGAACGGACCTCCGGAATGAATTAAGTTCGTAACTAGAGGTACCACTGTACTGGGGATGTCACTGGATGGGAGTAGGAATAGGGAAGAGGTGCCCAAGGTTGACTGGCCCCAAGAATTTCTCAGCTCATAAGAAGAGGTTTCCTGGATCAGGCCAGAGACTCATCTAGTCCAGCATCCTGTTCTCACAGTGGTCAACCAGATGCCTTGTGGGAAACCTGCAAGCAGGACCCAGGCACAAGAGCACTCTTCCCCTCCTGCAGTTTCCATGTGGCCTCCGGTTATGGAGGTAGAGCATAGCCATCACTGCTAGTAGCCATTGTTAGCTTTGTCCTCCCTGAATTAGTGTAATCCTTTCTTAAAGTCATCCAGTTTGGTGGCCACCATTGCCTCATGTGGGAGAGAGTTCCATAGTTTAATTCTGCACTGCATGAAGAAGTACCGTATTTTTCGCCCTATAGGACGCACTTTTCCCCCTCCAAAAATGAAGGGGAAATGTGTGTGCGTCCTATGGGGCGAATGCAGGCTTTCGCTGAAGCCTGGAGAGTGAGAGGGGTCAGTGTGCACCGACCCCTCTCGCTCTCCAGGCTTCAGGAAGCTATCCTCAAGCCTTGGGAGCCCCCGGGAGTTCCCGTCGGGCTCCCTAGGCTTGTGGATAGCAGCCTGCATCTCGAAGCCTGGGGCGCGCTGCACAGCACGCCCCGGGCTTCAGTTCCCCGACCTGGTTTGGAGGCAGGCGGTGGGGAGAAGCGCGCTTTCCCCTGCCACCAGCCCCACAAGCTCGGGGGACAGCGGGGAGGCGGAGCGCCGCCATCCCGCTGTTCCCCAACCTGGTTTGGGCTTCAGGCAGATATCCGCAAGCCGTGGGAGCCCAGCGGGAAGTCGCGCCGGTCTCCCAAGGCTTGCGGAGAGCTGCCTGTTCTGGGGGCTGGGGTCGGGGGAAGCTCGGGCTTCCCCTGCCCCAGCCCCGTGCCTGGAGGGGAAATAATTTTTTTTCCTTTATTCCCCCCCCCCCAAAAAAAACTAGGTGCGTCCTATGGGCCGGTGTGTCCTATGGGGCGAAAAATACGGTACTTTCTTTTATCTTGTCCTGAATCTTGCAGTATTCTAACTTGGGTCTCAATATATCATTCCTCCTCCTGCTTCTTCTCCTATCTTGCGTTTTGTGTCTTCGAGCACATAATATTTTATGGGTACTGAGGGATGGAACAGAGGGGTTGTACTGGGACTGCTGATAGTCTTGTGGGGCAAATGGGGAAAGCTGTAACAGGAAACAGGATAGTGACTTTGAGGAGCCTGGAAGGAACTGCCTGATGACTCTTGTCCCCTTTGGTTATTTTTTCCCAGACCGGACGCATTGATAAGTCTTACCCTACGGTGTGTGGGCACACAGGACCTGTTTTGGACATTGACTGGTGCCCGCACAATGATAACGTCATCGCTAGTGGCTCTGAGGATTGCACTGTTATGGTGAGGGGCAGCTGGTAAAAGGACTCTGTGTGTGTGAGAGGGGGGGGCTCACCTGTAGCCATGCTCTTGGCTAAATATATACAGAAGGTTGGGGCTGTACATATTAATGAATCAAGCAGTCAGTATTGAGTGGCAAATTGAGCATGCTGTGCATTTGAAAATTCTATTTTTAAAGCAAGTTTCTAGTCCTTCAGATTGTGGAGGCTTGAAAGCACAGACTCTCTGAAGTTTGGTATGCGTGTACAGGCAGGATAGCTGAGCAAGGTTTTCAGCAGCAGGGTGGGGAGGCCTGTTGACTGCCCCAGATACTGCTTGGTCACTTATCATGATTATTTAGCAGAGGCGGACTATATTAGGCAAATTAAGTTTGCATATGCAAATGTGTTTTGTTACAATACAATTCACAGGGCAAAGAATTCAGACGGAGGAGCTGTTAGCCGGGCTGTAGACATGGGAAGCAAGATGCTATCCACAGAATGTGGGATGGTGGGATCAGGAGAATGACCCTTTGGTGTGGAGCAAGCTAAAGCCAGAGTATACCCCCCCCACGGGTGGCTGGATGTTGTTTGGCATTTGGTTCAGGATGATGGGAGAGCGAGGTTTGTGGGAGGCTGTGCCACTGGTGACAGGACCGGAGCAGACGAAAGTGCTTTGCCGGCTGAGCCATTTCACTCCCGTCTTTCTCTCCAGGTATGGCAGATCCCCGAGAATGGATTGACACTGCCTCTGACGGAGCCAGTGGTTGTTCTAGAAGGGCACTCTAAGCGTGTGGGCATCATCACTTGGCATCCAACTGCCCGCAACGTCCTCCTCAGTGCAGGTACCATCTGTGGTGGTGGAGTAAGTGGCAGAATAAAAGTGGAGAACATCCGGCTGCAAGCTTACATGCTGGGGCGGTTGAGACCCAAAGTTAAGGGCAGCCTAACACAGAACTCTGTGGCAAACCTCTTCCAATGAGCACCGTTTTCCCCCAGGCTGTGACAACGTGGTGATCGTGTGGAACGTGGGCACAACTGAGGAGCTTTACCGCCTGGAAGATCTGCATCCTGACCTCATTTATAATGTCAGCTGGAACCGTGACGGCAGCCTCTTCTGCTCGGCCTGCAAGGATAAAAGTGTGCGCATCATTGACCCCCGCCGTGGGCAGGTTGTTGCGGTATGTTTCTCCCTCCTTTGAAGCTTTTTGGTTCTGGTCTGTCTATCTTGCCATTCTTGACCTGTTTACATGAGTGTTCCCTCTCTTTGGCAATCTATTACTTTCTGGCCATTCTGCAAGTCAAAGGGACTCTCCGTTGTGTTTTGGGAATGTTGCAGTGGGATGTGTTTGGGCCACAGTCGGTCCTCCCTGTCCTGTTATCTGAGCAGTGGTATCTCTCTGTAGTTTGTGCCTCCCTAGTCCCCTTTTCTAGCTTGGTTGCAAGGCTCACACTTGAGATGTGACCTGCGCTGCTTTGACTGTGCAGTGATTTGGTGATGGGAAGCTCACGCTTTGCCTCCTGGGTTAATTAGCTCTCAGCAGTGCTGATCTTTATGTAGTTGACATGTTAGTGGGCTATCTATAAGACAGGCTCTGATGCGTGGCATTGTTTATATTGCTTATTGGATAGTGCTGGGAGAAGCCTAATTTTAATTGAAGATGAAGACTGCATATGGAATGTGCTCTAGGCAGAGGTGCTGGCTTACGATGAATCTAAATTTCACAACCGGCAAAAACCAGAATTTGCACTTTCATTTTCGGTAGAGCAAGTTATGCACATTTTCAGATGAAGTAAATGAATTTACATGTGTGTGTGCACATATCAGCAAGAGTTCAAGGTGGTGTCATCTTTGCTACGCAGGGGACACTGTGCTAATGGCAAAATATACAGGAGGGAAGGAGGCATGAGGTTGATAAGAGGATGCTAAATAGGGGAGCAGAAGCAGGGGATCTGTGCAGAGAGAAGCTGTGAAACAAGGGTGAACTCCCTTCAGCCCCCGAGAGCTCGTCTGATAGTCGGGGATGGTGTAATCCAGAAACATCTGGAGAGCCACTGGTCCCCCACCCCTGTTCTGGAATCCTCATCAGATCCCTCCAAGGCTTCACCCATCTCTTCCTCTCTTCCCTCTCCCTCCCAAGCCTTTTATGAGAATTAATAAGGGCTTCTCATCAGGCGTCTCAGGAATCTGATCATGCTGTCAATGATAATGCATAAGCATTTCCCAGGTGTGTTTCTGTAATATTATTGAGAAATCAATTCACAGGTGTTTCCAGCTAAGCCCCAGTTTTGGTATGTGACTATATATAAATTGGCAGCACTGTATAGGATTGGGAAATGATTAAATTGGTGTTATCTGTGAGATTGCTTCCCCAGATCTCCATTCTCTTCCTTGCTTGAGACTCAGGCCTGTATAAAATTTAATGTGTTGTGACCTCTGAGGACCAACCTCTTCCTTCCTTTCCCCTCTCCTACATAGGTTGATCTGGAATCTGAAGAAGGGATAAAAATGGGTTAACTTTTTTTAATATAAAAAGCTTATTTTAAGAAGGAAGTAATATTTCAAAATAACGTATCTCTATGCTGTATTTGCATTCATCTGTCGTCATGCTGGCGAACGAGGGCACATGAATACTCAAGTTAAAACAGGGCGAAGGAAGCCCAAGAAGCCCTGAGTGGGCAGGCTGGCACAAAGAGTGGGCAGGTGGCCCAGGCACACCCTCCCTCCCTCTGCCTTCGCCACAGCCACTTGCCAGGTGGAAGGAACTGAAGGCGGGGAAAGTGCTTCTCCTCTTCATCTACCTGTTGCTGCTGAGAGAAGGAAACCTGTATTTTAAAATGAAGGCTCCTTTGTCCTGGTTGAGACTGTGGGGGAAACAGAAGAGGAGAAAAACCTTCTCCCCTTCATTCCCTCCCCACTGCCAGTGGTGGCTGTGGTAAAGGGAATGTGGGGATAGGTGGGTTGGGGTGAGGTGTAAAGGAAGGGAGTTGGCAATGGGATGATGGGAAGGTGGGGTTTGGGGGCAAAGTGAGCTGAGGCAGCAGCCCCAAGCGCAGCATAAAGACATCTACACAGTATAGCCGTATATAACAATGCACTAAGAGTGGATTGATTCTGAATGGTGGTTTTGGGTGTGTGTGTGGAGGAGATGATATTGGGAAGTTATCCGGGTTGATAGACAAGTTTTGACTTTCTAACTCACGATGTTTTTGGAGTGGGTTCCTTTTGTCAGTAGTAACATGGCAGTAAGTGGTTTTAACAGATGTAGTTCTTCCATTCATTGCAGCACTATGTTGAGAGAGGTTGCCCAGCTTTTAAATTCTGCTGTTGTTAAAGGAACACACAGACGCATCAAATGCCTTTGCTATCTGAACACCGTGTCTTTTTAGACTCCAGATCATACCCTTTGTCTGCACAGCCCCATGTTGCCTGCGCTGACTACAGCAGTGGCTCTCAGAACGAGTCTCTCAGCCCTGCAGTGAGAGGCCCTCTTAAGTGGAGATGCCTAGATTTGAGTCTCAGACCCTTCTGCATACAAGACACCTCCACGCATCTTCCTCTGGAGTGGGGTGGAATGAGCTGCTGAGGGCCAGACACAGTCTGACCCTGGGGAAAGGCGCTCATGGTTTTAGGGGGAATGTAAACTCAGATGAGTGATTCTCCTGTTTTAGTTGGGATCCAGCATAGCAGATACTGGAGCAAAACCCGCATTTGTGCTGCAGTATAGCAGAGCCTGCCTGCTGCTTCACCTCTTGAATTCCCCACATCTTACCCTTTTTTCTTTTTGCTTCACAGGAGAAGGAGAAAGCCCATGAGGGAGCACGCCCTATGCGGGCCATTTTCTTAGCAGATGGGAAGATCTTCACGACCGGTTTCAGCCGTATGAGTGAACGGCAGCTGGCACTCTGGGACCCGGTGAGTGGGAAGGTGGATCTGGGAGCGAGGTGTGTGTTATACTGCTGGGATGTGGTGGTGGTGGTGGTGGTGGTGTGTGTGTGTGTAAGCTCTCTCTGTGTGTTCGGGGTCTCTTGTCCTGAGTTCAACTCCTGTTGAGCTCCATGTGTTTGAGAGGTGAGAGGCAACAACTGAAGAGAGACTGCTTTGTGCACATAGACTTGTCCCCACCCCTCAATTAGGGTCTTAACCACGCAGGGTTTTCAATCTCGGTGGGTTCATGGGCATATGGAGCATGCTCCCCTCTTGCTCTCAAGTGAATGGTGTCAGGATGGATGGTAGGTGAATCATCACATCAAGATTGTGATGGTGTGAAGGATAGCATTTGAACAAGGAGGTCTGTAACCTGTGCCTTTCTGTTTTTGCAGGAGAATCTGGAGGAGCCCATGGCATTGCAAGAGCTGGACTCAAGCAATGGGGCCCTTCTTCCCTTCTATGACCCGGACACCAATGTTGTGTATGTCTGTGGCAAGGTATGCTTTCGTACTAAACAGAAATTAGTGAAATTAAGTTAAAAACAGAGTCTGCATTTGACAGCTTGCAGGTTAATATAAAGGTAAAGGTACCCCTGCCCGTACGGGCCAGTCTTGACAGACTCTAGGGTTGTGCGCTCATCTCCGGGAGCCAGCGCTGTCCGCAGACACTTCCGGGTCACGTGGCCAGCGTGACGAAGCTGCTCTGGCGAACTGGCACTGAGGTTTTACCCACAGCACCACCCGCGCAGTTTAATGTACCTTCGGGTATATTATATAATATATAAATCCAATAAAGAAAGTAAAATAAACAAGGAAAAGGTTCCAGTTTCAGTCCCTGGCATCTGCAAATAGGGCAAAAGAAGACACCTGCAGCCAGGCCCTGCAGGCCAGATGCCCCCGACCTGGTGTTTTCCAGATGCTTTGGACTACGATTCCCATCATCCCTAACCATAGCCCATGCTGGCTGGGGCTGATGGTAGTTGGAGTCTTACCAATGTCTGGAGGACGTCAGGTCGGGGGAAAGCTGCTGTAGAGAATACTGAACTAAGTGGCCTCCAGGGTCTGACCTCTGTATAAGATGGTTAAAGGGCAACGCTGGCTTCTTCTTGGGGTTCCAGAACTCTGGGTTTGTACCCTCTCTCTGAAGTGGGAGTTAATACCATGCAATGTGGGCATTCCCTTGGCCCTCTTCCTCAACCAGTCTGTAACACTGAAAGTGAAGTGCTCAGGGGGGAAGTGGCCCGCCCGGGGATGCCAAGCATCACAATGTCTTCTATAGGCTTAGTAACATCGTGTGCATCCTTTTTGCCCTCTCCCTCTTCCAGGGCGACTCCAGCATCCGGTACTTCGAGATCACAGCAGAAGCACCCTACATCCACTTCCTGAACACATTCACTAGCAAAGAACCCCAGCGTGGCATGGGATGGATGCCCAAGCGGGGGCTGGATGTCAACAAGTGTGAGATTGCCAGGTATTCTGAATAATGCTGGGGCTGGGTGTGTGTGTGTGTGTGTGTGTGACAGCAGCGAAAGAACTGGTAGTCTTGACTGGCTGCTTGTGCATCAATCTTTCTCTCTTGCTGCGTTTCTGCAGGTTTTACAAACTCCACGAACGCAAGTGTGAGCCCATTATCATGACTGTGCCAAGGAAGGTGAGTGTTTGATAGTGGGGGCTAGCCTGCTTTTTCAAGAAACTGCTGCTTAAGCTACAAGGGACGGGGGATGGGCCTTCCCTTGCTGCTGTTTCGGGACCAAGCAACTGCAGATGAGCCATGACCTGTCTGTGGATGGCTTGATGGTTCTGCATTAGAATCTTGAAACATTAATCCGTGGGGCTGTTGCCACTGCTGTGTTCACCCAGCAAATTGACAGGAGATTCACACATAACCTCATATACCCTGGAAGGTTGTGAGTATTTCAGTTCTGTCCATTGGGACAGGTGGTTGTGTCCCTTTGTAGCTTGGTATTTCCATCCAGCGCTTTTCTCCCCTCCGGTTTCCAGCTGTCCAGAAGGATCTTCTAAAGTCATAAGCTGAAACCATTGCCATTTCAACCCTGTTCCTTCTCTGATCAGAAACATTTATTTTTTCCCATATGACGGTTGTGTGTGCTTTACTTGCCTTTAAACCAAGCTGAGCATTACATAAGCATTAAATATCTATACAACTTTTAGCAGACATTTGAAGGCAGGCCTGTATTGGGAAGTTTTTAATGTTTGATGTTTTATTATGTTTTTATATGTGTTGGAAGCCGCCCAGTGGCTGAGGCAACTATTATTATTATTATTTATTAAGCAAATCCCTCCCTCCCCTCCAGTGTTCAGGTCTCAAGCTTTATACATATGCCTGTTGTCGTTGCATAGAAATTGGATCTGTGCCCGTCTAGCTTTGAAACTATGTGGATTTAATAATAATGCTACTGCTTGACAGTTAAATAGCCTGTTAGTCAAAGCACGCTATCTGTTTCGTCTTTTAAAACTGCTCTGTAAGACAGGCCAATATAAAGTGGAGACTGAGAATTGGAAATTTTGAAACACAGCAAATTTGTTGGGTGTTTTACCTTGTACATCCCATGGGAGAAGGGAGCAGCACTGTTCCACATCAACCCAGTCTTAACACTGTCTTCTCTCTCTCTCTCTCTGCAGTCCGATTTGTTCCAAGATGATTTGTACCCAGACACAGCTGGGCCAGAAGCCACCATGGAAGCCGAGGAATGGGTGGCAGGGAAGACGGCGGGGCCGATCCTGATCTCGCTGCGCGAAGCCTACGTGCCCACCAAGCAGCGTGACCTCAAAGTCAGCCGGAGGAGCTTGCTGCAAGATAGCCGCCCCGCTGCTGCCCCCAGCGCCGGGCTGAGTGCCACACACCCCAGTGCCATGTCTCAGTCTGCTGCCACGCCTGCCATTAGCATCAGCGCTGCCAGTGGGGTATGTGCAGGGCTGGCGCCTGTGCCGGAACAGGGGGTTCTGTGGGTGGGTTGTTTGATTGGCACTTCTCTGTCGTCCCTCACAGGGTTGTAGAGTGGTTGAGCTGGGTGTGGGTGGATGTGGGTTAGAGCCAGATGCAAGGAGCAGAACAGGATTCTGATGTGCCTTGGGGAGGGAGAACGGAGGAGAAGGTCTGCATGTCCAATATTCAGTGCGTCCTGGGACTCTCCAGCATTCTCTCCAATAATAAAGCAAATCCTTTGTAGTTTTGGAGCAGTCATCCTATTTCAGTTATTGGAGAAGAGCCAGTAGGGCTTGACTAGAGGCTGTGGTTAGAAAGTGGGCTTCCCATACCCTGCAAAGTACCCTTGCCACAGAGAGCAAATAAGCCTACAAAGGTTACCAGTGTGAGAGGCTATAGGCAAACTTGTTGAGGGTAAGGCAATATTCTACCTTCAGGCACAGGATGCCTCTGAATACCAGTTGCAAGAGAGAGGAGAGGACTCTTGTGTTCAGGCTTCACCTGTTCTTCTGGCTGGCCACAGGATGCTGGGCTTCATGGACCCTTTGGCCAGATCCAGCAGAACTTTCCTTACATTCAACTAGGCTGCTAATCAGCTAGCAATCTGCATTTCCAGCTAGCAATCTGCAGGGGAAAGGATGCCCCCTCCTCCATAGCCAGCCTGGAAACAGAGGCAGATAGAAAAAAGAAGAAGAAAATGCCTTCTTCTAAGCAGACTGGCAGAGGAGGAACAGGATGATCCATGCTCTGCTCTTCGCTAGCCCACTCAGGCATCTGTGTGGAATTCCTGGCAGTCTGCGGCTACTAGGCAATTTGTCAAGGACAAAGGATGCTTTTGGGCATTTTTAACCTGAATGCCAGGCTGTTCCTAGTTGAACAGATCCTATGAAGTCAGTCAGTCTGCTGAAGATTTCTTTCTTTGGATGTCTAATAGCCTGCTGTGTGCATGTGTTGACCAAGCATTTGCCAGTGTTGCTTTCTTCCTTCCCCCCAACATGTGTGTGGGTACACACATGCACACATATGTGCGCACACACATACATGGTGCACTCCCTCTCATACATGCACTGGGGGAGGAGGCGCAAGTCCCGCTGATCCCAGGAGTACAGGTCATGGGGTGGTTATGAGCTGAGCAGCTGGGATCCTGTTGAAAAGAGCAGCATGACCCTGCTTTCTTCTTCCTTGCAGGACGGCGGGCAGGTCATTGAAGAAGTGCTGCGTGAAGTGGCGTCACTGCGGATGCTTGTGGCTGCGCAAGGCGAGCGCATTGGGCGGCTAGAGGAGCAGCTGAGCCGCATTGAGAACGGCGATGTCTAGGAGGGGTCCCCACGGAGGAGACCTCACCAACATGGATCTTCTTAAACGCTTCACCTTTTTTTGAGCTGCCAGTAATCCCTTTATACACTGCCTCATCCTGCCCTGTGGTGTGAGACAGGGACTTGCCCTCTCTTGCTGCTACTGGGAATGTTTCTTGGGTTTTGTCTCGGACCAAATCTCCTCCTTCTCCCGCACCCTGTTTTACCCGAGGGGCGATGTGCTGGTCTCCCCACATCTGTCCCTTTGCCTTATTCTGGCCAGAGTCCCTCTGGCCCTGTCCCCTTCCCATGGCTGGGGTTGGCTTGTATGTCCCCCTGTGGGGATCAGGACTAGCTAACTGCACAGTCTGACATGCCCACGCTTTCCACTGGCGAGAAGGCTGGGATTCCCCTTCCCAATCTCTCATGGCGGGTGGATTTTGCGGTTTATTGGAAGCCAGTGCTTCCTATGGGCCAGGCCTCTTCTCCCCTTTTTCCCTGCTAGGACCACTGAGAATCCTGTTGAGGATTCTTCTGCTTCCTTGCCTGAATTTTATTTTACTTCAAAGAGACCATGGATGGGATCATTGAGGCTTGACTATGAAATAAATCTGCCATCTAGTCACAGTCCTTAAGTTTCTTGTCTCTGGGACCACTCCTCTCTCCCTCCCTCCAGCTAAGCAGGTTCTGACGAAACAGACGAGGAGGTTGGAGGCGGAAAGAAACTGTTCAGGTTCAATAATCTATATTTTCATTCCAAATAAAAGTCTTTATAAAGCCACAGCTCTGTGCACAAGTCTGTTGCTGCCGCCTCCCTTCTTTCCACAGATGAATTCAGAGGAGTTCAGGGTAAGCGCAGGCTTTCCCTGGAGCATTTGCTTTCTTCCCACCATTTTATGTGGGTTCACTTTCAGCGTGTGGTGGAAAAACACAGTGGAACAGGCAACAGCCCTGGCATTTCTTCTCACCTAGAGCTGCCCAGAGAAACCAAGAAGGACACAAGTCATGTTGGATGCTTGCAGGAAAAACAAGAACACTTCACTTAAACTTCAGCCTTTCTAAATCAGTGTTAGGAAATGACTGGTGTCTGCATGTGCCATATAGCTTTCAGGGGTATAGGAGCCAAACTTTACATGGAAAGGTAGGGCTGTCTGTGTGAGTAAGCAATGGCTTTCCAACCTGAACTTTTAATGTTCACTTTTTTTTAATGGGAAGATTGCTTCACTTGTTCTGTGTTTATACTGGGTTTCAGAGTGTCTTGCATGCCCTGAACATGTGTGAATATTCAGGCCTTTTCCTGTTGGCTGCTCCACTTTTGTTTTGAATTCTAACAAAGCTTATTTCCTGTTACTTATAATCTGGATTTTTAAGCAAGGTAAAATGCATGCTTGCTGCTACTTTTGAATGTAATTGGAACAATCCTTGTGTGTATGTGTAGCGCAGGAGCTTGCATTTTTTTAAAAGAGGAACAAGGAGAAATATGCACTATAGAGGCAGGAGGTTAAATGAGGCCTCCCTCTTCTGGAAGAAAGAGGAATGTAGGTAGAGCTATCCCTCACACATAAACAGAGCAAATTACTACATGCCAGCCTAGATATTTACCTGGTGAGATGCCTGCTCAAGGAGGGATAGGTAATTGTATGGGAAACAGGCTTGCTTTCGTGGTTGCATTTTGACTTGAGCAGGTCAGGCTCCCTCTTGTTTCTGCTACTTCCCACTATCTTAGTTGCTGAGCCAAGTTTAATCTGGGTTTTAGTTTGGCAATCTCTCTCTTGATATCCTTAAAAGGATAGGTCCCTAAAGGAAAGGTTTTCTGGCACTCTCCACCAGGGGGCTTTTCATATTCAGTTGGCTTACAGTGCTTTGACTGTAAGAAGCTTCATGTTGTTTTCTCCTGCAACTCCCATTGCGTCTTCCCTCCCCTTCCTTTTTGATCTGGCATCTGCCTGAGATTTTGCTCAGTGCTTGTATTTGTTGCAAGAAACTCCTTGGCAATGAAAGAACTTTGCTTCCTTCAGTTCCAGTGGTGCATCCCTCCTTTGAGCTTGGAACAGCCAGCCTTGGGCATGTGCAAGAGGAATGTGTTCTGCAGCTGTGTGTGCACAGGCACTTGCCTAATGTGCATAAAGTGGTACATGCCTTTTTGAGTGCAGCCCACTTGTTGTCTTTGGTTTGATAAGGAACTGGGAGCAATGAGACAGTGGAGCTGATGACTTATGGCAAATCTTGACAGAACTGGGGCTAGGCTGGGGCAGAGAACCTTCTTAAGCCTGAGGGCCACATTCTCTTCTAGACAAACTTCCAAGGGCCATAGGTCGCTGGTGGGCAGGGCCAGGAGCAAAAACAATTCCCTCCTACATCTCTTCTCTGTTCTCCCATCAAGGCATGCAAGGTCACAGCCACATCATACATGTAAAACACTCTTGCACCACTGTTGCAAGAGTCATGCCTGGGTCACATCCTGCTTGGACTGCTGCAACGTTGTGGGGCTGCATTGGATCATTTGGAATCTGCAGCTAATGCAGGATGCTGACGCCAGGAGCTTGTGACATGAGGCATGGGGCTCCTTTGTTTAATCTGCACTCGTTCCTGGTGTATTTCCAACCAAGCCCAGTTCAGGGAATTTAAAGAAATAGCTGATTCTGCTTGCCCTGGGAGATCTGCTGGAGGGTGTGTGTGTTTCTGTTCCACCTCCCTCCTCTATTGAAGCATAGTTCAGAAGGGTGAGAGATACATCTCTAGCTTCCTCCCTTTGACATTTTGCAAGCTGCTGAAGACCACATTGTTCAGGCAGGCCTTTGGTTTGAATTAGCTCCTGTCGAATTGCCTTTTATGCAGTCCTATCAATTGCTATATTCATTACTCTGTGTGTGTATGTGCACACACAATCTATTGTTTGTTTCCACTATTTAAAAATACCACAATGAATTGAATGCTCCCTTAGGAGCTTTTTCTGAAAAGCAGTTTTAAGGTTTTTTCAAAGCAAAGTAATTCAGAAACATTCAATCTCCCACCGCAGTAAACACTGAATGTGCAGAGAGAGAATATCTCCTGGGCTTGTGGGGCATCTAGCTCCTAGCAACGTCTTTTGTGGCTGCTGGAGAAGCCAATATGATTTCTGCCAAAGTGCATGCATGCTGTAGGTACCCGCTGCGCATTGAGGTTCTCCGGAAGAGTGTAGGTGGCGGGTGGCAGGTGTGCTGCTCTTCCTGTCCTAGACCAAGCAGCAGAAGCTGTTCTGGGGGGTGGGGGTGACAGGAAACTTGTGGTTGGCACTGTTGAATTAAGACGCCTCTGCTGCCTGAGCCTGCAGGAAATAGTGTTGTTGTAAGGTGCATGCAAACCATGCATGCAAAGCCTCCACACTGCGGTACCAATTTGTGATCTGTGCTCTCTGCATAGACAAAAGCTGCTGATGGGGTAGAAAAGTGGTCGCTCTCTTTTCCCATACGACTGCAAGGGCTATGAAGTGGTGGAAATGAAGAGAGCACATCCTGGCTCTACTTTTCCTGGGCAAGGAAACAGCTGCAAAGTTTTCTTGCGCACCCTCTGTACATCTTCTATATAACACACCCCACCCCGCCGTCGTCTTCCCGGGATGTAGGTGGTGTGGAAGTGTGCTTTACCTTTTTTTAAACTCCTATCAGCTGCAGTGGACTATCCTTTACAATCAGGAGTCCTTAATCCAGTTGTACAAGCCCAGATGAGGAGCAAACAAACACAGGAATCTGCTACAGTACATAGCATAGGCCCTGAAAGCCTTGTTAATAAGGTGGGACAACCATTGATAGCTGTCCAAAGTACTTGATTTGGTACATTTTATATCTCTCTCTTCCCCACCCCAAATTTAAGCAGAACAGACACTGGCATGAGAAACAAATTTGGTTAATAATTCTGGCTTTCTTCCCAATGAGAGATGCTTATCAGTGCAATGGGGAAGTTCTGCTTAAGCCTGATAATGGTTGGATGTACCCAAAAGAGGTAAATAGTTGATTCTTTGCATCAGGTGCTAAGTATAGCTTTGTAGTGTTTTCTCTGTGCAGGGTGAAGAGCAGAGGCAGGAAACATCTCTCCGCCACCCCCAAAGTGCACACACAGGGCCACTGCTTGCAAAGTTTCATTTTCCTCCAGGCTACATGCAGTGCAGCAGAGCAAAGAGCACTCCACTCCTGACGATGGTAAGAAAGAGGGTAGACCCAACGGGGCTGGAGAAGATGGATTTGGAAGGGTGGCATGTGTGTGAGAGAGAGTGTGAGAGCGAGAAGAGGCAAAGTTGCACGACCCTACTGGACTTGAGACAGTAGTGGCCAAGACTTTTAGAAACCAGAATGTTTCCTTATCGCGAATAGCTGGTTAGGCTTGGAGCCTCTCACTGGGCTCTTTCCATTTGCTGTTCTTTGGCTTCTGCAAGGAGGTGCCAGGCTCTCTTTTCTCCAGGAGAAGTTGAGCAGGCAGGGCTACCAAGGCAGATAAGGAAGAATAAGAGAGGGGCTGTTGGCACAGGCTGGTTAAATGCTGCTCATAAGGTGGTGGCCATCCCTGGTTGACCAGAGGGACTCCACTTTGTCCTCTCTCTCCTGCCATTGGCAGGGGGGTGGGAATGCAGCGGCCATTCTGCTGCTGCTCTATAATTTGTTTTGCTACAGTGGAGGAGTAGGTACTCCCTTGGGCATTTTCTTAAGTGAAAAGGCTGCACAGAAAATTGTAAAATAATTCAACAGATGCCTTGTGGTGCCGCATTCTCTTCCTCCCTGCCTGTGAGACCACTTGGAAGCAGCAAAAGTTCTTAAAAGGTATCAATGGCGTCGATTTCCCTTTTGCTGTGATGAAAGCCCAGGACCTGTGGCACTGGAATGGCTTTTCTTTCATTGCTTATAGTCCTTTGTTTTGTGTTCCCTCCTTATTCCACTGGGCAGTTTGATAAGGCGCACTACTCTGGCACGTTGGCTTCTCGGACACTTCTGTTTCCTTTGATGTTCTGCCTTACCTCTTAAAGTTCTTCTGTTCCACCAGATGACATTTCTGCTTTTGGGCTAGAGAACGCCAAGGTTAAGCTATGCTCTGATGCTGGCCTCTTTAATGGCCTTTGCGAGTAGTTGAAAACTGGGCTTTTTGCCGCCTTCAATCCTTTGTTGGTAAAGCTGCTTCCTTTAATATGGGATGGAGCAAAGGGCTTTTCTGCTGCAGTAGATAGCAGTGATAGGAAATCTGTTGCTCACCAGATATTATTGAACTCCAACTCCCATGAGCCTCAGCCAGCATGGCTAATGGTCAGGGACTATAGAAACATAGGAAGCTGCCTTATACTGAGTCAGGCCATTGGTCCATCTAGTTCAGTACTGTCTACACCAGGGTTTCCCAAACTTGGATCTCCAGCTGTTTTTGGACTACAACTCCCATCATCCCTAGCTAGCAGGACCAGTAGTCATGGATGGTGGGAACTGTAGTCCAAAAACAGCTGGAGACCCCAGTTTGGGAAGCCCTGGTCTACACTGTCTGGCAGCAGCCCCTGAGGATCTCATGCAGGGATTTCTCCCAGCCCTAGAGATTCTAGAACTTGAACCTGGAACCTGCAGTATGCAAAGCAGATACTTGCTCTGCCACTGACCTATGGCCCCATGTCAGCTGTGGTCTACCCCCTGCAGGAGAGCCACAAGTTCCCCATCCATGCTTTGTGTCTTGCTACATTCTTCAGAAATACTGTAGCGTAGGCCCATTGGCTGCTGTTCCAGTTGTTTCAAGGAAGAAGACCGATGTACAGATTCACAGAGAACTGTGGTCTCCTAATAGCACTCAGTAACTGTTTTAGCATTTTGAAGAAGCATCAGCATTGATGTCTTAACAAAGCTGATACTTCTTCAAAATGCTAAAAGTGTGATAAAGGCTAACCTCACGGTCCACCTGTAATACATATGCAAATGGCCTTCTGACACGGTATCTTGCTTGGAGGGTGGGTGGAGTAGAATTCAGCTTCCATTTAGTGTAGCTCAGGGATGGGATTCTCCAGCTATCATTGGACTCTCATGATTCCTGCCCTTTGGCTATGCTGCCTAGGGCTGATGGGAGTTGGAATCCTGGAGGGCCACTCCCTCCTGATCCCCAAACTAAAATGGAAGCCGATGATAATTTGCTGCAGGGGCTACCCTAGTGGCAACGTCCATCCCGTGGCCTCTTTTCTCCCTCACAGGCCTTTCGATGCTCTTGCTCTCACAGTTACTTTCTCTGCGTAAAGGAGCAAGCAACCGGTTGCAAAGGCCTGCAACCTTTCAAAGAAAGCTGCTGCTGCAGCCATTTGCTAATGTTCACGTTGTGCTGCTTGTGGGACTTGATGGCGCCAGATGGCTGCTCTCTTCTAAACATGCAGAGGACAAGTTCTTAGAAGTGAGAGTACCAAGGCTGCAAGGCACACAGCAAATGAGGTGGTATTGAACTAAAAACATTAGATTTATGCGGGGCACAAGAGAGGAGTGGGACAATGCTGTGTCACATGAGAAATCCTTGTGCTGATGGGATAGATCTCTTTGGCACAACTTTGAATACAACCCCAAGGTTTCACTAGTGCACATGCCCACAAAAGGTCTCTAGAAATACCCCCCTAAAAAAAACCCCTAACATTTGCACTTCCGGTGTGTATTGGCTCAGACACTCCTTCACTTAGCATACATCCTTAAACATACCATTTCATTGGAGGATAGGACTAGACATGCACTCTTTCTTCTGCAAAGGGCTTCCCTGCGACTGGTATTTGTGCTCCCCCCCCCCGTTGACTGAGGAGGGGGGCGCCTGCACCATTTTATGGGCCTGCATTTTTTAGATGTGGCAGCCATTTTGTGACTGATGCCCATGACACTCACTCCAGATTCCAAATGTGCCTATTGAAAGGGCTGGCAACCATTGGCTTTGGTATAGATGTGAACTTAGCGGATCAGAAAACAGATCCAGCACCCTCAGAAAATAGCCTCAAAATGTAGGAAACCTGCTCTATCAAAGTCTTGTCTCCTAGCCTAACTTTATTCTACTCCACCACCCCCTAACCCCAAAAAAATCCTGTTAGTAGACTGGAAGTCCTGTAAAGATACCTTGCTGATTAGTATCGTGGAACGTGGGAAAATACTTTGCTGTTCCTGTGCTGCCAGGGACTTCTTATCCTGTCCCATTGCCTCAACATTAGATTCCTTTGCTGCTGCTTTCTCTGCCTAACACTACTTCACTACTTTCAGGTCACAGAAGACCACAAATATCCAAGGTGCAGGTTAGTTAAGGCTTAGTTATGCAGGCTGTCTCCCAAGATTGATTTGGAACTTCCCTTTCCCTGCATGTTCAGTCCTAATAATCTCCCAGATTACCCTTTCCTTGATAGCACCAGCCTTTTCCTCCATTGCTGAATTATATTCAGCGGCCTTGCTTCAGTGACACGGAGGAAAAAGAAAGGAACAGACTTGTTGCCCAGCCTGTATTCCATTAGTGCCAGTGCAAGACAGAGGTGTGGCTATGCAGCAGCCAATTAAACCAAACTGTTAGCCGAAACTCCCTGCAGTCTGCTTCTACAGGCCACTTCCTTCCATACGTCTAATAGGACATTCACCATTTGACAAATACACCCTATAAAATTAGCTGAAGCAAGACCTCCCCAAGTTAAATGGACCCCTCATATGCGAAAGGTCCCCGGTTCGTTCCCGGGCGGAAACACCATGTTTCCCAAGTTAAATAGACCAGCTCTTTCTTGGTAACTACAAAGCTTGATAATTGGCACTGTCTACCTTCATATGCTGGCTTAGCGAAAATATATCTTTTTCCTTCACCTGACATACTGAGCCTCAGGTCATTTGGGGCAGACAGTACAGTAATTGCCAATGGCCAAAGCACCAAACAGAGGTTCTGCCTTCTGAAGCAAAGGTTGAGGTTAAATTGAGGGTGACTTTGTATACAGAATTCAGCTTTCTAAAGAATCACAACATTTATATTTAAAAGTACATGCTTTATCATATCTTCACAATCATAAGTATGAGAAATTCTTGCTGAATTTCCAAAACCACAGTAGTCACTGAAGATGACTTCCAAAGACTCTACATAGCTCCTTGTCTCTCCCTAACATAGCAAAATAAATTACGTAAAAAAAACAGGGGAAATATGCAAGAAAAATATATATGCATGCACATTTTCTTAAGCCTGCATAATTTATAGTCAACTTGCTATAAACTCTTATTGGCTGTAGTTTCTCCTCTGCCACCTGGATATGTCTTTATGACTGTATCAATGGAGCTTGTACTAGGAAACAATCACACACACTCTTGCTCCTCTTACATTATAGCACTTCAGCAAATGTCTAGTGGTCTGCGAGTTGCCACTGATGATGCAAAGCCCCCCATGAGCAGATCTACTGCAGCATCCAATAAAATCCCCAAACATCACACAAGGCCAGGAACTCATTTTTTTGTCTTCTTTAATTGCAAGCCCTCCTAGCTGCAGCATGTAGGTTAAAAATATATATATGCAGGCAGTTGCTGGTGAACATTTTAAAAACTAAGACAGCTTCCGAGCAATGGCAGTGCCCTGCTCTTTTCACCATGATCCCTCCTTAACATCTACATCAGAGTCCAATTAACACTGTGCAAGTGGGAGTTTTCAGGGCACGATTCCATGATCCACACAGCCCAGGGAGCAGCGCCACAGCTGCAGACAGCAGGCCAACATTCAAGGCTCCTTGTCATATTAAAATTGCTGGGGCAGGCACTCATCCTGCCTCCTTTTTCTCTGTAGAGACCCCAGTTCGTCCACGCGCTCTCTGCCCTGCTCCTGCTGTTTCCAGGGAAAGCCATGGGAGCAGCTCCAGAGGGAGGGGGCGGCCGCGGCAAGAGCAGCGATGACATCGTCGTGAGTTTCCTGGTCTGCCTGCTGCTGCTGCTGCTCCTCTTGCTGTTCCTGGCATGGCGTCGGCTGAGCCGCAATTCAGGAGGAAGGTACCACCCCCAGCGCCTGCTGAGGGGTCTGGTGCTCCGATGGCAAGGGCTTTGGGGAGGGGAACTCCCTGAAGAGCCGCTACAGGGACACCAGGACAAGAAGCTGGGAGACGAAGAGTCCGGGGAGGAGCAACCCATTGATGTGGGGGATGAGAGGGAGCAGGAGCAGCTCCTCCAAGGAGAAGACGAGGAGAAGACGGAGGAAGAGGAGGAGGAGGAAAAGCAAGAAGCGTCCAAGGAGAAGGCCGATCCGGAGCCAGCAGAAGATAAAGCAGTGCAGGAGGCCTCAGAGGAAGAAGGGGCCCCAAAGGCAACCGAGAGCAGCGCAGGGGCTCTCCTGAGTGATCTGCATTCTTTCTCTGGGACAGCGGCCTGGGAGGACCCAGGCAAACAGCTGCATGTCACTGCCCTCTAGAAGCAGCAGGATAGAGGGCACTGAAGCACTCGCTGCAAAGACAGCTACAGACTGAAGGCAGTTCACTGCCCCATCCCATGGACCTAGCAGAAGCTGCTTTTGCCCTGTGTTGCCTATTGACCCCTTCCCGTTTGCACCTAGCTTGCTCGATCGCCTGCCCCGCCAAAAATGCAGCCTGAGTTTCCATTTTGTTTTGAAAGTTTCCTATGACAAATAAAGTAGAGGGGAGATAAGAGACACTGTAGCGGTCTCCTCGTGGACTGAAGCACAGCATGGCTCTCTCCAACCATAACTGTACTACTTGGCAAAGGCCAAGCTTCATGGGCATCGTGGCAGCAGTCCTCAGAAACAAGCTGTTAAATCCTTGCCACTTACCAGCCCATCGTCTGGGCGGTGACTAGACCGCTAGAATTCACTCACAGTCAAGGGTACAGAAAGAGGCACTGCTAGATAGGTAGTAGCCCAGGAGAAAGACTGACCTGGCCACGGCCACTTAGGGAGCAGCATCAGTTTTTGGCACTTGGTGCACACTGGGGAAAGTAGACGGGTGCGGAAGTTTCTCACGAGGGTGCAACTCCACCCAGTAGGATTTGCTCAATCCTTTCCGCCTGGTCAAGGTTGCGCCCCTTGCTTTACAAGTCCTAAAGCTTTAATTGCCATGAGTCTGGCAGCAGCGAGGAGAGCCAGACTGCATGTCCTAACAGAAAGTCCTCCCTACCCCCAGTTCACACTCACGCAAAATGCACCGCCAGTAAGATGGCAGCGTACTCAGCCCCGAGGCAGGCGCCTTCTGACCGATCCTTTGTGTGTCTCAACTTCCCTCTGTTCCCACCACGTTTCACTATATATTTCAAAAGAAAGCACCTCACGTAGGGATCATTCCCTATGACGGAAAAGCACCAACACCACACCACCCTTTGCAGCTGGGAGGGAAGGTGGCCCCTTGCAGCAGGGGAGAAAAGGTGCTCCCCAAACAGGGCTTGACGTTGCTGTGGCACGGCTCTCTCCACCTCTGAGCCCCCGTCCACCTGGGCAACCAGAGCGCTCCGCCCTGCCAAGGCGGACGGTCCAAGGATCTCGCTGCTGCCTCCGCTACCGGGCCCGCCCCCGGCCCTTCTTCTTGGTGCCCGATGGGGTTTTGATGGGCAGCGGAGCGGTGACTTCTGGCACCGGCATGAGCGAGGGCGGCGACAGCTCCATCTGTTCCGTGCTTGTGCTTGGCTTGAAGGCTTCAAAGGGTGAGAACTTCAATGGGCTGCAAAACATGGGCTGGAGTTAAGCCAGTTACTGCCTTCACCACTTACATGCCTCCTTGTCCTCTCCTGCCCCCCCCCCCGCCATTTCACATAGAGCCACAGGTATCGCAGCGACCAAGGCCCAGGCAGTGCAGCCGTTCCCCTGGGGAAGGGATGCCGGAGACAACATTTATTGTCATAAGCAAGGCCCTGAGCTCACCCTGCTTTTGCCCTAGTCCCATGAGGATAGTACTCTAGAATCCAGGCCACCTTGTGGCTCTCCCTTACCTGACAGGGGTGCGGGGGCTGCTGTTGAGACGGCGGGGAGATCGCAGCTTGGGCTGGAAGGAAAAGCCTTCCTTGATGCTCTCCAACACTGATGGGGCTACGTAGGTGAATCCCTGCAGAAGGAAACAGCTGGTCAACGCAGCTACGATCCGGGCCACTACTGCAACCTCAGGATTTGGTTTAACTCAGAAGCAGCAGCAGCAACCCTGCAGCCCCTTCGCTAGGGAAAGGCAAACACTGCTGCATGTCCCTTACCAAGAAGGCCTGGTTGGCGCTCTCGCTGAGGAAGCCATCATCAGGACTATCCACGGGGGTCTGCCGGGTGAAGCGGGTGTCAAACTGGCTGACATCGTCTTCGGATTGCTGCGGGTGGGAAAGGGAGGAAGAGGTATCAGTATACAGTGGTACCTTGGTTCTCAAACGGCTTAGGTGTTGAACAAATTGGCTGCCGAACGCTGCAAACCCAGAAGTAAGTGTTCCGGTTTGCAAACGTTTTTTGGAAGCCAAATGTCCGACGCGGCTTCTGATTGAGTGCAGGAAGCTCCTGCAGCCAATCAGAAGCAGGGCCTTGGTTTTCAAATGGTTTTGGGAGTCAAACGGACTCCCGGAAGGGATTAAGTTCGAGAACTGTGGTACCACTGTACAGAGAGCAAGAGGACTAGCAGGAGTTCCAGGGAGACACCACACTGCCCTCCTCTGGGCTGATTAGGCAGAGCAAATTGGTACAGGAAGAATGGAATGCAGAGGTACTATATAGCCCATCTACAACAGCTCAGGGGACCATCTTGAAGTCAAGATCACTCAAGATGGATTAATTATCCATTTAGCCATCCTGTTTTTCTCACACTCTGCATCTTTGATCTCTGCCATCAATTCCATGCATGGTTATGAGGAAACAGAGTTGTCACCCATTTTATCAACTACCTATGCAAACTAGCTATTTTGACCAGGTAACAAAGAACATGTGGTGGTTCTGGTAAACCTTTCCCCAAACCTGGCATCCTCCAGATATTTTGGCCACAATTCCCATTGTTGCTGACCCTTGGGCCATGCTGGCTAGGGCTTACAGTCCAAAACAACACAGCACCTTATCAGAGTTACCGTGCAGAGGGGGGGAGATATAGAGCACATGGCTTTAACAGGAATCGTGGCTTTTAGCCAGCCAAAGGAAAGGGTGTGTGGTGCAGAATGCAATTCCTGTTTCAGTTTCATAAGCCAGAACTCTTTAAGCTACAATGCAGGATTAAAGTGTTGAGAACCGAGAAGGCCATGGGCTGAAATATGGGCTAGGTGAGAAGAAAGGAGTGGGGTCCTACCAGTGATGGCCGGAAGGGTGGGTCAACTCTCCTAGCCAACAAGTCATCCCAGTTAATGTGTCGGAAAAACGGGTGTCTCTGAAAGGCAAGGCAGGGAAGTTATTGCTACCTAGAACTATTGGAAGTTCCTGAAACAAAAAAGCCCTCAAAATCCTAAAATTTGAGGCTGCTCTCATAATGCCTGCAAGACGGCAGACTCATCTACAACCAGGTGGAAAAATTGCACTCCATAGATTTATAGTTATGGCGTCAGGAAAACTCCCCCCACCCCCACCCCTGCTTCCTTGTCTATCAATCACAAATGCCAGAGAAGCAGGATGGCTACAGTGCTCATAGACACCACAGTGGCTACCCATCACTCGGACACCAAACAAAAAACTGACTTCCTCTTGTAAAATTCCCATTTGTGGTCATTTCAACTTGGCAACAAATGTAGGCCTTTTCAAGTACTTGGGGCCCAATCTGCATGTTTCAAAAAATGAATTAGAGGTACAGCCTTCTAAAGATGGTGCCACTTCAGAATGTGAATACTGGCTCAGGGATTGGAGTGTTTCCTGCAAGAACAAAATTTTCCTATCTATAGAAGTTAGCATGTCAAGGAGAAGATTCTTGGTGCCACAGTCCATGGGGGGATGTACTGCATGCTTTTTTCCTGAATGTAGAGCTCAGTCCTGATTGACTTCAAATTAAATGGGTGACTTGAACAGCAGAACACCATATACGGCTATGGATGAAAATCAGTGGTCACAAAATTATTGAGAAATGGTGGTGAAAAGGCTAAGCACAGACCACAAAAATCACATTATGTACGCCAGATTTCCCTCCCCTTAACATGGTACTGCTTACACAAATGGTATAGAATGTAACATGGGTTTTCCCAACAAGTTTTTTCCAACAATCTTCTCAGCTACTAAAATTGGCATACAGGTGAATCACCAGGTATCAGTAGTGCAGAATTTTATGAGCTGAGAAGAAGAAAAACCCTTGGGAGGGGATAAAGGGAGAAGAGGACAGGAGCCTGGAAAGGACTTCAGGTTGCTTCTATCTGGCCTATTCTATCCAAAGAACTCAGGACAGATGCACTTAAGAAATGAAAGTACCTCACTGAAATCCTATACCATGAAAAGCTGACTTCTGCAACCTAGATGGTTTCGTTTAAGCACATTTGCAGAAATATACTCTGCTTTAATTCATTATTGGAAGAGGCAAAGAACTATGCAAGTTGCTGAAGATTTGGAAATGCTGCCCAGAGCACAGAATCCTCTCTGCTCCACTCCAGAAATTTCACCAGGCAGTGCTTACATATTTTAAAAGGATAGAAACTTGCCTTTAATATATTCTTATAAGTATAGATTCTCAGGATTCTGAATTCTTTGCTCAATTCCTGCCGCAGTAGGCCTGGAAATGGGCTACACTTTTGTTTGAGTTCACTAACACCATCTCCATCCAGAGCACAGCCTGCCACTGTCCCCTCGTCCAATTTACCTGTACGTCTGCAGCATCGCCTGGCCCGCCCCCGATCCTCTGGCTGGCATGCCTTTTGAGGAACTGGGAAAAGAGAGAGAATGCATGGAAGAAATATTGCTCAGGTAAGCTCAAAGGGCAGAAGCAGACTCTTGAAGCAGATGGGACTCACAAGCATAGCACTTCCACAGTAACCTCCATTTTATTCTACTCAGGACTCTAGAATGCAGGATGAGGTTTGAGTCCACTATTATCAGAACGCTTTTCACATGAACAGGAGTCTACACATCACCTCCCCCCGCCACACACACTATGGCAGCCTTCCCCCATCTGGCACCTCCAGATCTTATGGACTAGAGTTTCCATAATAGCAAACAATTGGCCATGCTGCCATGTCATCACCACCATCCATGGAGGCACAAGCTTCCACCTGCTTCCCTCCCCAACACTAGCCAGTACCAGGCAAATGGCCTGCCCCTCCTTACTGCCTCTCGGGGCAATGGAGCACTCGGTGTGAGAGGTGCTGCTGCCCTCCACCCACTACATCCCCATCCATTTCAGCTTGTATGCTCTGCAGCATCAGCTTCTGCACCAAGTACTTCCTGAAGCTGAGAGATAGAGGACAGGCCATACTGGAGAGACAGCTGGCCTCTCCACCATGACCGGTGATACAGGAAGGGAAGAGGTGGTCACACAGCAGCCAGAGGCAAGAGAAAGGAATGGCAAGCCACCTCCTCCTGCTTCACCATTTCCAAGCTTAGGAGGAAGATGACCGTCTGCATGGTGGTATGCAAACTATGCACGCACACTCACACACACAAACTTCCCAGTTCTAGCAGCTCTGGGAAGAAGGAAATGGTAGGTCATGTACTGAAAGGTACTGGGCAGTTCTGGTTGATGTCAGCATTGTAGGGGGTTGGACTGGGTGACCCTCAGGATCCCTTCCAACTACATAGATCTACGATTCTGCTCTGGAGAGCCCTTCTGAGCTTGTAACCAAGAAGGGGACAATCACTGGGCTGGTGCTGAACCTCAGGGGTTCCTACCTCCAAAGCTGAGTGTCACATTTAATAGAGACACTCTCCCCTCCCCATCTCTCTCAACAACCACAAGTGGTTTGGCTGCCAAAGTATGCTGGCCCTGCCTACCCTTACATACCCATACCCATAGGTAATGCATTTATTAAAACATATAAGCAGCATTTGCAAGATGCCCGGGGGAGGAAGGTGTGAAAGCAACCTAAGCAACAAGACAGTCAAAATGCAATCTGCAGGACCCAGTTCAATGACAGGTGGGCTGGTACCTTCTTGATCAGGTCACGGGCATCGGGGGTCAAGTAGGGTGGAAGCGCCAACTTCCCTTTCAGGATCTTGTCCATGGTCTTTTTGCGGTTTTCGGCTGTAAATGGCGGCTGCAAGGCAGGGACACAGAGGGTTTAGCAGAGGAGGAGGAGGAATCTGCTTGGCAGCTCAAGCAAGTGCAGGTGGCCAGGGTGGGGAGAAGGGAAACAGAGAGGGAAAGGCTAAGGGTGCAGCATGGAAACCAACAGCAAAACATCGGTGCAAACCCTTTCAGAATAGAAGATGGAGACAATGAAGTTGTGCTAGGCCCCGGGACAGAGACACGAAGACACACAGACAAGGAAGCAGCAGCAGTCCCCCCACACCCCTTCAAATGCCTTACTAGACAGTACTAGTACTGAGATGTTGCCATTCCCCCCCCCCAAAAAAAACCCTGTTCAGTTGGTTGCTTAGTATCTAAGACTGCCAGCTGAGCCAGATACAAGGCTATCTGCAACCCGACCTATCATTAACCACCGATCTACAATTCCTCCCTCCCTCAGTCATGTGCATGGGCATCCCTTCTGTTGACACCCTGAGCCCTGTTGCTTCCAACCCCGCCTTCAAACACAGCATGAGCGAGACTTGCCGATCCAGTGAGCATGTCGTACATCAGAGCACCCAGGCTCCACCAATCCACTGCTCGGTTGTGGCCGCTGCGCAGCAATATCTCTGGGGCCCTGGAAGGCAAGTGGGGGGGCGGGGTCAGAGGGAGAAATAATATTGTGATGGTAGTCACCCACATATATTTCCCACCCAAACTGAACCAGAAGAAAGCCTGTGCTGATTTCTCAAAAACGCCCAGGAGTCCAAGTCACCTACATGTATTCTATGGTGCCACAAAAGGTGTGGGTGACAGCGCCGTCGTGGATGGACTCCTTACAGAGGCCAAAGTCCGTCAGCTTAATGTGCCCTGCAGAAGAGGAAGCCAGGAAAGTGAGTTCCTGTTACTGCCTTGGCAGTAACTTCGAGATTAGGTTATTTTAATGTGCCCCGTGTGGGGATGCCCTTGAGGATAACTTGGAAACTTCAACTGGTCTAAAATGCAGTTGCTGGAAACCACAGAAGGGAAGAGTTCTTTTGTTCTTGAAACTTGTGGTGGTTGGGACTCCGATAGAGAACAGGGATGGGGCTCTGTATTCAAAGGGTGAGGAGTGGATAATAAATTAGCATTATGAGTAATAAATAAACTGAGGGAAAGGAGCATACCGAAACCAAGGTACACACCCCCATGCACACACACTCCTTTTGCACACTGGGAATACTGCTGCCTACCCTGGCTGTTTAGCATGATGTTCTCAGGCTTGAGATCCCGGTAGATGATGCCACTAGAGTGCAGGTGACCAAGGGCCAGAGTGATCTCACTCAGATAGAAACTGGAAGAAGAGGGGAAAGCACTCAGTCAGCAGCAGGAACACAAGCCACCCAAACAGTTCAGAATGGGCTTGCCATGTCAATATTTGAGGAACAACCATTCACGGGTCCCAACAACAGGCAGTGCAAACCGCTAACAGAAAGCCTGGTGTCCATCAAAAGAGGAGGGCAATCCACAAAATTCAGTCCATCTGTGGGACTAAAGGACCCAAATGCCAAGAAAGCAGCTGGATGGGAAGTTGCATCTTCCGGTACAGCCAGGAATACCTGTTTGGTGCAGGTAAGTCAAGGTTCCTTTTGGCTAGGGAAAGTGGAAAGAATGTGATGATTTCTGGAATTTTAATGAGCAGGGGCAAGGCAGCCAATATTTACTCTTCATTAAAGACCTACAAGTTCCCAAGAATCCTTTCTGAACGTCACTGAGTCGTTTGCTCCAACGTGCCTCAAGAGCATGGTTGAGCAATCCAGTATTTTATGCTGGTGTTTATTGCATTACCTCATGCCCACCCACTTCCAGCAACAGTTAAAGCTCTGGAAGCCCCACAGAAGAATCATTAGAGTTGAGAACAGCTACATGCATTTATAGGGCACTCCTTCCTGTCAGGCCGGAGGGAGGAGCAGCAACATGCCGCTGCACACAAATACAATGGCCCTCTTTCATTGGACAACAATGGGGAGAGCTGCCTTATTTGAGAATGCTCGATCTGCTCCTCTTCCCTGGTTGGCAAGTGCTTTTGAATTTCTGTCGCATCTGCATTTATCCCACTGTGCATTTATCTCACCGTGTGCACTATGGATTTTTAAAACAGCAAGCTTGTTTGATGTTACAGTGCACGCAGGAGATAAACCAATGCCATGGCTGCAGGAGGAGTCATTTTAAGTGAATTTTTGCAGTTGTACCATGCAAAATTTTCCATGGGCTCATCTTATGATGCAGCTGTATGTTCAATGGCCTGAAATGATGTGGGCAAGACCAGTCACAAGGGGTGTTAGCTCAAAATCACTGCCCTGGCTAGCTGACAATTTTGTGTTGTCTGATGCGCTGGACTCTTCCCAAAGGGCTGCCAGTCCTTGAATACGGTAGCTGCTCATGGGATAAATCCACAAAGAAACAGCTCTGAGACCGAAGCTGTAATTTTTAATAGGTACTCAAGTCAGATTAGGTGTGCTCTAAAAAAATCCACATAGTAACACAAGTCACTGTGGATGTTCAACTGACAGTGGTGCTTAAAAAGACCAATACAATCTATTTTAGAATAAATTGTTACAGGTGAAGGCAACAAAAACTCATATGAGGGAAAGGACACTGATTAAAGCAGCACTGCTAAACATACAACAGTAAACTATGCTCAGCAGACTGGGATTTATTTCCAAGTAAACACACAGGGGATTGAGCCAGCAATGGAACAAAGGCAAGGCAGGCTGCACCCTATGATGTTTGTCCTGACCTGAGAAGATAAAAACAAAATCTCTCTTTTTTTCATGGATCAAGTAAAACCAGATGGTCCAACCTACTACTCGTATGGCAGATTAGTTTAGTAATGTCATCCAGATAGTTCAAAAAAGAGAGCCACATTAGAAGACAAGGTTTTTGTTTTCCTTTAAAGAAACCACACCAGGGTCATTTTCCTATATTTATCCTGCATTGTTCAGTGAGCACAAAGCTACTGAATTGTCACCGTTAAGGATCTGGGCCAATTTTCCATCCCATGTTCAAACAATAGATTAGGTTAGGATTTTCAAACAGTCTTGGCTTTGTTTTGTTTTGAAAGGCATATCCATAAAACCCATTCATTCAAACCCTGCCTACAGAACTGCCGCAAGTGATACAGAGCAGAGATGGGCCACCTAGGCCCCTCCAGGTGTTGTTGGGCTACAACTCCCACAATCCCTGACCATGTGGGTGGCCACAGATTTCCTACCCCTAACATAAGAGATTATATGGCCAGTGTACGAAGCAGGAGAGATCTCCTGCAGCTATCTCCAGTCCTCCAGACTACCCCCCTTCAGTCTAGAGTGGTGCTTGCACTGACCAGGCTGTGTCCTCCAGGAAGATGCCTTCTCGCTCCAGCTGCATGAAAAGCTCCCCACCTAGAAAACACAGGAGGAAGAGAAACCATCAGCCCACACCCCAAAATCCACCTGGAGTTGAAGGGGTTGGCTCCCAGGGAGTTGCACCAAGCCACTGGGACAGTCCCCTTTCCACTGACGGAGGCTGATCTTTGTTTCCATACCACTGAGACATTCCAGGATGAGGTAGAGTTTACCACCAGTTTGGAAGGCATAGATGAGGTCCACAATGAAGGGGTGCTTGATGGCCTCCAAGATATTTCTCTCTGCCCTTGTGTGGGCTGTGTCCTTGGCATTACAGGCAATCTTGGCCTGCAGGAGACACCGAGAGAAAATGAAGGTCCCCGCTACGGGATGAAACAGCACACATACCTTCTACTGCAAAGAGACAGGCAGCTTACCTTCTTTAGGACTTTCATGGCAAATATTTTCCCAGCATTTGTGCCCTGCACCTTCCGTACCTGGAATACCTACAGTGGGCACAGAAGCAATAAGCAAGATGAGCAGACTGAAGAGAGGAGCCTGATGAGGTCCCACCCATTTTCTAGCTTTGCCAGGTATCATTGGCTCTCAGACTCCCCCGTCCAGTCTCTCCAACCTTCCATCTCCTGTGTGCTCAACATTTTATAAGAGAATGGCACAGGGAACAAGCAAGACTCATTGCACAGCATGCTGGCAAAAATCCAGAATGGATCAGGTATATCACAGCCCTCAGTACATAGCCCTGGGTACTCTGCACACTCCTGTTTCAGAGTAAGCATCTAACGATGCCACTGCCAATGACTCACAGCATTGCGCCTTCTTCCCCAGGGGCTGCTACAGAACTCAAGGGGCAAAGGGCAGAGCAGCTTTTCCCAACCTGGTGCCCTCCAGATATGTTTTGCACGATAATTTTGCATCATTGCAGACTACTGGCCATATTGATTGAGGATGCTGGGCGTTGTAGGCCAAACATCTCGAGAGCACCAGGCTGGAGAAGGCTGGGCTAGAGGGAGGGCGATCCTGTCAAGGACTCAAGAAACCACATATCTGGAAACTAAACAAGAGAGGCCCCAATCCTGTCAACTACACAACTGGAAGCCCACCTTGCAGCATGAGGGTTGCTTCAACATGATGCAACTCCATGATGCAACGATGCGTGTGTACATTTCTATGAACTGTGCAACCATGCAGGAAGTCCTTTGGGGAAGGGATGACAGAAGCACCTGTTTTTTGTCGTACATCTCCTTGAGATGACTGCGTCAAAGGCCCTTAATAAAGTACAGTCGTACCTTGTTTGTCGAATGGAATCCATTCCGGAAGTCCATTCAACTTCCAAAAACGTTTGACAACCAAGGCGCAGCTTCCGATTGGTTGCAGGAGCTTCCTGCACTCAACTGGAAGCCACGGAAGCTGCACTGGATATTCAGGTTCCAAAGAATGTTCGCAAACTGGAACACTCACTTCCAGGTTTGCGGCGTTTGGGAGCCAAAACATTCAACTAGCAAGGCATTTGGGATCCAAGGTATGACTGTAATGATGCTGATAATGAATAATAATGGGAAATAGATAGATAGATACACAGCCTGCATGTCTGATTCAGCTCCCATCTGACTGCCCAGGGTCAGTCCCCAGTCATAGTCAGATACCACACAGTCGATGAAACTATAGGATAAGGAGAAGTGGGCATGTTATGGTTTCCCAGTCTATTTGCCTTAGCAGATTCAAGGAAAACAAAAGAAAGTCTTAATCAACATGGCATGGTCTTAAAAATAACCTGTATTTTAACTGGTCAACTTTGGCATAAGTCAAACGCTCCCTGCCTCCTACATGTTTCTCTTCCTGTTTCATCCATCTCACTTCCTCCATAAGCCTGAAATTACCTAAGAACCAGATAAACACGAAAAATGATGATCACAAATAAAACTGAGCAGAGTACACAACAAAAAATTAGGAGTCAAATTGCAGGAAAGTACTTACCTTGGGTAAACATAAATTTTAAAGAGGTGTTTAAAGATCACTACTGCCTCCACCTCACAAATTACCCAAGGGAGAGCAACCTAGAGGATAGCTCAGCAAATGGTCATTTGCTGGTGATGGAAGGACAAGCAGGGGCTTTATGGAAAATTGTAAAGATTGGCTTCTACCTCCAGTGAGAGGCCACCTGCCAGGTATCCTGGTCTCCAGTTGTTTAGGGTTTAAAAGTCAGCATGGAAACTTTGAATTTGGTTGGTAGCCAATTGGGAGCCAGTGCAGATATTTAAACAGTGGTAGAAAGCTTTACATCCTACTAAGCAGCCTGGCAGCTCTTATATAATATTTGTGAATCTTAGGTTGTTTTTACTCTCACTTTCACACTTATTTTTAATATTTGTTTTGAGTTTACTTTTTTTGAAAAAGAACAACTAATTAATAGCAACAAAACAGATTGGCTTTTTTTTTGTTTTTGTTGCTATTAATTAGTTGTTGTTCTTTTTCAACAACAGGGGACAGGGATATGTACATTCCGAAGTGTAACTACCCTACTTTCCCCACCCTCCCAATGCACACCACCCCAAAGCACTGCTCACCTTGCCATAGCCCCCCTTGCCCAAAACACGTAGCAATTCGAAGCAGTGGGGCCCAATGCGCTCTGGGCCATTGTTGACAATACTCTCAGAGATTTCAATTTCCTCATAATGACCTGGCACCAATCTGTGGAAGGGAAAGAAGGACAAGGGAAATAAAGGAACAGCAGAGAAGGTCCTTCAAAGTGAAGTCTGACAGTTAAATATATAAAAAGAGTGAAGAGAACCACTGAAACCACAAATTGTCATATGTATATGTGTTGTATAAAGGTATAGGCAGGGACTCCAAGACAAGTTAACTTAAGAAAGTTCACAGAAAGCTAATTTCCCATTTCCTCCTCCCCCCTGCAAGGCCTCACTGGATTAACGGAGGGCCTCCCTGAACCATGCGGAATGGAGCATTATTGTAGAGAGGCAGGACCAGGAAATTTACCTTCTGTGAAGTTCCTTAAATTACGTTACCTTAGAACACAAGGAAAGAGTGTTTAGAAATGAAAGAAAACCATTACTCCTCTGGCAATCTGATAGTCTAGATCAGGGGCAGGCCAACTGGATCCTTACCTCCTCCACCCACTGCAGGCCAACTCTGACAGGTGAAGAGACTGTGCATTCAAAGAGCTATAAATGCTGATCAGGGGTTACAACAAGCCTCTTTGAAGACAGTTTTCCTCTGCTAAATGGCAGAAGAAAAATGTCTTTTTGCAGATGTGGTTTGAATCCAAATCATGCTTGCAAACAGGAAACTTTAATGAGGCTAGCTCTCGGCACCAAACAGCTGGTGAGGAACTCTCTAGCCCAGGTGATCCCAGTGAGACTTACTTGCAGAGAGCGCCATTTGCCAAAGGACAACCCGAAGGGCACTTCTGGCTCCTGATTTGCTCCTTTGCAGCTGTATATTTACCTGCCCCACACCTGATGTCACAAATGACATCAGGTGTGAAGCAGGTAGTCATGGTTTGGGGTAAATGGCCTCAAAAGCAAAATCAGGACCCTTGCTGAAGTCTAACTAGAGAATTGACTTTCCTGACAGGTGGGAGAGGAACAGCTTTTTCACACTGTGTGAGAACACATTAGTCACATTCTGACTAATCTACACAGCAACTGCTGCTTGCTCACTGGAACAGAACAAAAGTTGAAAACTAAGGCAAACAGCGTAGATAAGGGTTCTCTGATAGCAAAAGGTACTGAAGGGTATGGATACACTGGTCCACACTTTCCTGAAGTCTTGTTACTGTAGCTACAGGCACAAGACTAAGTTCACATACTCAAGATCTCATAAAATTCCTAGACTGTCAGCACTGAACCCACTGCCAAAGAAATATAAGCTATCTCTGATGGCTAAATGGAAGCTCTGTATCCTGTTAAATGTCAGACACTGCTACCATCACCTCCATGCCCTGCTTTGTGAATGCCCTGAAGCATCTGATCTAGCTGGCTGTTTTTTGGAAAAAATATATGCTCAGCTACACAGGCCTTAGTCTCCAATTCAGCAAGGCAATTATATTACCTCCAACATATTCCCTATGAGAGTGGTAAACAGTGGATTGCATTGGCAGTGGAAATCGAGTGGTGGTAGTTTTAATAAATTTTGCATGTAGCATCCTGGTTAGCTTTGCTTCTCCCATCCTATCCCTTTGTTGCCACCCTTCCATCAAAAGGCTGACTGTAAGCTCCTTAGGGCAGGGCCTGTAATTTGACTTACACATTTCTTTGAAGTGCCGTCATGTAACAATGACAGCACCATATAACAAAATGACAACATGCCTTTGGGCTTAGGGGAGCCTCTAAGTACTAGATGCCAAGACCATATGACTAGCTGGGACTACAGATGGGCCCCCAGTGACTCACCACGGCAACCAGTCCAGACAAGCCTGAGAGGCAAGAGGGACAGGGTAAGCTGGTTGTGGTCAAAGAAGCACAGCAAAATCCTCCCAGGGATGCAATGCAGGACTTTGTATTATACTCACTCAGAGCCTGTGTGGCGAAGATCTGGGTCCACCTCCTGAAAAGAGGGGGGGAGAGATGGAGAGACAAAGCAGAGGTCAATCAGTACCAGAGAAAATGGAGTGTCCCAGCCAGTGTGGGAGACGTATTAGGCACTAAGGCTGCAAATATGCTCCACTGAAGCTCAGAGGGGCTGCCTTCTCAGTAGACATGCACAGGACCGCACTGATGGGCTGCGATCCTGTACCAACATGCCTTGAAGGAACCCCCCTTGAGCTCCGTGGGGTTTACTTCCGAGTAAGGATCTATATTATTGCGCTCTTACTTACTGCCTTAACTTGCTTCTTCCCTCCCTCCTTTCCACTCCCCAGCCTGCCTTCCTGCCTTCCTTGCTAGGCCCACCCCCTTTTCCCTTCTATCAGTCTCTAACCCGCCTCACCAAGGCCCCCAGTTCAGGCTCCTCCCCGTCGCTCCCCTCCTCCGTTTCCAGGTCGATGTCGAAGACGCCGGCCATAGCAGGGGATCCCCGATTACCCCCGCGGCCTTCCAGGCCCCGCCTCCCTGCGTGTCGTCATCTCCCCAGCGACGCGGGTGTTATCGTCGTCATGGGACCGAGGCTTCCGCCCTTTCTGCGGGAGCGTATCATAGAGAGGCGGGAGAAGAGTGGCCGCACTGGCACCTCACTCCCGGTTTCCTGTTTTAAGGGTGCGGGGAAGTGGTCGTCTCCATTTTACACTGTGAATAAAGAGGGAGAAGTGCAACACCTTCCTGCACGCGCACCCCTTTCTACACACACACAGTCGTTTGTGGTGTGTTGGCAGAAGGGGCTTAACCCTTCCGTTTGTCGCTCCAATTGTAGCACTATACAGTAGTCTGTTTTAACCCCAAGCATCTCGGGTTGCATAGGCAACGCGGGAAGCAGCGTTATACTGAGAAGACCATTGGGTCCAACTAGCTCAGTATTCTGCACACCGACTGGCAGCGCCTCTCCATGGTTTTGCGGTTTTTAAAAATAATTTATATACCGCGCTATACCTGGGGGTCTTAGGGCAGTTCACAGAATAAAATCAAAATATAAAACCACAAAATACACAATAAATATAAAAACAACAGACCACCCCTGGGGTGTGTCCCAGCCCTACTGGAGATGTTGGAGATTGAACTTGAGACCTGGAGGCCACTGATAATACAAATAAATTATTATTTATACCCCACCCATCTGGCTTGGTTTTAAAGCCACCCCAGACGTCTTGCCTGCTGGGGGAAACCTCAACATGATAGTGAATTAACATTTTTCTCTCATTCAGAATGTTACAGCTTCCAATCTAGAATAATAAACTTGACCACAACCAGCTTATCCTGCCCTTCTTGCTTCTCAGGCTTGTATTTAGTAAGGCATATATGCTCCTTAAGGGACGCAGGTGGCGCTGTGGCCTAAACCACAGAGCCTAGGGCTTGCCGATCAGAAGATTGGTGGTTTGAATCCCAGCGATGGGGTGAGCTCCCATTGTTTGCTCCCTGCTCCTGCCAACCTAGCAGTTTGAAAGCACGTCAAAGTTCAAGTATATAAATAGGTACCGCTCTGGTGGGAAGGTTAATGGTGTTTCCGTGTGCTACTCTGGTTCGCCAGAAGCGTCTTAGTCATGCTGGCCACATGACCTGGAAGCTGTCTGTGGACAAACATCAGCTCCCTCAGCCAGTAAAGCGAGATGAGCGCCTCAACCCCAGAGTCATCCATGACTGGACCTAACGGTCAGGGGGTACCTTTACCTTTACCTTTACTATATGCTCCTTAAGGTCAGGACAACTTGCAGTATCTTTGCTCTCCATCCTCATCTAGATTTGGCCCTGAAAGTCCAAGAAGTGTGGGTGCATGGAGGGTAAGTTTAAGTCAGCACATGTGTCACTGCACAACCTGACTAGTGATCAAGAGGTATGTATGTGAAGACATCAGCTTTGGCTTCTGGTTCTCATGCTTTGTGGAGTTTGAGCCAGTTCAAGAGAGCCTTAATTTTGTTGCTAAACCTGCAGGGTTTGTTGTTAGCTGAATCACACCGCAAAGCCACGGTGCCCATAAGGGAATCACAGCTGGTGACAGCTTTCTGCTTTTACTAGAAGTTTATGCTATGTGTGCCATTTGATTTTTTTCTATCTACACAACTCTTAATTTTTCTGCAAAAATTCCACCTTCTCTTCCATGGAGTGAGGTTGTTCAACAGTGGCCTCTTGTGATAGTTCCAAGTACTGCTATGTTATCCTCTACATTTACATGGATCAGAAATGAGTCTTGCTGAACCAGAACTCTTCAGTATTTTCAGACCCAGAATCCATCTTTAGGTCAACCAAGAATGCATTTGAGAATCCACTTCTTAATTTTTCTACCATTTATTTGTTTGGGGGTAGTATAGCTGTTGTTACACACCTTAGATCAAGTTGTGACACCATGCTGCCAGTAGGTTAATGTGCTAATAGACCATAGCTATAGCCTGATTTGGCTAGTGTAGCAAATCTTGCAGCACAAATCACAAGGTATAATGAGGAAATGAAAGATGTTTAACATATCTGCTGACTGTTGTTTATTTGCATAAACACTTGGTAAATCTTAGGTGTGAAGAGCTGTAGCACCAAGAACACAGAAGATATTCAATCTTTCCATTCCATCTGTCTAGTTTCCACTCACAAGTGTGACACTTTTGCAAAATATATATTTGATTGTCAGAATACTTTTCCTGCATGTACTGGAAACTATTTCAGAATTATGTGAGCATGCCCTCAGGGTTTGTTTGTTTTACATGTTCAACATTTTAGGAGTGGGGGTTTGTTTGTGATGTCCACGAAGTCATTGAACTGGGTAGATGTGTGTGTTTTTAAAAAAATGTTCAGAAGGATGTACATTTGCATCCAGACCCATCAGTTGTAACATACGACAAGCTGCCTGTACAGAGAACTGGGTCAAGTCCCTAGTCCTTGGAACAACAGTTCACCCAATGTTCCCATGGGGCTTTATCGAGCTAGAAAGATATGTGGTGTGCAAAATAATGTTCTGAGTTAAGGGCTAATACAAACAAGAAAATCAAATGATCAAACTTTTATTCGGACAGGTAGGGGTGCATGTTAGAATTTCACCCCGAGACTTTGTGCTTGTCCTAGCCAGCAATAAACTCTTTACAAAGGCAAAGTGGTGCAGTTTAGTGTTCAGGTACCTGTGGCCCTAAAGCAGTCTCCAGCAGTCATAGCTGAGTTCTTCTCAGGCTTTGAAGTGACTCCTTCCTGCTTCTGCTCTTCGGTAGAACTTAGGCCTCCGAAGCACATTTAGTTCTTGCCTTTTCAACAGGCCCCCAACTTTCCTTTCAGCTCTTTGTGCTGGTTCCTTGACCTTTCTTCTCCAACCCTCTGGTTTGCTTTTCTCAATTATAACAGATTCCTGGAGCTTTGCTCCTGACCTGGAGAACTAAATGTTGAAAAGACGACTCATATCACAGGACCAGACTTCTGGAAAGTTCTGTTCTGTAGAAAGCAACATCTCAGAGAGACTCCAAGGTTGAGAGGAGGCCGCCCTCTGCAAGGCCCAACAGATTGCTAGGCTTTGCAGACTGAGCAAGGTAGGCCAAGAGATACTTTTGATATTAATTCATTTGCATCCTGGACCTTATTCCAGACAGTGTTGTAAATAATGTGTGTTAGAGGCAACAAACATTCAGTTTTGAGCAACAATTTTGTGAAGATCTCCATTAACCCTTATTATATCACAACGGTAAGACAGAAACAGAATCTTCAACATATTTTACAGGGATAATAACAATTTATAACAGGGAAACTTTATAAATTAGGGTGGGGGCTCAGATTCGTAGTTTTGCTTTCTATGGCAAGGGAGTCACAGAACCCAACTATATTTAAGGAAGTGAGATAATCTCCTCAAAATAATTGGGGGTCCCCTTATTCTTCCATTCATTCATATTCACCTCTATTTTTCTTGCTCCATCACTCTCTTTTTCATTTCCCAAGATTTCCTAGGTTTCCTTCCTTCTCTGTTGTTTTTTATTCCTTACTCTCTCTCTGTTAATTCTTACTTTCTTCTTCTATCTTTCATGTTCTTTCAGCTACAAAAAGTTCAGGGGAGAACAGTGTACTGGCTGCTTGTTCAGTGGGACAAGAATCTTAAAGTAAACCTTGGTGCTATGTTGAATGCTACTCATAGATTGCCTTGGACCTAATCTTCCACCTTTTTTTAAAAAAGTGTGGTTCTGAATCTATCACCACACATCTGGTTGGACATATATTTGCCATTGCCTTTCCCAGTGGCAGCATTTAATCAGCATGCTTATTTTTTTACACAATAATTTAATTTCACAGCACCAAAATGAAAAAGCCCTTTAACACAATTTTTAAAAACAAAAACCAGGGGTCCCCCCTCCCATTAAGCAGCATTTTAGTATTGTTTCTTTCCCACCTCATCTTCTAATTTGCTATTAAACACTTCTAATTTGCTGTCTCCACACACAAGACCATGTCAAGCTCACTAGAATGGGAAGATAGTGAAAATGTATACTGACAAAGAGTGCTGCACTCCTGAAATCTGAAAATTGCAAGCGTACAAAATTGCACATGCAGCTTACAATAGTAGAGCAATGGTTGTGTAGTGTTAGGAGCTACCAGCCTTAGACATACCCAAATACATCTGAGTTCAGTGGAAACTATTGCATCGTAAAGATGCTTAAGATTGCAGACTAGTAAGAGTGCGCTTAACACATTCTTGAGTTGGTTTGTTTTTAGAAAAAGGCAGTAAATTAAATCTCCTAGGATAGAAATCTAGAGCGATCTATTCTTCACTTTTCAAGAACACTTGTGCTGGCATGGGCTTCCTAATTAGACCACTGTGGAGTAGGAGTTAATGGCTTATTTGGGATGTGCTGATGTTAGAGTTAGTAACATGACTAATTCTAAATTAATTTTTTTTAACGTATGTTTGTACCCCCGCCTTTCTTCCATCCCAGAGTTCAAGGTGTAATGTACATGGGGTTCTTGTCTGATCTCCCATCAAAGCAGTGTTAGAAACTGAAATATGAAAGCTAAGAGCTAAATGGCACCTTAAACCTAGGTTATGGGTGCAAAAACGGAATGTCTAGGCGAGCTTTTTTTATAACAAGAATACAAAGCTGAAAATGAACGAACTGCAGTTAAAATATTACATTCATTTTTCACATGGTCTAGTCCTTCCTCTGCCCACCCCCCAAATATTCTTAAGAGGGTCTCTTCTCCAGTCTTCAGAGAGTAGCTGGAAGTAGGGAGGCAGAAAAAGGTCCACCTTTCCTTCCACTCTGCAGTTTTAATCTGAAATCTTAGGCGCAGAACTGCACCCAGAGCTCAGAAACTTTGCACTAATGAAATTCCCTGTTGCAAAATGTGCCTAGAACAATGGGAGTTTCAAACACTGCATCAAAGTACTGACTAGACCCAAACCAACTTTGGGTCTGACAAGGTTTGACAAGGTTTTGTATCATATTCCCTCAGACCATACCTTGGAAGCACATCTACCTTCTGTTACACAACCTTGTTATTTGTCTTTAAAAGATCCTTCACGTAATACTTGCCTTTCTGCAATATGCACTGGCTTTGTAGGGCTTCAAACCACTACTTTTGGTTTAATCCACAATGGTTACGATTCCAAAAAACAAAGCGTGTACAGTGTACACAGACAGGATTATTACTGCAGTAGCTCTTAGCTCTAAACAGCTCTCGAGTATATAAAACTTTGAGCTGGAAGCTACTATTGCAAAAACAGTGGATAAATTTGGTGTTTGCATTAAAATGGTGCCTGTGGATTAGGAGATTGCAACTAAGTGCTACGTGGAGTTTATTAGTTGGGTGTGTGGGTGTGTAACTAGAGACATGCAGTTGAAAGCTCTTAGCAGGGAGGAATCCACAGAATTCAGATTCCAAATTGGAGTTACTGGATCTCATCTGGGAAAATCAAGATTTGGATAGAATCATGAGTCCACTTTACAGTGGATTCCTTTATGAGATGGTCTGAGTGCTACAGCACTTCCTCTGTGCCCATTTTTTTTTTAAAGACCCAGGGAAGTCTTCCAGCCATCCACGGCCTGGAGTGGTTAGCAGGGCTTCTTGCCACTCTCACTCTCAGAGTGAATTATACAGCAGAAACATGGCTAACAATGTGCAAACACTTTAAAGAACAGGACACGATGGACTTAGATCCATCCCCATGTAGTACAGTGGTACCTCGGGTTAAGAACTTAATTCGTTCCAGAGGTCCGTTTTTAACCTGAAACTGTTCTTAACCTGAAGCACTTTAGCTAATGGGGCCTCCCACTGCCGCTGTGCCGCCGCCACACGATTTCTGTTCTCATCCTGAAGCAAAGTTCTTAACCCGAGGTACTATTTCTGGGTTAGCGGAGTCTGTAACCTGAAGCGTCTGTAACCCGCGGTACCACTGTACTGGGACAGACTGGCCTTTAATGTGTCCATCTACCTCTAGAGATCAAGTAAGCTTAGAAGGTTTGATTTTGACATATTGCTGTTGAGAAGAGTTAAGTATTGTGCTAGTGAAGTGGAATTAGAAACTACTGTAGCTGCTTTCTGGTAGCCCATATATGCAGCTCAAAGCCTCCATTGTTGATGAACTAGAATCAGACGTATTTTTTTACTGTAACATGACATCAAATGAAGTGTAACATGATGAGATTGGTTGTCACCTGCTTTCACAGGTGCTAATAGATGTTAAGAGGCGTCCATAACATTGGTTGAATTCCACATGGAAGCCACTCCACTGTTCTCTGATGCAGTCATGTGGCTTTGACCTGCAAGCTGAGATTCCTGCATCGCAGGGGAATTGGACTAGATGATCCTTGGGAAACATTCCAACTCTACAGTTTTATTAACCTATGCAAATATGAGGGTGAGTCAGATAGCTTGGGTAGTTTGCTGGTTGCAGGTGAAAGCCCCGCATAATCTGCCCTGACCACATGGTTGCAAAATTCACACACCATGTGGAATTGTATTGCAGAAAGATGACTTCCACATGGGTGCATGTGTAAAGCACAGGCAGCAGGAATTCCACCAGCCATATCAATTCTGATGCCCGTTGCCGCTTTTGGAAAATGGCAACAATCTTTACCTAATCAGAAAGGAGGGAAAATATGTAAACTTTACATGATCAGCAAGTGGGGGGCAGGAATGACATTCTATTACTTCCAGCAGTCTATAAATTCCAAAAACAATCTCCCATGTACTTCAGCAGTTATCGCCAGTACATTGATTACAGCTGCACTGTGATGTTGGGATTTTTCAAAGATGTTAAGACTTGTAGGTATAGATGGGTCCCCACAAACGTAAGAGTCCAGCTGGATCAGGCCAAAAACTCATCTAGCCTAGCATCCTGTTCTCACAGTGGCTAAGTGGATGGCTGACAGATGCCCACAAGTAGTACATGAGAGCAGAAAAGCACTCTCCCCACTTGTATTCCACAGCATCTAGTAGACATACTACCTCTACTAGAAGTAACACAGCCATTGTAGCTAGAAGCCATGGAGAGACTTATCCTCCATTAATTTCTGCACACCCCGTTTTAAAGCCATGCAAGTCAGTGGTCATTACATTTCCTAGCAGCAAATTCAGTAGTTTTCAAGTATGTGTGCTATGAAGAAGTAATCTATTTTGTGTGTTTCTTGTACTACTTTACTCCATCTTCTTTATGGCATTTTTTTTTGCCCCTTATGAAAGCAATCAAGTCCATTCCCTCATCTCCTGTCTTCTGAGCTAAACATTTCTAGATGAAACTTATTTCCTTGACTCTTTACTGTTGGGTTTTTCCGTGGTAGTTTTAGCAACCCTCAAGAGTCCTCTTTATTACCCTGTTGATCTTGTTAGCCTTCTCAGTGGCTTTTGATACTTTGGATCAGATGGGAAGAACAGCTAGCTTTTTGGAGCTGGCTTTTCAGCATTTTTCCTTTTTTGTTTTCCCACCCTCAAAGGGTTGTTGTTTGTGATGCTCTTTGGCATGGGGTGTTCCAGAATACTTTTTCTCATTAATGCCGCTTAATGTCTACATCATCTATGAAGGCACAGGGACAGCCTTGGAATTCTGTATCACTAGCTAGTCAGGACTGACAGGCTGACGCAACCAGTGTCTGGAGGTTGTGAAGGAGTGGACTAGAGGGAAAAAGCCAAAGGGATCCAGACAAGATACTGCTGGTGGGGTAAACCTAGGCTGCAGAAGTGATTAGTGTGTCCATGATGGATGTGGTGGAGATATCCCGATTTGAATACATTTGTAATCTAGGTATAGTTCTGGATCCAACTCCTGGATAAGGAAATATTGGTGGTAGCCAGAGGAAACTTTTACCAATGGTGACCGTTACATAGACTCTGCTTTTTGGAGGTACTCCCCTACATTTATGCATGCTTTTATAGCTTGACTACTACAATGCGGCCTGTGGTGTTTCCATTTAAGATCACCAAGAAGCTGCAGGAATATGTTCTTGCTCATCTCCTGATGGACTCTGGGAGGCATTAGCATATTCAGTTAGTCTTGTGGCCTCTGCACCGTCATTCTGTTAGCTTCCAGGGCCAATTCATGGGACTTACCTTTAAAGCTCCTCAGGGCCTGAGACTTGACATGCCTTTGGAGCCATCTCTCCCTGAATCAATCCAATAAAGAGCCTTGGTTCAGGAGCATCTCCACCCCCATTGCTCAGTCTGGACACCAAAGTCCTCCTCTGAGGGTCTTCTGGCGGCTCCCACACTTTGAGAAGTTACAGGGAACCAGGCAGAGGGCCATCTTGGCAGTGGCATCCTCCCATCAGATGTCAAGGAGATAAAGAACTACATAACTTTTAGAATACATCTGAAGGCAGCCCTGTATCGGGAAGTTGTTAATGTTTGCTGTTTTACTATGCTTTTATATGCACTGTAAGCTGCCCAGAGTGGCTGGGGAAACCCAGCCAGATGGGTGGGGTATAAATAATACCCCTTCACTTTATGAAGTCCAAACATCAGCTGTTAAGAGAAGGGCCTTTCTGCTTTTTAAAAAGCTGTAAGACTTACTGGTTTAACTGCTTACTCTTTAGCAAGCTGTGGTTTCTGTAACTAGCATGTGTTGTTTTTAAGTCTGCAGTTAATTGGTTAGCAGCATGAGGGCAACTGACATGCAGAAACCCAAGACCCCATTAGTTCTAGAAGGTTGGGTGGGCTATCTTTCTACAAAGATAGGTTCTCCGCACCATTGGTAGAGAACCTCTTCCACTATGCTAGAAGCCCTCTGTTGTGTCCTTCACTATGGCATTGAGACTTATTAATATAGAGACACTGTGGCTGTTGTCTTTTCTTAATAAAAATCATTTGCTGGTTTGGCACTCCAGATATGTTGTCCAGTTCTAAACATTCTGGTGGTATCTCAGTCCATCTATTGCCATATGACTTTATAGAAGTCAGCAACTACAGACTCCTGTGCCAAATCCTGCCTTTAGAGAGGTGGCTCCTGGCCCCTTCAATTACCAGCTTTAGAGGTGGAGCACTGGCCAGCCACCCATTGTGATCTTAGTGTTCTTCTTAGTGCAGGAAGACTAGGTATTCACCAGAGATTTATAGAAGTTACATTGTGATCTGAGACATTTGGTAGGCTCCCAGCTCAAAGGCCTATGGAAGCGTGGATTTTTCTAACACGGGTAATCCTCTCATGGGGATACGTTAAAATGTTACCTAACTAATAAAGACCGATGTAAGTTTCCTCTTATTCTTCACCTATGTAGGTTAACATGCAGCTTGGTCAGCCCTCCGTATTCTGCCGCTAAAGCCCTGTACGGTATAGAGTTACACATGCTGAAGGACACGCAAGATTGTGAACATTGTTTCTACCCACGTGGTCAGCAAATGACCTTCATGCTGGCACTCCTGTTGAAAAACTAGAGAAGGCTTAAACAGAAGAGAGGATAAAAAGTGGGGAGTGCATTTCAAGGCAGCACAAAAACCTGCAAGATTTAACTGGCCTGACAGCATGCTGCTTATTCAGAGCCGTTTACAAAGCACATTGATGTGTTTGGTAACCAAGAGAACACAAAAGCACTGGCCCAATAAAATATTTTTATGTGCTCTTGACATTCTCCCCCCCCACCGCCCGCCCCAAGTTTTTCTTCCCTTGGCACTTATTTTGAGGGAAGAACTAGCATGGATTAGATGTCAAAAGACAGGGCTCCCCGAGTTCTGAGCTCTCCCAGTATCCCTGGTAGAATGGTTAAGGCTACAGAATGTCAAATGCCTGGGACTTGTGCATTCTCCATGGCTGAACAGAAGTGGCTTGGCAGTTACTTCCTCTCCCTTTCTCCACTGCTCAGTCCCTCTGCCAACAGCACCCCTTACCCCATTTCATTTTACAGCTTTGGACTTTTTACCCTCCAGCACTTTCCTGCTGAAGCACTTTTCTCACGCTGCATCACTGCGAAAGCATTACAAATTCCATGACATTATGGAATTACTTCATGAGCAGAAGTTAATGCAAATTGAGAAAGTTTGCCAGACCTTTTCCCCCCTCTCTCTTTCCCTCTCTTCAATATGACTACTGCATTCCGGTCACGTAATTAGGTTTCTTCATGGTACGTTTTGTATCTAGAATTCACGAGCTCGCTGGTCTTAGTTAAGTACAAAGATTGTTTTGTGAAGAGAAGGCAGGAAATTTGTGGGGTAGATCCAGCAAATGAAGCTTTGGTTCCAATGGCAAGGCCTGAAAAGTATCAGGATTGATTCCAAAGCAGCAGAGAAGCCTACTTTTCACAGGTCATTCATAACTATGTAGGTGAGGGGTTGGTTAAAGCAGAACCAAGGTAAGAGAATGACAGCTACACCTACCTCACCCTCCTTATTGGAGAATGTCAAACCCCTCCTCTCAGTCATTTTGGTTAAAGAGAACAGTTCAACTGAGTAGCTCTGCCTAAACCTGCAAAGTGCTTAAGACAAAGGGAGAGCTGCTCTTTCCTTTCAGGAATTGGGGAAGGGGATAAATTCCGGTTCAACTGCTCTAAACACCCTAGGTCAGAGGAGAGAATACCCTTGGGCAGAACAGTGCAGAAAAGGACATCTGGTCTGGGTGCTGAATGAAGCCAGTCTTTGTTCTTCACATAAGATGATGAACAGCCAAACTCTGGAACGCTATTTTCCACCCCCCCTTTGGGAGCAGCTTCCTATAGAAGCATCTGGAAGCCTCCCTGAAGTGAACAGGTCCATGAGGTGGGGTGGGGTGGCTGTGAAGAGACTTCTCCATCCAGCGAAGTCCTCCAAAGTCCACTTGCTTCTCAGCGGATCTTCATTCTCTGCCAGGTTTTCTTTCACCAGCCAATAGGCAACTGGATATTGAGCTCTGGGGCAGGTGCAAATAACACCTCTGCAGTCTGGATGTTTTTACACGGCATTTTATTGTGGGGGAGGAACTATTATGCCTGCCTGGTTACAGAAGTGTTGGGAAGGATAGGCAGGCAGGAAGGCAGGGTCACCAACCCATGTTAGGAGGGCACACTTAACTAATGGTCCTGCTGTTAGTCACCCAATCATGGGCACCCTGAATCTCTCAGTTCCTGCCTCCCCTCTCCCCCAATGGGATCAATATGCCTGTCATTTTAAGCCTCACAGGCTCTGGAATGTCATCCCAGGCCCTTCAGGTGCTCCATCCTGCAACTGCTCTTTCAGAAGCTGCAGGAAACCCATGAGCTATTAAACAAGTGTGGTAGGCTGATGGACCCTCAAGATGCTGTTGGACTGCAGCTCCCATCATCTCTGATCATTGGCCATGTCTGGTTGGGGCTGACAGAAGTCATAGTCCAACCGCTTCTGGAGGGCCAGAGTTTTCCACTAGCGTGCTAAACAGACAAGAGATGCTCTTCCACCATGCCAGTCAAAACTGCTTTTGCTTCTTTTTCCTTTATGCTGGTTATAGGCATTTTTAAGGATGCTGGTACTAAATTGGTAATGTCACTTATTTGGGGGTGCTAGGACTATGCACAAAGCATTACTACTTCACCATAATTCAGAGTGGTGGCAAGGTTGTGGCTTGTTATTGCAGAAACACTCAGGAATGCTGGCACTATGGTTTCTTAGTAGTGTAGGGTCTTCAGGGGCACTGGAAGGGGCTTCCGTCGGAAGGCTGATTATTTTAAGGTAAGTCAGTAGTGCTGGTGCTGTTTTTCACTGGAGATTCTCATATGCTAATGTGTTACTGGTGGGTGCTTAGAAGCTGTCACAGCAATATCCTACTGTAGGGTCTCTCTTGGGACACTGCAGGGAGATTGTTACAGCAGTTTCTCTTGCAAGCACTGAAAACTTGGTTGGCAGCTTCTCCCAGCACCTAAGCATGCATGTCAGAGATTGCCACAGCATCACTGTTTGCCCTCTTGTTATTTCTATGGTCATTTTATGAGCACAGTATTGTGCATGCTCATTAGCTCCTAAAAGGATCACGCGGCGCTAGGATGTTACTGCGGGGGTTTGCAAGTGCTGAGTCAGTGGAACTAGCTTGTTAATGTCTTACATTCTACTGCTCTGTAAACATCTGTTATTGCAGGCTTGCATATGGTCCTTTTGTTACAGTAGGCTGGCAGAGGAGTTTGCGGGACTTTCCCGTAAGTAGATGTTTGCATACAGGGGTTCGATGGGGTGGGGGGGAGAGAATGCTCAGAATCAGATTTGCACTATTTTGCTCTTGCAGGATCACTGAAGTATTGTGGCTGGTGGGGACTGTAAGAATTTTTTGACCCCAGCCCTCTTTCCACTGATTTTGGAAGCATGAAGTAGGATCTCTCCAGGGGATGCCTGGCCATGAGCCAACAACTTTTCCCCCAGTGGAAGAAAGGGAAAGTGAAGAGGCGAGATCTTGCCTCTGTGTATGGTGGCGGGGAGGAACAATGTAGGACCCAAGGTTGTAGTTGGGGAATTAAGCAGAGCTGCAAATAAAGGAAGAGATGACTTCAAGAAGGGTGGGACTCTGCATTGAATAGGACCCCCCCGCAAAAGGAGGATGTGAGCCCATTCAAGGGTGTGAATGGTGTGTGTGTGTGGCACTTACCAGAGATGGCACCAGATGGTGCCACGCTCCTTCCTGAGGGAGACAGCAGCCACTTGAGAAAGACTGTAGGAAATAGGGTGTTTGTGTAATAATGCAAACCCCAGTGGTGAGTTGGGAGCAAGGGAAGGCTAATTTAGGAGCAGGGGCAGGCAAGGCTCCCTCTCCGGAGCAGGCCCAGGCTCAGCTCCAGACGGAGGGAGCCATATCTCCAAGGCTATTTGAAATGCGAGAGGAAGTGGGCCACAGGGTAGTGTGGGGAGTCGATGCCCAGCACCTGGCAGATGCCGAGCAGCTTGAGGCAGGCCTCGCGGCGGCTAGAGCTGGCACAAGCCACGTTGCAGTAGGGCTCCTCGTACTCGCTGGACACGAGCTCGTCATCGAGCAGGTTGAGGCGGATGACGCCACGCTCATGCAGGGCCTGGAGCGTCTCCAGGCTGGCCGTGGACTTGAGGGCCTGCAAGTGCTGCGAGACCAAGCACATCACTCCCACCAGGTGCATGCGGGGGCGAGAGCGAGCAGGCAGGAGGGGGACCACCCCGCAGGCAACCATGACGGAGGCCAGCATGATGTCCACGCCGTAGATCTCCTGAATCCAGTCGCGGAGGTAGAAGCCGCCCATGCGGGGGTTGATCTCGATGAGCTTGGGGCCGGATGCGGTCAGCTTCAGCTCCACGTTGAACACGCCGTCGGTGAGGCCGCAGCCTAAGCAGCACTGGTAGGCAGCGCGGATGAGCTGCGCCTCACGGTCAGGGGGCAGGCAGGTGGGCATGCAGGCTGCCGTTTCGGTGAAGTTGGGCACCCGGGTGGGCCCGTTGTCAGAGACAAAAGCCCCCAGCATCCGCCCTTCGTACATCACCAGATCCACGTCGTGCTCAGTGCCAGAGACATACTCCATCAACAGCATGGCGTTGCCCCAGCCCAGCCCGATGCCCGGGTGGTCTGAGTCATCCTGCAGGTCCCTGGAGATCTTGTCAAAGTGCAGGTGGCACTGCTGTGCATCCTCCACCAGCTTGACCCCCACAGCCCCGGCCCCGTACTCTAGCTTCATGACCCCAGGGAAGCTGATGTGGCTCGCAGCCCGCTCCACATCCGTGTGGCTCTCTAGGTGGCAGCAGGGCACGGCATAGAGCGCTGCCGAGGGCCAGCGAGCCCCCTCTTTGCGACGGCGCAGCAAGTGCAGGTGAGTGCGGCTCTTCTGCTTGGCCACGCGCATGGCTGTCGGGGAGCTGCAGCGCAGGCCCAGCCCTTCGCACACCAGTGCCGTCAGGACCATGCAGTCGTCCCAGTAGGAGAGGCAGCCGTCCAGATGCAAGCCCCGCTCCTGCACAAGCCCCAGCAGCCTCTGGGCATGCTCTTCATCCCTCTTGTGGTCTGTGGTGTCATAGTGGATGAAGGTCTGCACCAGCTGGGAGGCAAAGTGGTTGGGGTCGGACTCCACCAGGTGGATCTGGGGATGGGAAAGATCAGAAAGAGAGCGAGAAAGAAAGAGGGGGGTGGAGATGGGGAGAGAGAGAGAGAGAGTGGGGTAGGAGAGAGGTAGGAGTGGGAGCAGGGATGGGGAAGAAGGAAGGGCAGACACAGAAGGGCAGAGATGCAGAGAAGATGGGAGAAAAATCAGAGATGCATCACTACTGACAGTACCAGAGAAGGACAGCTCCTTGGGACCAGGCACGGCACAACAGCCCCCTGGGAAGTAGGCTCCAATCTATGGGCAGCAACTCCCCATCTTGCAGGCATCCCATTTGTGCTCAGGTGGGACAGCTTCCATTGGAACCCACAGGTTTGGCGGCAGGGGTGGGAGACAGGATCTGATCCTTCTCTACATGCCTGCTTCAGCAACAAGAGAATTTAGAATGAGGAGACATTGTCCTCTAGGTGTAGGAGGAGGAGGTGCTGGGGAAGGACCCCGGCTGGCAAGAGGGCGGAAACAAAAAGCTGAGCCAGGTGGTTGCATGGGTGTGTGTGCAAAAGGGAGTCACTCTTCTGCTCTGTGTGTCCACTGTGCCTCCTTAAACTGGATTCAGTTTGCATCAGGGAAGTGCCTCCATTCAGCTCACTGGGCTTTGTGAGCCATAAGCATATCCATTGTGTGCCTTTAAGGCTTACGTTACACCGCTTAATATAAATAGCTTAAGTAAATAACTAAACAAACAAATAAGCCGAGTGGATGGGTAAAGCAGCCTTAACGGTTTCACTGCTGATGATTTTAGCAGGGACATATAGCAACTCCAGAGACATGGGGACATCCAAGCAGGCTCTCCCCACCACCACTTTAAAGTAACTCCAGAGCACAGCCATTTTCCAGGAGAATAAAGCATACAGACTGTCCCATTGTGAAGACCGTAGCTGTTGACATAGACTCTGGTCAGCATGTTTTGTTCAGGGTCTGAACTGCAAAATGGCAGCAAGACTCCAACAGGGGCAAATTCGGCCCTCAGAGGAATAAACTGGCATCAAGGCACTTGGGCTTTTGAAAGAAAAATGGGACTAGTTGCTGCTGGCTAAACCACCAGCTGTCTCCTCCTGCCAATTTAGTTTTCATTTCATTACAACATCACCACCATCCCTCCCCACACATACTATCCCCATATCTATTCTGCTTGTCAGTCTCCCGCCTATTCCGAGGGGGGGCCCTTTGTGGCTCCAAAGGTAATCTAGAGGTCCCAGAAACAGGATAACCCAGGACAGTTCATTCTTGAAACTGCACTGTACACCCATGTCCTCCAAAGGAGACAATAACCAGCATGGTTATGTCCCAGCACCAAGAACGGAACAGGGTTTCTCTTCTGAGTTTGGAGAAGCCACAAAACTACAATGTTTAGGAAGGTAAGAATGAAAGTCACTTGGAGACCTTTAGTTAACAAGTGACTAACAAGTCTAATAAATAATGATACAAGGGATGGGAGAGGCAAAGCAGGGGTATTTCATTGAAAAAGTTCTTTTTATGCATCCCTGCTGCCTCAGCTGTAAGGCTCCCATCCCATTTCCTTTAGCCTGTGACTTTAAACAGCTGCACACTGTGGTGGAGAAGCAGTGACAGAAGACACTTTAGCCTCTGAAGTCTCCTGGCTGCTATAGAAGGCCAGGAACAAGGAAGCAAGTGCTGCTTGGCAGTGGGCAGGTCACATCCCACAGTGGCCGATTCTGGAGCCAGACTGGGATCTTGGGGATCCAGAACCCGCACAGCAGTCGTGCCTCATGTTTGCTTCCTACCATTTTTAAATGGAGGCAAGATGTGGTTAAGAAAGAAGCAGACCTGGCTACGCCTGAAATCCTCAAGAACTCACTTCCATCCCCAGTGACTCGTCCAACTTAAAACTTGGTTCCAGACTGGGCTGTCCGATGCCCTGCTCGAAGTAATCCTGATAAGATGGCCAGCCTCAAGAATAGCATGACCGGGGAGCAGCAATGCAGCAAGCAGACCAGCTCCACTGGCGTAAGTGCATAGCACAATGGTGAGCCCTTTTGAATGGCAGGGGGGCTGTGCCTTTCTCCCCTCTCTGTGCTTAGATGGCACCCATAAAGTTTATATTATATGGACGGGGGCTTTAGGGGGGTGCTGCTCTAGTTAGTCCATCCTGCAGCCTGTGGGGGGCTGCATGGCTCCGGTTTCCGCATCTTACTTTTAGCCCGTAGTCCCTGGCTGCCTCCCAGACGAACTTTTTGCTGACTCCGCCGGCCCCAATGACCAACACGTGTTTGCCCTCCATCAGGTGGCACTGCGTGCGACGCATCATCGTCTCCACCAGGGGGCGTGCTGCCTCGCCCGCTGGAGCCCCCACCACCCGGCCCATGGACTCGAAGACGGAGCAGGTCTCTAGGCACAACTGCGAGTTCATCTCCAGGGCCACCAGCTGCAGCACCTGTTCCTCTGAGCTTAGGAGAAAATCCACACCTGGAGAAAGGAGAAGCAAAGGAGGCCCTGTCAATCAAGAACATGTGGCTGAAGATCACTGAACTTCTGGTCAGCTCAACCATTAGCCGAATCCCAAGGGTGAGTTGATGGAACAAATAACCCCACTGAAGTAAGAGCTCCTTCATTATACGTATGAGCAGCCCTGGTAGGATCTGCTCTAAAGGTCCATCTCATCCAGCATCCCATTTCACATGGATTGCCAACCACATGCCTGCCCACAGGAAACCATCAAGGCAGCAGTACTCTTCTGTCACCCACTAGGATCTGATAACTGAGCATCCCATCCTGCTTTCTGAACATGGTGCTTTTTACAGGGCCAACTTGACAGAATTATCCTCCAAAAATTTATTTTATTTTTAATTCCTTCCCTAATGATTCCTAATGTGGAATCTGCACTTTTCACTACTGCTCCACACACTGAGAAGTTGTGCTGCTGCTGCTGTACCTCTCGCCCCGCCAGTTTCCTCGCCTGCTGTCAGGCCAAATTTGCAGCTGCTGCTGGCTCTCTTGCCTTAGAGGTTGGCAGCTGGCAGCAACCCTTTTCCTAGGAGCAGCTGGACCAGCCCCTCATTCCGTAAAGGCTGGAGGCTTAGACATTGGGCCAATAGGGAACATCTCTCATCGAAATGAACTATTGGGCCAAATATGTCATAAAGACAGAAAAGGCATGAAAGAGAAGAAACCTCAAAGGTGCACTAAGAACAATGGATTAATCCAAGTATGGGGACCTGTGGTCCTCCAGATGTTGTTAAACTCCAACTCCCATTAGCCCCAGCCAGAATGGTCAAGGGGTGAGAAATCAATAAATAAAATAAGCAAGGGGAGAAGAGTGTGCATGCAGCTTTTGTACATCTGCAGGCCACTGCCATCAGGCAGTGAGAGAGAGAGGATGAAAAAGTTTTGTACAGTACACGTCATACAGTGGGAAATAAATCTAAATTAGAATTAATGGTGTCTCATAAGCTGGTCAATGAGATCAAAATGTAACTAACGGGCAGCAACTGGGTTTGTCATTTTTTTGTTTGGTTTTAGGAAGAATGATTGACGTAGGAACCTGTTGCTCAAGAATTTTATTGAGGCAAAGAGTTCACAGAAGGCATTACAGCAGAAGTTTCCACGATAGCAACTCAGGCTCCATCACTGGGCTGCAGAAACTTAAGGGATTGGTTCTTGCACTACCAGAAACATACACTGAAGATATTGGGGAATCATTACTTAAGACAGTTTCATGTCCACATCAGAGGCCGGAACAAAAAGGTGTCTGCATCTCTGGGGTTGTGGGATTTCAGGGTCCCAACCTGCCACTGGTTCAAAAGGAGGAATTCAGCACCACACTTTGCCAATCATTCTACCAGTGCAAGGATTTCTGAACACAAGGGCTTGGCAAGGACTTCCCCATAGCTGACTAAAATTGAGTTTTGCTTGCTGGTGCATGGCTAAGTGCAGCTGCTTTGCACTGCTGCCCCACAGCTGATGGAGACTGGGCTTGAGGAACGCTGATAGCCTCATGCTATTCTGGGCATCGAAAGTGCAGGGCCCCACAGTGTCTTAGAAGCAGCCTCCGTAATGACTTGACAGGGTAACTCACCAATGATGTCGGTTTGTGCTCGGCGACCACCTCGTTGCTCAACTGACAGGCCAGCTTCCATGTCCATGAAGGCCTTCATGGCTGCTTCAGCCTTCTGCTTTATCTGGGCATGAATGGCTGCAATCTGGGCCTCATCCTTTAGTCCCCACTGACGCAGGCTGCTCTCCAAAGTCTGGGGCACTGTGGCCTGGTGCTTCAGGGGCTTATCTGCCCGGCCCACACCACACACTACCTGAAAGAGAACCAAAAAAATGCATGCAGTCTCTCTGGGCTGCTGTCATTCAAGCATCTGTTCCTCCAGTTTGTCTTAACATCTCCATACCAACAGTCCAAATTGGAATTTCTCTACTTTCTTCTGTTCATACAGTGGGTTATGGTTGTGTGCATGCAAGGTGTCTGTGGGATTTTGTGCCGGGATCTATGATTTCTGGAGTCTTTCCAGGTGAAGGTTAGAGACTGTGAGTGGGACAGTTGATAAAATAAGCTAGCCTGGTTTCAAATAAGACATTATTTTGGAGTCAAAAGATCACCCAAATCTACCAATACCAATCAGTGTTTGTGTGTCTTCCCCACAAAACAGTTTAAAACTGGGCAGAGCCACTTATTTCCTTGCCCTCAACCAACAATTTGTTCCCCTGAAAACAGGTAAGAGGAACGGACTACAGTACAGGGCTACAATTTTTCTGCCAGTGAGGATTCCTTGGGCTTTCTTCCCCCAATCTGTATTGGAGCTCTGGGCTTTGGTTACCTTGCTTAGCAGAGGCTGGTCTTTTCGGGATCTGCAGACAACAGCACATATTCGGACTGCTAGATTGGGCTGTGGAGATGAATTGCCTGGAATCGGAGATGTAGGAGAGGAAGGGAGAGGGAGATAGAATATATCAGAGAGGCAAATTGATAGGAGTGGGGCATGTGGAGGGGAGTGAAAAGAAGAAGGGGTGCCTCCAGACGGTCATCATTTTGCAGGAGGGATTCAAGTGCATGCTGGAACTTTAGCTTTGCACGTTTACAAGGTACCAAAGGGCTCTATTGGCTTAGCACAACAAATGCACTTTTAAAAGAAATACTTTCTGTGCTTTGGAAAGTGACAGTGCGGGATAAACAAATGACCGGTGGAAAGACATGTAAATACCCCAAATGCCAATCGGGGATGAATGCAGGACAAATTGCCCTTGATGTATAACTACCCCATAAACAACTCAGAACACTTGTCAATAAAGACCAGATGTAATCAAACCTCTGCATAAGCTTTCTGCAAGCAATTTGGGGTGAATGTTCAGTAAACAGGTCATCAGAAGAGGCCCAAAGTCTGGAGTACAATCAACAATGCAACATGCCCCTGAAGGATTATCAGATTCCAATATGGTAGCTTCCCCAACCTGCCCATGCCATCTTTTGCCCACTTAGATCCCTTCAGGAAATAGCTGGTTCAAGGCAATTCTTTCAGATGCTCTGGAGTGGGCAAGAGATGACATGAAGCAGTCAATGGGAGTGACTCACTTATGGAGTAAACTATCATAATTGTGGGCGCTAATTTGGAGGGCAGTTCATTATGTGGACCGACCTCAGTGAGAAGGGATGAAAATATATCCCTTACATGGGGAGCCGTTCGTGTCAGGAGGGCCAGGCCGGACCACATGAGCAGTGGGAATGAAGGCCTCCAGCAAAATGCTCTCTTCCTCTTCCAGGGTCTCCAGCAGCGTGAGGACAGCTTGAAGGACGCATCCCTGTTCTGACTTAGCATGGAATGACACAGCTTGGGCTCCATTCCAGCGCCAGCCTGATGGCTTTACCACCACCTATAAGGAAGAACAATAGAGACAACACTTAGGCTCAGAGGATTATCTTGGCTCAAATTCCAGGAGTGAGGAACCTGAGGCCCCAAGTTGCACCCACCCTGACCAATGGCCATGCTAGTTGGGGCTGATGGGAGGGCCATCAGTTGGCAACCCCTGTCCCGGAGACAGGAAGTGCACTGCTCTTGCCATATAATAACGCACCTTTCCAAACCTCCTGTTTGTAGCTTTCCATCTGAGGTTCAGGGCTCCTCACCTGGCTATAGGACTCCATGGCGCCACTCTGCAGGAAGGCTGCTATTTCCTCCTGCAGCAGGTTGTCCTGCCCCTCACGGCCGCTCAGCTCCACCATGCGGACACGCTGCTCCTCTGTCACACTTCGCAGAGGCAGCGGGCGCTTGAAGGTGAAGGCCAGGGTGGGGGGCACAGCCACGCATGCTTGCTGGTCCATCAGCTGGCGGGTCAGGAGCTTGTCCTCCAGCAGACGAGCTAGCTCTCCTGAGCCCCCCGTGGGGCAGTCAAGGTCTCGGGCCAGTTCTGCTGCCGACTGGCCCTGCACCTTGCAGGGCCCAAAGCAGCCAGTGAAGTAGGTGACACGGCGCGGGGGTGCAAACTCTTCCAGGGTTGTGCGGCCGCCGAGTTCAAAGGTCACGGCCTTGAAGACCAGCAAGGACGACTCTCCCGGGTGGGATTCTGATGGTGCCTTTGAGAGCCAGGCTGGCGACAGGCAGAGCAGCATGTTACCTGGGGAGGAGAAGGCAGAGAGCAAACCCAGCCCATGAGCGTGTGCAAGATAAGACTCACACAGCAGAGAAACGTGCCCTGAGCTGGACCAGGGTGGCAAAAATCTCTCCTCTGCTCAAGGTTCTGGGAGGGGTTGCCAAAATGTGGCAGCCTGCGCGACAGTCGCGTCAGAGTAATCAGCAGCAGCTGGGAGACTTGGCGCCTTACATGCTCTCAGTGTAGTCAACACCCTGATTATCTGCCCCAACAACTGCCTTGGAGCCAACTAAGCTGGAGTATATCTTATTCTGGCTTTCTGGAAAGTGTTACTCTGTCACGCTTTCCCATAAGTCACCTATGAATGGAGAGAGATTGAACAGGGGAAAGGAAATGGAATCATCTGTTGTGACATCATTAGCACCTCTTCTACATTTCTTCCCCATCAGTAGCCAGTGGCACTAATGCTCCATTTATATCACATTAGCAAAACTGGTCTGTTCATAATGCCAGTGCTTTTAGGGCTTACCGAAGTGACAAGTCAAATTTTACCCTCTAGAATAGGCATGGGGGAACCAGTGGCTTTCCAGATGTTGCTGAAGTACAATGCCCATCACCTCTGTTAGCAATGCAGACTGGGAGTGATGGGATTTGAAGTCCCAGCAACCCTCTGGAGGGCCACAGAGGTTGTCCAGTCCTGCTCTAGAACCACAGACTTGGCAGGGAACTTGGAGGACTTCTAGTGCACCCCACTGCAGAGTCTGGCCGATGGCTGTCCGGCCTCTGCTTAAATACCTCCAGTGAAGAAAGAGTCTACCATCTCCTAAGACAAGTCTGCTCCACTGTCCCAACAGCTTTTACTGCATCAGAGCATGTCTCCTAATGCTTAGTTGAAATCTGCTTCCTTGCAATTTCCATCCTCTGGAGCAACAGAGAACATGTCTACTCCAGCTTCTGTGTGATAGCCCTCCAGGTATTTGAAAACTGCTATCATGTCTCCCCTTAATCTTCTCCAGACAAAATACACCCAGCCTTCTCCACCAGCCTTCACCATTCTGGTCACCCTCTTTGGAACACAACCCAATTTTAATCTTTTAAATCTTTAATGCATTTTAATCTTTCAGGGGTCGCTCCCCCCATCCGAAACTAGTCAGTAATGTGGTATTCAATCCAAAGTTGAGGAGGGGAGCATGCCCAAAATATAGAAGATATACTTAGATAAGACAAAACCTTCAACTATAAATGCATTACTTTACAAAGTTGAAGGTTATTGCCTCTGTGTGGATATATATATGCTTCTTTGTTTTGGTTTCTCATTTTATGCATTGGCTATCTGAAACTAAACCCACACCCTTTTGTTTACCTCCAGTTCCACGGCAACAGATGGAAGGGTGAGGCATTTCCTTTGACCCACAGAAAAGATATTCATCATGCAAAGTAAAAGTAAACTAAGAGAAACTCTTCACCATCACACACTCCCTTACTGAGATATTATGTGTGTGTTAACCCACAGCACTGGGGGCGGGGAGAAGCACTTCTTATCTTCTAAGCCAGCCATACCTGCAACTGAGCGGTCAGCTTATCAGTTTTGGTCCATTAAGACAGAGTTTCAAAATCCTCCAGTTTTGTAACCAAATTCTCATACTCTGGCAGCGGGGAGGCAAAGAGGAAAAAACCTTCCCTCACACAGCAGCACTATAAGCCACTTCACCTCCAATGAAGTGCCTTGCAGTAACGCAGCTGCTCCATCCTTCAGAAATGTCTCACCTCGGGCAGCAGTAACCTGAGGCATATCCACTGTCCCTCCTACCTAATCTAATTTAAAGGGATGCAGAGTTCTTAACTCTCTTAGGCCGCATTCACACCATACGTTTGAAGGATTTTGATGCCACGTTAATCAGAAATGGCTTCCCCGAAAGAATTCTGGGAGCTGTAGTTTGTTATGGGTTCTGAGAGGAGAACCCGTTCCGCTCCCAGAGCTACAATGCCAGAGTTCCCTGTGAAGAGGGATCTATAGTTTAACCACTCTGGGAATTGTAGCTCTGGGAGGGGAGTGGGGCATCCTAACAACCCTCAGCACCCTTAGCTAGGCATGGCCAAACTTGGCCCTCCAGTTGTTTTGGGACTACAACTCCCATCATCCCTAGCTAACAGGACCAGTGGTCAGGGATGATGGGAATTGTAGTCCCAAAACAGCTGGAGGGCCAAATTTGGCCATGCCTGAGGGCCTTAGCCAATGACACCTCCCAGAATTCTTTGGGGGAAGCAAGCCATGACTATTTAAAGTGGTATCGTAGTGCTTTAAATGTATGGTGTGAATGTGGCCTTAGGGAAACTTTGCCCTTTTCCACTTCGCCAGCAGCACTGTGAGAGGCATGCAGCCCTCACTTTACCTCTAGACGTTGGTCATTTTCAGATGGAACACAGGAAGTAGCTTTATACCAAGCCAGGCCACTGTTACATCTAACTCAAAATTGTCACAACACTGACTGCCAATAGCTCTTTAGGATTCAGACAGGGGACATTCCCAGCCCTACCTGAAGATGCTGGGGATTCAACGTGGGTTCAGGGATCATGCAAAGCAGATGCTCTAGCCACTGAGCTACAGCCTTCCAAAGAGCAGTCCCTACTCTCAGTCTCCCAAACTGATCATGTGGAACCTCAGGATTCCCGATAGTTGCAGGGAGGGAGCTGTGTGTATGTTCAGCATTTGTAGAATCTGTACAGTCAGCCTAACACAGAGAGGCTGAATGGGGACAGCATATGCAACCCTGCTTTCTTTGTACATGCACTGTAGTCTGTCTGAAGACCTAAACAGAGCGGGGGGGGGGGACCCTTTCCTCATAATCTGCTGCTGTAGGGAAGTAGCACATGCAGAACCCTCCCCTAACAGTCGGGGCAACAACTGCACTAGAGAAGGAAAAAGCTATTCCCACCCGTGTCACACGCTTACGCTTGAGATTCACCAGCCATGTTGGGAACGGCTATTTTAGCTGGTACCAAAATTAGCGGCTACGCTGGGCAAATCTATTTCTAAGTGTATATGTGTCGGACAGCACAAAAGACCGTGTGTTTGTACAGAGGTCACCACGTTCCCGTACCATGACAATACTAGAAAATAAAACCACGTGGAATTAATACACACAGGGAGAAGTGGAGGTAAAGTAGGAAGGAGCCCTCTCATCACACAGTGACTATGGAGGGCTCTGGACATCAAGCTGGACTGCAGGACCAGAAGACTTTCGGGTGCAGACCTTTCCATTATTAAGACTCATTTCCTTGCCACCTTAGCAGATAGATGATTGAAAGCTACGAGGCCACAGAAGCCACTCTTGTATCTGTCAGCTGGGAAAGAGACTGAATAATTTCAGTTCTACAAGTGCTCATAGGTTGGGCTAGTTATTAGCTCTAGGAAACCACAGCACTTTCAGAACATAAAAAAAGGAGGGGGGCATTATTTGGATACGCCCTGCTCTAAAACCACACCTTTAATTTTCCCTGCAGCTGGGAGCTGTCCAGTCTGGCTTCAAAATACAGAGGTCACCTTTTGAACGATCTCTCTCTCTTTCTCTCTCTCTCTCTCACACACAATTCTAGTTTAAACAGCAACATAAAAATATGATGAAGTCTTAATTGCAAGCAGATTGTGTGCATTTTAGAGGCTGGATTTCCATGCCCTGAACACAGAAATGGTACCTGATCCTTTCCCAGAACCCAATGTTGCATGTGTATTCTGCCATTGAGAATCCGGCACTTTTAAAGTGCGAATTAGCCCTCGGAATCCCAGCAGAAATGGTGCCAGAGCATTCACTGATCCGAACAAAGAGTTGCCAAGCCCTATGGGAGGCTGAAGGGTGGAGGGATTGTGCCTTGGTGTGGGAGGTTGGAGAGTTGACCTTCTGGTTTATTCCAGCCCTGTTCTTCTATATGCACTTTAGCCAGCGGGAAATCTGAGCAGCTCAGCTGCCACAAGAGCTCTGGTTACCACCAGCCTGTCTCGGCCTCTGAGAAGAGACGGGAAGAATGCCAGGAATACAGCGCAGCAGCTGCCCAAGAGAGTCTCTAAGAAGCATGCATAGCCAGATAGCTTGGTTGAGACAGGATTGCAGCTAGAGACAGCATTCTGATGAATTTCAGGCACTGGGTTTGTAATGAAGTGGTCTGTTATAATGTACTTGTAAATACAATAATTATATTTCAGGCTCAGATATATAAATCAAAATTTGTCATGACTGAATCCGATTTCACTGGGTTGGGGAAAAAGATCCAATCCAGTGCACATGTCACTTCAATAAGGCTGAGAGAGCAATAGTTTGTTTTTATCTATCAAGTTGCCTGTTTTGTTTGTATAGGAATTGTGATAGCAAATTCCCCATCTTCTGGAACTGCCTCTATGCTGAGCATAGAGTTGACTTGTTTTTAACAAGGCTTTTGCATGCCACTGATCAAAAAGTCAGCTTCCATTACTTTTTCTCACAATGGAACAGCTGCACCGTTTCCTCAGGCGTAGGTAACCCATAATCCAGCTCTTCCAGCCTACAGTTTGGTAATGGCCTCCACAGATTGTGCTCTAACCATTTCCTTCTCTATGGTCCATCTGCCCTCTCTAGGAACCCACTCTTATCAGTTTAATCAACCCTCCCTTTTCCAAATGGTGCTGCCTTTATACCCATTTATTTTATTTTCCACCCTAAATTGCAATTGAGGAGCGGGAAGGCAATCATGACTGGAGATGCAGCCAGGGGAGGAGGCAAGAATATTTAACCATTTCCCCACATGCCACAGTTCCAAATAAAATTGAAGCTTGGGAAAGGGGCACTGATCCCTTGGCTACAGAATGTTATTTACACCTGTATAAACTCTGTGGCTGAAACAAGAAAATTTTGGCAATGTTAAGGGCCTAACGTGTAGATACGTCTTTGTATAGTCATGTTCTTTATTTCTACAATTACGGTAGGTATAAACAGTATTTTTATTTATTAAAATGTGTATTAAATTAATTAATTCCATGAATGCTAATGATGTGATTACATGTGAAGTGTAATGACATTAGAGCTTGACTGTTAGTCCCCAACCTTATGTGGAGTGTGAGAGCTACCAGGATGAACGTAAAACTCGATGGGTGGCTGGGGGGGGGGAGTGATAAGACTTTGCAATGGTTCTCACAGCTGTTTCTGCAGCAAGAGACTACAGGCTCTGCAGAGTAACCATGTCACTTTGTTGCAGCAAGAACAGAGACTGAATCAGACCAATTTTAAAAGTTCGAAAGGAATATGAGCGAAGAATCGCTTTCTATATATTTCTTTTGCTCCACTGTTTTGAAACTGCTATAAAAGTTTTCAAAACTGCTATAAAACCTGCTTACCAGTGGCAGAATTGTGATAAGTGTACATACTCTTAAGTGGAAATCTCAAGCAACTACAGTGGTGCCTCGCAAGACGAAAAACGCGCAAGACGAAAGAGTTTTCTGTTTTTTGAGTCGTTCCGCAAGACGAATTTCCCTATGGGCTTGCGAAACGTCTTGCGAGTTCTTGCGAGTTTGTTTCCTTTTTCTTAAAGCCGCTAAGCCGTTAATAGCCGCTAAGCCGCTAATAGCCGCTAATAGCCGTGCTTCGCAAGACGAAAAAACCGCAAGACGAAGAGACTCGCGGAACGGATTAATTAACTGTACCTTCATCCCTCTGAAAAAAACTACTACTGTCTTTCTGATAATGTATTGCGTCTCTTCCATTTTCTTTGCCTTGCTTTTTAAGACTCCTTTTCATCAGTGTGTGGGTTGTGTGTACGTGTGTGTAAGCAAACACACACTTTCCAGACCTCAGTATGCTTCTGGTGAAATAGGCAGTATTGAACAAAAGGTTGTGACATATTAAAACTGTAACCCTTTATTATAGATGACAGTTGGAAGCATAAGGTTGGGTACAAATAATATACTGTTGATCTATATGGCTTGAGTCCACAGTCTGAGCCAAACTAGATGCGACAAGAGATCCACTGGTATTTCATTCGGATGTCTCCCTGAACTATTAAGAAAGTCTATTTTTAAAGCAAAAACATTTCCCTTCCTTGTCTTAACTTGCTTTACTCCATTGTTTGAGACTATTTCCTTCTAGCCCAGCTCATATGCTGCAAGTGAGCCAAAGGGGAGAGAAATGTGCTTGAAGGGACAGAGCTTATTGACGGGAGGGAGCAAAGTTTAGTTCCTGTTATGTATTTTTATTATTATTTTAAAAAACCCCACTTCTGTCCCTTTTAACCAGAGTACTGCAATCAAATGAATAAAATACATACAACTGTGACCTGTGACAAAATGCTGCAGTGTGAAGTGCTGCTGTTCAGTGTTCCAGCCAGCCAGCCAGCCAGCCAGCCAGCCAGGCCTTCTTTCAAGCTACTCCATTCCATGGTTCCTCATTCTGGTTTTCCACGCTATCCACACCCAGACACTCAGAAGGGCTACTGAGCATACGGAGTCCTCACTGGGCTGACTGCATTTTTTGTCCCCTTGGGGTTTCCTCCCCTGAAGTTTCTCTTTCTATTTCAGCAAACCTTGGGCTTGCTCTGAGCATGCTGACACTCCCTTCTTATCTCTCAGTAGTCCTATTTCAGCTACATAGTCAACACCCCAGTTCACTATTTGCATATGACTATGGCTCGTCTGTCACAATCATTGGGACCTAAAGTACCTTCATAATGTAGCCGGTCAGTTTGAACCAGTGTACGGTTTTGAGAGAATTATTGTGTTAAACACACGCAACTTTTTCATAATAAATTGACAAAACATGAAGAATTAAGCAGATATATTGTCCAAAACTGGTTTGAAGTTCACATCGTGATAATTGTTTCATAATATTTGAGCTGGCAATATATCACCAATCACAATGTGTTTAAGGGCTAGGCGATACCTGGTTTTCATCGCGATAACTCGCTAAATGTTTTCAGCAGCTAATGCTCACAATATCACCAGCTAAACCTCATAATATCACCTGCTAAATGTTGCAGTGTTATCACCAGCTAAATATTGCAATCTACCACAATGTCTGAAATAAGGATTGAACTATACAGAGGTGAACAGGACAGCCTCACGACAGCAAAAATAAATAAATGGTGGCAGTAGCAGTGGCAGCCTGCAAGGCCTTGCAGCAGCAGCAGCAGCAGAAACAGCAACAGACTGCAAGGCCTTGCGGTGGTGATAGTGATGGCAGTAGCGGTGGCGGACTGTGAGGACTCGAGGAAGAGATGGGAGGCGGTGGCAGGAGTGGTGGCCACCTGCAAGGACTCACAGCAGTTATTGGGAGGTGGTGGCATTAGTGACAGCAGCCTGTAAGGCCTTGCGGTGACTGCAGGAGGTGGCGGCCTGTGAGGCCTCATGGTGGTGACGGAAAGTAGTGGCAGTAACGGCACTGGCCTGCGAGGCCTCGCAGTGGCGACAGGATTTGGCAGGAGAAGCAGAGGTGGCCTGCAGGGACTCATGGCAGTGACAAGAGGTGGCGGCAGTAGCAGCATCCTGTGAGGCCTTACAGCAGCAATGGGAGATGGCCGCAATAGTAGTGGCAGCCTGCAAGGCCTCGTAGCGACACAAGAGGTGGGGCTTGCAAGGTCTCACTGTGGTGGCAAGAAGTGACAGTGGCCTGCAAGTCCTCCTAGCGGTAGTGGGAGGTGGTGGCAGAAGCTGTGGCAGCCTGCCTCAGCAAGACCTTGCAGGCCACCTCTGCTTCTGCCACTGTCTCCTGCCGCCACCACATGGCCTTGCAGGCCGCCGCTACTGTCACCACCATAACAAGGCCTTGCAGGCTGCTGCCACCTAGCAGATTATTTGTATTCAATATGACTCATTGCAGTACTTTGGATTGTCCTGAATACCACCATTTGGTAGCCAAGCCCAAAACCAAAAGTGTCATTTGGATGCATTTTGGCTTGCCTGCTGCTGAAAGTGACCATGAGGTGATTGATAGTATCATCATTTATCAGTTTTAGACCCTTAAGAAGTAGCAGTTGCCAGGACATTGTCCTGTTCACCTCTGTATATTTCCTTATTTCAGATATCATGATATCTCGATATATCACGATGTACAGCTGGTGATAGATATCGCAATATTGAAAACCAGTTATTGCCCAGCCCTAGCAGGTATATACAACTGCTTGCTGTGACAAAAGTTAATTCCAGGTGCCTTCAGCTAGTATACAGGTAAGTGAAGCAACCCAGTGAGATAAAAGTTCCTGAAGATGAAATTTAAGCTAAAGGAAAGAATCAACCCCAAAGGAAGTGGATAAATTCAGTTGCAGACACCAGCTAGGGTGGAACTCTGTATGGTAACTCAAAACGGTAAGCAGCTCTGGTTCAATACAATTCAAGCTGCACAGCTTCTGTTTCAGAAACAAAATAGTAGGAAGTATCCCAGCCAGCAGCCAGTCAAGACGTGAGGATTCAAGCAACCTCTTCAGGCAGCCCCTCACAGATAGCTTTCCCCCCAATTCGGGGTTTAATGGTTCCTGGTTACCAAAGATAATGACATTTAGCCCCCTTCCCTTAAGGAGAATGTACAAAAATGGGGTGTGACTCACTAGAGTGACCTTCAAAAATGCTAAATGGTGTCACCTTGGGAGACCATCTCCATTGGATTTTAAGGGCCTGTGTGGCAAGGAAGCAAAAAGGCAGCCCCTTCTCTCCTTCCCTCTCCCGATTTCCTGGTTTGCCTCTAGAGGAAAGCACTGCTCAATTCCTCTATTGAGGAGAAAGGGAATAAAGCTAGTTGCCTCTTACTGGCAAGATGCTTTAGTGGGAGGCAAAGCTTTGGAAATTCATTGACTCCCTGTGGGAGCTTTAACCTAGTGGTCCTGCTGGGTGAGGTGAGGTGGGACATCACTGGACTCCTCAGTACTTCACCAGCCATGAGTAAGGATGAATGAGTCACCCAGCAGAGCCAAGGCAAAGAGACGACCGAAGGCTTTTGGCTATGGCATTAGGATGGAACTCACCAGGACACTGGTTGCCACCTTCCAGAAGCACAGACAAGTATGAAGTGGGAGAGCCCAAGACACAGATGGTTATGTCTGATGGTCCAAACCCTGGGAAAGAAAAGAAATGAGTTGGTGACCTGATTCTCATACTAGATCTGGGAATCCTAATGTCCCACCTCCATGAACTCCACATGCTGGGATTTGAAGAAAGAATCACGGTAATTAACTCTGCTCTCTTAGCCACAGCCCATATTCCAGAGTCATTCTACAGATGGATTCAGATGAAGCACTGAGGTGGAACTGGTGATGATGCCACCATGTGATCTACCTATCACATTTACCATTAATGCGGATGCTCTGACACATTCCAGGTTAAAGGAGAGAAACAGCAGCCATCCAGCCAAAGGACTCACCTGTTCGAGGCTCCTTTGTGTGGTCAATTGTCTCTGGGAGCCCCTCCTGCTGCAAGGTGCACTGCAGCAGGTCATAGTAGTAAGCTGTCCAGGCCCGGGCCTGTGCATCCTCAGGGCTGATCTTGCAGTCCAGAGGCACATCCCGGCGCCAGGCACAGCGCAAGGGGCTCAGGGGTGGTAGAAACCCCTGCTCTGCCCAATCCAGTTCCTTGGGAGTTGGAGGTGGCTCTGTGTGGATCTGGTCCAGAGACAGCTACAGAAAGAGAAAGACAAAGAATTGGGAAATAGGCCTGGAAAAGGAGAAGGAACTTAGCCACAGCACAGATCCCACCAGAGAAATGGGGAGAAGATCATTCCTGCCAGTAGCCAGTGGAGAACATTGGTCTTTTCCCAGGCCTTTGGCTAGTTAAATTATATATGGCAGTGATGGCCAAACTCGGCCCTCCAGCTGTTTTGGGACTATAATCCCCATCATCCCTGACCACTGGTCCTGTTAGCTAGGGATGATGGGAGTTGTAGTCCCAAAACAGCTGGAGGGCCAAGTTTGGCCATCACTGATCTATGATCTTTTAAACTGTGGGGGGTTATTGTTTCTATCTGCTATTATGTTACATTATATTGAGAGAGAGAGAGAGAGAGAGAGAGAGAAAGAAAACTGCCCTATGATCCACAGATGAAGGGTGGTATAGACATTTTAACAACAACAGTGCTCAAGGGTCTGTTGCTGCAATGTGGCACTGGCTGGCTGAGTAGCTTATCCTCAGTGTCATGGAGGACTAAAGAGGCTGGGAACCCATGGGAGAACTGAAGAATTTTCACATAGAAAGGCAAGATGGTACTAGCCAAGTTCTGGTGTTGCCCAGACTACATCTAACAGGTTTTGTTCCTTCATGTTGTTTAACCACTACAAAAATAAACATGTCTCAATGAGAGACAAAAAAAGGAGGCTATTGTGGCTAGAACAGAGGGAGTTCAACAAAAATGGGTCTTACGAACAAGTACCTGGAAACAAAACCCAAAACACCCCCAGCAGAGTAGACAAGAAAAAGGCCTACTGAACCAATGTGTTTTGTACTCTACTGGTTCATCCTCAGGGAGTTACGGAACAGTAATTCAGATATGCTGCATTTTCGAATTACTGTTGTTTTGAGTTTCCCCAAAGAGGGACCATAGGGTCCAAATGGGAGCTATATAAGGTGCGAGGAGAAGAAAGCCAAAGAAAGGCTAGACTCACCATCATTCCAGGTGAAGATGCTGCAAGGAAAGAAGAAAAAAGAGACATGTGAATATATTTTTGTACTGCTTGTGACCCAGGGCTATCCCACCTCCAAGGGGGGTTTATGAATGGTGAAATGACACACTTTATTGTGCTCGGCTGTGAAGGTGGAAGGGCCAGGGAGACGCTACAATGGAACTACAGTGCCTGATTTGCTGCCCTCACTACACCCATGAGCAAGAGGATATCTGGCTTTTAACTTGCCATCTTGAAATCAATCATGCTTCTTTAGTCCATACTGAAAAGAGAACATTAGATTACTTAAGAACTGACAATCTGTTACATGATTTTTCAATGCCCATTTTTGTCTTGCGTGTGCACATATCAAAGAACAAAGGCTGTAAGTTTTAAGCAAGGCAACCCCATGTATGCTTCCCACTGCATTCAACAGGGTTTACTCCCTAGTAAGTGTGTTGAGGATTGCAGCTGACCAGCACTGACAGCAATCAAACAGTGCTGTGCTCATCCCTATTCCACAATGAAGGTTGGCACAGAGAGGACAATTAGAAAACACTTGCAGCTGGTATGTGCCTGGGGCTCTGTGCTGGGCTTTTGGGTGTGTTTTGGTGCCAGGCAAGTGCCCTGCTCTGTGTATACAGGCCAGGCTGTTTTCTGAGCAGTGCCCTGGGGATCAGTGAGCTGTGAAATTCCCAGTTATTCAAGAAGATTAAGGGGGCATGGGATGAGGTTAGGATTAAACTAACATGCTCACCCACCCTTCCTCCTCGGTCTACTACTGCTGGCTCAGAAGGTTCATGCAAGGCCTCCATTTTATCTGGTCTGTCAGTGGCTTTCCTGTCCCACTAGATAACAATTGCCCCAGTCCCCAAGAGAAGGCTGCCCAGCTGCCAGAAAGGACAACAGGGGGGGTGTAAACATGGCGGGTTTACTGCAAGTACTTGGCAATCGTTTTTAATTACTTATATGCGATTTAACACACATTTTACTTAGCAAACAAAAATAAATTATATTAATTTAACCAAAATATATTTTAAATTCCCATGTCATGGTACAACTTTTTAGCACCCCTCATTTTTTGGAATTTGAAAAATTCAGTGTGCCTTATTGCCTACCCATCTCTACATGCCGTATTTTTCTGTGTATTAGGTGATGTTTTTTGACTCAAAAATTGTGTCCAAAAACGGGGGTCATCCAATACACAGATAGTGGCATGGGTGGGAGAAGCGGCGTGCCTGCCAGCCAGCGGGAGCACAACTTCCCCTGATGCTGCTGCGTGCAGGGAACGATTTAGGGCGTGTTTCCTGCCCACAGTTGCGTGGGGGGAGAAGCTCAACAACTTTGGGCCATCTCCCCTCATTTTCTTAAAATTGAGTCCCCCAAAACCAGGGGGGGCGTGTCTTATACATGAGGGCATCTTATAGACGGAAAAGTACGGTACGTGCGCACAAATGCTCTGCCAATGAAGTATGCAAATGAAAGTTAACTTGATGCGAGTTTCTCCATTTCCCTAATGTATATCAGCAGCAGCAATACATTATTACAGAAAAGCAAGCCTCATCTTGGCCTCTAACCCTCCATGATGCTTTCCTGCAAGACTGCATCATGGTGCCAAGGTCATCTAGTCCTTTTCGTGCAACAAACACAGTCATCACCTTTATACGCTTGCTGGTAACTGGCAGTAGCACCAACCCAGAACTTCAATATATTACAAGGCTCCTGTGCCTTTAATAATTTTGAAGACAAGGGTGTTTGAGCAGCTGCAGCTTCTCCCTCTCCAGGACTGCCTTTGCACAGAAGCCTAACCTGTCTCACAAAGGCATTGTGTGGCTACACGTTGTTTGTTTAAGGAACATATATCCCCCTTTAGCTTCAAAAAGAAATCAACGTGGCTAACAATAAGAAAACAATAAGCACAAAAATACATAGATAGGTAGATAGAGATATATAGATACAGATACAGTCATTTTGTTTTTTAATTGTATTTTTATTGTCTATTTTATTTCTTACATTGCATTTTATTGTATTACAATTTGAATTCTATGGCACCCTTAGAAATGTGTAGGACTAAGCAATATATAAGCGTCATAACAATCTTCAAATGGTCCATGAGGGGAAAGGTACCACTGGCTAAGTCATTCTGGTGCAGAGTAACTTTCTCCCCTGATTCGTAGGAAGGATGTGTTGATAGCAACCAATACTGCTATGGGCCAAGCAACAAGACAAATATATTTAAGGCAGGATTCCTGCATTTGTTTCCTGCTCTCAGAGGTTCTAGATAAGCTCCTCTGACACACCCATTTGAGGCAACATCACCATTCAAACAAAACCCAGCTACTACCGTATTTTTCGCCCTATAGGACGTACTTTTTCCCCTCCAAAAATGAAGGGGAAATGTGTGTGCGTCCTATGGGGCGAATGCAGGCTTTCGCTGAAGCCTGGAGAGGGAGAGGGGTCAGTGCACACCGACCCCTCTCGCTCTCCAGGCTTCAGGACAGCCCCACAAGCTCGGGGGACAGTGGGGAGGCGGAACGCCGCCATCCCGCTGTCCCCCGACCTGGTTTGGAGGCTGGTGGCGGGGAGAAGCGTGCTTCTCCCTGCCGCCAGCCCCGCAAGCTCGGGGGACAGCGGGGAGGCGCAGCGCGCCATCCCACTGTCTCCCAACCTGGTTTGGAGGCTGGCGGCGGGCTTCCCCCTCCCCCAGCCGCGCAAGCTGCCAGAGCGATGCCGAAGCTGCGCACAGCTTCTGCATCGCTCTGGGACCCGTTCTGGGGGCTGGTGGAGGGGGAAGCTCGGGCTTCCCCCGCCCCAGCCCCGCGCCTGGGGGGGGGAATAATTTTTTTTTTCTTTATTCCTCCCCCCCCCCCAATCTAGGTGCGTCCTATGGGCCGGTGCGTCCTATGGGGCGAAAAATACAGTATATACAATTTGAGCTTCATCTTGAAATGATCTGATGAAGCCACTTTCTTGGATATTAGTTCCAATTTTTTTCTAAACGCTAAAGTCTCCAGAAGCTATTTGAATTCACTATTCCAAAGCAATGATTCAAATATAAAATAAAAGCATGTCATTTAACAACAACAACAAAGTTTGTACAGCTTGTCTACTTCTCATTAGTTTATCCCTAGGGTCTCCAATGTGGTGTCCTTAACCCTCCCGTTTTATTTGTATTTTGGGGAGGCAGTTTTACCTGTTTGGAGGGAGGTGGGGTCTGAGCATCACCTGTGGCACCTACAGCAGTTACTGCAATTTCCAAATATGTCTTCAGGTCCCAAAAGACTGAGAACCCTTGATTTAAATAACTACTGAAACAACCATTAATGATTGAGATAACCATTCCCTAACAGATGGGCTTGCTGTGATCAAGGGGTTTTAACAGCTAGACTTTCCCATTCTTTGTCACATTCTGTATATGAATATTCTTATTAGGCACATGGAGACTACTTATCCCCATTCCCTTTGCAGGTAACATGAGAGCCACTGAAGGTGTGAGCTGAAACAGCATGCAGGGGGGAAAGTACTTCCTGGCTCTCAGCCCACTGCACTTTCCCCTAGTCTGTAAGGCATCACTTTCCCTCTTCACCCTTCTATTCTTGGATGCTACTCCCATACATCCAGATATGTTAAAGAAGTACCTGGGAAACAGACAGAATCTGGAAGAATATTAACAAACATGTAGGGTTACTTCCACCAATGAAAACATCAACTGTAGCTCCAAGGTTTCTTATAAGCCAGAGGCAATCCTATCTCTGCAATGATGAATCCCACACAACCATAAAGGTATTGGCTGCAGTCCTGCTCACAGGATACCTGAATTCCAACAGCATCAGTGAAATTGTGCTGGTTGGGAATGATGGGAATTGTAGTCCAGAACATCTGGAACATCCCAGCTTAGCGATGCCTGGTGTGCCGTACTGCTGCCACACCCTTCCACAGATTGGCAACATGACACTATGCACTGTTTTACAGCAGGGCTGGTACCCTGGAATTTAATGAACAAAATTACCATTGATCTGACGGTAGACGATTCCTTTCATGTGCTCACCATCAAATCTGTGGATATGGAATTCTCCCAAGTGACAGTATAATTATAGCTTTAAAATGGACATGTTCAAAACCTATAGACAATCTAGACAGGAACACAGCAAGATGCCTTATACTGCTATGACATTTGGTCTGCTGAGCTTAGTAATGGCAACAATCACCAGCAACGAGAAGAGCAGTAGCACCCCAATACAGTCTCTACAGCAGTAAGTCTTTTAAATCCTAAATCCCTGAGTCTTCACTTGCTGTGAGTCCCACTGATGAATCAGGGATCAATTTTTAATCTGTGATTAAAGCTTTAGTTGATTAATCTCACCAATTAATCAATTAAGGCTTGAAGCTCTACCTACTTAGTGCTCTAAATTTGGCAAAATCTTGCTTCCAAGTCTAGCTAGGGTAGAAAGGATTACTTGAGTCTTCAATAATTCAAGTAATTAATTCATTAGTAAATCCATTAATAAGTTTTTTTAAAAAAAAATTGGGGCCCATTAGTAAGATTTTAATCTAAATTGAACTATGTGAAATGGGTACTTGGTGGCAAAAGCACAGCTGTAATCCATGTACACACACACATATTGAACTTAATCTACAAAGGAAGAAGTAATTCTGCCTGCATGATTTTTTGTCAAGAGAACCTGTTATCTAGTACAAAGAATAACAGTTTGAATTGGCTGCTAAATAATCACTGAAAGCCCAAAGGTTAATTATCAGTTCACTAGGTGAGGCAAGGGACGCGGGTGGCGCTGTGGGTTAAACCACAGAGCCTAGGACTTGCCGATCAGAAAGTCGGTGATTCGAATCCCTGCGATGGGGTGAGCTCCCATTGCTTGGTCCCTGCTCCTGCCAACCTAGCAGTTCGAAAGCACGTCAAAGTGCAAGTAGATAAACAGGTACTGCTCCGGCGGGAAGGTAAACGGCGTTTCCGTGCACTGCTCTGGTTCGCCAGAAGCGGCTTAGTCATGCTGGCCACATGTACGCCGGCTCCCTCGGCCAATAAAGCAAGATGAGCAAGAATATTAGGCCGTTTTGGCAGATATGGTATAATGGATTAAGTAAAAATGAAGTGTAGAAACTGAGGATAGAGGAGGATTAAATACATTATTGAATGTTAAAATAAGTAAATGAAAAGAAGGTTAGAAGGATTTGCTGGAAATATGATTTAAACTAGAATACAAAGCGGGGAAGTGAGAGGAAGTCACGGAAATAAGTAAAAGGGAAAAAGGTTGTAAAGGTTTAATTTGATTTTTGTTATACTTTATTGTAATGTATTTCTATTTTTTGTTGAGTTTTTCTTATTGTCTGTTTTTTGTAATATGTTTTATTCTTTTTTGTATGGTTTTTTCTTTCTTTTTGTAATCTTAAAATTGGAATAAATATCCTTTTAAAAAAAAAAGATGAGCGCCACAACCCCAGAGTCGGTCACGACGGGACCTAATGGTCAGGGGTCCCTTTACCTTTTTTAGGTGAGGCAAGGGAGCATGCAGTCAGGCTTCATTTGTTTTAAGGGATAGATCCATTTCTTTAGGGAAAATGTCACCTGCATTTCTGCCAGGACTGCGCAGCTGCTTTGCTGCTGCAGAACTTACCAAGAGAGGTGATTTGCAGTTTACACATTACCTGGCAGGCGTTTGGTGTTAACTCCAATTTATTTCCCACTGGAAGTTCTTGCAGTAGCACAAACATCCCTGTGTTAAAATGGGTGGTGCAGGTTATTTTAGGGCTGTGCCATCACATGCTTCCCTTCAAACAGAAATGGCTGAACGGTGGAGTATGGCTCTGCCCACCCCATCCTGTCACTTTGGGATTGCCCAGTTCTTTATTACATCCAGGCGGAAAAGTCACGTCTCCTCTTCCAAGACACATCAGTGTCACCTCACAGCAGAAGTGGACAGATCCAGCAGCAGTTAACAGCCCACCTCTCAACTTTCCCAGAAGTGTGAAGCACTCCTTCCTGAAGTGCATGGCCATCCTATGATTGGCTGGGCTTAGCAACCTGTCACTCCAAGCCACCTTGGCATAAAAGACCATAAATGCATGGTCCATGTGATCTGTTTCCCCTCTTGCCACCAATAACAAACCATTGTTCTGTTAGCTTTGCCTGGTGTAGAGTTAGACCAACATCCTGGTGTGCTGTTTGATTTTCATTTTGATTCTGGACATTCACTGTTTTGGATTTGTGAATTTCTGGACACACTCAAGAGCTGGCTGTCCCCTGCCCCCCTCATTGATTAAACCTTCTCGGTTAGGCTATTAGTTCTTAAAGTACCTGGAATATCTGAAGAGGAGATGGGCTGAGATGGCCAAGCAGGAGAGCTGGAATTCAGCTGATTGTTCCTTTACTCCTGAATAGAGCACCTTGAGGCAGTGAGAATCCCCTTGCCCTAGGTGACATTAAACAGGTGGTGGCAAGCAGAGAGGGAGGGGAGGGGAGTGAGGAAAGAATGTCACCTGTTACTAGGGGACTACCTTACTGGGTTGATGTAGCAAGTAGTGTGCTGCCCTCCACCATAGTGAGTAGCCATGCCCAATACAGCAGCCTAGGTGAGCAAGCACCTGCTCACGGCAGGAAATGGTATTTAGGATTTATGCAGAAATGGTATTTAGGATTTATGCACTCTCCCTCTATGAGACATAGAGTGTGATAAATCATCGACTGTCATCTACTGTTTTCCTGCCAGGCATATTAAACTGGATGGGTTGCAAATGATCTTGGCAGCAAGGCTGACAGTTTTCTACTGGCCCCACAAAGCTTTTGACATTAGCTGGTGATCATGATGAGATCTCCTGGTCTTAAAATTTTATTTTCCCCTTCTTCCCCCTGTTGCTTAACCTGCTGCGAAGAGCAGATGAGGCCAGCTTTCCTTGTCCGTTGGCATCTCTGAGTTTGGGTGGCAAACCACACATATTGACTCACTTTACCAAAGGCAATGTGTGCTTTTAGTCCCGAACTGCCCTAAGCCTACTTTATCGAGCTAAGTAAAGTTTAAATGACCACCAGGAGACTGGATGATTTCCCCAAACCATCTGGGGATGTGTTTGCATCTCTCCTTAAAATGGAAAACATTCATATCAGAAGTTTTAGCTTGCCGTTTCATTGTTATGAAAACCTAATTCATAAATTGTTGTTTGGGAAACTGGCATTGAGTAATGTGCTGATGCAACTTGGTGGTTGGTGGCATGTATGTCACATCTGCAGTGCGGCTGGAAACAAAGGTTTACTTCAAATCAAATGAATCCCAAGTAAAAACTGGATAAACAAACTGAGGTTAACACCTGACTCCACAAAGCAGCTTCCTATGCTTATGCAGCTTGAGCCTGTTCCACCAGGGGTGGGCAACCCTTTTTGTCTCCTTTCCAGGGCTGCATTCCCTCAGTGTCATCTGACAAGGGTCACATAATGGCAGTAGGCAGAGTGAGAGTCAAAGTGGGTAGGGCCACTCCTTTTTCTCTCTCTGTCTGTCACCTGCTTTCCCACTCCTTACCACTTGCATGAAACTAGGGTTGTGTACACACTGTATCTGTAAGCACATTCAAAATACCTTACTTCCCTCAAAGAATTCTGGGTAATGTGGTTTACTCCTCACAGAGGTACAATTCCCAGCATCCCTTAACAAACTACAGTTCCCAGAATCCTTTGAGGAAAGGAATGTGCTTCAAAAGTGCTTTAAAGGTATAGTGCGTATATATTTGTATCTCCCCCCGCGCCGTGCCATGTTTAGGAGGTTTATTTATGACATTTCTATTCCATCTTTCCTTCTTTAAGCTCAAGATGGAGTACTTGGTTACCCCCCCCACACACACATATTTTAGCCTAAGAAACTGTGACTGCCCCAAAGCTGTTCACTGAGGGGGATTTGAACCCGGGTCTCTCCCCAATCCTAAACTGACACTCTTAACTACTATGCATCTGCTCATCTTTAGTTCATGAAAGCATATGCCACAATAGATTGATTAGTCTTTAAGGCACCACAGTGTTCTTTGTTGATTTTGCTCCAACAGACTAACCCAACTTCCCCTCTGGAAATTGTCTGAATGAAAAAGGAGAGCATTTTTTTATGATTTCCAAAAAGCTACACTACCTGGAGGTGCCTCTTACTTGCCAGAGACAAGGGGTAAGTCGCTGCTCCCAACCACTGGCTTACCAGCAGCTTTTTCAATTGTTTGGCTCTTATCTAAAGTGAAAGCAGGGAATGATCTGTGATCATTCAACAACTTTGTGTAAAGTGTTGGCTGCAGCTATCATGTGATGAGTAATGTAGATTCAGTAAAAGTGCGAGTACTTGTCCGAGGAAAAATAACTTTGGATTTTAATTATTCTAAAGACCATTCTTTATTTCAGCTCCACTTGAAAATCTTCGCTCTTCAAGCCTGCATCTAGGAATTGGAATGGCACTGAATTGAATGTCTATTATCTGACTGCCATCAACTATTTCATGAAGTCAAGAATGCCACTATGTAGAGGGCACCTTATTCTTTTTAAAAATTTCATTAGGGTGTCGTTTCTTAGCAACAGCAAGAGTGAAGGGTAGGTTGCCTTTGATCACGCAGAAGTTCCTGGGGCCAAACCCAGAGCCACGGTCAGGTGTGGGAGCCCCTTGCCAATCGCTGGAGCTTTATAGCCCAGCTCCTCTGCTTTGCTGCTGCCTGTTCACTTGCCCTCTCCAGGCAAGCAGGCAAGCAGTGAGAAAAAAGGGCAGGAACATGCTTTGTCTTCCCCCTCTATGTGATGGTGTGCACTAGGACCCAGAGGGAGAGGCAAACTAATGGGTGCCAGCAATAATAGAGAGGAGGGGGCAGGTGCATTAAGGGGGACCCAATGAAAGGACCATGCCTAACCCCCTCCCCCAAATAAAACCCCTGGAAGCAGTACAGTACTGTGTTGGACAAGCCTTGCAGCAAAGCCAAGCTCCTCCCGTTGGCCACCAGCTGGAACTGCAGGCATCTCCAAATATTAGCAACAGTTGCTACCTAGGACGGTCCATGACTCCATCTTGCTTGCCTTAAGAATCAGAGTTGATGCCTGAGGAACTGGTCTGCTGCCTACTTAACACAGCTTCCTTTAGAAACTGACTTTTGATAGCATTTTTCTTTTATAGTTACTTCTACTTTATTTCTGTTTTAATTTTGTTTAAGGTATAGCTGCAGGCTGACTGAGGTACCAGCATTACCACCAAAGGGAATGTGAATAATTCACTATTATAGGACCCTTTGCTACCGTACTTAAAATTTATAGCAATATGTTATAACTGGTTTTTTATGTTATTTTCATTGTTTCACAGTAACAGTTAATGAAATTAGTTGTTCATTAGTTGTTCTAATGAAGTTAGTGCTTTAAATATACTTTATCATTCCTTGAAAATATTTGACAGAGGTCAACCGACTAAAACCTTTTTCGGGAGTGTCATCCCAATATTACCTTTCCAGGATGCAAAAGTGCCACCACCCAAAGTTTAATATATTTTCTCACCTGAGATTACATATTCCTTTGGCTGTGGTAACCACAAGGCACCATTTCATTTGCCCCCCAAGATAATATCAGAAGTGTCTCCATGGTGAGAGAACTTGAGATGCAATGGGCACCAATGCTGGGGACCCTCAAAGCAAGCTTCATTAACTATGAACCCTGAAATTTGAGAGTGAAGTGGACAATGTTGGATTTCTGGGTGTTAACCACAAACTCCGGATTAATGTTTCAATTTCTCAGTTTGGGGGGCCCTACAAAACACAGAGTTTGCCCTACAAAACCATACAAAAGGTCTGGAGGGGACCCCAATTTCAGGGTTCACTGTTGATGAAGCCCTCAAAGCACAGTAGTGGCATTGTGTTCATCTAATAAAGGAACTTGTATATTGTGATTTAAAAAATAATAATTTTTTTTTACTCTGTGTTGTTGTTGTTTAGTCACGTCCGACTCTTCGTGACCCCATGGACCAGAGCACGCCAGGCTCTGTGTAGCGATCAGCAACTTGCCCTGAGACCATGTGGTGAAGAGAAGGATATAAAGCCCCTAAATAAACAAACTTCTATCACTTCCTGAATGCTGTTAACAAGTCCATTGGAGACCAAGTTCATGGAAGACAATCTTACTCTGCTAGGAGTGATCGCCAAAGAAGAAAGACAGAGATCCCTATTGTGTTAAGTTTATTCCACACGGGATACTTTACAGTCAATGGTTTACATATAAACAGTGGAATGGCTTCCCCACAGTTGGCAACTGCAAGGTAATATAATTAATCAATCATTACCTGCAGACCCAACAGCTTCACTGAGGAGAGACACCCATGGAGCGCTCCTGTTCTTTAGGACTTTTATGCAGGGGCTGCATCTAGGGACATAAGGTGCTGCCTTTTACCAAGTCAGACTTTTGGTTTGTCTAGCTCAGAACTGTCTACACTGACCAACAGCAACTCTGCATCTTTCAGGGTTTCTCCTTGATCTACCTGGAGATGCCAGGGAGTCAACCTGGGACTTTGGCATGCAAAGCAGCAGCTCTCCCCACCCGCTGAGCTTTCCCAGCCTTCTCTCCAAGCTCACTGCTGCCTTAATTTCTTGTGCCACGCTGCCCCCAGCACCCACTGCCACAAGCCTGGAGACTCACAGATAAGAGCCCGCTTGGCAGGTCTTCAACTCACCAGCTGGAAGGGTGAAGATGTCTCATAACTATTTGATCTGGTTGGGTAAAATTAGGCCACAGGCATGGGGAAAACGGTAAACAGAAATACCTGTACATTGTCAAATTCACCGAGGAAGAATTACGGCAAGGGCACATCTTTCATGGAGCTTGGGCTGTGGCATGGATCAAATGGCTCATATGCAGGGCTTCCGGTCCCCTACCCTAAGTCCACCTAGCCACATGGTGGAGGACGACTGTGGGGCCCTTGTACGTAGCACAAAGTCTGCACAGCTGGCTTCCTATTACAGTGGTACCTCGGGTTAAGTACTTAATTCGTTCCGGAGGTCTGTTCTTAACCTGAAGCACCACTTTAGCTAATGGGGCCTCCTGCTGCTGCCACACGATTTCTGTTCTCATCCTGAAGCAAAGTTCTTAACCTGAGGTACTATTTCTGGGTTAGCAGAGTCTGTAACCTGAAGCGTATGTAACCTGAAGCGTATGTAACCCGAGGTACCACTGTACTGGTAAGGGGGAATAATTCCAGGGTTGTTTCAAATTTCTCTCTGTGTGTATAATATTTGTGTATTTGTGTTAAATTATCTCTCTGTGTGTGTATCTCACTTAACGCCAAAAGAAGCTTTCCAAGACTCCCATGGGGAATGCAGAAAGTTGCCTGCATCTATGTTCTAAGCATAAGCCCTTGGCACTTCCCAGCACCACCTTCCTTTTGTTAGCACACACCAAGGAGGAAGAGGGAGGGCTTTGAATGTATACCTCCCCCCCCCCCCCATTTCAGCTCCTGCTTATGTGCAGGAGAAATAGCGCGTCCAATCTGCAAGGGGAGGTGAGAACAGGCGTGGGGCGGTGTGGGGGGAGTTACTCCAGACCGTTTTAATCGAGCAAAAAGAGAAAAAAATTCAGGCGACGATTTCGCGTGCCGATATTCCTACACCAGTGTAAGCATCAAGATGCCCGCAGGCTCCCTTGAAGCCAGTGCCCAGTTGCATCAGCTGGGGATCCTAGCCTTGCCCAACCTTTTTTGTCCATAGGAACTTGATGCTTTTATTCCCCAGCCAATTCTAAAAAAGAAAAGGAAAGGGGGGGGGGACGCCCAGGAGCAGGGCGATTGGCGGAGGCGGCCCGTGTGGGCGGGACTTCGGGTCAAGCAGGGACCCCGCCAGGCGCTCGAGAAGCCCCTTTCCCTGCCCCCCACCGCCAGGCAGAAGAGCAGCAGCCTTACTGCACGTCCCTCAGCTTTGTGCTTCCCGCAACCCGCCTCCCGTCTCCCTCCGCGACCTGCAGGGCGATCCGCGCGCTTCTCGCAGCAGCAGGCATAATAAAAACAGGTTGCACCAATTCCAGGTGGCCCATTGTAACCGAGGGGAGACTTACATGAGAAGGGAATGGCATGACTACCGCTCCGTCCGTCCTGCTTACCAGGCGCACCGCAGTTCTTCAAGCGAGCCGCGCGCGCACACACGCGCACACACACACACACGTGGTCCCGGCCGACCCCCTTTCTTCCCTGTCCTCTCCAGCAACAGGCTGCGCTCGCGCGACCCCCGGGCGCCAGCGCCGCCCCCTCCCCCAACCCCCCGATCCGGGCCTCACTCCGGGCGGGAAAGGCGCCCGAGACCCACCCGGGGCTGGGAGAGAAACCCAACGTGCACCCCCGCCGCCCCCCCCCCGTTACCTTGTTGCAGCGCAGCGGCAAGCGCAGCTCTCGTGCGGATCTGCGGGCGATGCTGAGGCCGGGCGAGCGGCGCGATCCAGCGCAATCCGATGGCGAGGGGCGGGGTGGAAGGAGCCGGGGAATGTCCAGGGATTAACTCCGGCGGGTTTTATATAGAAACGGAGCGGGCATGCCCAGTAAGGCGAGGCAGCTTATCGAGCATCGGGGCAAGGCGGGCAGGCACTCGCCAGCGCCGGAGACACCCACAGCCATTGACCGAAGCAGATAGGCGCTCCCGGGGGCTGGGAGCGAGTGAGCGCCGGGGTGGGTGTGCGCGGGAGCGTAATGGGCGCGAGGGGGCTGGCAGCGCCTCGCAGAGGTGGCGGAGGAGTGCTATGCAAAGCGGAGGTGGGAGGGGTTCCACCCGGGGGAGGGGAGAGGGGGGGGGTCCGGAGCCGAGGAATTTCTTGCTGAAAGAGCCCATCCGCTCCCATGACGTGCGGCAGATACACGCGGGGCTGTTGCTAACCATTTTGTAGCCCTCCTCTAACGAACGCCAAGTGCTTTCTTGGTGAGGAGCCCGTTCACTCTCGCTGGGTTAAGCAAACCTTATTATGCCCATTTTACAGATGGGCAACCGAAGTGGCTTTCCTAAAGGTTGGGGGGGCGCTGCTCCCAGAACTATGTGAGGCACACGTTTTTATTATTTATTCCTTTATAACCTTTGTGCTCCCTTCCTCCAAGGAGGGTGTTAGCCGCACAACAATGGATGGAGGGAGCGGCTTAGCAACTTACTCATGGTTGACCCAGGAGATTAGAAACCACCACAGTGACATGCATAAGAAAAGGAGGAATAAAAACACCCAAAGTCGCCTGTTCCCCAACCCCTGGTGGGTGGCTAAAAACCGAATTCGAGGCTGGGAGTTCCAGTTTTGCACAGAAATGTTACAGGAGGTTCCTCTTGCATTTCATGACCTTTTTGGCTTCACAGTTTTATCTTTCACCGCCTGGTCCCAGGTGTATACAGCTAGCACATCTTGAACCCGATGTGGCGGGTTCTAGTTCACAGGAGTGTCTGCCGCAATAAATCACTTTGTCTTAGATAAATGTGGATTACCCATATATTAGTGAACTGATAACAACTTAAGGGTTTTAAACATTTGAGCATGTGAGCAGATCCAGCTATCACCTAAATGCAGCAAGGAAAAACTGAACTTGGTTGCACTACTGCCATCTTCGCATACATTAATAAAGCGGAGTGACAATTTCTATGTATGTATATAAGCTACATACAGTGTAGCTGATACACCGTACTTCCCCAAGTACATCCAACTGAATATGGGGTTGTTGTTTGCAACTTTGTCGTGAGTGCAGTTTGACCATCTAGGAAATGCTGCCTGGAAGTTGGAAACATGCTTCATAAATAGCATCATGGATTCCACGGCTACACAGCGTGTCCCTGGAGCATGGGCTGCGATAGGGCCTGAGTGTGCTGAAGCAAATGTGTGTGCAGCACAGGAAGGGCACAGACAAGCTGAGGCGGGGTCACACTGGGACAGTGAGACTTGAGACGCTGCACTACAGCCAGGCTATTGCACTGGAATGCACTATACTGTGCTATATTAGATAAATAGTCTGCTGCTTTTGTTAAGAATCCCTGAAAATGAAAAGGTGGACACTTCAAAACATATGCCCATATGATGGTGATGACTGAATTTATTACCCATCCTTCAGTTGCAGGTCCCAGTGCATATTACAACGATTTAAAATTCAAAACTAGTTTGGGGAAACCTGGGTTAGAGAGGAAAAAAAGCAGGTATTATTTTTGCTAAGACCAGTCTAGGCTGCTCCATCTTTCTAGTACCTGCATGGTGCTTCAAATTCCCATGCCTGTGGAGTATTCAGAACGCTGGCAAAATTTTATTTCTGCTCATCTTCTGCAGGAGTATGTTTAGCACTGTGAGCAGCAATGGAAGTATACATATTTTAAGGGTTTGGGGATAAGGTGGCATTTATTTATTTATTGAGTGGGGTTATTAGTTTGTTTTCATTTTTATTATGTATTTTGTATTTTTGTGGTGTGAACTGCCCTGGGATCTTCAAATGAAGGGTGGTATACAAATTTAATAAATAGTAATGGTAACAGTTAAAACCAATTATAGTCACAGGAAAAGAGTGAGCCCTGAAAGCATATTTCTCATGTGCCAAACACTAGGCTAAAGAGGTGCATCTCCAGCATTTGGAGGAATCTTCCTTGGAGTTGGCTGGGACAAGAGGCTCCATATCACAATGCCCTGCAGGTCACATACCAAACTCCCCATAGCTGTTCAGCAAGGAAAGCCTCACCATCTCAGTCCTACTTCTCGCCTCCTAGAGGGGAAGCATAAATCGTGGCATTGTGCTCCCATTCTTTGTCACTCATCTTCCAACCACCTCCAAAGGTTACCAACTATGGAATGGACCTATCTATCACATGTGGCTGGGGCAATCCAGCCAGATGGGCAGGGTATAAATAATAAAATGATGGTGTTGATGATGATGTGTTCAAATTATCTGCCCATCTTCATGTGAATTGTAGCCAAGGATTAGATGTTAGAGAAGAGGATCGTAAAGGAGTATTTCACTCCACTGCTTACTCCCAATTTCTGTCTGTCCAGAGTCTAGGAACATCCCTCACATCATCAGCACTGTGTACTGGTAATGACATTATGACAGACAACTTCCTTTTCTTTCTTTCCTTCTTCCTTCCCTTCTTCCTTCCTTTCTGTTTTCCATTGTTTCTTGACACACAGTTTCATATGCAATATAATGCCAAATCTGCAATTATACCATACCCATGCGTGTGGGCAAATCTGTCTGTTTCAGTTTCTCATTTTTAAATGAATTTCAGTTCTCAACATCTCAACTTCAGTCTGTGATTTTTATAAAAGGTCCTCATGAAAAAGCATCAGCTTTTTGTTGCAAATGTGTCCTAATATACACATTTGTGCATGTACTGTTGCACAGTACTGTTGGACAATACACATTTCCCCTAATGCAAAGTCATTTCCCCTAATGCAATGTGTTTTGTTGGTCTATTTTCACTAATATATGCCTGTATATGGGCACTTTATTTTGTAGACATTGCTTGGTTGTGGAACTGCATTGCAAATTCAGAGAAATGCAAATTTGAAATGATGGCTCCCTTTCAGTCTCCATACTATTTAAGAAAGTGTGAATTAGGTAGGTTCACCTTCAAATGCAAATTGAATCCCCCCTCAATCCCTACTTAGGAGTAAAACCCACTGGATTCAGTAAGCCTTATTTCTGAATAGACAGCCATAGGATTAGGCTGCATGTGGCAATGGTCAATATTGTAATCTCTCATATGCAGGCATAATGGGTTAGATTTCTGCAGACAGAATGGCAACATTTCTGTGCTATAACCTAAACACTTTTAACTGTTACAACATCCGCTACGTTCATAAATAACTCAATGAAATGCAATTCTCTAAACGTGCTTGGGATATTCGAACAGCTCTCAGCATCCAGATAAGTCTGCAATTCCCATAATTCTTCAGGAACAGCCTGAATCCTCTTTTTAATGTGTTTGGCATCAAATATAACTGCACAAAACAAGTGGTAGAGAGTATAAGCAATAGCTTTAACCATGGCCATATATGAGAATTTGGGGCTGCTTTTGTTTAGTATAAGCAGATGTCCATAATAAGTACAGGTTAGCGAGGGCATTACTCTGCTTCTGTTTATCTAAGGTCAGTGGTTCCCAACTGGGGGTCCGCATAACCCACCCAGGGGGTCCGGGGCACCATTCACTTAACAAAAGCTACCCTAAAGGCATAAAAAAAAATCAAAAGTAGGGGGTCCATGGCTTGGCTTTTGAAAAACAGGTGGTCCAATTGGGAACCACTGATCTTAATGATTATATGACCTCAGATCCACACTTTAGTTTATAAATGGATACCCACCACATATACTTTTGCAAATTGTTCTGAAGTATTTTTATCTTCTGAAACAACAAAATCCCATGAAACCATTGGGGGAGAGCCATAACTCAGTGGTAGAGCAGCTGTCTTGCATGAAGAAGGCCCCAAATTCCATGCCTCCAGGTACGGCTGGGGGAGACTTCCACCTGGAACCCTGGAAAGCCACTGCCAGTCACGGTAGACAGTGCTGAACCAGATGGACCAATGATCTGACTCAGGATAAGGGAGCTTCCTGTGTTCCAATATTTGAAAATGATTTTTAGTCTACAATTGCAATGGTTAGATCCAAACAGATGGATAGTTTCTACCTCCTAAGTATCTTACTAGCTTTCCAGCGTTATTCCCTTACTCGGATTTTGTAAAATACTGTGGAATACAAGGCTTAATCATAGCTAAATCCCTTCACTGGATTATGCCACACACACCCAAAAAAACCCTACGTAGAGCATCTAAAATTGCTGTACTCCACCTTTGCCAGAATAAAAAAAAATCCAAGAAATGCATAGCTGAAGGTCAAACTTGTCTTCTTACACAAGTAGACCTCATAATAACTTAACTGCTTCACTGGATCAAGGTCTAAGTCTATTTCAGAAGGCTAGCCAAAATCCAAAAAAACTCTGTGATTGGCTGAGCCAGATGGGTGGGGGGAAACCCTGAAGTACTACACAAGGTCCTACTGCTCCCTCCCCAGTTGTCAGCAGCCCTGTCATAGGCATGGTGAGCTCATCAGAGTAACACTTTGGATTGTGGCCTCTGGCACCAATATCAACCAGCCAGGTGCATTTAGACACTCTCAGGGGCAGGGCATGAGGGAGGAAGCCTTCCTCTAGGTTTCATCCCCCAAACCGGGCAACCAGCGGTATGCTTCATTTGAAAAAAATATCCTGCAGAAACAGGAATATGCCATTCTAGGACTCAGATATGGCTTGCAGGATCAGCAGCCTCTCCCGAGGCCTGTACTCCAGTAGCCCACTTTTATATACCCAACAATTATTCCAGGACAATAATGAATAGCTCATTCAGTAGAGCAAGAGACTCTTAATCTCAGAGCCCTGGGTTCAAGCCCCATGTTGGGTGCTTGCAGGGGGTTGTCCAGATGGCACCTGAGGCTTCCTTCCATCTCCACATTTCTACAAAATCCTTGCTGAATGGGAATTATAACTGTAAGAGCAAACCACTAATGTTGTCAGGAGTGTATACATGGCAAAGGGACACAAGACAAGCCCAGGTTCAGCAAATCAGCCCTCTTTTGTTCCCAAAAGTTGCCAGCCAGGTTAATTTACAGTATTCATCACACCATTATCAGGATGGTATCGCAGTTACCTCGTGCTGTTGAGCACTTCTACTGTAATGCCCATTACTGGCCAGCAGGACTAGAGATGGGATACTGAGTAGATGGGCCAGTATGGGCAGCTCTCAGAGTTCAAAGGATTACTGTCCAAAAATGACCCTTAATATAACACCCTAGAGATTTTGGCCATGGGAATAAGGCTTAGAGTTTTACAAGCTGCATTCTGCCTTTGCACAAAGTTGGATCGTCTCCAGTCCACATTCATCTGCACTTGCTTTGGGGCTCCTGCACAACAAAAAGAGTCTGAACATCCAATAATACAGAGATCACAAGAGACTCCTTGTGAGGAAATGGAAATTTTAGGGGCCAGTGTTTTCTCAAGGCAGGAGGTAATCCAAATGAAGGCAAACACATGCATGCAAAACCATGGTACTAAAGACTTCAGCTTCAGCAACGGCCTACTTATGTAAGCCACATGGAGGGGGTCAGACACAGGTAGATTTGGGAAGCCAGCAGGAATTGCTAAGCTGTACCAGGGACTTTCTGCCACGTGGCCTGGGAAAGGAGCTTGTCTGTCCAATGCCAGATTTGCACCCATAATAAAGGAAGTCTGGCCAGAATGAAGAGGAGTTGTACTGCTTTTTTCAGACTGGGTATGAATAGACTCTGAATCCCCTTGAAAACAGAAAATGAATGGATGGTTTCACTTCATACTTTTAGCCCCAGGAAGGAAAGACAACACACATTCCATCTTTGTGTTGAGAAATGGTCAAGTCCTGAGACTTTATACTGTTGGAGAGAAAATACCATTGCTCAGGAAGAAGAGAATAATAATGATTTCACTGTAGTACCAGCGCTCACCCGGTTGAAAAAGCAAGCCAGCTTTAAAGAAGCCATTCTGGGGAGAGACCTGAGTTCCAATCCTTGTTCAGCCATGAAGCTCACTGGGTCATCTTTGGCTAATCGTCCATCTCACTCTCACCTACCACAAGAGGAACCAACTTGCACCCAAGATTTTGGGGGGGAGGGCATAGTCGGGAGGAGGCCGAGCAGGGAGTCCTGCACAGTGCGGCTTCCTCTCTCATGCTTGGGAGGAGCCAGCCATTGAACCCTCTCACACTTGGCCCCCTCAACACTGAGGGGGCCGAATACCCCTCCACCCCTAGGAGTTGGCATGCCAGCTTACCACAGAGACTTGTTTATGAGAGCAAAATGGAATCACACACAGGAAGGCCACTCTAACACTCATTAGAGGCAGACAAAATTAGCAGATAAATGATAAGAAATAGTAGCTTACCCAATCAGCTGTGGTGAATGCCTTCATACCTCAGACTTCATGTGTACCTGCCTCTCCCTAGCCTCTGCATTTAGCTATATAGGATCGTAACCAAAGCTTCCTGTATTTTAGGATCAACAGAGGCAGATTTAGGGGAGCGTGGCTGGTTTGTCCACGCGGCGCTGAGCTGAGAAGGCACTGTAGCAATGACTTAGAATGTAAGGCAAGAGGCAGGGGGTGCTGTATTTTGGAGTCACAAAGGGTGCCACTGCTATTGGAAAGCCCAATGTCCACAATTGCCATGCATTTAAAGCATACCCCTCCCCCGAATTCTGGAAACTGTAGTTGTTAAGGGTGCTGAGAATTATAGCTCTGTGAAAGGTAAACTAGTTCCCAATATTCTCTTGGGTGGGGTGGGTGTGCTTTGAATGTACAGTGGTGTACGCTGTCTCTGTTTGCACAATCCCTTTCCCAAACAGCTCTAATCATTTGCATCAGGTCATGGAAGAGTAGAGAGGAAACACTCTGGGTCATGGGTAGGCAAACTAAGGCCCGGGGACCGGATCCGGCCCAATTGCCTTCTAAATCAGCATGTTTTTACATGAGTAGAATGTGTCCTTTTATTTAAAATGCATCTCTGGGTTATTTGTGGGGCATAGGAATTCATTCTCCCCCCCAAAAAAATATAGCCCGCCCCCCACAAGGTCTGAGGGACAGTGGACCAGCCCCCTGCTGAAAAAGTTTGCAGACCCCTGCTCTGGGAGAATGGAGCCAGCACTATGCAGAGAGGAAGCATGCCCAGATCTGCCATAAAACTGGCTGCTTGCCTCAGCTGCAACTACATACATAAGATGACTCTTGCGCCCAAGTAGCAAGTTATTAGGACAATTTTGGGCACATTTTCTTCCTGTACTGAATGATTGCCAGAGGGGTGCAGATTGACAGGTGCCATGTAGGAAATTGCCAGCATCCACACTGATCAGAATGTTGGCAAGATACGTCCTCCAGGACTCCCTGGTGCGCTGGGAAACCAGGAATTTAACTAGGCTGGATATCGGGTGGCGGCCTTGGACGCAGAAAAGAAGAAAAGCACAACGCCTTCCCGTTACAAATCTGGGTGTTCCAGAATCATTAGTGCTGCAAGTGATACTTCTGAGGACCAAACAAGACCCAGTGGTTGAGGGGGGTGTCAATGGGGTTAAGAGATGAAGGGCACAGGGTTCCACTTTCAGATGGATGATATCAGAGGTGCTATGCATCAGGCTCCCTTTGCTCTATTCCTGGCATAAGGGGGTGTGGTGGAGTCTGGCTCTGTAAGCGGTGGAATTCCATTTCAGGATCCGGCTCAGGAGATTAGACTCTTTTTCTGTCTCCATGTGGAACAACCTTAACATGCCCTCTGTTCAGTTCTTGTAAATGTAAGGCAAGGATCAGGAAACACTTTATGAGTTAAGATCCTTCATGTCAAAAGGCTCAGGCATATCTTGTTGCTCCTGATCAAATCTAAACAAATAAATCATTTGCCAAAACAGAGAAATCAAAGACCAAGAATCCATCCTTAAGGGAAGGTTAACCAATGTGGTGTATTTCAGATATAATAGACTACAACTCTTATCAGCCCCAGCTAGTATAGCTAATGGCCATTAATTATTGGAACTGTAGTCTGCAACATCTCAAGGGCACCATGTTGGTTATTGTAGCTTTAAGGAAACTGCCCCAAATTTAGCAGGCCCTGAACTGCACACAGAAACAGCTTCCTTTTACCATTACCTACAGACGTAGAGAGCAGGTTTAGGAAGGATGTGACTGGGATGTTAGAGGGTTGCCACCTCTGCCCATTCTGCAGGGCTCCTGTGCCTTCAACAGCTGCCTGGCATGCAGAAATTCAGCAGATTCAGATTTTCTTCAGCATGAAGATACAGTGGTGAGGAATGTTCATGCAACTTTAAGCTTTCTGTGCGAACTGAGACTCTGCCATTCCTCCAATGAGCTCAGGTCAGCTTTCATGGTTCTTGCATCCCCTTTTGAGAGAGGTTAGGCTGAAAGATGGTGACTGGCCCAAGGTCGCCTCAGTGAGCTTAATGGCTGAGTTAAGATTTGAACCTGGATCTCCCCAGCGCTAGTCATAACACTTCAACCACTAGACCACACCGGAAGCCCACGCTTATGCCCAGGTTAGATTAACTGAAGAGTAGAAGCAAGTTCTATTCAATGGTTTCCTAATGAAACAGGAGTAAGAAGTAACTTAACAACTAGGTACTATATTAAAACTAAGTGTTAAGGAATGAGCCAGGGCTGCCATATGTCCGGATTTTCCCAGACATTACTGGGATTTCAAAGCAGAATTGACGGGAGGGGGATTTCTGAAAGGTAGCGCTTTGTCCTGATCTACACACATAAAACAAATTCATGCACAGGCGTCTTCCAAAAACCCAACCCAAACCCAAAAAAGTCCCTTGGCAAATGGTAACGGGGGCAGTGCTTTTTTCGGGGGGGGGGGAAGCAGGGGTATGCATTTTGTGAATCTTTGTACTTTTGTCCATTTACTGTATTTATTGTTCCCGATTTGAACTATAAAATGGTGGTTTTCTTGAGTAAAAATGAGACTACCCCTAAACATTTTTTTTAGGAAAAAAAGCACTGAAAGGGGGCATGACTGTGAAATCTGGAAGCCTGTAGTCATGGGCGGTGGATACAGATTCAATCGTTCTCACTCAAGGAATGAGTCAGTTGAATAGCTCGGCAGCTGTATCCATGACTGAGCAGTCCTATTTAGAATCCACTCTACTCACCCCGAAAAGGGGGAGGGGCTAGAAAGGTGCCCTAAACATAGTCTGCCTCCCTTTTTCCCTGACTGGATTACCGCACCCAGTGGGGTTACCACCCAGTGGTTGTAAAAGACAATTGAACTTTGGAACATGGAATATACAGACTTCGTTGGATAAACAGATAATGAGCATCCCTAATGCAGAACTGCCATCATTGCAAGAGAGCTGCAATGTTTTAACATCAATATTGCAGCACTTCAAGAAACCCGAAGAGGAGAGGGACAACTGAAGGAAGAAAAAGGAGGCTACACATTCTTCTGGAAAGGTCTACCTGAACAAGAACGTCAAATACATGGAGTAGGTTTTGCTATCAAAAACCATCTTGTGAAGCTCTTGTCAGAAGTCCCTACTTAATGAGCGGCTTTTAACCCTTCTAATAAAACTCACCAAAAACCAGCAGGCTACTATTCTAAGCGCTTATGCACCAACACTGGATGCCAAGGAAGACATTGAATAATAATTTTATTCTCAGCTGGATGCCATCCTATCAGAGATACCTAAGGAGGACAAAATTATTCTCCTGGGTGATTTCAATGCAAGAGTTGGACAAGATTTGGATCTGTGGCCTGGGACTATTGGGAAAGAAGGAATTGGCAACAGGAACCAGAACGGAATCTAACTTTTGACTCTATGTGCAGAGCACAACCTTGTTATTACCAATACACTCTTTCAACAAAAAGATAA